CAATATAGATTTATGGCAGAGGTTATCACAGATAATGGCAGTAAGACAAAAGGGGCTTTCAGAAGTCTAATATAAAATTATGGTATTATATATGTTAGAATTTCACTATACAATTCTAAAGCAAATAGAGTAGTAAAAAGAGGTCATTTTATTCTAAGAGAAGCCCTAGTCAAAGCATGTGTAGGAAGTATTTCTAAATGGCCTAAAGTTTTATCAAAAGCACTATTCGCAGATAGAATCACTGTTAAAAAGAATGCAGGATTTAGTGCTTATTATTTACTCCATGGAGTATATTCTATTCTTCCTTTTGACTTGACAGAAGCAATATTTATAACAGAAGGTTTCTATTCAGATATGAGTTCAATTGATCTTTTAGCTTTATGCATATGATAATTGGATAGATGGCCTAAAGATATAGATAGAGCTGCAGCTATATTGAAAGCATCTTATCTCAAGTTCAAAGGTCAATTTGAAGTACAATTTGCATATCATCTTAAATAAAAAAAGTTCAAAGCTAAAGATCTTGTACTTGTACATCATACAAGAATTGAGAAAGAACTTAATTATAAAATCAAATCTCAATATTTAAAATTCTTTGAAGTAGTACATAGAATTAAGAAAAAATTCTATATTATCAAAGAAGTAGATAGCACTATATCTCAAGCAGGTATAGCAGTATTTAGACTCTTACAGTATTATCCTATTATAGATAACCTATCTCAGCTAGTTGCTGATGAAATACAAGATATTGGTAATAGAGAAGATATTGACAATAAAGACTTTAATAATTTAATAGAATCAGATAATAATTCAGCAGAAGAAAATGATGAGTTTGAGAAAGATAGTAATAAAAGTGAAGATGAGATAGACAGTATTAATAAGAATAAATAAAAAAGAGAAAATATTAAAGAAGGCCTGAAGAATAACTGGGAATAGTTATTATTTATATTCACCATAGATGTCCTGCATCAAACTAGTTTGGTATATAGATAGGATAGATTTCTATAATCTTGTATTTGAAGAAGACTCACAATAAGAGTAATGATATTTAATAAAAGAATATATATTATAGAATAATACTTAGATATAACACTAAAGATATAATCATTTTATTTAAAAATACATATATTTAGCAATATCTGAAAGAACTCACTTATACTATCACAGCCATATCTACTAAGAAGTCATGAATCTATATACAGTTTTATTTATATCTATCATAATTTGATCAGAATTATATATCTTCTTGATTGCTGAGAATATGATCAATAGACCAAAGGTAATACTAATATATAGCTATGTTATATCAGTGAGTATAAATATGAAGTTCTTGAGGTGCATTTTGAGAGTTGTGTATTAGAGGAATAGAGCAGTATAGATGATCAACAGTTAGAATAGAGCACATGAGATTCTAGTAGTCACATATTAATTGCAGATATTATTGTCATTTTGAAGACTACTGTGGTGGATATTGTTAGTTCTTATAGGATAGATTGATCACTTAAGATCTAAAGCCTTCATTATAGACAAGCTATCATCATTCTATACTACTTCTCAGTTCTTATAATAGACTCTATAACTAGAGCACATAATTGAGTCTACATCATAGCTCATTCAAGTCTCTATGCATGATTGCTTTATATATAAGCATTTACATTCAGAATATAGCTATATTGGTCAATTCTATAAAAGCAGATAGTGAGAATAAATGTGTATTTCAATTGAACCTGAGTTCATTCTCTGCATAAATATTTGAGATATTTTACTAAGTAAAGAAGTATAAATAATCAGTCTCCTATAAAAATAAAGCCTATTTATAACTAAGCAATGAAATAGAGATGAAATCTTATATAGTTAGGAGAGAAAGAAGGCTATGCAGAATTATAGAATAATTTGGAACCTTGTAGAATAGTTTAGAATCTTGTAGAATGCTTATGAAGCTTGTAGAATATTCTGAAAGCTATTTGAAAAGACTAGAATAGAGTAGAATATGATAGAATGATCTGAAATGTTATAGAACCTTCTGGAGACTTGTAGCACTTTGAAGAAGATATCAGAAGATGCTAGAATATTCTCAGACTTTCTACTTGTTTATCAATCTCTCTGTAGATTTGATAGAAATTTGTATTATATTTTAGTATATAAGCTATCAGAGGGCAGAAGGGAAACAGACATCTTTTTCTAAGATTATCACAGTCTCAGTATATAGTCTTAACTCAGTAATACAGTTTAGAGTTTATATCTTATACTTATACTTAAAAGTCAAGCAGAACTTTTACTTGTGTGTATTAATAAGATTAACAGTGATCTTGTCAGCAACTCGGTAGACTGTAAGTTAAGTAGAACTTTCATTCTACAACTTTTTAGAAGTCTATGACTCTTTGAAAAAAGTATCTTCCAATATCAGAGAGTCATTATCAGTGTTCACATTATTATTAGTTATATAGTTAGTCAGCACCTACTTAGAAGTTACAGAAGCTATTAGAGCATTCAGAGATACCTATAGATATAGAGTCACCAGAGTCTATTAGAGAGAGTCTAGCACAGAGTTCATGAAGTAGAAGACATCATTTTTAGTTCAAGTTTAAGTTTGAACATTTGAGTAGCAAGGCAGAGTCTTTTAAATATTTAGTGAAATTTATCATTGATTTGAATAACTGAGCCTCCAGTCTAACTAATGTTTGTTCACTGTGCCCAGTATAGTTTCACATTAGAAAGAGTTACTAATATTCTCTTATCAATAGGACTAGATATTATCCTTTACTTTTAATTTTGATTTTATTTCTTTACTTGCTATATATATAGAATTATTGTAACTAAGTCTCAACTTTTATACCTTTTCAACTCTTTCTTATTTATATCAAGTTAACACATTGTGATCTTCTCAAACTTGGTGAGTGTAACACTTGTATGAAGTTAGAGTTTTATGTGAGCATGTCAAGTTGCAAGGGTAAATAGAAGATCAAGAAAAACTTTATTCTCTCATACTGAAAATAACCCTTCTATAACAGAAATAATACACTACAGCTTCAATAAGAGACATACTCACATAAGACACAAAAATAAATCTTACCTGAAGGTAATCTTTATAGTCTCATACAGCAATTCTCTTTTATACTGAGATATTTCTATAGAATTAATGAATAGTGTCATGACTGAAAGAAGGTATCTCACAGAATCTTCTATCAAACTCTTGAATTGTGTCTCCACTGAGAGCAATGAGAAGATGAAGTATATGTACAAAGATCACCTTTCAAACTCTGAGCTTGAATTTATGCATGAGATTAGGCACAAAGAGTGAATAAATATTGAAGCCAAATTTTACAAGGTGAATTAAGAATGCACTTTGTTAAGTAATAAACTTAGTGGCAACTATAAACTATGACATGATGTAATGTCACTTATCCTGACTGATGTTATTGAGAGACTATTGAGCATGCATTTAACTCTTGTATCTTAAATCTCAGTATTCTATTTGAAGATTCATTCATATATCATCTTGATCATGTATTGAAGTAGCTTATTGTCTAAGCAGATATTCTCTCAATACTTTGAATCTATTTTTATACCTAAACAAGGATATCATGCAAGATACTAGAGATATATGAGCATAATTCTAGTTGCATATCAGAAATATCTGCTAGTTGACAGCATCATCATAGAGATGCAAAAGTATAAACTTCTCAGGATAGTTAGCTCAATATATGAGAAACTGAGAAAAGAGTCACCTCCAGATGCTATCACTGCAGAAAATCTTGATACCATAGTTATAGATATACATAAACTCAATATAAGATATTATAGCTATAGTTATTAGTTGCAAACTTACTGTGGAGAAGTATGCCAGATAGTGTACTGCAAAAAATATCAGTTTACCTTATTCATACTTTGATTGATTTCTGAAGAAGAGATAAAGTGGCCAGAGTGATGCACTACTAAATTTGGCTAGATGAGTTAAATCAGAATATGCAATCAGTGAGATAACTCTATATTCAAGATCATCAGGGTCACCAGATTTACAGAACTGAGATTATATTTAGACATCCTCTTCAAGTAGGGCATCTAAGTTGAAGACTTCATTGAAAATGTAAATATCTTTATCAGATGGAATTAAATGAGGCTCTGAGTCAGATAAACCAGATACAGCAGAGTTAAAGTCCACAGATGTTTTAGAAGAAAATCTCTATCACTAGAATTGTTTGAATGAAATATAATAAAAGCAGTCTGCAGATAGATCTATAATAGCTGCTTTGATAACCTCTATAAGTTTCCAGTAGTACAAAGTATAGATCTCAAAATAAGGTGCCTCCTCTTTTGAAGGTGATTTGTGCTTCTCCATAGAAATAGGAAATTTGATGAAAGCCTTATGCCAGCCATCTTCTGCCATTAGTGTCTCTATACTTTGATATTTATTCTCAGTGAGAAGATATTGCCCATAAAAGCAAAATTTGATAAATATTGAAAGAGTTTTATGAGTCACTGTATATAAAAATATGCCAAGTATGCAGAACTCCTTTCTACTCCTCTCATTTCTTGTGCATAGCAAATGCTCATCACTTCTACTATATTTCAACACCTAGGAGGCAAATGTCCTCAAATATATCTATTGTACTTGTACTTGCTGGTAATTTCAACAAGTAGTGATCAAAGAAGAATAGTACATAGTAAAGAAATGATAAATAGAAAATATATGACTATAGAGGCATACACAATAATTTGATAGTAAAGATTGAGATACAAGAGTGAGATGAAAACTTCACTAGCATGCTAACACTAAGCTGCAGCTGAACATGGATGTCAGGTCTGTGGGCTCCTTCAGCACCTTCACTAAAACCAACATTTCAAATGAGGGTATCACAGATCACACCTAATGCTGAACCAATCAAAATGGTACAGTATGATGCATTGAGATGTATAGTAAAAAAATGATTTTTTACAATCATTCACTGATCACTAGTTATAAACTGTGTATAAATATCTATCTATAAACTGTTAATTACAGCCTATGAAAAACTCTAAGTCATCACTAGTTTGTAAACTGCCGGCTGAAAATCCTTTCAATTTCTACATCATATCCTATCAAGGCACGGGCCGGCTTTATCTGGGGCGCTTAGGGACCGGAATGAGGTGCGGGCGCTTAGGGGACACTCTCAGAAGAAGTAGAAGAGCTGCATGCCACACACCCCGACCAATGAATGTTGATTGTAAGCAACTCAGTTCCTACTGATATCTAAACGAGGACCCTGGGTTTTGGAGCCTAGCATGCACGACGATGCATTCGATGTTATCCCCTATGAGGTATTGCTTGACTCTATTCACGGCGACCATCAGATCCAACTGAATCACGAACAGGATATCAAGGGTGACTGGAAAAAGCTTGGTTCTGGTTCGTTTGGGAATGTCTACAAAGGTATGTTACAGATCCATACCTCCACGACAAGTACACTTACTTGCATCAGGAACCTACCTTGGTATTGAAGTGGCAATCAAAGAGGTGTTGCCCTCCACCGAGTACGATGTGGCAAAGTACTTTGAACGTGAATGGAGGTTAATGAAGTGAGTGCATTTGATCCTATATCATCAGGATCCAATACGAGACTGTGTCAGGGAGGCACGCCACCCTAATGTTGTCTTGTATCTGGGTTTATCACGGGCCCCCTCCCCTGATGGTCGCATCTTCATCATCTCCGAATTCATTGAGAATGGCAACCTCCGCGCATACATTCACGACAAGAGCAAGCCATTCCCATGGCGTTTGCGTCTATCCTTCGCCACCGATATCGCCAGAGCCCTCGCATACCTTCATGCTCGCAAATGCATTCACCGTGATCTCAAAGGAGAGAACTTACTCGTAACCGCGAACGGCCGCCTCAAGATCACGGATTTTGGTTTTGCTCGAATCGCTGCGCGTAATGAAGAAGAGAGCAAGCGGCTCACATTCTGCGGAACCGATTCCTACATGTCTCCCGAGATCCTGCTCGGCCATGAATTTGACCTCCCTACCGACATCTTCTCTCTTGGTGTGATTCTCAGCGAGATCGCCTCTCGAAAACTGGCAAGTGAGACGGTATTCAGGCGTAGTCCCCCTTCCTTTGGCGTCGATTCTGAAGAAGTAGAGACTCTGGCCAGCACTGGATGTCCGCCTGCCTTCATCAAACTTTGTCTCGACTGTCTCGCGGAGGAGCCGTCTCAACGACCAACCACTCGGGAAATTCTCGATCGCCTCCGCGATATCGAAGCAGAGGTCATCGCGCGCTCTCCTGCCACAGAGGATGTACACGTCGGCAGCATTCGCTATACTTCAAGTACTCGTAGACCCGGTCCTGCACCCCGCATTCCGAGTTTTGGCATGGGCGTAGGACAAGAAATTCGGTATTCATCTCAACAACATGATTCCGTATCGGAGACATCTGAGGACGAGTCGAGTGATGATGAACTCACTCAAGCAGTTATGGGTCTGAAACATTTGGACTTGGAAAGTACATGGAGTCACTCCAGCTCTAGTAAGTTCTAGTCTCCTCGTTCCGCAGAGACCATTCTTGACATCTTCTCCTAAGGAACGGGCGAAGGAAGTACTCAACCACTTATCCACGGCAGCTCGACATACAGTACCACTGTCGTCCGTTCTCATACGCCATCAAATGATTCTGCCGCGCCTTCTCTTTCGTCCATTTTGACAGTTCGTCCAAGTCCAAGTGTACCCTCCGCAGAAGACATTGCATCTCCACCAGCAATCAATGATTTAACACCCACTGACTCCATCCTTTCTATTGAGTCCTATCACACCGCTTCGTCTTCGATTCTGACTATGTCCATCGCTGGCGCAACCGAGGGAGGATCTACAATTCGTTCTTCTCACATTCCCCTTCTTCATCGGTTTACCTTAATCAAGCCCGGTGTCAAAAGGAACGGTGCAGGAAGTAGTCGAAGCGGAAGTGCTTCCCCTCCTCGTTATCCTCCCACAGAAGCGCTTTGGAATCCGCTGGACTTTCTTTTCAACGGCACGTCGCTTGCAGCAAAATGTGATGTATGTAATAAGAGACTGGGTTGGAAGCCCATGCTTGAATGTGATGATTGTGGTCTACGGTATGTTTCCCTGCGTATCGTCCCTAATACTTAATCTCATTTTTTAATCCTTATTCAGGGCTCACATCAAATGCGCTGAAGTCGCTCCCGCCGATTGCGGATTACGACCCATTCGTCGTACCCCAGCGTCTCCTGCAAAGTCTTCTCCGCTTTCCAAGACTCATTTGAAGAATGTCGCGTCTGCGTGATTCCTACATAGCACCACAAATTTACGACTGTCACGATACGCTTACGACGATCACGATTGACGTTCCACTGCATTGTAACTCTTTCTTTCTTTCATGGACTGCCTTGCACATTGTCGCCAGACTTGACCTCATGGACTTGGATCATAACGTTCGACCAGTAATATACCTGCATTCCCCAGATAATATAAGATGTATGACTGTAGCACATTCGAACAGAATCACGAGACCCTTGCGTATACCTGTTTACTCCTTGAAATCGTCCTCGTGTAGCTGAATATAGCTCACATAACCGTGAACCCTGCAGATCAAGAGGAATATCAGTCGCGATTAAACGGTACATGCAGACGGGCACCTACCATCCGATGCTGGCAGTACAACGAATAAGTTGAGGTTCAGTTCCAGGCTTGTACATGGGCGAATCCGACCAAACTGGGACGTGACCTTCTCGTAATGATGAAAACAAATACAGAATTGAAGGTAACTGAGGACGATTATGAATTTGGTGGTGCATAACTTGATGCCCGCCTCCCAAGTGAGGTGACTGAGCAAATCCAGGCCGTTGATGACCAAACGCAGGGTGTGCAAAGCGCTGGAACGGCAGGATTCGATGATCATGGACAGCGAATATTTGATCCGTTCCGGCTTTTGTTACTGCAGAAAGATAAAAACCTCGCATGAATAGTCTTGCAGGCGGTAACAAGCATACATACCCAAAACCAAGTCCTCTGCCTTCAGCTTATGAGCATCAGCAAGTGATTTGCCGTGCTCGAGGAGGAACTGCCAGGCATCATTCAATGAAGTGAATGATTCATCATGTAAAACCTGCAGATCCTGTTTTGTACCTGCTGGCACAATGACAGGCCACCTAATCAAGAAGAAACCCCCCATCACCAATGTCTATGCGAGAGAGCTAAGAAAACGACGCTCACCCGTGCACATCGTTAGGAAGCAGGAATGGCTCCAAATCCTGCTTCGTTCTGAAACCACCCTCCCATGAACCTTGCCAACCAATAGCAGTTTGTTTTATTTCCAAAGCCGCCGTTTTCGCATCCAGGACATTGCAAATAATCGTCATCTCGTCGAAAATCCTTCCAGCGGGTATCCACCCCAAGTCACCCACGCGGAACTTGTAGGCTGGAACTGTATTCGGTCTCCAGACGTGGTCATGTCTATTGGCTGAAATCGCCGCCATACGGATCTGCCGCAAACTCAATAGGCATTGGTCCACCTCTAACTCTTCGTCTTCGTCGTCACCCAAAAGTAAATTCAATCGGTCGCTCAGGGTCCTTGGCTCTTCCAAATCCGATAGCAGAGCGCGAGCTAGAACGGCAAGGTGTGCGACTTTGCGTTGCACAGTCAGATCCCCTGGAAATTGCCCATGAATACAGGTTCTATCACGGAGTGTAGCTGAATCTCACCTTGGTCGCCTGGATTCTGAGGTTGCTGCGCGTAACCAGAGTTTGGTAAAATCTACGATTATCGTAGTTAATAACAAACCGTGTGAGATAATACTGCAGCACACCTTTAGGTATATTTGACGAATGGAATGCGGCAACCCGTAATTACGCCAGGAAACCCATCTGTCTATTTCAGGGGGAGGTAAACCCATTACAAGGGTGTTCTCAGCATCGATACGATAACTCGCATTCTGCAGAGCTGCGTCGTAAGTATGGAGAGAATTGGAATCATGTTATCACTGAACCTCGACATAGTCCTGCAACTTTTGGTCCGAGAGATTCAATTGACGTTGCATGTAGAGTGCTGCATCCTGTATGAGGTTAGATACCGGGTGGGCTCAGCTATCGGGAACACCTACCAATGTATCACGATACTGCGCCGACTTGTTGTCAGTGAAATACAAAGAATAGAATTAAAAATGTACGTACAAAACGCAGAATCATATTAACACATGTTCTCAAATCTGCGCGTTGTATTGTATCGAGTACTAAAGCTTCAGGTAACCTTAGTTGTACTGTGTAAAAGGCCCAGGACAGAATGAATAAGGATAGTGCGACCAGTGCACACAGCGTCGAAGACGTACCATTAGCGAGCAAAATAAAGGGCGTTGGAGTCTCATCGTCGGAATACCCTATCATTTGAGGAAAATTCGGATGGCTGACCGTAACATTAGTGCATTCTTCTTTTTCCTTTTATGCAATACCTACTAAAGGTTCTGAAGGATTTTTACATCTCGTATCCAACTCTATAATTACATGAGTGTTTCAGATGGACACACAAATTACGAGCTAGAAAGGGAACGTACTTTCGCGGGTCCATCGTAATGCTTAATCAAGACATTTCGACCATCAACTTGAGCTTTATTTGAACCTGACCACCAGCCTGACTTGATTTTGGATCGACCTTTAAGATGAACTTCTGACCTATGATATCTCCGGAACTGTATGTGCCCAATTGTTATGAATCATGGTGAAGGTAGAAATGAAGACATGAAATACGTACCCCTCGATGTCCACAAGCGGTGGGGACCGCGCTCGAAATAGACGCTTCAAGAGACTGAGGTTCAGAAACTAGAACATAGCCGTCAGAGTACGACCGAGGTGAATCTAAAGAAGTCGATCTTATGGAAATAGGACTCGAGACAAGTTCAAGGGATGCCTAAAGTTATGAATAAGTTAAGGTACCGGAATAGCAATTTCGAAAACATACATCGGAAGCCTCAGACATCGAGGATGATTCTGCGAATCGGTGAGATGGGTTAATATCCCTATGAACCACACGAGATTCTCCAGCAACAGCGTAATGTATGCTGATAAGGGTAGCGACCTTTATAGCGGTAATGTCAACACAACAACAACCTCTTTTCGAAATTGAAGAAGTGGGGCGAGATACCTGGAACGCCCTGGTGGCATCGTCCAATTCGGCATTGAACGCGATAATAGATTCTTCGATAGTGCTCTTCCTCAGCAAACGATTATGCCACTTATGTTCGGCTTCTGCTAACATAGTTACATGTATGGATTCCAGTGTTCTGGCCCGTAAGTATAAGCAAAGACAAAACGGAGCACGAGACAGAAGACGTACCGCTCCAAACGAGAAATGTTGTTAAGAAGAGCCTGGGGAGCGTCCTCCCAACGTCCCTCCATCTGATCATGCAAATCGACCAGAAGAGAGACACAACGGCGTGCTAGACGATAGCAGTCACTTCTATTCGTCTGAACATTCTATTCACAGTGTGAAGTATAAGTAACTTCGATGATCAAACATGCAGCTTCACGAAGGTAATGAACTCACTTGAATGGTCTGGAATATGAGCAAAAGTATCCCTGCGGCCGCCCTCGCTGGCGGAAACTGAAGCATGTCAGCCAGTTCCTTGGTAATCGACGTGGTCGCGACGGCCACGCTAAGAGCACTGTCGGCCGATAGCTTTGAGCGAACATATCTTAGAGGCATGTTAGCTGTTCTCTTTCAACGCCCTCTGTTGAAACACCTGTTGGGAGCTGTAAAAAGGTCAGTGATATCGATATTGTGATACCAGACGATCTGAAGAATTCCGAGGTCCGCTAGACACTAGGTTGTATGAGAATATCCGTCGATCAATCTGTCAAATGAAACGTCCAAACTAATGTTCGGTCGTCATGGTAGAATACAGTGTTCGCATGTTCGCAGTCAGTACAAGGCCTTGGGCATCCTGAAAAGACGATGGCCTCATATACATGCTCTAATATTGTGAGCTCATCAGTAAGTATCCTCGTGGTGGAGGTTGCGCATACTGAACGTGGAAAAGCCTTCACCGATCACAGAGTCTCGATCGTTCAAAGTTTACGAAGGCAGTTAACTGAAACTGAGGTGCATCATGCATGTCATACGGTTGCAGTATGTTCTATCTAACTGCAGTGTATGGACAATCACACATCCTGCTGAGATACACTAATACCTTTCTCCTTCTCCAAAACATCTCTCTCCGTCTGCGAACTCCTCTCCGAAACTTCTCCTTCCACTCCCTTCCTATCTTCCTCAATAGTCGGCACAGGTCCCGTAAACCAATACATACCTCCGTATTTCGGGAACCAATAATACACCAACGAAAGTGCCATAACCCCACCCTGAACAACCACAGTATAATTCATGTCTCCTACATCCGTCTGTGGAGTACTCGGAAACAGGAAAACGACGCTCATCAATAACATCCATAGACATGCTATTAATGCACATGGCGCAGACCAACGCCCAAGAGAGAAAGGACCAGGTGTGAAATCATTGTTGCCGAGGAACCTGGCGGCGATGGGGATCCCATAAGCGATGTAGAGCGTTGTCACAGATAGAGAGAAGACTGCATTGATTGCGGAGTCGCCTGCGAACGCAAGGAGGCCAAGAAGGATGGACCAAATGCAGACGAACCATACCTGAAATCCAACAATTCGATGTTGAGGAGCTTAGGAAATGGATAATGAGATGACAATGCTTACAGTGTTGACGGGTGTACCAGTGAAACTGTTCATACGATAGAGCCAGCGAGAGAATGGAAGTGCACCATCACGAGAGAAAGCAAATGTTTGCCTTGATGCAGCGAGTACCTATATTACATTTCTATTTTTTTTAGCAAGAACTCGAGAGACAAAATGCGAAGATACCCACCATGCTGGAACCCATCATGTACTGTACAATCACTACAATAGCCTGCAGATACAATTCCACCTCAATCAGTATGAACGAAAACACACCAGGTACAGAAACAAGCGACACTCACCCAAACAGCCAAAGTCCCTTTTTGTCCAAAGCTATTGAAGAAGATCCAGGCCATGGGCTGATCTGAGTCATTGATACTAGCCAAATCCGTGCCCATACAGAACGCTAGAGATACGTTAATCGCTATCAGGAGAGAAGTCAGTCAACGCCTTGATCATGATAGAAATTTATTTTGAACGCGACGTAGAAGGAAAGAAAACGAAGAACGCAATAGGAGAGCGGGAGCAAGGATGAGGAAGGGGAATAATGATAACGAAGGAAAACGTACCCCAACCAAGGATACCGGCGATTGAGATGGCACCCACAATGGCCCAGGGGACAGCCGTTGCCGCATTCGAGGCCTCTTCACTGATGTGAACACTGGAATCGAAGGAACCTACAACCGCAACAAAGGGTCAGTCAAGAGCCAAGAAGTGTCGATTTGCCAAGTTTAAAATGCGTTTGGTGGGTATGCTACCAGTTGAAACATAACAACAGGTATGGTAGCACGTACAGATTGTCCACAACGGTGCCAGGAAACTCAGAATGAAGGCATACCCGTCTGGCCATCCATTGACTGATAAAGAGTAACAAAAACCATGATTAGTAATCTGGAAGGCAAGCGAAACGAAACTAGGAATCAACTCACAGTTTGTAAAGTTACCTAAAGCGAAGCTGGCGCTATTCTTCAACTCGGAGGGAGTCGCGGCTGGGAGGGCTACGATGACAGCTAGGCAAAGCCTGTAAGAACCCCATACTTGGTCAGATCATGCAGTTTCAAACGCGAGTAGCGAGATAAAGTAAAGAAAACAGGAAGTGGAGAAGGGGAAAAGAGGGACTGAACTTACAAGACGTTCAAAACAACGTATACAGTCTGTAATCTCGCCAAAACCTGTGTTCCCAGACAACAGAGAACGGCATGCGAAAGGACAACTGCGACGAATACGCCACTACAAATCCAGAGCGTGCAAAACATTCAGCATTTTTCGTACTTCTCACTTCAGACAGTGACGCAGAAGTGTAGACGCACAAAGTCGCACCGCTGCTAGGATTGAAACTCTGATCCTTTGAACCGATCGTAGCAGCAGCCATAATTTGAACGGAGCATCCCCAGTCTATGGATGCTATGCCGGCCACAGACCCGATTGTATTTGCATCTAATGAGAGAGTAAATCGGCAATTAGCAGTTGGTACAAAGTATGAATAGCATAAATCAAAAGAGAAGACTGACATCCGACAATCCAAGCCAACAAGTTCCGCCATCTCGGAGACGAGAGTGAATGTGTCCAGAAGTAGAGCTGAAAGTGTATTACACACACAGTTGAGTCAATAACGAGAACTGAGATCAGAAAGGATACAGCAATAGATGATCCAGAGTACTCACACCACCACTAGTAGGAGCGGCGCTCGCAAGCTCGGCCATGGACATACCAACGAGGAGGATGAAGATCGAAGCTACAGCCCACTTGATAAAGCGAATCAGTATGAGACGCGAACAGAGAAAGCAACATCTCTTGAGGGAAGAGAAACTTACGCCCCAGACCATGGCACTCGGCCCACCATTCGGTATTGAGTAGAAGAGCACCGACCTGTAAAAGTGAGTATCAGCATTGCAGCCCTCCAGACTCAGGCACGAGACCACGAAAGTAAGGGACTCACGCGATGGACGGTAGCAGACCAATGATGCTGAACGCGACTCCAAACGTCTTCGCACATTGCACTTCTATTAGTGACTGAAAGTAGAAGAGACAGAGGCGAAAGACTCACCTCCAAGCCAGAAAACGCCCTCTTGAATTCTTGCTTATACCCCAAGGTCGCCAATAACTCTTCATCCGCCTGTGCGATAGCATCCTTTCGTGAGCTTGAAGCGACAGTCGTCATCATAAAATCTTCAGGTTCACCCAGAGAAGCCAGGAACCGTGTCAACGTCGTCACAAGAAGCGCAAAGAAAGCGCAGGATAAGCTCCAAGAAAGAGTCCCAGGAATGGGGGTGGACCAAGCTTATATCAATGGAGTCTAATCCACACCCGTCGCGCTTGTTCGAGTGGAGATAAGCAGTCCGGGCATATGGAACTCGGAAATGACTCTGGCGTGTCATTAGAAACGGGCGATTGGATACGTTCCTATCCACTTTATCCTTATCACGAGGACGCACCATGAATAGAATGAGGAAATGATGGATTTAGGCGAAGAAGAAGGCCTGGGACGTCACGTTGATAGGTGAAATCCTGGACACGGGACGATAAGGTGTGGTGTTTTGGTGATAAGCTGGACACCGTTAATGGCATCTGAAAGGCCCGTTAGATAGCATATTCAAATGAAGTTCGGCAGATGCGGTCATGACTTCTCCCTGCTTAATCAAGTGAAACTGCTCTTAGCAAGTGACGGCATTCGACGATCCAACTTACCTTCGATAGCTTCAACTCGGAGAGCCTACCTCCTCCCCAAAGTATCACCCTGAAATATCAATTCGAAGTCTACGCACGACATCAGTAAGACTACACCAGAACGTGGGGCCAATCAGCAAAGAGTGAAGCTAGAGAACTCGCAAGTCACTGATATCTGAATTCAGTAGATGATGAGTGTACCACCAGACTGTCTGTGAGACGATTAAAATTTACTTGATAGTAGTACTTAGTAGATCGTCTCATTGGAAAGACGGAAGTGCACTTGCAACTGTGTGTTCGTTCAAAAAGACAAGTTGGTGATCGATCGGTGCACGTGAACGGCAACCATCACCAGCCAGTGTCAGTTTCTCGACAAGCTCTGGTCTCTCGCTGTTCCTCGTTGTCTCTTCCAAGGTCTCTTCGTTGTTGTCTTCCACCTCTGTCTTTTATTTCTTCGACTCCTCTGGTAGGGCCGCCTTCTCCCTCTGTTCTTCAGACAGCAGCTAGCCGCTCTCTTGTTTCCCTTTGCTCGATCGACCGACCCTTTTAGTATCTATTGTCCCATTCGCTGTCGTCTTCACCATGCAACTACTCGCTTTCCTCGCTGTTTTCTCTGTCCTATTCGCTGGCAAAGGTCTGTGCAGCCGCCCAGTGGGCCTTGCTACAATAGATCAAGACTGACCATCATAACATGCTATTTTAGTGCTAGCTCTCAGCATCACCTTCCCCGGAGGGTCGCTCTCCAACCTCCCTCCCAGCCAGTTCTTCAACTTCAACGATCCAGATGTCATGAATACCGTACCTCTATTTCTTCCCTCCTCTTTTGCCTTAGCTGATATGTCCAAATGCACGTATGTAGTGCCAGAAAGATTGTGCCCCCGCCATCGATGCTATCAGGGTACGTCGATGACTGCCACCGCTCCGTTTCACTTCCCTCCTCACTCTTTCTTCCCACAGAACTGCGGTGACACCGACGACGCCTGTCTATGCTCCTCCAACGCCACCATTCCTGCTATCACGTCCTGCCACCAATGTGTATTTGGGGACTTGATCCACAAACGCAAGTTGGCGAGTGACCCTAGGGAGGACTCAACACCCGCTTTGACTGGTGAGTACTGTCTGTTGTCGTCTTGTTTCTTTTCCATCACAAGTCTGCGCTTCGGATATGTCGTTTACATTGGTTGCACCCTTGCGGCCTTCTCGGGATACGTGGGTTGTCGATCGCTGACCTTGACATGCTGTCGAGATGTCCTTTTGGCAATTACACTATTTCTACTCAAACCTCCAGAACCCAACTAATACATTGTCCCTTCTTCTCTCTTCTGCAGCCTACCAAACCTCTTGCCTCTCTTCACCCATCAACGGCACCCTCCTAGATGCCTCGCGTCCCGCACCAGACACTTTCAAGTCCTACAAAGCCCTCTTCGCCATCACCGTTCCCCCCGACTGGGACGGTCCATTTGGTCAAGGTTTGAGCATGGCTGCTACTGTCATAACAGTGATTGCAGGCGCTGGCTTGGGTGCCGGGATGATTGGGGTCTTGATCAGTATGTGAACGTGTGCGTGGCATGGGGAGCGCGTTTGTTGAGTTGGTTGAAGACGAGGTGATTTGATCCGCAGTATGTGGGCCGGATGGACGGATGGATGGACGGAGGAGATGGGAACTTCTTTGGGAAGTGTATGAATAGGTTTGGGGATGGACGGGTATATAGCGGTATTGGTCGTTCGTTGCAATCGTGTTGTATGCAGGTCATCATCTTATTGGTATATATTGGCTTGTACTCGTTCTTTGACATTGAGTGTGAGCTTTCCAATTGTAAGGCATTGCTGCGACGGATTGTTGAATGTGATCTCTCAAAGCTCTCGAGCCATTCTATCGAGCTCTCACATTCCCACCACGAAAGCAAATGCCACAGAAAAGAACACTGAGTGCACTTCTCAGAGAAGCTTTCAAACGGTAGAACATTGCAAAGCATAATCATATGGATAAAGTAGGTGTGCTAAACAAGAAACAGTCCGATTTAACGTAAGCATTACAAGTATACACCCACCAAGCATACAAGGCATTCTCTACATTCGTGTATAGATACATTACCACTGTCCATTTTCCCTTCGTCCTTCCATTCCTCACACCTTCCCTCTCACCTACAAACCTAACCCAACAACACAGTCGAAAATTTGACGATATCAAAGAACACATGGATTTGGGGGAAAAGATAGACGATGATACAGTTGTCTAACCTCCGGGCTTGCCTAATAGAGCGTATCCAGAACCCTGGGGACCGTAAAGCTAGACAAACAAAAGAAAGCAGATTAGTATTCAGCATACCGTACGCAATCACAAAAAGAAATCAAAGTACGAATACGAAAGAATTGTTACGACTAACAAGCCAAGAAAGGACACTACTAAAAGAAAAAAATAAACAAAGTTCCAACTCACCTTCCCATAACACCTTCCGCAAAATGGTTCTCCGTCCTTCTCCGTCAACCGAGTGGAATCCAATGAGGTGTTACATTCTGTACATCGAAGACAGTGTTGGTGATAGGTCTTGTTAAGAGCCTTGATCTACGTAGCGGAGGCACGTAAAGATGTAAGTAAAATGAATAGATAGGGATAGTGGACAATGAGAATGCAGAGGGGACATATATGCCGAATTTAAGTCAAGAGTAAGTGAGGCATCATGAGAGCGAGAATATGAGTCACTTTAGTGGGGTAAACACTGTAGAGGCCAGGACTTAAAAGACGCAAATGCCCAAGGTGAAATCGCATTGATTCTGAAAGAACCCTCCGGATTGCATGTCCTTCAGACAGTCATCGCACAACACCCTTCATCAAACAAGGTCCACACTCGATAGCACCAGCAAACCGAGGACACTCGCTATCACCAATAACACCTACAACACATCAATGCATTTATAAAGGATACCGGAGACTCACCTGCTCAGCGAAATAAACCATCTTTCCGCATTTGGCACAAGTCGGGGTCCCACCAAATCCCCCACTGCCTCCAAACTTGCCTCCAGTCGGACTTGCCAACCCTCCCGACCGGCTTCCGTATGCACTACCACCGCCTAAAGCAGCACCATACCGAATACCTGTAGAAGTAGGAATGAGAGGGACTGTGATTGTCCGGATCGGCGTTGAGGGTGTGTGTGATGTTGTGGAGGCTGAAGAAGACGGCGTGAAAGAGCCAGGCGGATGAGAATGCGAAGAAGGGGATATGGGTCTATTCGAGTCCATCGATACGCGAGGAGTTTCTTTAAAGGGACTGCTCACTCTTGGGGGGAAGGCAGACTTGGTAGGAGATGATGGAGGTGAGATGACGGAGCTCAGTGGAATCGTCCTAGGGATTCCATTCGCAGGTTTAGTAGAAGGAGTAGGTGTACAGGTGGGCGTAGAAGCAGATACTGAAGCAGAGGAAGAAGGTTCGTCTTCCCAAGGCGAAGGAGCGCGTACGAGTCCCCTGCCGTCGGTGTGGGTCGGATTGGAAGCTAAGTCTTTACTAGGGGAGAAACCACGTTGAGGTGGGGGAGGGCTGAAAGTCCGTGTAGATTGTAGCCTCGGAGACGTAGTACCATTCATATTGAAGCCTTGCGTACTTGCACCAGTGCTTTGCCCAGTAGCCGTTCGGCGTACAGGAGGTGCACTCGAAGGAATGTACCTAGACGAAGTAGCGGGTGTCGAGGGTGAGGGCGACATTCTCGGTGGTAAACTCGGAAGGTGAGTGGAAGATCGGGTTGGCGAAGTGGGAGGGCTCAAGCCTAGGACGTCATCTCTGTCTGGTAGATTTGCATGTCGGAGGTCGCGGGTTCCAAAGTTCTTGACATGACACTGTTTGCTATTAAGGTCATGAGCTCATGCACTTCAAGCTAACATGTGAATTCGAAACGAACGTACCAAAACGGCTACAGACGAAGTTAGGTGAATATATGCGCAATAGGACATGAAGCGAGAAGAGACGCACCTGCTGGTTGTGTTCTACGAGGCTATACGAATCTAGACGTTTACCGCAAGAGGTACATGCGAGACAAGGCTTGTGATATAGCTGTTCGCCATCATAATGTGAGAAGAGAATAGAGAAGGTAATAAACGCATACATACTCTTCGGCCTGGTCCCATAATCTACACGGCGGTTAGTTATGAGCGTGTAGCACTGAAACGACGCTCACCTGCTCTGCAGCATATACAGGCTTTGAGCAGCGTGGACATATTGGGGTGCCTCCGAATGGATGCATTGAGCTCGTTGTGGTGGACGTTGAAGAGATAGATGAAGGGCGGTGGTGGCGCAGTCGGGGACGTTTGGCGCAGTTGCCCGATTAGGAAGGCTACGGGGCGATGGCCGGATGTGTGGGATTCGCACGATCGGAGATGGAAAATTGATTGTCGGGCGCCCAGGTGGAATTTTGACTTGCACAGACGAGTTTGTTTGAAGAGCATCTCTGTCTACTTCTTCTTACTCTGCCACCTCCTGCTCCCTTAGATTCTTTCTTTCCTTCTCCTATCCCTCTCTAACGATCATCCATCATGTCCGACGACGAGCAGCACCAGCACAATTTCGAGCAGGTGAGTCTCGTTCAACCAGCCAATCCCTCCTCCGCCGTTGCAGATGCCACTGACCACCACGATCCGCTATTTTTCGTTCTCTAGGCTTCTGCTGGGGCCTCCTCCACCTTCCCCATGCAATGCTCTGCCCTTCGCAAGAACGGGCACGTCGTCATCAAGGGTACGTCTTCCCCCCACTTTTTTCCCAGCCGATCGCTCACTCCCACCGCTTGTGTACCCATATAGGCCGCCCCTGCAAGATCGTCGAGATGTCAACCTCCAAGACCGGTAAGCACGGTCACGCAAAGGTCCATCTCGTCGCCATTGACGTAAGTCCCTTTCCCCCCATCGTTGAAGCAAGGGTCATACGTACTCACCTCGTGTTTCTAGATCTTCACGGGTAAAAAACTGGTATGAAGCGTCTCAGGGTTAGCCTTTTGAGTTACGATTCACTCATGTGATCGTCGCAACCCTTATAGGAGGATATCTGTCCTTCCACTCACAACATGGACGTCCCCAATGTCTTCCGTAACGAGTACCAGCTTGTATGTGTCTGATCTCCATTTAGACGCTTTCCTTTCATTGCATGCCTGTTCGGCTCATGTTTCCTGTCATTACGTCTATTCGCTGCCCTTTGACCACTTACGTTCTCCACTTCGCAATTGCTGTTCCCATTCCCCCTTGCTATACCCATTGTTATTGTTTCATCTTTTCCCGATTCATTTTATACCAACTCCAATTTATTCCCACCGCGCCCCGATTCACTCTTCAACTGCTGACCAACGCCACTCCGCAGGTCAACATCGATGACGGTTTCCTCAACCTGATGACCCAAGACGGCACCGCCAAGGACGACGTCAAGGTCCCCGAGAGCGAACTCGGCAAGCAGATCGAGGCTGATTTCGACACCGGAAAGGACTTGCTCGTCACCATCGTCTCCGCCATGGGCGAGGAGCAGGTAAGCATATTCGCCTTTGCATCTCCGAGTACTGACGCGAACTGTGTTCTTTCAGGCGATTTCTTACAAGGAAGCTCCCAAGGGCGCCTAGAAACCTTCTCTCCTGGGTCTTTTCCTTGTTTTTTTTGTTTGCCTTGCTCTTCCTCTCATCCCGGTCGTCTCAGTTCCCCTCCGCTGTTTCTGCTATTATGACTCTGTGTATCCCTTCATCGCCAGTTCCCACTCTTATAGCAGTACCTCTACTACCTCGAACATCCCCCCATCATCCTCAACGTGTCATCCATCTTTTTCACGTTCCTCCGTATATTGTGTACCCTGTAGTACTCATTTGTAGCTAGTCGTGTTGCAGTCCGGTGTTGTGTTGTTGTTGGCCACATGAATTACTAAGATGATACGAGGCATATAACATCAGACAATTTGTGCAGTCGATGCTGTCCCTACACTACCAGCGATTTGATGGGAATTGTTGGTCCACGGAGCAAGAAATACTGGTTATTCAAGATCTTCAACATATTGTGACGACACAGACAGAGTTCCCAGTCGAATTACCTTGCCAGGCAGGCGCATACTGCTCCTGGCTCTCTTCCTCAGGAGGCTGAGGCAGGCATTTGGGCAGTCTCTCCCCACCAGGCGTTGCAAGGGGAGAATTCATTCTATTGCTGAGCATCAATGTTGCTGTACGATACGAGTATGTCACGCGGTTCTAAATTGACCTCAGCGCCTGTAAGAGTCTGCCCTCAGCTCACTCAAGCTCACTTCGACAAACCTCTGTATACGAGTACTAGTGGCCATAGTGCGAAGCGAAGCGTGCTGTTCCTGGAAGTAACTGGATGTGCTAGGGTGTATAGTTCACGTTATCTATTTCATCTTGCAACGTCACTCAGCGATCGTATCACAGTATGCACATACGGTAGGTGCTCAAGATCCCCAGATCAAATTCGAAATCATCCAGGTAGTATCCGCCCCTGGCCTATTGATCAATCGACGGTTACTTCCATCCTAAGTAGCTACCGCATGACGGGCCATCTTACGCATGTGGGTACACCTCGACTTTGATCTTCCGCTCCGTAGTCATCTGCCCCTGATCCTGGATCAGCATTGAAAAGGTGATCCCCATTCAACATCGCACATGTCCGGAGGAGAATAGAAACAGGGGGTGGGGACTTCTTGAAGTTGACTGAAGCTGAAGTGATCAAAACGTCCAGCCCGCAGTCTGCGTTCTACATCGCTAGGATCTATTTTAGAGTAGTTAGGAGCACATATATTCTGACTTGCATGATACATGTTTTACGACTCACCAAGTCTATACGTGCTGCCATCTGCCTTATGCACAAATAAATAATCAATGTTGGTGTAGTCAGTCTCCAAAACCCGTGGCGGGACACCAGTATCCTCTTCGTCCTGGAAGACTACGCCTATGATACCACCAAAAAGGCCTTCTTCAACGAAGAACCCCGGTTCGCGGAATTCCTTCACTCCAATATGGGGGCTCGGCTGAGAAGTAATATGGGTATTCAGGTATAGGCAAACACTCCGTCCGAAGGCCAGTGAGATGGCTAGCGACCAGATGGGCGAGTCAATGAAGGGCCATGACGGCCACGATGAATCGCAAGTATGATAAATTCATTGAGGTCTGCGGTTGGAAGAGTGCGTCGGCTATACGTCCGTGTATTTCTAAAACTGTTGGATCGTAGGCAGCCGGCTTGAACGTATGGCGCCACTTCCCAGGTGAGGAGCTCATAATGATATTTCCGTCTCTGCAACAGCCTTGGGTGAGCACGGTTCTAATAGCCTGGCCCCCTGTGCAAGTGGGACAAAGACTGATAGGTATTCTGGACAGTCAAGTATGGTTTGGCGTGTTGCATTACTTGGTTTCCCGGTAGACTTGAGAATCGCTGGGGACTATACGAGACATGGTGGCTAATGTTAGAAATATAGGGATAAGCTCATGAGCGCAGACTACATATAAAGTAAACAAATGTATGAATCATAAGCATCGCTCCGCCATCCGTCGTGTGTACCGTTGTGTACCTTTCCAAAGTGTGGTGCACCGTAACAGGCGGCGCTTATGTACTACAGCGCTCCCAGAAGCACTTCTGAGCAGTTCTGACAACGACTACGTGGTTTTGGGACAGCGTATGCGTGTTCGCCTCAGGACTCAATGCCTCATTCTCCAGACCGTGCCGTAGAGACCGCGCGATAAAAACTTATAGCATGCGGTTGGAGACGGCGATGAAGGGGTTCAACAAAAATGTTACCGCCATAACTAACTGACGCTTTCTCGCCAATACTTCTACAGATACAGTTCAAAGCACGCGTTCTGGGTGTGGATCGCAACATTGGGTTGCTTTCCGCCTCGAGGCATATAATTCCGCCACAGACCCTTTCAAATGTGGTATGATATCCAATTCGAACGCTCTCAGATGCAGGACGTTATTTCTTCCTGTCAAACCGCCAATTCTTTGTATGCCATCTTCCATATGGTTTTGTAGCTTTTGGAATGGAAGATGTTCAAGGTTTGCTTAACCGTCTGATATTGATGCCACGTATCAGAACCAATGGTGAGTCCTCTGCCGCATGCGATGTTAACATCGTCACAAGGCCTGCTCATTCACTGTCAGTGCTGCAGCAGTTCTTCGATTATGCATGATATTTGAGTGACCTAGATACATGTGTTTAAGGGCATGCAACCTATTTCTGGGTCTTCCTGTGTTCTTTACGACGTCTCATTGCTTGACTGCGTGCACTGACTTCGCTTGTCTCGCTGCGAAGCAACGTAAATGCTTATTTGGCATGGTTAAGTGCTCAACTTCTCAGTATATAAGACTTACAACGCTGGCAAGTGGCATTTGCTGTCTATTCCTACTCACGATGACTCTCAAGGATGTTGTTCTCGCAGAATCCAATGAACCTCTTCAAGTGCACTCAAGTGGAGGACTAGAGACTGCCATCTGGTTCAAGACACACCCCGTCGACCGCACATTTTGTTATCGTGTTGTGCAGTTTCAACTGGTTACAGACTCTCGAGACCAGGGTTCTACACGTCACACGGAGGAAGCGAGCTGGAGCTGGTTCGAGATTCTTGTCCTCGCTGACTCGGCCGAGGAGGGAGAGAGAACAACAGATGCTGGCGGACAGGCTGCCTGGCGCAGTCATTACAACAATTTAGGTGGTGGACATTACACTAGACATTTTGGCAAGATCTTCGATCGCAGGCATCAACTATTCACCGAAATCAAGGTTCGTGTGAATTTTGAGTATCGGAATGTCTCAGTTCATTTATCACCAGTTCACACTAGCTCGGGGATGTCATCGCTGTTCGCATATGTGCAGGCCAGTATGGATGGAAAAATGATGCCCGCTCGGGTAGATTAATCGCTCGTTACTTGGATCAACGTATCTGTTTCATACAATAATGGTGTCGAAATTCAGCTGTAATGCTTATTCTTTCTCCTTCAGACGTGTTCTTCCCTCATCCGTGGTCACTATCCCCTTTATCGACCTCGGGGGACGACAAGGAACAGACAGGTGTTTACTCTGTAACATCATCTGATAGTTGCCTTGTGAGGGCTCCAAGACCTGGGATTGGAACACTCGGGAGAATCAATTCCAGAATATGGTTCACCACGCCAGTACGTCGGTCCCCTTCTGCATCATGAGGTTAAATCTGACGAATTCTGCATTAGCCTCTGGATGATCAAATCATCGAAAAGCTCAACGAAGTTACTCTAGTCACAAATGCTCACAGTCGTTATCCGACCCGTCAAACAGACAGGATGACACTCCTTATGCAAGCAGTAAGGAGCCTGGAAGGTTATCAGTCGCCGAGCCTACCCCAGGAAATAGCTGCTGAAATGGGAATTTGGACGTGGTTTGACCTCGTCATTTTGCCTAATGCAGAAAGCATTACTCCGAAGAAGAAAAATGGTCGCCTCTTGGAGTGGAAGAGCCATGCCATTCCGATTGGAACCGGTGACGGGAGTCTCCAAGTTGGTCAGAAATTTGGACGGGACCATGAGCTCATTAGCTCACTGGAGGTGCTGTTCATACTCGTCAAATTTGCTCGGGTTGACCTGATTATTTCTATCTCTATTTCTATTTGCATTAGACAGGTGACGTTATTGGTGTTCGGGTTTGTGCTCAATTCGCAGGTTGGGAGAACCATGCTCATAGTGGTCGTCTGTCTCTCAGCCTAACACCGGAAGGTAGCTATTACCCTTTGACAAGTGCCTGCGCGTTCTTATTGTGATGCAACGTTAGCTCCTCCGCGGTCTCCCCTCCCTCAGGGCGAACGCTGGGATCATGTTGAGAAAGGACTGCATCAACTTGGTGAGGTTGTCGACAATTTGCTAAAGCGTGCGGGAGCCGGCAACAAGCGTCCTGCCTTCTACATCGAGCGCGACCAGCTGATAAGCCCACTACGTGCCGACGAAGTTGGGACTTTCGATGCCTCGAAACGTCCACTGCGCTTGCTCTCGCTTGGTGTGTCATGATTAGCAAGGTGTCATATGTTCGAACTCACAGGATTGGTCTACAGATGGAGGTGGTGTCCGAGGGATATCAGCCCTTTGCATCCTGAAAGAGATTTGGGAAGATGTCACTGAACGAGAATGAAACCCGGACCTCAAACCTTGTGAGTATTTTGATATGATTGCAGGGACTAGTACCGGAGGGTATGGGGCTTTAATGCGTTTCTATCTGCGCACAAACGAATGATCATCCCTCGAATTTATAGATTGATTGCGATTATGCTCGGTCGCCTGCAAATGTCGATTGATGAGTGCATTCAGGCATTCAGAGACATGGCTAGTAAGATTTTCAAGAGGTCCCTGTGGATGCAGATACTGTTTCTCTGGCACACGGGTGCCAGATTCAGTCACCGGAAGCTCGAAAAGGCTGTCGAAGATGTTGTGAGAAGTGCTCTGGCTCCGATGCTTTCATGGCCGATCCGAGCGAAAAGAATCAGTGCAAAGTGTCAGTACCTCGCTTTGTGCTCGATTTTGCATTATTGGGCTAAAAATGTCTTCACTTGTGAATGGCAAGTTCGTCGTCGCATGTCCATCTCAAACTCTCACGACGCCAGCATATATTCGCACTTATAGGAACCCCGAGGTTAACTACGACTACTCCGACTATCACATCTGGCAGGCGGCAAGAGCTACGTCTGCTGCTCCAACATATTTCAAGCGCATCAAGATCGGTACCCAGGAATACATTGATGGCGGATTCGGTTACAACAATTCCTCCGCGCCGTACGTCCCCATCTTTTGTCACTTTTTTGGTATTTGATGTTTGAGCACGCAATAGACTCATGCTAGAATCCAAACTCGTCTTTGGCAAAGCACGCAAAATCGGGTGTCTCGTTAGTATAGGGACTGGCACGCCGCCAAAACCCGACCTTGGGAACGAGAAACGTCCATTCAAGGCAATGTTCAAGTTATTTGACGCGGCTATCGCTATCGCCACCAGTAGTGACCGAGCGCATGACGACATCACTGGACTCATTAACGGAGGTTTCCTTCCCAAGGATGCATACTATCGGTTCAATGTCGATATCTCCGCTCTGGAACCACTGAATGAGGTAGTGCATGGTCTTGCTGAGGGAAGAAACAATTCGAAAGTCGAAAAGGTTGTTAAATTGGACAAGTGGAAGATGATGGGTTTCTTGGAACAACAGACGTCTGAGTATCTCAAGAAAGGCGATGTTGTAGAACGGCTTAGAGCATGTGCGATGAAGCTTGTGCACGTGGAGAATCCCTGAGGTGTTGGAAGACGCTCTCTATCGTTATTAGATGAAGGTGGTATCAGCATGCATGCTAGTCATTGGTTTGTAGACTCACATCTCTGCATGACTTTCGTGAAAACTATGTCATACGAACGGTACATACTACTTTATCGTTATACGCGGGACGTAGACGAATAGTTAAATACTTATATCGACAGAGGATCGAGATTTAACGTACATGTTGATTACAACATGACTACAACGCTACGTTCAGCAACTCTCCATTCTGCCTTCGCAGACTCCACATCGAAGCCTTCCTTCCTCTCCTTCACAACTCTCTTCAATCTAGAAACCTCACCAGCCCTCTCCCCAAACACTACAGGCATCTGAGCATCTGGCATGTCTATGTTCAAATCAAGAAGGTAGAAGGGTGGAATGGCTAGTATCAGTCGGTGTGGTTCAACGTCAAGAGTCGAAGAGGCGATGTGGGCATGACTCTGTTCGAAAGGTGGATGAGCTAAATATCAGAGAAATGATGAAGACAGAGCTTACCAAACGAGGAACTTCGATATTGAGGACGATGTGATCATCTTCCTGACTCCAAGTGAATGCAGGTTGCTCGTTCTCCTCCGGTATGAGCGAAATCTTCGACTTCTCCGTGATCGGCTTAACCTCCGTCGGTGTCTTCAGTATTCCTTTCGGCTTCGCCGCCTCTTCTTTCTTTTTAATTGTCTTGGGATTTGTCACCTCTTGTACAAGAGGCCCCCTGCTCTTCAACTTCTTTTCGAACTCTACCCGTTCGGGATGATCTCTCGGGTATAGTCCAACAGGTATGAGAACAGTCCTTGGGTTTAATTTGCCTTTTGAACGAATATTGGGCCTTCCGACTGTTCGCGAAAGCGGAAGCTGAGATTGCGCTTCTATTCGTTGGAATGCAAGTTCTGAAAGTCAGAAGTAAGAAAAGAAAGGCTAAAATGTACCGGAGAAAGGTCCAACCTTCAAGAAAAGTCTTGAATTCGACGTCCTTCAGTGCTCGAGATTTCAGAGACGAGTGGAACACACTGTCAAAGACGACGGACGGCTTTCCGGCTGTAATAGATCACACGACAGCTATTAGGCGAATCCATGTCAACTGACTTTCGGACAATACTGAAGTGGTGGTCAAGGATTCTAAGATATCATAAAGAGGAATGAAATAACCACCTCGTAAATGGTGCATTGCAATACGAAAAGGAAGAGGTATCAAGGATTGAGTGCATACCTTTGTCGGCATCTTGTCTCGGTTCACTCACAACCACTGGAACAAACCAACCAGGGTTGTCAGAATCAAGGAATTCCTCTTCTCCTTTCATAGCTCTCTGAATGACATCTTCGCTGCCTTCAGGAGGCGGCGGAACGTTCGAGTCCCAAGCGATATTCACAAACACTTTTGTGCCTTGCGAGATAGTTAACGATGAAGGTACCCTGGCTTTCGCAAAAGGCTCCAATATTGAACTATTCGCAGCTGATGAAGCATCGGAAGTTTGAGATGTCTCGGACGACGATACTTTGCAAACCGCAGTCTGCAAGGCCGTGGTCTTGATACACCAACCAGGGGTTGGAGAGAGCGTAACTCTGATTGTCTGCGGCTGAGAGGAGCCTGGTAGGAAATCCATTCTGTATATCAACTCTTCTGCAAAAGCAGCTCAGTGTGAAAGCGGAAAGTGATCGGAGTCAATGTCGAAGCACAAGGCGATCAAAAAAGACGATTATTCCGAGGTAAAGCACGTTTGTGAACACCTGAGCAGGAAGCTTGCCACGTCGACAATGTGCTATAAGTAATGTACTTATTGTTGACCGAAGAGATAACACAAGGACCAGCGAAGATGATGAACGTTCGAGCCTAGAGTACAAAGCTCGGCAAGATTTGACTCGATCGTATCCAGAGCGCCCATAAACTTTCAGCTCCTCTCAAGCTTCATTTCAGCTTTCCTCCTGCCTCCACCTCATCCGACTTACAATGCCTTCTACTGCACACGCAAATGCTACTTGGAGGTTCGGTTCGTACTTCTCTTGTCCACATCTACTAGTTATCGATAAACATTTTTGCAGCCGTTCCAGACCAAAATATGTTCCAAAATCACGAAAATGATGTGACTCCAGTCCCAGAGGATGATGAAAAAATCCAGGTCTACATCCAAGATCGTCGAGTCATCGGTGTACGTTCAATGATTTTTCCTTCTTCCCTCCATCATGTGCCTCTGGGTCCTTGTCAATGCTACAATTGTCTGTCCTTACCCTCGCTAACATCTTTTGTCCCGCAGTATGACCCCCTTGTCCAACCTGCTCTGCTTCGGCATGAAATTAGGTCGTCACCGGAATCTCAACGCACTATTGCTAGTGCACGTTTTTCCTCTGCACGTATACTTGCCGGTCGTGACAATCGAGTACTTGTCATCGTCGGTCCATGCTCAATACACTCTCCTGAACAAGCGGTCGAGTATGCCAAGTTGTTGAAGGCAAAAATTCCTAGTTGGAATAACCTGCTCATCATCATGCGAGCTTATTTGTGCGCTGCTGTCTTCCTTTCTGGCACGATTCTATAAACTCATTACGTTTATAGCGAAGTGCGCTCTCCATTCATTTGTTATTCTTGTATATCTGACAAATTGTATTCAGAAACCCCGTACGACAGTGGGCTGGAAAGGTCTCATCAATGACCCCGACATCGACGGTTCCTTCCATATTAACAAAGGTCTCCGGATTGCACGCCAGCTCCTCTGTGACCTCAACCACCTCGGCGTGCCTGTCGGTTCCGAACTCCTTGATACCATCAGCCCTCAGTACATTGCAGACCTTATTAGCTGGGGAGCGATTGGTGCACGGACGACAGAGAGCCAATTGCACAGAGAGCTTGCCAGTGGTGTCTCTTTCCCTATCGGGTTCAAAAACGGTACAGACGGTAGCGTATGTGCATCATAATAATTCATTTATCTCCGTTGTACTTAGTGCAGTGTTTTATAGGTAACAGTCGCGATCGATGCCATGCGGTCCGCCTCGAATCCACACGCCTTCATGGGTGTCACTGAACAAGGTCTCGCCGCGATCGTCAAGACGCGTGGAAACCAAGACGTGCATGTTATCCTCCGAGGAGGTACAAGTGGGACGAACTACGATGAGGAGAGCGTAAAGAAAGCCGCAGAACAGATGGGAAAAGCTCGTCCAGGCTCCTGGCCTAGTCTCATGATTGATTGCAGTCGTAGGTTTCTTCTCTACATCGCCGGTTTGCAGTGTCATTGACGTTGGCGTAGACGGGAACTCACAAAAGAACCATCTAAATCAATCGAAGGTGGTCTCCTCGATCTGCAGTCAACTACGTGCCGGAAATAGGAATATTACCGGCGTTATGATCGAATCCCACATCAAGGCAGGTCGTCAAGACGTCCCGGCTGAAGGTCCTCAGGGTCTCGAGTACGGCGTGAGTATCACGGATGCCTGTGTCGATTGGGAAACGACGGTGAAGATGCTCGATGAACTTAACGAAGTACGTGGTTCCCAGGTAATTATGTGAATTTGTCCTGATAATACCGGTTAAAGGCTGCCGGTGCACGGAAGCACGCTTTGATCGAGGCTGGCTTGAGGAAGCCAGCTGCTTTCCAACGCGTCCAGGAGCCCTAAAATCACTGTCCCATCTCCTACATCTCTTGATTCAACTCAAAACTACCATTGTATTACTCCACTCTTTGCTGTATCTGCATCCATTGTATACTTCCACATTCATATCGCCACTCACCACAGCAGCCACACCCTTGCCTTGTTTTGTATTCTTTAAAACGAGTGGATACATCTCACCATCCTAGCGAAGAATAGCATATAGTGGTTTGTTACCTTTCTTCATGTTAGATCGCATATCTCTGACTCGCTAGGACCCGACGTCGTCGATATCCTCATGAACTCAGTATTTTCTTCAGGCCCCTAAGGGACTCACAGTAGGACAGGGTTGTTGAATCCGAAACCACCATCGATGAATTCGTTTGCACCGACCTTCATCCGGCTGAAATAAGTGGGCGCGGCAGATGTAGCTCTGGCCACTTCCCAGATTCGATAATGAGAATAGTCGTAAGGAACGTCCTCTGGCTTCTGATAAGTGCGTATGTGGATGACGGATGTAACGTCAGAAGCGTCACACGTCGCTACGAATCTGACATACGATAGAGCCGTTCATAATGATAATAATGTTGCAAATTAAACGGAATCACTCGCACTGCACGGATTGTTCGGATCTGACATTCTGACATCTTCGTCTTCAAGCTTCTTTTTCACTACCCTTTCACCACATCTCTTATCGCACTCTCCAGTTGTCGATGACTGAATCTTGCACCAGTAGTGTATGCAGTGATACCTCGTTTCCAAGCGAGTTTATTGAATACTTTCATAGCCAAGTTCTTGTAGACTTCGATACAAGTTCCTACTACATTATACGGTGAATATATTCGACGTAAAGAAAATATACACCGACCCAGGTCCCTAAACGGAAGTTCCCACATTATGTTTCCATACACTGCAGCGAGCGTATACCATGGGAGCGATGCAGCAAGTTATCCAGCCTCACTATCGCTCGCAGTGATGTCGTGCTGAAACGAAAATTACAACTCTGTCCCTCAATCGTAAGATTCAAGTAGCGCAACAGGAAAACTGGTGCCCGATACGACTGATGGTGTCACAATGAGTATCGACCTAACAACATGAAGCGTTGTAATGTGAGAGTCCCACTGAGTTAACTCTGCATCGGCTTGAAGACAAGGTTCGTCGTCACTTCCAAGCCAAAATAGGCAAGTGTGAAGGTTCCTCATAATTACGCCTACGCCGACCTAGTGCGTTCCGAAGTCGACCACCAACCGCCATCATCGCTTCCGAGCCTCCTGCGGCTAGTATTCGCTACATATGTCTTTGCCAGTACCCTTAGAAGTGGACACCCTTTTCCAAAGCGTCCGCAATGCGCTAGTCGACAATTCAGCCTACCTGGCCCCTTTCTTACCGATCGCGCGAGGCCAACGGCCCCTAGAGACAATGAAGCCATCTGATGCTTTTGATCCAACCAAAGAGACCGAGATAGAGGCTTTGTGTTCTTTTATTCGTAACGAGTTTCCCAACCCGCACATTTCCTCCTTAGGGAGATGGTGTCACAAAGCGACGACTGCCATGCCTGACCCTTCGATCCTCGAAATCCACGGACGTCTAGCTGCCGCTTTCGAACAGCCTCAGACGCAGGAGAACAACACATATTTACAATTCATTGTATTGACGATCATCCTGCACGCCTTAGGGCATGCCATCCACAACCGCTTCGTAGGGGTGAAGACCAACGCATCGGCCATCTCTGAATGGCCTTATCACCTTGCCGCTGAAGCTCGCCCTGGAGTCAGACAATACAGGGAACAAGGATTCGCCGTGGAAGAAGGTCTGTTTGGCGGTATCCTTGGTGTAGTATTCCAGAACGAAGAAGAAGTGAGAGGCCGTCAAGGGTTAGGGGGTCCGCGAGGAACTGTGCCAAAGATCCTGGAGGCGGACTGGTCAAAAATAGACCATCTCTTCATTCAGAGGCGCGACGGAAGTGTTTATCGAATTGGTAAGTTGGTGTCGCTGCCTAGTTTCACTTTTGTATAGCGACAAGCTTGTCTCATGTCCTTATCAATAGATCCTTCCACAGTAGAGCAACGTCTCCGCCCGCACTTGAACCTCGACACCTTTGATTTCAGCAAACTCCAGAAGATCTCTCCTCCAACTGATATTTCTTTGCGGACCTTCGCCATGTTCAACGGCGATCATCTTCTCAATGCCGATCCTGGAGTTGGCGCAGATACAGACGAACATGTTGCTGGAGCCACAGTTCGGTAAGGTATCTGACATGAGCGTAATGGACCCAAAGGCGAGTATAACATTTGTTCAGAAGTTGCTCGTTGAAGTTTAATAGTCAACCTGATGGATAGATGGTCTCAACCCGAAACAAGGATCAGTTTTTCGGTGCGCTGGATTAGTTTACGGTTTCCTGTGTACTGTTAGAATGTGTAAATGTATATCACTGAATTACTGAACCTGTTCAGCCAAACCTACAAGAAAGCGTCATTTAAATACCAACATGCAGAGATTCGTTATGCGAGAACCAGGCATTATGTGTGACAGCACGATGTGGCAGTACCTGAACTCTCAGTAGCCGGGATCTAAGTTTCCAATAAGCTTGTCGGGGAGCTACGACAATAAAGACCAGCGTGATATTATAGTGAGCCATCACCAGAGCGTTCTTCAGAAAAGGAACTCACCATTTTCGAGTAGAGCAATGTCCAAGCAGAAGCAGCCTCATTCCAGAAATCCTGACGCCTCAATGAATGTGTCGATGCAGACTCTGAAGCGCCGAATCCAGTCCAGACCACACGTCCGTCAGGAAGAAGATGCATGTTTTGATGTCGTATGTCTCCGTGTAGGACATACGCCCCATGCACACCACAAAGCGCCTTCAACGCCGCTTCACCTATGTCGGTGGTCACGTCCTTAACAGAAAGGGGAGCAAGACCATCGATATGTTCGAACAGAAGAGCTTGGATACTCGTTGCATCAACGAACGAAAGATTTGGGTGCAGCTTCAGAGCATCAGTATGATCCATCTCCAGCCAGCCGTAGCATCGAAGAGTACTATTCTTAGCGGATTCATGCTGTGATAAGATGGTATATGCATCCCTTTCACGTTTGAACGCTCCAACGCCACTGCCGGCGTCCCGAGAGACAAACTGCAAGTCGGTTAAACGAAAACCATCATGCATGCAAGTAGGAAAGACTCACCCATTTGATAACGCAGAGGTTATTCTGATACACAACAAGGGAATGAGTATCGTCGAGAGCTGCTTTGAAGTTGATTTCTGACGCTGCCATGATCTGATGGAGAGGTGAGACGACGCGAGACTCAGTGATGGGCATAGGGACATCCTGAACGCCGGAACTGAGCACAAGCGGATTGGTGCCATAGAACCAATGTAATGGGTTAACAGATGTGAGGGTGAATTGGGAGAAGGCCGCCGTTATGAGTTCAGCATTGGGGAGTTCGTAGCTCAATCGCATTGGCGAAAGTTCTGTTAATGGGGGTGAGATATCGAAAAGCGAGAGCTCTGGGTACATCTGAGCCATGCTTGCTTCGATTTCAACTGAAGAGCGCATAGTCGCTTGAAGTGGCTAGTTAACCAGGTCGAAGTTCGTTGTTCTTATCCAAGAGTTGAACTAGCTTAGAGAATGTGGCAACATTAATTAGAGCACGGTTTCACCTTTGCTAGCCGAGTCTCTCAGGCTCCAGGTTGTAGAAGTACGTAAGTAACGTTGATTCGTAGATTACAGAGCATTTTGTTCGGTGACGATACCCCTCAATGACTTCATATAATCCGTACACTTATATTCCTTATTGGAATGTGCGTCGGGACCCTCACATGCACATTCGTAGTCGACAAGCCGAATGGCCGAATAGCAAAGTCTGCACGCTCAGACGCAGACATACTCGAAAATGGAATCAGACGATATAACTTAACAATTTTAGAAGCGTCGATTCGACCTAAAGTACACAGCCGCCCGAGAGCAGTAGGATATTGCGACGATTGATGTCCCCATACTGCATGTGTGTTCAATGTCCCTGCCATAGTAAATGTGACAATTTGTGCAGAAATCTGGACAGCATCCGCAGAGTGTCCCAAGAGGAGTGCATAGGGAAGAACCTCCCAGAATCAGGGGGCTCACAACAGGTTAAAATCCGGCCAGCGCCCCAAGGGATTCATTCACACACCCGATTGAAGGGTGCACCTCTAAGCTCGGGTGTATGTAGAGCAACTTCACAAGTCCTATCTACCTCACCAGAAAGGACGTCATTAAGAGAGTATATGTTTGATTAGTGGTCAAGGACTCACTTCATGTCTGGTCTTTCGACTGCTTTGATGGTGGTGACAGCCGATGAACGAAGCATACGAGCAACCTCATCCACACGTCTGTCTTGTGCGAATCGGATATCGATGAAATTCTTCAGACCTAGCTCCAGGCCGGTTACGTTCACCTCCCCCCCGGAAGAGTCCGTCGTGCATCTCCAGCGTGATCGTTGATCGACTTACGCAGGGTGTTGGGATTCTGGCGAACGGAAGACTGTAAACGATCAACGCGGTTACCAAAGGTGGGGTGTACACCAAATCCTCCTCGACTGAGCGATATCCATAGTCAAACATCAAATCCGGAGCCTTGCTGACACGTTCTACTAGGTCGTTTCTTCCATTCAGCCTAAAACCCAGTGGACGGGCTCGCGCAGTTGGTCGTTCTTATCGAAAATTCGCACTTAACTCAGAACATGCGGAATCATTCGCGATCACATGAGCCGCGACGCGAGTGGCGTTATCGCCAGAGGGTGCGCCTATAAAAGGAGGGAGGGTACTTGCGCCCCTCTGCACCTCGTTCTGCATCCACCACCTTTGTTAACCCTTCCCTCATACGAGAACTTGCACTCACCGCCTCTCGTCATCGAAGGCTCCGCTACCTTTGCACTACCTACTACACTTCTCCACAATCGGCATCACTTTGGGCACCATGGCCACTCAGACTTCACCTTCTCTCGCCAACTTCAATGCCTTCATGGTGAGTTGTGGACACACACATGTACAGAACAACAACTGACACGAACCTCGATGAAGGCTAAGGCTGTCGATGCTCCCACATGGGAGATTTCCGAGACGAGCTCCATCGGCGAAACCGCTGTTTCCGTAGAGCAGTGTGCCACCGACAAACACAACACCGCCTACTACAAGACCTATCTCCCTCCAAAGGAATCGTCACGCTTCTCCTTCGCGCAGAAGCCCGTCCCACGTTCCACGGCCAACGAGGTCTTCAAGTGGCCGCCTCCCCCCTCCCTCTCCCCTCCCTTCCATTTCGACCCCTTCGCTGATAGCGAAGAACTAGCCGTCACGCCCACTCACTCTGTCCCAACATTGTACAAACCTAAATACACCGTCTACGCCTCGCCTCCCCGTCGACATGAGTGGGTGTCACTCACGTTGGTCGATAGCACATACACTGGTATTGGTACCTGTCGTCTCGCGAGAAAAACTGTCGCATATCCAAGTGCAGTTGCACATCCGCAGATTACACAGAGAGAGCCATCGTCACCAAAGAGGCCAACACCTCTTTCCTCTCTGGCTCACTCTGCGACACCTGCGGGTGCACAGTCGAGCGTGGACGCGACTCCGTCGCTCTATGACGACGGTGACGACGACGATTTCATCCCCAATATGCTCCGGCTCCCGTGGCTGGAGTATAATCTCACCGATATTGGTGAGTTCACCCCGCCATCCACTCCATCGTCCACTCCCCCACTGTCACCTTCGACACTCGCAGACGACGATGGCGACGACGGACCTGTACTGAAGAAGGGAGAAGGCTCGAGGGGGTGGCAGGAAGCATGCCCTACTGCCCATGACTTTATATCCCTCACGGGCTGGTGAATCTTTTGTAGAACGCATGGAAGAAAAGGCGAAGGATATTTTACTTACTTAGTGTCAGTTTTCTTTTTCTCGAATCACTTTGTCATGTACTATATAGTTCCGCGAATGGCAAATGCCTTTGTATCGCATTCGTCAGAAGGTTCAAAGTGGGCCGCAAGTGTGGTTTACCCTCATGAGGATATCGCTTCTTATAATTGGTTGTATGCGCGACGCGTAGAGCCAAATGAATGGCTTGCGGAACAATGAGAAGTTGGCGTGTTTTCAGCAAAACTTGCCTCACCTAAGTATGTCCGATGTGTCTGCCGGCGAGAGTCTTGCGAGCTTGACAACGATGGAAAATTGATAAGAAATTCTTCGTCGAAGAATCGATGCACCACGTAGCAGAAAGAAGCGCCAACGTGGCAGGAGCTTTGAAAATTCGGTCAGATCGAACGGTTGCTCATCTCGCAATATCTAATTAAACACCATGTTTATGAGGAACAATGGCGTTAAATAATGATTAGAGCACGTCCAACTCTTCAGAATCAGTACAGTATGTAACTTTGATTCATAGATTACATACAAATTTGTTCGGTGTCGACAATAGCTAATCTCAATCACTCTCATTTCTTGTCGAGATGTTCCTCCAGACTCCTTCATACACACATTACTGAAACCTTTCGTAGTTCACGGAAAAGTGGAATACGGTCTGATTCTCTTTCCGAGTATATTTGCTGTATCTGAGAGTGTAGACTTGGCGACTCAACCCGGCTATTCAGCTTGTGAAGACTATGCACCGGTAGTGCAAAATGGGTGGATACATCAACAAAGCGTACGGGAGTTTCAACTGGGTAGACAGCCCACAAAAACATGAATACTGTACATCAATTAGTACAGAGGGTTGGCAAAGCCAATACGTGCACCAGGCAGCTACCAGCAACAAGATGGTTGTATGAGTACATCACAGACGAAGAATCCAGTATGGTACTCACAAGGCCCTGATAAAACAGGCCCCAAGCATCGTGCATTTCACCCCATAGATGTTGACGGCGCAGCTCCGGGCTTGAGGCACATTTGGCGGCATCAAAGTCGATCCAAATGAAACGGCCATCCGGAAGTAATAGCATATTACGGCGACTGATGTCACCATGCTGCACATAAGATTTGTGAACGACATATAATGCCCTCAACGCCTTCTCCGCCATAGGGAATGTGACATTTTGTACAGAAATCTGGACAGCACCCTCAAAGTGTTCCAAGAGGAGGGCATAGGGAAGGTCCTCATCAGCGTCAGCGAGCTCCCAGTACAACCTAAATTGTGTGGACAGCTGCGAAGCTACTTCGCGGGAAAGCTGCAGCCAGCCAAAGCATTGTGGCACGACCCCAGCATCGCATGCTCCAGAGTGGCGTAGGTGAGCATAGGCGTCCTTCTCCGCACGGTAGAGCCGCAAAGACAGTTGGGGGTCGAATGTCGACGTATTTCCATTCCACCATTCGGGTGAAGTCTTCGAGACGAACTATGAATAGTCAGTTATTACAGGATACCTTGGCTCTAGCTGATGTTGGAAATTAAACATGCCACTTTCAGAACTCTACAGATATCTCCGTTGCGTATCTTGAATAGAGGTGTGTTGCCATAAGGATTGATGTTTTCCAGAAACACTGGATCCTCCAACTCGACTCTTGGAAGAGGAGGTGGCACTTCGTAAGCTCGCCAGGGTATATCTTCGGTCTTGCTACTCTCCGTGATGTACATTGGGTTCAAACCCAACCAGTACCCTAACGGATTTATGCCGATTTTGCATGCCCGATTGAAGGCTGCACGTCGAAACTCAGGTGTATCCAGAGCACCTTCGCCAGCCCGACTATCGTCTGGAATCAAGTTCTGCAGGAGGGGCTGCCATTCGTACACGCTCGTCTCTGGATATTCTCGCATCATATGTTCAGCTGTCCGGGGTGATATCATGTTGCGCGATGGGAGAAACTTGGAGAAATTATGGCGTAGCGTTCGTTGATGCGTGGACACCGAAGATAGTAGGGCAAGAAGAACTGCGGCGTTGAATAGTATTCATGTGCGTATAATCAATTCTAGACTCCGAACATACGTTCATATGAATCATGATCACTAATCGGAGATTCAAAGTCAAAAGCCATACCTGCTGTATCATCATTTAGAATTAGAATTGTATGCCGAGCAAGGGTCGCTCAGCGTATAGGTGCATTGCAGATTCCGGCGGCCGAAAGTTAAGCATTTGACTGTGTTGTGATAGGACTCAATGTTGTAAATTGGGCGCTTCGGCGACTCATGGAGATTAGCGGTCGGAGTGTGAACCTTACGTAGATCGTAGCATACTCATGCCCACAATAAGTAACCGGCGCTAGACGCCTGGTGTGTCATGTCGCATTGATTTGCGGAGTGTGCAATACACTGCATACTCAATGGATGGTCCTACAAATGTATATACAGTATACTAGAGACCTACTCTACCCATATAAAATGTTAAAATTATCTGTGTCCACCATCAACAGCCAGGACAGCCTGAACTATGTTTGGCATCCAGCTGATGTGCCTGTTCACTCTTTTATAGGTAACTCATTCCATATGTAATGGACAGCAGCTTGGAGTGTTTTAGGGTATTTATAGGGTGCCTTAGATTATGCAGGGCTGAATTGAGCCCATCCCAAACACATTCAATTGGATTGAAGGATGAATTACTTATACAAGATGTGAACAGGCACATCAGCTGGATGCCAAACATAGTTCAGGCTGTCCTGGCTGTTGATGGTGGACACAGATAATTTTAACATTTTATATGGGTAGAGTAGGTCTCTAGTATACTGTATATACATTTGTAGGACCATCCATTGAGTATGCAGTGTATTGCACACTCCGCAAATCAATGCGACATGACACACCGGGCGTCTAGCGCCGGTTACTTATTGTGGGCATGAGTACACGAATCTGTAGCATACTTGTTTTCTTTATGCGTTTGCAACAAGACTACCGTTACCTGTCTTAAGCCAAACATACTTTGTCGTTCATCCTCCGGGCTCCCTGCTGGTCAATTTTCATCACTCAAATCAAACTAGAAATGAGCAGATGAAAATCATTCAAAACTTGGAGTTAATCTGAAGTTCATCTGATGTATATATACAACTATTATCTAAATACATGCAGTATCAATGTGTTCATATATACTTATGGTATCGGTCAGGTTCGAGCATGGATCAATGAGTGTGTTTGGGTAGGTTTTAATATGTGATTACAAATGAAAATAATAAGGGAAAGTCATATTTGTAGATCCGAAATGAAAGTGATCGTAACATTACCCCCTCCTCTAGAATCATGTCCTCACGATTAATTATGATAGAGTATGGAATTGTTCAATCATATCATGATGATCCATTCTTCTGAATTTTCTTCTTCTCGAAGTCGCAGTCAGTAGATGAAAACACAAATTGCGCCAATCACCAGATAGGCGCTGCCTATAGAGATGAATATGATGTAGGCATCATTGAGCATTTCTACCAAAGGGCTTTCATTGGTTGAGTGAATGATTGTTCTAGAATAGTGTTGTAGTAGAAGTGCTGAGTGAGCAATTGCGCACTTAGTAAGAAACTGACTCGATGTAAGAAAATTGTAAGTAAAATTTTCGTTCTATATTTTAGTATATAAAGCCGCTATGTAGTACATGTACGCTATGTGTTTGCCCACCTAAACCACCACCATCTCGAATATCATTCCCTTTTTGGTGCTTACACTTCTGGGATCAAATGTGATCGAACTGGAATAATGACAAATAGGGGATTCCATACTTGGAATTGATATTGGTTCGACGAGTTGGTAGAAGGAAAGAATGGGGTATTGCCATTCGAGTTTGACTTTTGTAGGTGCAAATGTGATTGCCACATGTGTCAGTTTGAGCATCTGCTCATTGATGATTCATAACTCGCCGACATTCGGGTAGTGTTGATTAGATATGATCTGTGCTTTTCTTTGATTTTCAAATAATTTAATCGAATATGGATCTATAGATATCATTGCTTTTTCTTTTTTACGACGTTCTGCCCATTTCTGTACTTTCTGATCCCAATAATCCCATTCTTCTTGTGACACTTCTTTAGGAAATGACTATTCCATAATTTGTGCTTTTAGCAATATTCTCATGGGTGCTTTTAGCGCATCGGAATGATCTTTATGGAATTTATCGATAATTTTTTTCTATGTTTTTAATGATTTTATGATGGGGTTCCCATGTGTTCTCAGAATGTGATTTTCCAGCCCACTTGATTAGATATTGAAGATCCCCACATGCCATCTTGGAGTCTAATACAGATTCAACTTTGTCTTCTAAGATATCAATAATTATTGAAATGTTTTTGTGTATTTTCTGATTTGGGAATTCCGGTGCATGATACGGTAATAATAAAGTTTCATTGAATATGGGATGTACGCCTTTCCATGATTTTGGTAATTTGAGCTTGTATGTGCTAGCTCCAATTTTCTTGATAATCAGAAATGGTCCATATCTTTTATCATCTAATTTTTGATTTGATCTGTCTGTGCGTATATGCGTAGCTTCAAGCCACACTAAATCTCCATCTTTATAATTTATGGCTTCACCTTTATATTTATCGTATTGTCTTTTCATAACATTCTGTGCTAACGTTAATGATGCTGATGCTTCTTCTTGGATTTTCTTCATTCATGCTACAAACTGTTCGGCAGTTTTATTACAAATTTCCTTTTTGGTTTCTACATCAGTGTAGGCTTCTCATTCATGGTTCATGTAGAATGGTGAAAATTCAGTCGCAGAGTGGACTCTATTTCGATATGCAAATGTTGCTAGTGGCAACCATTCTGGCCAATCAGTTTGTCGATGATTGATGAAGATTCGTAAATAATTTTCAATTTCCTGATTGATTCGTTCAGTTTATCTATCTGTCTGGGGGTGATATGCTGTACTAGGATTTCCCTGAATTCCTAGTTTTTTATATAAGTCTTTTATGAAGCTGGATACGAATTGTGGTCCACAGTCCGATGTCATCTTTTTGGGTAATCCATGCAACGGATATACATTTTTGATATAGAGATTAGCCCATCCTTCTGATGTCAATTGCTCTATGGTTGGTATTTCAATGTAGTCTTTTGATTTCATGTCCACAACTACTATGATCGCATCATGCCCTTGCGACTCTGGTAAATGTGTAATCATATCTACTGATTGATATTTCCAATTGTGTTCCGGAATTGCATCTGGGTGCAATGGAGCATTCTTCGGTTGATGGTTAATCTTGGTTTTTTGACAAGTTTCATAGCCTTTTACGTATGTTTTTACATCTTTTTTGATCGAAGGCCATCAGTACGATTGATAGATTAGTTCTTGTGTTTTTGCTTGTCCAGGGTGACCGGCACTAATTGAATCATGATGCAAATGAATAATTTCTCCTCTGAGTTCTTTATCAAAGAGAATAACAATCTTCCCCCTTCTCCAGATAAGACTGTCCTCGGTCTCATTGAAATTAGCATCTTTTGTCAATAGTTTTAGTCATACATTGTTTTCATATTTATCAGTGTTTTTTATGATTTTCTCCCATAAAGCTGATAATCCAAGGATTTCATTAGCTCAGAACCATTCTGATTTTAACAATGTAATATTTTCATTATGACTATCGCCAATATCGTGATGGGTCTGTCGCGATAAAGGGTCTCCCTTCATTATTGTGTTTTCAGGTTTGTGAGTCAAGTTGAAGTCATATTGTTGTAATTCTTGGATCCATCGCGCCTGGCGATGATTCAACTTCTGAGGTTTTTTGAAATAACCAAGGTTCTTGTGATCGGAATGAATTTTGAATTTCTGCACGGCTCTCATCAAGAAGTGACGCCATTCTTCTAATGAGATCATGATGGCTAGCATCTCTCAATCATAGATCTCATAGTTTCTTTCAGCCGGTGAAAGGCTTTTCGATAAAAAAGTGATTGTTCGCCATTGTCCATCTTGCTTCTGTGCAAGTTCAGCTCCAATAGCATATTTCGATGCATCACATTCAACTTTGAACTGATCTTCATTGTTTGGAATACCTAATACCAGTGCCGTTGTCGGTCAGAAAAAGAAAAACACTCTCAAAGAGATGAGAGGCCAAAGGTTTCTCTTCTGCAGAAAAGTTTCCGGGTGAGACGTTACACCGGGTCTTTCCTGTTGTTCGTTTGGGGTGAGGGGAGGTTTACCGTGTAGTCTGACAATAAAGTAGACTTGACTGGCTATACCACTGAAAGGAGTGTGTTTTTAAGGTAAGTGAAGTCTTAAGCAAGGTATGCCTTAGAGTTCACAAGAGAAAGGAAAGGGATTTAGGATAGCAATCTCAGGTTAAGACAAAGTCAAAGATACACGAAGGTACAATGACCAGCTTTTCTTAAGAAAAGAGTAGGTGTTGAGAAAATTTGAAAGCAGCAGAAGTGGCAGATCGCTTCAGGCTTTTCACTTGCACTTCACAAAGAGAGAGTGTCAAGCTTGGGGACTTTGAGCTTTGCAGGACTTTAGAAATGATAGAATTTGGGGCAGAACTTTAGGGAAATTACAGGAACTTGAGGGGCACAGGCACATTACTACAGGAAATAAGGGGCTCATTATATACAATCTAGAAAGGGGCTGTGCTATGGATGACCAAGCTAAATTTGTAAGAACTTGCTTCGCTTACTTGATGAGAGAATGCAGGTGCTTATTAATGAAACATGAATTTAGCACTAGAATCCATGCTTGAGTCATCTATTTTCAGCCTGGAGTAGTCTAAACCAGTCTCAGGCTGATTTCAGATGCTTCTAAAGGATTCTTTACTTACAAATCTGTATTCTTTCCTGACTCATAGGGGTGTCTGATGACTCATAGGGGCATCCGATGACTAAGAATGACTTAAGATGAGTCAGAATGATCTTTTGATGAGTCACAATGGCCTTTTCTGACTCATTAGGGGCTTTATGAGTCATGGTGAGTCTTGATGACTCAATGGCCTAGTGCTTCAAGAATGAAAAGTCCATTCTGTAAGGAATGGAGAGCTCAGTTGTCGATCGATCAAGATTTGATGATCGTGCATCAGATATTAAGGTCTTTCGATCAGTTGGTGCTTGTATGGCCAGGTGGCTTCACTTTGCACACTACACCTTCCTTTCTGAGATTCCTTATCTTATCTGGTATCACTTGGAGATTGCCGAAATTGAAGGTTTGATCAGTTATTGTTCAAGAAAGCTGAGTTGAGTGACGCACTCTTCTTTCTTCAAACACCGCACTCTTTCTTCTGAAGTGTGTACTTGCCAGTATTATCGTAAACTTTGGTAAGTTTGCTAAGCATCCTATTCAGACCTTCTGGACATATCTCTAAGTCCATAGGATCTTTTGTGGACGAATTAGGTGCTTGCGCGGTACTTTGAACAGTTGGTATTTTCTCAGAAGTTGGGAATACGTTGAAAAACCCTTTTGACAATATGAGCTGGGTACGTATCTTCAGATCATTTAAACTCTTCATAACTCATTAAAGAGTGATCCCCTTGTAGATCGAAGAAATGAAGGCTTTGGAGCCTCCTCCTTCAAGTACGAAGGTGTTTCTTGAAATCTTTGGTATCATCTGTGGAGTCGTAGCCTTCCTTTGTGGAGTGTATCTTATAATGAGGTACATTATTAAATGTGAAGATCGCTCTAGGAGTTCAGGAGGAGGACCGTCATCGTAAAACATGTACTTTGATCCATATTCATTATGTTGCCTATCTTCACCTCGCCAATTTATAGATTATTTATTCATCATCATGTCACCGTAAAGTAACATGCTTGAAGATGCGAATAAACAATAGTCTTGACTGATCTGCAGTCATTTCCGGTCTTTTCTGAGCATACACAGACTTTACCAGTGTTGAAGGTCCAGTTAAGCGCCTACTGCTGACGTGGCACTGCCAGGCGATGATACTTGTCTTTAGAAGCTGTCTCCTTCAGACAGATTCGAGTTTCAGATCCACCTGTCTTGAGATTAGGTAAGTCTTACTCCTTCTAGTCTGGTTTGGTCATATTCACATTCGACTTTCAGATTCTGAAACTGCCTCATGGCCACTACAACGTGTGTCACCTTGCATGCGTGTTCAGAGTATCAGTCTAATGTCTTTTTCTGACCTATCGCTTCTTTAGGATCATCCTGGAGTCTTCCTCAGCTGCTCCCACTCCTTTGGCTTATACCACGGTCTCTAAGCCAACAGTAATTGGAGTCGTCGTCCTCCTTGGTACTTTGATGTTAATCATGGTCGCCTTGTGGCTTTGGTGTATGTTCTTTGCTCCTCGACGCATTTCTCGTGGTGCACGCAACCATGCAGCAGCTCCTATTGCAATGGTCTCATTGTCTTCTATTCACTTCAAGACAGTTATTGTCCCTTCCACTCCTTCATCTTCATCAGCCCCTCCCTTGGATTCTTTGACTACTTTGGCTCAGACTTCATCGTCATTGGTACATTCCTCACGTTCTTTACCTTCCATTCTTCATTCTCGTCACTCTTCCTCTTCATCTGTAGAAGATTTGAGGCATACGTTGTCAGTTTGAATTAAAGTCGGACTTGAGGTTGAGGAGGTCATTTATTGTACTTGTTGTCATTGGCATACCCTAATTATTGTCGTATCTGCAGTGTGATATTGTCTTGGACTTTCGTATTCAGTGTTGAATATCGAAGTGATCTGTCCATGTGCCAAACACTTTTGGTGCAGGACAAGTGGGGGTGACTTGAAAAGACAACTGTCCCCAGTTGCAAAGGATGCAGGGAAAAGAAGAAAAAAAAATGGAACTTCACAATACAGCTTCACTGAAAGTGCTTAGAGAGAGAAACTCTCATCGGATCTAGTGCTAGTATCTTCTGTGTCAGGTAAAAGTAAATATTGAGCGATAGGCGATAGGCGATAGGCGATAGACGATAGACGATAGACGATAGATGATAGACGATAGACGATAGACGATAGACGATAGACGATAGACGATAGACGATAGACGATAGACAATAAATGATAGACAATAGATGATAGACAATAGATGATACTTTGACACTTTTTAGACACGGTAGACACTTTTCAGGCACTTTCTTGATACAACAATGATTTTTCAGTTTGACTCTTCTCTAAACTTTTCTTCTTCTATGACTTTGTTGGACTTCTTTGGGCATTTCACTTGACGATATCTTTTCTTCTGAGAATCAAATTGAAGAAATGTGGTCTTGACAAAAATATCTTTCTAGACCACTCTGTCTAGAAGTATTTGAGATAGAGAATTCAGATATTCTCTAGCCACTAGTCAAGTACGTTCTTGACTACTTCTTCACATAGACTATGTTGTCTAGTGATTTGATATATGCTCATAGAAGACATCTTCAAGATTGCTAGTAGACTCTTCACTTGAGTCACTTGAATCCAAGTCACTAAATTCAGTGATATGCTTTTGCGATGGCCTTCCAATTTCTTCTATTCTTCCTGCAAGATCTTGAAGCCTTGAGTCATCTCTTGAGATATAGGGTAGCAATCGAAAGGCCGCTATTCCCTGTTTCCAGAGGTTTCCATTAAGCTCTTTCACGATATAGGCTCCTTTGAAGGTCCGTCGAACTACTTCATAGGGTCCTAAGTACCGGGGTTTAGTCTTGCGATTCAAGGATCTTTCAATGGCAGTGTTTCGTACAAGTACGAGATCTCCAGGCTTGAAACTTTCAACTCGAATTCTATGCTCAAACTTCTTCTCAAATTGAGCCTTTGAGCGTAAACGTGTCTTTGCGAGAACTTCTGCAGCCTTTTCCAGATCTTGATCCTTCTTTGAAAGTTGCTGGATTCGCAGTGCAAGCAAATCAGTTGTAGACATTCCAGAGTGGAAACCTTCCACTAGAAATGATGCTTCCAAGAGATCGAAAGGTAAGACTGGGTGAACTCCAAATAGCAAATAGTAAGGTGAGAATCCTGTTGATCGACTGATAGTGATTTTGTCTGCAAAGAAAGCATGGGGAACATAGTCTGGCCAGTCTTTGACTTTCCCATCACAGGCTTTCACTATGGATTCACGAATAATCGCATGACCTCTTTCCACTACACCATTTGCCTTGGAATTGTAGGCAGATATTGAAACTTGAGGTACACCATACCGTCTGGTAAGTGTATTGAATGCTTTCTTGAATTCAGGTCCATTGTCAGTGGTAACTTGTCCAATGGCATCATATCGACAGAAGATTTCTTCCCATAGAAACTTGGCAATGGCATGTGAAGTTGCATCTCTTAAGGCACGTCCTTCTGCAGCTCGAGAAAGATCATCTCTGGCTGCAATGATATACTTGAATCCTTTTGCCTTGGGCATAAACATGATATCCAAGTATATCTTGGTGAACAGTGTCACAGGTGCAGAGATTGTCAGAGGGACTTCAACTTTACGAGTGCTTCTGAGCTGACACTGATGACAGGATCGAACATGTTGATGAACATCATTCCACATATTTGGCCAGTAAAATCGTTCTTTGAGCATTCGCATTACTGCATACTCTCCACGATGTCCTTGTCCTTCATGTGCACTTTCCAGAATGCTAAGTCTCTTGTTAGCTGAGAAAATAACTTTTAGAGGGGGTCGTTGTCCAGCTCGTCGATACATATTGCCATTTCGAATAAAGAATCGACTTGCTTTGGTAATAAACCTCTTGCGTTCTTGAAGTGATAGAAATTCTGGGGTCTCTAAGGTGCTTAGAAACTTGTGGATTTGCCGCATAGTCTGGTCTTGTTTGGAATCTGTGGAAATATACACAGGAATGAGCTTTAAAGGATTATAATCCTGAAATGCATCATTGTCCAATGTGACTTCATGTGGCAGTGTGTAGAGAGCAATTTCATCCAACCAAGCATCATCTTCTTCTTTCACTTCTTCTCCTTCTCCAAGTCCACGACGTGATAGGGCATCTGGTCCTTTATGATGTTCAGCTGGGATATGAATTAACTCAAAATCGAAGAGTAATATTCCTTGAATCCAGCGATTGACAGAAGCATTGGGCTGTAAGTCAGGTTCATTGAGCATTCCTTTGATGTACTTGGCATCAACTTCCACTTGCAGTTTCTTGACACCTACAAGGTAGAGGCGATATGCTCTAAGGGCACGAAAGAGTCCATATAGTTCCAACTTAGGTTGGGAGTATCGTGCTTCTCGTTCATTCATAGGAATTGATCCATAGCGAGCTGGCCGTTTGTGTCCTTGTTCATCTCTTTGTGAAAGAATGAATCCAACAGCAATGTAGCTTGAATCCACAGAGAGAACTACAGGCAAATCAGAGGAGTAGTCAATAGGCTTTAGGGCAGGTGCAGAGGTAATCAACATCTTCAGGTTATCGAAGGCTTCTTGTCGACGGTCATCCCACTCAAAGTCAGTGTCATGGCGAATAAGCTCAGTCAAGGGTCGAGCCATGGCTGAGTAGTTCTTGATCCAAATACGCACTGTTCCACAAAGTCCTAGGAATCCACGGACTTCTTTGACAGTGGTAAGGATGGGCCAATTTAAAACCTTTTCAATCTTGTTAGGATCTGGAATTCTTCCTTCAGGTGTACACTTGTGACCTACAATCACAACTTCTCTGCGAGCAAGTTGAACTTTGCTTGGTGAAAATGTTCCTCCAGCATGGCCTACACGATGCATGATTCGATGTACATCACAGGCATGTTCCCAAATGAATCTTCGGATTCCAGGGTTTTCCTTTAACACTTCTGGCACTCCATTTTCATCAAGATACTCAGTCAGAGGACCTTTGATGGGAAGGTCATCTATGAAGATGTCAGCAGTATGAGGCATTTCGTCTTGAAGAATAAAAGCCATGCAAGCTTGAAATTCGGCAGGTGAATTTGTAAAGCCAGTAGGGAGGGAAGTCAATCGAAGAAGGCCTAGAGGTGATAGGAATGCTGTCATATCGCGACTCTTCTCATGTATCTTTCTAGCATCAAATCCCCAATAGAGATCAAATGCCGTATAACATTGACGTCCTGCGAAGGGTTCAACAAAGGCATCCAGAATGGGAGGAAGTCCTGCATCATGAATAGTCACTGCATTCAGTGGTTGAAGGTCATGGACTAACCTAAGTTTGCCACTTTTCTTGAGAACACAGAACCAGCGAGATCGATAAGATGATTGACTTTGCTCATACACGCTTGCTGCCATCTTTTCCTTGAGTAGTGTGACTACCTTTTCCCTGATACCAGGTGGTATGGGAATATTGGTGTAAGCCCAAGGAATATGAGGCACAGTTGGAATAATGTATGGAGTAAAGTAATCTTCTCGAAAGGTCCCGCGATGTTCTTCTTCAAAGACAAGACTGTTTTGATTAAGCTGAAGGATATGCTTAAACAGATTTTCTTCTTCCAAGCTAAGAAATCCATCTGGATTTATGTTCATGCCATCTAGACGTTCTTGAGTCAGCCGACCATTTTCCTTGAACTGGGGTGGACAGCACGATAGTGGTGGCAAGGAATCGAGAGGGTTTTCTGGAAATTGTCGACGGACACGGGATTCCTCTGGAAATACTCCTGGGACTGGCTTGACTTTCTTGTCGACTCTCTTATAAGCAGTAAGCACTTCTGCTCCACTCATCTCGTAGATACATTCATCGTCAGGTTCCAATTGAGGGTAGAATAAATTAGAATTTATCCTAGAATTTATTCCGATGAAGGATTGTCCAAAGGAAAACTGATGTTCCTTTAAATGAGTCTTTCGAATATCTGTACTTGCTATGTCTCTTTTTGAGAGGTCATCAGATTTTCTGACAATAGCGTAGAAATGGACTTGAGGAGAGTCAACTTGACAGGTAGGTATTGAGGCTTTCATCCTTGAAGCAGTGTCAGAAATGTTCAGGGACTTGTCCGAGTTTCGTGCGAGTCTTCGGCGATATTTTAGGACAGAGAGAATGAGCTTGTCGATAGAAATCCTAAGTGCATGTTGAATGCATTTGGATTTTCTATTTCGAGTTACTTCACTCAGGTTTCTCTTGCTCTTATTGAGCCCTTTCCTGATATTGTTCTTATGAGTGTTCTTTGAGAGGTTTGAGTCAAAAGACTCTATTGGTCGGAAGGCTGATCTGGCGAGCAAGGAGTACATATACACTAGGAATGTCCGAGTCAAAACAAAGTAAGAAAAAATAAGAAGAAGAAGGAAGAAATGATCAAGTCCGAGGCTAGTGTCTGTCCGTAAAATGAGGTATGCAAGATGTCCGATACAAATATAAAAGAAAACATTCAAGTCCGAGTCAGAATACATGAAGAAATATCTAAAGAAAAAACGAGCGAGTCCAGGTCTATGTACGTACGAAGAAGGTTCGTGCGAGTTGATATGGCCAGCGTCAAGGATGACGACGGCGAGAAGAAACTCGTCAACGTTGACGAGCCCTCCCTGCCACTGGCGGTGAAGGGAAAAGTCTATTGGTAAGGTCTGTCCAGAATATCGAATGCACGTGAGGTAAGTGTCTATGAAAAGGTCTGTGAGCGCGAAGGTCATTGCTAAGTGAGGCAATGTACTTACGCGCGATCCGAAAAGGGTCCTTAGGGTGAGCTGCAGTTGTCGAGTCAAGTCCAGGTTACAAGTGTCTAACAGAAAAAGGGGAAAAGGAAAGGAAAAGTCCTTTAAAAACGTCTGAAGGCAAATGCGTTGACAACGGTCAACGGCAATCGAAATCGAAGTAATGGAGCTGAGATAAAGAAAATCGGTCTGAGGACCTAATCGTCGAATGAGACGATTAGTGGATGCGTTCCCTAAAAGATTTCGGGAACGTACCTCCGTTAATTGGTAGGTCGTCGCACTAGGCGGACTGCCCCACGTCTCCAAGTTCACCCGCGATACGTCGTCGGTGAATGTTGGCCACAGTTTCTTCTCCATAAGGGCAGAAGTGAAGCATAACATCGATATGGTTGCGAAAGTGAGTCGAATAACTGCAGTGCTGGTGGGACCGAGTAGAGTAGTAAAAATACTTAATTTGCCATAGATGTGTCTCTTCTTCTCCATGAAGGTAGGGGTTGCCTCTAAAGCCTTGCTTGATTCGAAACATACGTCGAAATCGGTCCCGCAACCAACTGTTGCTGTCGTCGTCGAGTCCGCGTGCGTAGGTCCTAGCGACGAAGGGTAGACATAGGTCCCGCTCGGCCCATTCGCCTAGCGTATGGTAGTCCTGAATGAATTCCCTTCTGGTCTTGAGGTCGTCCTGGCCATGCCAGATGTTGTTGAGAAAGGGTACGGTGTCGCGAGGTGGAAGGGGATTAAGAAGCCGTTCAGAGCGAAGGGAGATGTACGTGAAGGGAAGGGATCCAGATCGAATGGGGAATATAGGATTACCGTTAACGATAAGGGGTTGGGTGTATTGAAGGGCCTGAAGATCCATGTTGGACCATTCCGATTCTTCAGAGTCGTCGTGTCCATCCTTAGTCTCTTCGGGACTGGGGGCTACCGCGAGAATCTTATCGAGCTCATGTTCGAGCTCGCATTGTTTCTGCCTGGAGACAGGTTGTCCAGGTAGAGTGGGGGTCATTGTGACAGAAGGTAGATGAGATTTGATTGAGGGGGTGTTCGTCGAATGCATCGATACGTCGTTGCCGTAAGTAGTCTTCTTGCCCGTTGAGTCAAGAGGGACGTACGCGGGGAGGTCTTCTTGAAATAGGGACCTTCTTGCCTCGTTCCAGAAGCGGCGTAGGGAGCTATCAAGCGTAAAGTCGTCCGAAGGGGATGTGGTTCGAAGGCCTTCCAGTGTAGGTACGTTTACGTTAGCCGTGAATGCCGATACTGGAGGAGCTGCTGGGGGAAGTGACCAGATCGTGGGGGAGTACTCCGGCGTAGAGCAGGGGGTCGTTGACGGACAGCAGGAGGCAAGAGACAGCAGTTCTGCACGCACCGCTGCGTGGTCCGATCTCAAATGTCCATTTCGTCGGCGTGGATCCTGGCTCCTGTAGTAGGATAGTGTGGGTTTACGTCGAACCACTGGGTCCTCGAGGAGAGAAACATTCTCCGAGGATGTACCTAGCTTAGATGTCAGTTTACGGCAATGAGGAGGTACGTACCTTAACGTCTGAGGTCCGTTTACCCCATTCCTTTCTACCAATACTACCTCGTCATCTTCATCCGTCTGGTCTTCTTGGGACACGAATGCGCATGATCCAGCGGAGGCGTCAGGCGAGGGAGGAGGTCGAGGAGGTCCTAGTGGAAAAGCTAGAGGAGGGGGAAGCGTCTGAGGTGACTGAGAATAGAGAGACTGTTCGAAGTACGATCGAGACTTAGAGTCCCAATCGATGAAGCCTGTAGCGCCGGACGGTCTGCTAGGGTTAAGGCTTGGGTTGGCCGAGCATTTGAGGGAGTTCGGGGATGCGGAATCAAGCCTGATTTCCGCGGAAATCGGAGGTACAGCGGAGATCTGGGACTCTGGGTCTGGCCACGAGTCTCGATCATTCTCTTCGATCGAATAGAGTTCCTTCATACGTTCCTTCCTCTGCCTTTTCCATTCTTCCTCTATTTCTCCCTCTTCTAGTTCCTCTTCCTCTAAACTAAGCATAGGTACGTCATCGTCTTCTATTTCCTCCCTGACTTCTCTCGTCTTTAGATCTTGTTCTTCATCCAGAGCGAGCGCGAGCCCTTCCCAAGTGGGTTCAGCGATCTCGGTCTCTCGGTCTACCACGACGTTTAGCATACCGCGGACACGACGGACGTCGGGCTCTCCGGTCCATATGGAGGGCGCGTGGACGAGCGTAGTGTCATCAAAAATATAAGAGTACGTCGTACCTTCTTTACTTTCTGTCGACGGTAAGGCTTGAGCTTTACCAGAGGTGATTGACACTTGGCAAGTAGGATATTCCGAATCCAAGGGAGGTGTTCCAGATAGGTGGGATTGATTCAGTCCATCACGCGGGATAGGAGGGGGACGATTCGACATACCGGCTAGTGCTGCAAAAGGAGCGAGTGCACGTAGGCCGTATTCGGTTACCGCAAACCGAGGAGGAGGGGGATGAGTAGCGAAGGAAGGGATTGGTGCCATTGCGCGGGTAACTAAGGTATGTTCGAGCTGTCGTTCGGGTTCTTCAAGACAGATGGCAGTTCTGGGATGGCCACACTGACCTATTCCTTTCGTCAATCCTTTTATTTCTCTAAGTAGATCCCCTGTCTTCGAGTGGAGGGCTTGCGCGTCCTCGACGGTGTTCTCCATTTCGACTTTGTTATTGACGGTAAGCAGGCCGATCCCATTCGCATACTCATATATTCTTTTAAGGCCTAATTCAATGGGGACTTCGCCCAGGAGCGTCCGCACCCTCGTCAACAAATATGCTAAGGTTTCCACGTCGAAATTCGAGAACGCGGACCAAATTGATTCTCGCAGGCGATCTCCACTCGTCGTCTGCGAGACGCGATTTCTATTCGGGTCCGAATTAGAGGGACGGTCTCGTTCACCGAGCGTAGGCCTAAATTCTTCATAAGTGTTTCTCCCATTTCTTCCGATTTCTTCTGTTCTGGTCCAACCGGCGTCTTCTCTATTAAGCATGAAGAATGGCAGGTTTTCTCCACCGCGATGCCTATTGAATGAGACCTCCTTTGAGTGCGGTACGTAGGGGGGGTGTACTGACTGGTCAAATACTGCATTTTCTTTTATCATAGACATCTTTGACGCGTCAACATGGACGTCAAGGTATTGTCCTTTGTCTGCATCTCCGGTCAGGTAAGTTGTCCCATTCTCGGCATCCAAATTACTCGTACTGACTTCCTCCAAGTTTTGCAGGTCAATCTGTCGATTTTCTGTATGGCGAATATCGTCCGTTGGTCCTGGAACACTGGAAGAAGGGTTCAGTCCAAAAAGTGAACAAAAGAGAGCCGCGTCGTTAGTCAGATATGGGGTTTCCTGTACATATAGCCTTCCATTAGCTTTATCCCAATTTTTGTCATTGACTTTGACTGTCAAATTAAAATCTTTCTGAAGACTGTCTAAGTCTTTAGAAAATTCGGGTATGATGTTGTATGTCTCTTTTCCCTTGTGGTCTTCACGGTGTGTAGTTCCAGTTGAATGAGTAGAAATCTTATTCAACAAATCCTCTTCTGGGCCATGTCTGCTCTGTCGAAGTTGGCAATAGTCTTCATTTAGGTTCCAGTCAAGATCTCCACTGTCATCACTTCTGGAACAACCACCACGTATTCGCAAGACTTCATCATTGGTCTCCCCGGTTGAATTCAACTGTATGACCAAATTTCGTGCAGCAAGTGCTTCAGATGGGTCTCGTTCTTCTTTATCACGCTGAATGCTCAGCTCAATTTCAGTTTTTAGATATTGATCTGCACTTGGCAAACGTGGAGTCATGTCTAAAGGATCAAGCTCATCAAAACTTAAGGAAGCAGTCTTAGAGGGTCCTGAATCAAATTCATCAGGCAGGCTATTTTCCTTGGCTTGATTTTTGCTCTTGCTGTCAAAGAGTCCAGGTTGATCATCTTGCTGTCCGCTAGGTTGTTTGATGATTTCCATCTTGTCCTCGGTAGTCTCAGGAACAGGTTCTACTGGGACAAAAATAGGACCGTTCCACTCATAGTCTCCAGAAGGATATCCAGGACTCTTCTTGAATTGGAGATATGCATCCACATGTCGTACAGCCATTGGTTGAACTGACCCTGGTTCAGCATAAATTAGAGTAGCTCCTTTTATGATGAATGCATCCACTCGTCGTCGTGTTGGTTCGGTAAACTCTGTTAATACAGGACAAGCTTCATATGTCCCTAGAGTTAGACGAAATTGAGGTGTCTTGTTACGCCAAATTACGGACATACTCTTGGAGTGAAGTTCTTCAGATTTAGTCTGTCCAACATCCTCTGTACTTTCACTTGCATATATCCTAAGAAGGGCAGGAGTAGGGTTATTATCTTCAAAGGGTACTGGTATAGAGGTCAATGAAGGTCGATCGTATTGGAATGCTGAGAAATACATTTGGTCCATGTCCATTTGAGTCTTGACATTAAATGTATCAAATTGAAATGGCCGTAATTCTGGAGCATCATCATCTTCTCCTTTGGTAGACTCTGCTTGACTATCCGGATGTCCCTCAGGCTTTTGACTCTTGTCAGTAGGGTCAGGAGGACCTTCTGCTGGAACCAAAATAGGTCCTTTCCATTCGTGATTTTCCAGATCATGTTCCAGACTGTCTTTGAACTGCAGGTAGGCATCCACATACTGTACAGCTGTTGGTAGCTCAGATCCGGGTTTGGCATAGATGAGAGTTGCATCATTTATAAGGAACGATTCAACTTGATGCCTGGCAGGTCCAGTAGAATCTGATTGCAGAGGAAATGCATTGAAAGTTCCTAGATTTAAACGGAATTTTGGAGCCTTCTTGAGTCTATGAAGAGAATCAATCTTCTCATGTAAAGCTGAGAAGGAGACTTTCCCAATACCTTCTCTTCCTTCAATCGCATATCTGTCAAGGATGCCTGGAGTAGGATTGCTATGGTGAAAAGGTAGCAGCATGGTGACTAGCATGGGTCGGTCATATTGAGATGGGGAGAAGAAGAACCTATGCATCCACATTTGAGTCCTGACATCAAATGCATGTTGAAATGGTCGTGGTTCTCGTTCATCTACTATCTCTTCTTCAAGAAGCTTTTCTGGAATGTCGGGTTCAATTGTCAGTCCTTCATCAGCTTGCACAAGACCTACTCTTGCAGGGGAAGAATATGTGAGGTAGTCAGAGATCTCATTCAGGCTAGGATTGGTAGGTTCAGGATTGACCAGTAATTCATGTCACACATTCAAGTGCTTGTCCTTGAAAAGAAGGTATGTACCATCCTCTCGTTCATCAATGGACACATAATTACCACGTTGCCAGGGTCGTCCTAATAGAAGCTTGAATGGAACTTGAGTTCCGACATAGATATTTGCATGAGTGAGTACTCCACCACAGTTGAGAGGTACATTGGGCACAAGTCCACTTAGCATTCCTTCTCCACCATTGGCATCACTCATACTAATCTTTCGTCCTTTATCCATTGGCCTTGCAAGTACGTCCTTCCAGATTTGTTCATGTGCAATATTGAGCTGAGATCCAGTGTCAATGATAGCATCAACAGGTACATTGTCACAATGCATCTTCAATTTAATGAGAGTGCCTCTTGACCATGCAATAAAGGAAGCTGAGACTGCTGAAGAATTAAAACTGGCAGAGGTTCTTGCTAATGCCGCAGTAGCTTTTGGAACATGTTGAAGTTTAGTGGCAGGCTTAGGCTTAAGGACATCCAGGAGGTGTGTGCTCATTTCCTTTGACATTCCAAAGACTTCTCCAACAGCTAAGGTAACAGGTGTATTCAAGACTTTAGTGAGCACATTGAGACGATCGACCTGAGCTTGAATCTCAGAACGTCGAGGAATTCTCTTCTCAGGTGAATGATTCTCCAAGTTCTTTGAAGCATTCCTTTCACCGAGTGGCTCTCGCATTCCAAGTTCCTCATCCATGATGATATCTGAATGATTGTCAACTGGAATATCTCTTTCCACATCAACAGGTACAGGTTCAGGTATCTTTCCATTAGATGGGTACTCAAAGTTCTTCTTTCTTGGAAGTACGTTCTCTTTGTTTCCCTTTGCTGATCTTGTTTTCTCGTCCCTTTTGTCTAGAAATTTTCTTGGGGGCATTAAGACTCCTTCGAACTTTTCCTTTCTAGCAGCAGTAGTAGACTTGGGAGTTCGAGTCACAGGCCAAGCGGCATTTCTTCCATCTCCTTCATCATCACTTAGTTCTCCATCTTCACCTACTTCTTGATAGTCCTCATCTGTTACTTCTTCAATAGTGGCATGATTGACAGCTATAAAGTTGGCTTGAGGTGTAGGATGCAAACGTACTGCAGCAGTTGCCAAAGGTTCATCAAATGCAATCTTCATGATCGGTTGTCCATTTGCCATGACATAGCGTCCGGCAGGATCTCGACTCACAATGCCTTGAGATAGAAGTTCAGTCATTCTGGGACAGAACCTTGTTCCATGCCCAGTCTGACCACATCCGAAACATCTTCTATCACCAGTAGGTGCATTATCCATGTGAGGAGGCATCTGCCTTTGCATTGGAGGTCTAGAGCTATTATTGAAGAATTGTCCAGAAGGTTGAGCATTTATCCTTTGATGACGTTCATTAGGCTTTGGTACAATATCAGCAACCAAGGGATCGAGTCGACAGGCTCTGAAGTAGGATATCGCATAGGCAGGATCCTCAAGTGACATCTTGTTGAGCTGGTTGATAAGTTCCTCAACCTCACTGTCCTTTTCCTTCTTCCTGGTTGGTCTTGCACTCTTGTTGATCTTGGCCTCGGGCTTCTCTTCTTGCTCTGATTTCTTCTTCTTCTTCAGCTTCTCTCTACTCATCTTTTCCTTCCGCTTCTTCCTCAACTTCTTCACATGCTGTGCTATTTTCTCATCATCTGAGCTATCAGAATCTGAGTCAGAACTTTCTGAATCACGGTCACTGTCTTCAGAGTCTTCATCTTCACTTTCGTCATCCTCACCATCTGACAGATATCCCTCTCTATCAAAGCGGTTGCGCTGCAGGAGAGCTTTAGCAGCTTTGTGGATGCTTTCCATGCTGAATGGATTGCTGAGATCATGATCTGGAGTCTTGGCAAGTAATCTTGCTTCCAGTCGATGTCTAAAGGGTTTAGGGATTCCCTTCCAGAAGGTAATTGCCTGAGTGTCCTCAGTAATCTTTCCTTCTTTTTTAAGCCATCCAGCAATCTTGATGAAGCCTCGATTGTATTCTTTCCAGGATGAAAGATTATGAATAGTCTTGTGGTCAGACTTCCAGTTCTTGACATATATGACGAGGTCTTTGGGGCGGTATCTCTTTGAGTCTCTTTCAGCATCATAGAACTCCAAAAGGTCTCTGGTAAACTGATCCCAGTTTCCTGACTTATAGCTTGAAAGTCCTTCCATAAATTCTCGTGCATCCCTTGAACAGTACTGCGTAATATTCTCTATCTTCTCTTGAGCATCGGTCACTCCTTTCTGAAGACAGAGTCTTTCGTAGTGCTGGACAAAAGGCTTGATCTCTGAGTACTTTCCTTTGAATTTCTTCGGAGCATTCTTCGTGCCAGGGATTGGTAGGTCGATTACACCTAGGTGTTGAGGTGTAGTCATTGCAGTAGCAGTAGTGTGTGTAGGGATAGGGTTTTGAGGTGGAAATGCAAGTGTTGAGGATGAAGGTAAAGGTGTTAGAGGTGATGATGGTGGTGTTGTACTTCTCAAAGCACCTTGGCTGCTCACACTTGAAAGCGATAATATGGCCAAGTCAGAGGTATCAGACATACAACAATTAGAGTAAAAACCCACCCCTCGCGGTGGGCTCCACTGATGTCGGTCAGAAAAAGAAAAACACTCTCAAAGAGATGAGAGGCCAAAGGTTTCTCTTCTGCAGAAAAGTTTCCGGGTGAGACGTTACACCGGGTCTTTCCTGTTGTTCGTTTGGGGTGAGGGGAGGTTTACCGTGTAGTCTGACAATAAAGTAGACTTGACTGGCTATACCACTGAAAGGAGTGTGTTTTTAAGGTAAGTGAAGTCTTAAGCAAGGTATGCCTTAGAGTTCACAAGAGAAAGGAAAGGGATTTAGGATAGCAATCTCAGGTTAAGACAAAGTCAAAGATACACGAAGGTACAATGACCAGCTTTTCTTAAGAAAAGAGTAGGTGTTGAGAAAATTTGAAAGCAGCAGAAGTGGCAGATCGCTTCAGGCTTTTCACTTGCACTTCACAAAGAGAGAGTGTCAAGCTTGGGGACTTTGAGCTTTGCAGGACTTTAGAAATGATAGAATTTGGGGCAGAACTTTAGGGAAATTACAGGAACTTGAGGGGCACAGGCACATTACTACAGGAAATAAGGGGCTCATTATATACAATCTAGAAAGGGGCTGTGCTATGGATGACCAAGCTAAATTTGTAAGAACTTGCTTCGCTTACTTGATGAGAGAATGCAGGTGCTTATTAATGAAACATGAATTTAGCACTAGAATCCATGCTTGAGTCATCTATTTTCAGCCTGGAGTAGTCTAAACCAGTCTCAGGCTGATTCCAGATGCTTCTAAAGGATTCTTTACTTACAAATCTGCATTCTTTCCTGACTCATAGGGGTGTCTGATGACTCATAGGGGCATCCGATGACTAAGAATGACTTAAGATGAGTCAGAATGATCTTTTGATGAGTCACAATGGCCTTTTCTGACTCATTAGGGGCTTTATGAGTCATGGTGAGTCTTGATGACTCAATGGCCTAGTGCTTCAAGAATGAAAAGTCCATTCTGTAAGGAATGGAGAGCTCAGTTGTCGATCGATCAAGATTTGATGATCGTGCATCAGATATTAAGGTCTTTCGATCAGTTGGTGCTTGTATGGCCAGGTGGCTTCACTTTGCACACTACACCTTCCTTTCTGAGATTCCTTATCTTATCTGGTATCACTTGGAGATTGCCGAAATTGAAGGTTTGATCAGTTATTGTTCAAGAAAGCTGAGTTGAGTGACGCACTCTTCTTTCTTCAAACACCGCACTCTTTCTTCTGAAGTGTGTACTTGCCAGTATTATCGTAAACTTTGGTAAGTTTGCTAAGCATCCTATTCAGACCTTCTGGACATATCTCTAAGTCCATAGGATCTTTTGTGGACGAATTAGGTGCTTGCGCGGTACTTTGAACAGTTGGTATTTTCTCAGAAGTTGGGAATACGTTGAAAAACCCTTTTGACAATATGAGCTGGGTACGTATCTTCAGATCATTTAAACTCTTCATAACTCATTAAAGAGTGATCCCCTTGTAGATCGAAGAAATGAAGGCTTTGGAGCCTCCTCCTTCAAGTACGAAGGTGTTTCTTGAAATCTTTGGTATCATCTGTGGAGTCGTAGCCTTCCTTTGTGGAGTGTATCTTATAATGAGGTACATTATTAAACGTGAAGATCGCTCTAGGAGTTCAGGAGGAGGACCGTCATCGTAAAACATGTACTTTGATCCATATTCATTATGTTGCCTATCTTCACCTCGCCAATTTATAGATTATTTATTCATCATCATGTCACCGTAAAGTAACATGCTTGAAGATGCGAATAAACAATAGTCTTGACTGATCTGCAGTCATTTCCGGTCTTTTCTGAGCATACACAGACTTTACCAGTGTTGAAGGTCCAGTTAAGCGCCTACTGCTGACGTGGCACTGCCAGGCGATGATACTTGTCTTTAGAAGCTGTCTCCTTCAGACAGATTCGAGTTTCAGATCCACCTGTCTTGAGATTAGGTAAGTCTTACTCCTTCTAGTCTGGTTTGGTCATATTCACATTCGACTTTCAGATTCTGAAACTGCCTCATGGCCACTACAACGTGTGTCACCTTGCATGCGTGTTCAGAGTATCAGTCTAATGTCTTTTTCTGACCTATCGCTTCTTTAGGATCATCCTGGAGTCTTCCTCAGCTGCTCCCACTCCTTTGGCTTATACCACGGTCTCTAAGCCAACAGTAATTGGAGTCGTCGTCCTCCTTGGTACTTTGATGTTAATCATGGTCGCCTTGTGGCTTTGGTGTATGTTCTTTGCTCCTCGACGCATTTCTCGTGGTGCACGCAACCATGCAGCAGCTCCTATTGCAATGGTCTCATTGTCTTCTATTCACTTCAAGACAGTTATTGTCCCTTCCACTCCTTCATCTTCATCAGCCCCTCCCTTGGATTCTTTGACTACTTTGGCTCAGACTTCATCGTCATTGGTACATTCCTCACGTTCTTTACCTTCCATTCTTCATTCTCGTCACTCTTCCTCTTCATCTGTAGAAGATTTGAGGCATACGTTGTCAGTTTGAATTAAAGTCAGACTTGAGGTTGAGGAGGTCATTTATTGTACTTGTTGTCATTGGCATACCCTAATTATTGTCGTATCTGCAGTGTGACATTGTCTTGGACTTTCGTATTCAGTGTTGAATATCGAAGTGATCTGTCCATGTGCCAAACACTTTTGGTGCAGGACACCGTGGTAATGGTTCTCTTTAGAAGTTCAAAAGCTTCTTGCTGTTCTGGACCCCAAGTCCATTCTACTTGTCTGGTTAATTTATTTAAAGGAGTGGTGATTTTGGAAAAGTCTTTAATGAATCATCGATAGAAATTAGCAAATCCAAGGAATAATTGTAATTCCTTTTTAGCTTTTGGTACTGGCCATTGTGTAACTCCATCGACTTTGGCAGGATCCATCTTTACAGTTTCTTGTGAAATAATATATCTGAGATATTCTGTTTCTTGAGTTTCAAACTCACATTTTTCTAGTTTGCAGGTTAACTTATTTTCTCGTAATATTTTAAGGACTTCTTTTACGATATGTCGGTGTTCCTCCAGGGATTCAGAAAATATGAGTATATCGTCAAGATATATGATTACTTTTCCTTTGAGAATGAGATTACGGAAAATGTCATTTATCATCATTTGGAATGTAGCAGGACTATTCGTCAATCCAAAGAACATGACGGTTGGTTCGTATAGTCCTCTATTCGTGATGAATGCAGCTTTCTCTTCATCTCCTTCTTTCATGCGAATATTGTTGTATCTCCAGCGAATGTCTAGTTTCATGAAATATTTGGCACCCTTGAGCTTATCAATAAGCTCCGATATCAATGGTAAAGGATATTTGTTTTTCTTGGTCATATCGTTGAGTTTTCGGTAATCCTGTACCAGTCTCAATTTGCCATCTTTCTTTTTGACAAAGAAGAAAGGTGCTCCCCAGGGAGATTTCGATAGTCTGATTCTACCTATCTTTAGGTTTTCTTCAAGAAAACTGTCTAGAATTTTTTGTTCTTCAACGGTCATGGAGTATACCTTGCCTGCATACAGTGATGAATCTGGTAACAGTTCTATTGCATGGTCCCATGGTTTCCTTTCTGGAAGAACATTGAAGGTATCTTCAGTGAATATGTCTGTGAATTCACGATACTATTCGGGAACCATTTCTTCAAAGGTCTTTTTCTTTTTTTGTTTACTTTGTTCAATTGCTATGTCCATGGCTGTTACGCACATTTGCTGAATGTATTCTCCCCATGCTTTATACCAAGCATTGGTAGTTAATAGATATACGGTATCCCCTTCTTCAATCTCTTGTTGTCTTATGGTGATGCATATGTGTGAGCATCGATTGAAGTCAACAAGTTGTAATTTAAAGTCTATTGATGGATTATGATATTCAATCCATTCATATCCAAGGAATATGTCTGACTTTCCCAGATCGGTAACTAGAAGCATGATGTTCTCCTGGTGATCGCCGATTCAAAGTGTAAGTTGGACGTATTCTGTGATCGGTCCCTGAGAATTCTCGCTGTTATCGGTGTTATAGACTTGGATCGGTTGATCAAATCTAGAGGTTTCAATTCTGTGCCTTTTGATGAAATTATAATTTATGCATGATCCGGTACTACCGGTGTCAACTAATGCTACTGTATCATAGATTCTTTCTGTTTCTGGGATAATCACGGTGACCGGTAGATCCATTTGTTTCCCTCTTCCAAGTTCTTTGACAACTCAGAGTAGTGGTGGTCCAATGTCTGTGATGCTTTTATGTGACGCACTCAGTTTATTTTCAAATTTTTTTGTATTTTGTTTAGAGGAATCAAGCACAGGTTTCGCCCTGCCATGCTTCTTGGTAGAAGACGCCTCTGCGTTAGATGAAATATTTACAAAAGGGGACTGTCCAGTCGATGTGCTACAGGCATATATCGAAGATGGTTTCATAGAACCCTCCAGGGGTTTATCTGAGTCATTGTTCTTATCCGGCAAGTTACTTTGTGCATTTAAGCCTTGCCTGAGCCAAAATTCAGCTTCTTTGCCTTCTCCGGGTTCTTCTCCATCCATCGCTGAACCATGGCGATCATCTTGTCATCGTCATCATCATCTGAGTCGGGGATCTCCTCGATCTTTGACTCTGTCTTCATTTCATTCTTTTGAACACGTTGAGTGTTCGTGGAAGGTCCCGATCGATTAGGAACATGCCATGCACTTCTGCAAGTGCCCTTCTCCAATTGCTTAGCCTTACATTTAAGGCAATTTCTATCCAAGTCCATGGACTGCCCATGCCCTGTGAACATTGTTTCAGTTCTATTCTTCTTTTCTCCATAGTCCTTCTTTGGACTCTGATTCTGGTTCTGACCCGATCCTTGGGTCTGTTGTTGATAGGCAGGGTACTTCTGCCCATAGTTCTGGTTCAATCGGTATGGCCAATATCTGATCTTCTTCAACTGCTTCTCTTCTTCCTGCTGCCGTCGCGAGGAATCAATGTCAATAATTGCTTCCTTCCACTGTGCATAAGTGATTGGTCGCATGTCTCTATCAAGAGCCCTGTCTACGATGGACTCATTGCAGTTGAGTCAAACAAGGTCGATAGTATGTTTATCTTCCTTTTTCCTGCCTGCTTGCGTAATGTACATTTTCAATTTCTGGAAATATTCTTGTGCTGTCCCGTTGCCTTGGGTCAAGTTATCCATTTGGATAACTGCTTGTTCTACTCGATTTGAATTGAGGAACTGTTCATTGAGATCGAGAATCAACTGATAGAAGTTGACTTTCCATCTGTCAGTGCCGATGTTGAATTCATTTTTGAAATAATTGTTGACCCAGTCGTCAACCTTCGGACCCTTCATGTATGAAAGAGTCATGTCGATCTTCTGTTCATCAGTAAGACCAGTGTTTTTTGGTGTTCGGAACCATAAGTACAGTTGTCTTTTGAAAGATGGGTATTTGTCTTTGGTTTCATCGAAGTCTGAGGATTTTCCTCCAGATGCCTTTGTGTTGGGCTGTGGTGGAACTGGTGGAGGTGGATTTCTGGGTGGGTTTGGGTTTTGTCCCGGAGGCGGTGGTGGTGGTGGGTTTTGCCCAAGACTACCAGTTCCAGATTCAGTAGAACCCATAGGTGATGGTGGTGTGGGGTTTGTAGGGGATGAATGTGGCAATGGTACGAGTGGAGGTGGAGATCGGCATGTGTAATATTGATAGAGTGGTGCAGAGAATTCAAATGAAGATGTGGTGTGTGAACAATAGTATCTTGTACCGGGTGCACAACCCTGTTCTGGTACTTAGATGAGTATAGATCTGAGGTAAAGGTACTCCTTCAAAGTGCTCCAGCCAATAGCCAATCTGGACACACGAGGTAGGTAGATATAATAGCTACATAAAATGGTTTGGCCTTAGAAGGCGCAAAAAGAGAAATTGATCTCCGCGGTAGTTGTCTTTCGACATGCGAGAGAGTCAAGGAATACCAGCGAGGTTTGAAACCTCCTGCCGTACACTCAGTCATTTAGGTCTGAGCAGGGTAAATTCTGGTAGGATTTTTCAACGGCCCCTCTGTCAAGAAGGTTGCAGCACCGCCTACTTCCTGGTTGCTTCAAGAGCAGACTACCAGGTAAGAGTAATGATTTATGTACTAAGGGAATACAAGGGTCACAATCTACAGGTGTAGTCGTGTGATTACCCAGGTGGAGGAATGGAGTGTGATAGAAAAGTAGCTAGGAATGTGGAATTCGGATCCCTCCGAATGAGGTCTTGAGCAAGTAAGAGTGAAGCAGAGTGAAGTGAGGAGCGAGGTGGTTGCCGTCGAGTACAACAGACTTAGAGTGAGGTGAAGAGTGGGTGGAAGATGAGGCAATGCCTGTCGAGAGAATGCAGAGGGGCAAGTTTCGAATTATGATAGGACTCAAATCAAACTAGAAATGAGCAGATGAAAATCATTCAAAACTTGGAGTTAATCTGAAGTTCGTCTGATGTATATATACAACTATTATCTAAATACATGCAGTATCAATGTGTTCGTATATACTTATAGTGGCGGTCAGGTTTGAGCATGGATCAATGAGTGTGTTTGGGTAGGTTTTAATATGTGGTTACAAATGAAAATAATAAGGGAAAGTCATGTTTGTAGATCCAAAATGAAAGTGATCGTAACATGTTGACTCTAGATTCAAGTTTGGTCGGCTGTGAAGGACACCCAAGCGTCATAATAGGTCTATGTCTACTGAGTATACATACTGTTGCACGCAATGAAGCATTGCAGAAATAAAGTCCCAAATGGATTCATTGCGCGACGAGAACAGTCATCTAACCCATGTCCGAATCCATTGTGTTCAAGTTCGTGATTGCTTTGTTACTTGCACGAAGCTCACCTCTTGATGTGGTAATTTTGTTTTGTAAATATGTATTTTCGCGTAGCGTCGTCCCGAATTCCATGCCATGGCGAATCCGACGCAATGGGTCAAGTAAGCGTTACAAAGTTCCGATTTTCGCACCTCCGAATCAGCAGGTCTGGTAAGACCTGAGCTAGCCAGTCAGCGACGTAGATTCAATCAAAGCCACCTGACCATTCAAGGTTGGGGTCGTACAACACGGCCTGCCCAGCCTCATCTAGCTACTTCCAAGCTGCCATTATCTCGTCAACACTACTCTTACTCCACCCACTCCCAAGCATGCTAACCAATCCACTTCCAGTTGCATTCAACACCTCCCGAATACCCGTATCCAAAACATCCGCGCGATCGGACCCGTGAGGGGGCGGTGTATGTAGACAACGATCATGCGAATTAAGTGCAAGCTTTTTGAGAACAACAAGATGGGAGGAGGAGGGAACGGTATGTCGTTGAAGGTACCAGGCCAAGGCTCGAGAAGGATCATCTTGAGATGTGTCCGATGACGGTGATGATATGGGACCGCCTTGCGCGTATTCGCGTAAAAGGGAGAGGAAGGGGGATTCTTGTCGTATCTGGCTCAACCTGGTGTCCAGATCATGCATCGCCGCAACGAGTGTTGTTTCCCTCAATAACGAAGGCCTTGGGTTATTCTCCGATTTACCACTAAATCTCCGGTCATACACCTTGGTATAGAAGTCCGTGATGAACCTCAGGTCATGCAATGCAAGACTGAAGTATTTGGACTTGGGCGAAACGTTGCGATATCGATGGAGTGTGAGATGTGATTGGATCGTCCATGACTTGTCTTGCAGTATGCTATCGAGCAGTGCAGCATGACAGTACGATTGGAACTTCTTTTCTTCTCCAGTCTCACCATCATCTCGACAAAATCGATCAGCGAAGGCAAGGAAATAGGTGTCGTTGGAAGAAGAAGATATGAAGTGGTGTAAGTCCGCTGCAGGATGCGCCTTGACATCAGTAAGTTGTGGGAAATCAAGTGTTGCCGCATCCCCAGTTGACGATCCTGATCGGACGAATAGACTTCTGCTACCCTTCGGGTCCTCCATGTAGCTCAGGAACGCCGTCCGACGCTTCACATACAGGATTTGGCTACGGAGCAGGCTCTCCTTGGTCCTGGGATGTCTCGCGATATCGAGATAGAACGGCCAGTATCGCGGAGTATCCACCCGAAGTGACTGAAGCTTGTCAACTTCAGGGATCAATGTTGGGCATATCAACTGTGTCGTCCCGAGCTCCTTTTCATCTCGTACCTTCATCTTGATCGGCAGGTAGACCAGCTCCTTCGAGTCAACATCCCTCGCAATCAGACATCTGGGCTCAACAGCAAGAACCCAGAGATGTCTCAATGCCTGCAAGTAGCTCTTATTCTCTTTGGAATCTTGAGGGAACCGTGGAAAGAATGCTGCAACCATACACGCTATCGCTGCGTCGGACGTCCCCAATGTGAATCGTCCGCCACCAAGGAAGAGGAGACCAAGGGAGGAAGTAATGGCAACGTTGGTGCCATACCGTGAAGGCTCGTTGTACTTGCCGTACTGATATCTGAAACGACGCAGACAGCTGATCTCTCCCGTACCCGCCATGACCATGGATAGAGAGATGGAGATGAGATTCAACCCATCATTTACCGCGGCACGTTTGATCTTGGAGTCAAACGTAGAACCTGTGAATTACCCAATGAGCGTAGTGCCAATATCAAAAGCAAATAGACATACTTTGCGTATGTGCCAGTCGAGTGAAAACATCGTAGTAGCGCACAATCAGAGAGTAGGCTTCCTCTGTAGCAGTTCCGGCGAATTTCAGACCCAATGCGAAACAGCATCCAGCAACGATATTGTAGTACGCTAGCTCGAATGAGTCATTTACCGGCTTGCCTTGGAAACGTTCCTGCATCGCCTGAGCGATTGCTTCCGGAATGTGACTCGCAAGCCATGACTCGTTCGGAGCGATAGCAGACCACAAGATGAGGGACTTCGCCAATGTCCTCAATAGAAGATAATGCGGCTGTATCCTATCAAGCGCCATAACTGTGTCAGGGATTACCAATGTCTCCGCAACATCCTGTCTCTCTGTGCGAAGGTACATCAACCCCAGAGCAATTGTCGCAGCAGGAGATGTAAGGTGGATATCAAATGCATTCTTGGAGTGTGCTGGGTCCACCGGTGCTTCCTGACCTCCATGTATCAACTCGCAGAGGCGCTCAAAGAGAGTAACGTCTGCAGGTACATCCGAGCCCTTCCCAAGCATGACCATGCCAAATGCCAGTGCAGCAGAGAGTGTGCATGCTTCTCGGAAGTCATTGCTGAGATCGGGTGGAACAAGATCTTTACGACCAATCTGAGAAATACAAACCTCCGCCATTCGACGATTCTTCGTTCCCATATATAATAGACCGATGGAAGACAGCGCGGCAGCTTGCATAACGAGCGTGATGTTGAGGTCAACGTTCTGCGTGGGAAGCAACGCTGGGAGATGGACTGCAATAAGTTTTGTTACATGCCGATCGCTGGTCCCCGCATAGGCTGCAGACAACCCGAGCAGAACAGCCGTAGTCGTAAGATCGTGTTTCGGCGTAAGGTATGAGAACGTATGCCAAGTCAACAACTCGCGTAAGTGACCTGTTAAGCCGAGAGCGAATAGGAACCCTGCATGTTCAGGCGTCAGCTCTGCAGGTTTGTTGAACTTTATCCAAGAACTATCCACCACAGTGGACGTGTGTGAAATCCTCAGACCGGAGGCAACGCCATTATGGAAGTCAGCCCATGAAATCACTTCAGCATTGAGTTTGGCCGGGTCAGGAACCATAGCGAGATTCTGTTGCTGCAGTCGAGCGGTATACTCCATTCGAGGAATCCTGTAAGTTTCCCGAGTGACGACGGTAACTGTACCAAATGTAAACATCGCCCTGCCAAATGGTAGCGCCAATGTTCTTTCCGTTAATCTCAATACTTGATTCTGCAGTTCTCTAGCTTGGTCCACGTCGCTGGTAAGTAGGTGTCACTAAGAGAGTATGTGTTTAATTAGTGGTCCGGGACTCACTTCGTGTCTGGTCTCTCGACTGCTTTGATGGTGGTGACAGCCGACGAACAAAGCATACGAGCAACCTCATCGACCCGCCTGTCTTGTGCGAATCGGATATCGATGAAATCCTTCAGACCGAGCTCCACGCCGGTTACGTTCATTTCCCCCGGAAGGGCCCGTCGTACATCTTCAGCGTAGTCGTTGATTGACTTACGCGGGGTGTTGGGATTCTGGCAAAGGGAAGACTGTAAACGATCAACACGTTACGAAAAGTGAACTATACTATACCAGATACTCTTTGACTGAGCGGTATCCATAGTCAAACATCAAATCCGGAGCCTTACTGACAAGCTCGACGAGATCGTTTCTTCCAATCAACCTGAACGCATTCGTCGGCCAGTCTCCTGATGGACTCAACTGACACGCCCTGGCAGCCTCTTTCAATGGTGCAGCCAACCCAAGCGGTAAGTTCTCGAACAATTCTTGTCCACCTCGCATAGTGAACAGTTTGGCCATGACGAGTATGGCGTTCTCAGCTCTCTTCCTAGAGTCCGGTACTTTGCCATCGGCCAACGTAGAGAATATCTGCAGGATATCACGAGAATCGAGTAGCGGCTCTCCCGCGCCAAACGCCATGGAGGGAGTGAGGTCGAAGAATGTTGCATGTTTGAGGGTAGAGAGCCAAGGTTGACTCCAGTCTGGGTTGTTGATTCGGTTATAAAGGCAGGAGAATAGGTCGGGAGCCCAGGTAGACAGTCGCTCGTCCACGTAACTGGTAGCTGTCCCATTTTATCAGCATGGTGTAACATATAACAGAGATGGATGTACGTACTAGAGTCTGCGCTCGAAGGCCAATAATCCAAAGCATCAGGACTTATCCGCTTCCAGAAGTCTGCCCATTCCGGACGAACTACAATAGCTAGTTTGCAAACGACCGTTGCAAGCTTGAGCAAATCTCGATGTCGACGAACGTTCAGCCACAAGTTCAAACCAACATAATGCAGGCCATGCAAAACCACGCCAGTATGCTCATGAGGTTTATAAGAGATCTTTGCTGGCATCGTTCTGAGTGAAGGAGGAAGTTTTAGGCGGCGGAAGGCAGGATCATCGTCGTATCGAGTGAGGGATGATGTCATACAGAGGTTATTCCAAGAGTTTGTGTCCAACTTAGAGGAGGGGTTAGGGATAGAGAGGATTTCGAAGACGGCATCCTTGAACGAGTTGAATGTATCGTCATCGATAGACGAATAGCCTCGCAAGGACCACTTCAACAAGAATCGATGGTGAAGATCGAAGAAGAATTGTGCAGGAAGCATCATCGAGAGCATGAACAAACACTGTTTCGTCAATAACTCATCCGGAATAAGGTTGATTGATATCCGAGCTATGGAACGGTCTGCGAAAGTCAATGAAACCGAAGAATTCACGCTATCCTTCAGCGACAGAACACCGTTATCTGCGACCTTTGGTTCTACAGAACTTCGGATGCGTATTGGTATCTCGTGCATACCATGTGTGAGGATGGCCAACGTCCGGTTGGGTTTAACAACCAGGAGATCGTACACATTCGATCTCAAGGCACGAACAGGCGCGACAGAGATTGCCGGAAGACGTGCATGGGGTGGTTCGGTAAAGACCTTGCCTTCCTTCCTTCGGAGAGAGAGTACAATAAGTGTTTGAGACGCAGACAGGCAGATAGCCAGCAACGCGGTCGTCGATTTTCCGTTCCAGCGTTGGTCGAAGATGCCGACGGAGATGTCAGACCATGCAAGCGAGCTACGAGTGCATGCCAATCAGCGTTTAACACCCTGTCACTTGAATAAAATCACATACTCGGCTTCAGTGATCTCTTCGGAATACAGCTTATCCATCCAATAATCCGCCTTCATCCTACTATCACCAAGAGCATCAAGTCCGTAGTCGATATCTCCCTTTGGCGGAGGCATCGGTCCACCACCACCAAGCGAAGGCCTTCCACCACCAGAACCAGCGCTAGTCAGCGAGACGTCGGGTTCAACGACATTGCCCTGCATAAGGGAAGCCATAGTAGTGGTAGTCGACAGCACAGGGGGCATTCTAGGTAGAGCAGACAAGGAGACCGTCTCTGCTGTTCGATGAGGAAATGCAGAGTATCCTGGCGAATGAGGTTGGAAATTGGATGTAGTGGACTGGGTTAGTGATGGTTGCTGAGAATGTGATCGAAGACTGTTTGGTGCGTCCGGCAGATCTTTAGTAGGGACATAGGCATACCTCCATACAGAGAGCTGTTTACGCTCTATGTCGAGTGTAACAACGGTCTGATCAGAGACATCTGGACCGCGTGGCGAGGTCCAGAGTACAAATTCTTCAGCGGGAACTGAGCTCAGAGGTCTGCCAATGCCGTCATCCTTGAGTGAAGTAGGTGTTCCATCAAACCCACCTACGATTCCCGATGACAGTCCGACAACTGCTGGTTCGGCATGGGGGTTAATGATGGTGAACAAAGTGGGGAGTGGTGCATCTCCAGAGGCCTTAGCCTCTTCAATCTCTGCAGGGTCAAGAATTCTCTGCACGACTACTCCATGAGGGAATAGAGGCCAAGCTTTACGGACGACAAACGGGAGGTAGAACGTGTGCTCTTGTCCATTGCCGAGGAGGTATATCTTTGCGAGGGAGCGAAGGAAAATAAATATGGCACGACATCGTGTCGCAGGCTCCTCGTCAGCTCTTGGCTCTTGCTGTATGCGGGCAAAGGGTCCAAAGGTTAATCGCTGGGTTGAGGATGATGGGTCCGAGGTGGACTTTTGAGTGTCTCCTGTCGCCAAGTCAGGCCGCATAGAGGTTGTGTGTACGGTACTGGGCTGCTCAATGTAGCCAATACATGCCCACTGGATCGGCTGCTTCTCGTCATCTTTAAAATTCCATCGTTTGCGAATGACATCGCCTGAGCTGAGAACAAGGTTGTAGGTATCCCAGCTAAGCTGCTCTTCACCAGCGGCGTCGTCAACAGGGGCGTAGTACGAAGTACGCGGTGCAGAGCTGGCTTCCCCTCTGTAACCTCGCAGAGCAGTTCGAATGGCAGACAGAAGATCGGATTCTATGTGAGACGAGTCAGTTTGAGACTGTTTCCGGTCGAAGAAAGTGTGAATTGTTGATAGTGTTGGTTGAATATGGCACGGCGCAAAAAGGGTCTCCACAGGATCCATTGTAGAGGGATGGCTGAGCCCATTAGACGGGTGTATCTGGTAGACTAATTTGTGGCTCTCACCTTAGTTAGCTATTGCACAATCTCTGGGAGTGTCCACCTAAGCGAAGGTTATGGGTTCTTGATAAGTTCGGAAGACTTGCGCTATGTGAAATCGCAGTAGAAGACTGCCGTGCATTGACAATGACTTAATGTTCAATATAAGGGGTCAACTCAGGGTTTTGGCGCACTGTTTACGAACCCGTCCTGGTTACTCAACGCTGTAGTCAGACCGTTCAAAGCTTATGAACGTACAGTGGCTGGAGGGGTGGCTAGTGGTCAGTAAATAAGAGAAGTCACTGGCAGAACGCGTCGAATTGTTGAGCGCGTCGCGTATTACGTAATCATCGTTACTTACTGCTCTTTCAAGTTGAATCTAGCCTTTCACTCTTGCTTCAGAACTTTTGCCCACGTTTCTTCATTTCCGCTCTACTCTCGTGCTCTCAGACTCACTGTTGCCTTGCGGTCAGCTTTGAGCTTCCTTGGAAATACTGGCGACAAGGGTTGCGGGAACGAAATGCGTCGGCAGTGTCTTTCATTTAACTCGCGCACTAAATCGTCATCATAATCCTCAAAATTCATCCGGATCGTACATGCGTCGATGCTGCTTTTCTACTCTTAGAAGGCCAGATTTGGCTCTTCCTGTATCATCTAATCCTATTTATTATACCCGTCATTATGCTTCTCATGCTGCATGTTACGCTCCTTTGACCCCTGAACCGCAATCATTGCCCGAGTTCAATTCTCAGGAAGAAAAACAGTCTGCTGACCCATTAGACGTTGCTTGTTGCAACTTTGACCATCTTGCTCTTACGACTCGCTTTGACTGGAGGCTGCGCGCACCTTCTCGACTTCGTGTCGATCCTCGCAAGACCTCACCTAAGCACCGCCCACGCCGAGGTCCCAAACGCGCCCAACCGCCTCATGAGAATCTGCAGCAAGGCAATCGTTTCTATGAAGAGCTTCAGGCATACCAGAAACAGTGAGCTACTTCCTCGCGTCGTATTTCAAATCACCGGCTAAGAATTGCTAGTTTCCTTCCGCTCCTCGCAGCTGAACAAGCTGAAGATGAGGAAGTTCTCAAGGAACGGTTGTCAAGTTGGAGCGAGGAACGTTTAAAGCAGGAAGGCTATTGCATAACAGGGCTTTCGGCCTTTTGGTTAGAGAACAATCACTTCGGACGCCCTGTTGCTTCATTTGCCCTAGGTCCAGGAATTACCCTGCCGGAACATCGCTTTGAGTATGTCTGTTACTTCACATTGTCCTTTCATAGCTTATCACCTTTAACAGGAATGGCACCCAGGTTCTGTTGACCCGGTTGGATCCACTGCAGGAGGAACCCGAACGTGGAAGCATTGTTGGTACGACCGAGACTCAACTGCGAGTTTGTTTCCAAGAAATGTTCGATCTGGACGCTGGACAATGGAGGTTCGACAACTTTCACCTGTTCAATATAATTGACACGATAATGACGCTCTTATGTCCAGACTTGACGTTGGACGCTCTAGTATAGTCTTCGACCGCATGCGTACCGCGATTTCACAACTCAACCACGACCCTTCACGTCAAGAGAGCCAAACCGGTACAAATGACTCAGATCGTCAGTTCATCTTGCAGGGAACACATCTTCGTGATATTCTTCTTCGGTCGTTTATACGTACACAGCAAGACTCTGATGCTCAGTCTGAGCCTGACAGCCAAGAGGATGTACCATCTGCGTCAGCTTCTGTTACCCTCATGGATCACAGAGGCGTCTTCAAAGATGATGTTCGTATCCAAAGTTGGGCAACACGTTACTCCTCGCCTGACCCAGTAGTCATCGAGGGAGACCCCATTCTGAAGGACCTCAATTCAACTCAAATTCGGGCTATTGCTATGATGATCGGTCAACGTTTCACCCTTGTTCAAGGACCCCCCGGAACAGGCAAAACTAAGACCATCATCGAGGCTGTTCGTCTTCTCAAGACTCATTTTGAAGTCTTCCATCCTATACTTCTCTGCACCTACACCAATGTCGCTGTGGACAATCTCGTCGAAGGTTTGCTCACGACAGGCCTCAAACCCTTACGTATCGGTTATGGAGGCAAAGTAAAGGAATCGCTTCGCGAAACTACTCTCGAAGCCAAGATCGCCGCGCATCGGCTCTCCAAGGATCTCGAAAGAGTTAATGCACAGACGGAAATGGTCGAAAAGCGCAGGAAGAATTTGCTCATGCGGATATCTGAATTGAGGAGTAAGAAGATGGCGAGTCTTGCAGGGAGGTTGATAAACATGGAGACGGACCTGATTTGGATGGATAGGCAGTTGGCGGCACTGAAAGCAAAGGGCTATGCGATTTATCAAGAAATGTTGAAGGACATCGTGTCGGACGCTGATGTTGTGTGCACGACTTGCGTTACCTCGGCATCCATGGCTCTCAACGTGTGTGACTTCCCCGTGGTTTTCGTTGATGAAGCATCTATGTCCACGGAACCTGCCTCTTTGATTCCGCTCATGAAAGGCGTACGTGACTAGTGCTCTATCTGACTACCGTTAGCTGATGTTTTAGTAATTCCTAGTCTCAGCATGTTGCCCTGATTGGCGACCACAAGCAACTTCCTCCGGTCATTACGAGCCCAGAAGCACAGGCCAAAGGCCTTGGTATAAGTCTCTTCGAGCGACTAGCCGAGGAAGGAATCGTTCCTTCCATCATGCTCGACATCCAGTATCGCATGCATCCTATGATCTCACACTTTCCCTCCCATGAATTCTACAACTTTGGTCTACGCAATGGTACCGTCGACGCAACAGGCGCAGTCCCTGCTCATCTTCTTCCTCCTACTTTCAGTCTCCCTATGTTTAATGCCGATGGGGAGAATCGACCCTCGGTCATTTTCTTGGACCATCAAGGAATCGAGTCGATGAAAGATCGAAGTCGGGTGAATATTAACGAAGCGCATCTGGTTTGCAGTGTCGTGGAAGATCTGCTCCTTCAAAACGAACAAATGCGTGGACATGATATCGGTATCATCGCACCCTACGTCGCCCAAATCTCCTTGCTCAATCGGTTACTCAACATTGACGCCAAGTATAAGAAACGTTTCGAGTCTGTCCTGGGCGCGCACCGTGCCATGCAACTCCCGCACATTGAAGTCAAGACTGTAGACGGGTTCGAAGGTCGCGAGAAGGACGTCATTATCTTCAGTACAGTCCGAAACAACTCCTCGGGTCATATCGGTTTCCTTGCGGACCGAAGACGGCTGAACGTTGGGTTGACGAGAGCTAAGAGGGGTTTATTCGTGTTGGGTAACATTGATACTCTCAAAGCTGGGAGGACTGGTAGAGGTGGAAGTTTAGACGTGGCGAGCGCGTTCATGAAGGTTGGGAAGGGAGCTGAAGCCTGGAGACGCTATGCCAAGTTCTTAGATGATGAGAAGTTGATATTGAAGCTACAAGGAGAGCAGTTGAGAAAAGTATTATATGGTAATTACCCATTGTAACATTGATATGTTTTCTTGCGTACGTTCACTGTACGTATGCTTCCGTTGTCATGTAGATCTAATAGTACGTTCTGGGTATTATGTTTTTGGACAATCCCCTCTCTTCATGGCGCAGTTATACAACACTACCATACCCTCATATTACAAAGTCTCCGTGATGTATTTGCTCTGCATCCGACATCCTAAGTTACATGGTGACAAACACATTAACGATACACATTTGAGCAGGCATGCTATATATCCCTCCTGGATTTCATCTACCCCTTATACCGGATGATCGCTTTCCTCGGCCGCCAAATTCTCAACTTCACCGTTGCGCGGACGCTCACTGTATAAGCATTGTCAGCAATGGCACGGGAAGACTCTTAGTTCAGTCTAGAGGAATACCGCTTAGATCGCCTAGCACTGTCTGATCTGCTCCATCTGCAAGCTGGCGTGTCTATATTCACTGAATATCTGCAGGCGTTTGAAGATAGCCTACTGACGAAATGAATCTGGAGGGCTGAGCTTAGTCGTTGGAGCAGGCCTTGCTTATTTTTACAGCGTGACAATGATGTAGGTGGGATCGGATGGGGAAAAGTACTGCAGCCCCCTGTTCATCGCTTTAGTGATAGTTTGAAACTGTCGAAGTATCTTGTCTGACCAAACCATGCCCTACGTGGAGGCGACCGCTGACTCTGCCGAATAGTGCATTATATATGTTGGGAAAAACCTTAGCCTAGGCATAGAAGTCTGGGCCTGCATACTATGGGATATACTTGATAGAATACCGGTCTTACGTTGAATAGAGGCTAGTCTTCGCTAAGAGAGGGTTGGATGAATCTTCCGGGAAGTTTGAATCGCTGTGGGGAACCGGCCGCATTGATATTGCACATCCATACACGACATGTTTTCCAGATCTCCGAATGGCATTGTGCAGGCTCTTCTACGGCATAGGCCTTGACTGTTTGGTGAATATCAGTGCACCACGATCACGACAAATTCATATTAAACTTCATGAATGCTGAATGATGTTGAAGCGTGCGACTTGCTTGGCGAAGAGTGTAATCGAATTGACTCGGGAATCATGCTTAATCCGAGTCAGTGCTTGTGCAGATGACGAACACATTGGCCAAATTAAACCGGTATTCAGGCTAGGTACCTGCTAAAGATTGAATGAGAAGAAGAGAACCTGATGGATAGTGACAGCAAGGACATCAGACCGGTTGAAGGGGGAATGTCGTAGCCGAGTTCGGACTTATTAGACGTACCTACTCTAGTAGTAGTAGATGCCAGTCCAACAAGAATTGATGGCCGCAGAAGAGAACAGAAGCACAAAACCGTCCGTTGTAAGACCAACACTCGACGTCTTCCGTATTATATTAGATCCCGGTCCATCATGTAGATGTGATGAGACAATCTGACCTTTTATAAGTCCACGATATGATGTGCCACCTCGAAATGAGGGGAAAGGATATACAATACTTTTACATACCCGGAGCGGGACATTTAAGGATTACATCTGGGGCAGAGGTTAATGAAGGGTTACCTCGTCCTTGGGTCATTCTTACCAAGTGCGTTCATCTTCGTTCTGCGATGCTGTTTCAGTTGAGATGGTTACCGTGCAACTCACTTACCCCGCATTAAGCCTAGACTCGCTGTCCTTCGTATTGGTCTAGATTGTGGTTCCTGCTTCTTGATTGTTGCTCGGCAGACTCCAATTTAAATACGAGCGTGTACTGAACGGCGTCGTTAATGAATCCCTTGTTAGTCCAAGAGTTCTCCGAAAAGAGTCTAAAGGAATATACCATCGCTTGCCGTTGAGTGTGTCTGGAGAAACATTCGCAGTTTCCTTTGGTATTCCTTGAGTGAAGAGAGCCGGTGACCTCCGTTCCTGCACCTTCCCAAACTCAGCGAATCATTCGGTTACTCCAATCTTTGTCACTCCTTATCCCTTTTGGCAATCACTGTATTCATGCTTCAAGCAACGCACCCCGTCGCTCCATTTCCCGCTCAATGAGCTGGGAAGCTGTCGGCCCCTCTCTTTGTTCTGTTCATTCACTTGGGCGTATGTACTTATAGAGGTTCCCGAAGATACTTGCTCACAGTTCAACTTACGGCCGAACAGAATCCCCGGAAGAGGCCCGGAATATGCCGAGTTAGCCTGAAGCAAATTGCGAAGAGTCGCTCTTGCCAAGATTGCAAGTTCATCGTTATGCAAAGGTCGAACATGTAGACGATGGTCTTCTTTGATTCACTGGTATTCAATCTGTCACATATGAGGTACTTTGAATGTTATCAATCAACTGCTGCTTCTGATATCACTCCCTGTCCGCTATCTCTTCATTTCATCCCGTGCTGGATTTCTGGGAGTTTGAGCTTCCGATTCCCACCGCCACCGTAGGTCTCAGGGATTGCATGGTGATGCGCCGCCCCCGTGCTTATCCTCCCATATCCCGACCTGAGCGCCCGATTCACCGATTCCGGTCACGGTTGCCTGGTAAAACCGTTTCACGGCCCCTTAGCACCTCCAAAAGTTCACGCATGGATACTATGTTCGGCTTCGCGCTCGGCGATGGCAATGTTTGGGATCTGCCTTGCAACGCAAAATTGAAATAATTCTAGTAAATACGGGTAGGAGGATTTCCAACTTTGCCCCATACCCTAACGCCGCCCGACCAATTACGTGTCTACTGTTCATGCGCATGTTGGGGAGTGGGAAGTTACAGGAAGTAACTTGGGGTGCGACGATCTACGATCAATCGTCCCCCGCCATACAAGTGGAGGAAGAGTTGAATATAACTATCTGCCTGGCTGCCATTCCTGAACTCACTTCCACCTGTGAAGTTTCGAACTCACGAACCCACCCGCAGCCGCCGGTTGTTTTTGGACCATAAGGTCCATTCACAGACGACCGTAGCCGCCCAGTATAAACTCGGAAGTCAGACGCGGTCCTGGCCCAACTGAACCACGAGAAGTATTTTTTCTTCGCGTCCGATCGCCTTTCCTGAGCGTGCACGAGTTGCACGCGACGCGTGACAAATTGCAGACTTCAAATCCAACCCCAGCTCAGGCTGTCGGTTCAAATACCTCTTCTACCTTTCGCTCCAACAACATCTTGTGGACGTTTGCCACTGGCCTGCTCTTCCTCTTTCTTACCACCACGACTGCCACTCACGGTATTGGCTCTCTCCTCCCGCTGATACTGGTTCTTTCGCTTTAATGCCCGTTTCGACGAACTTGGTCTCTAGTAGCTTAGCTGCTCCTCAAGGCAGGGTCTCCTCTGAACAGCAAAACTCTTGGGTCGACTCTCGCGTTAAGGGTCTCCGACGATTGTCCATACCATCTATCTCAACTGCTGATCGGAATTCTTCCGCACGCGCTTCGCCAATGTCCTCGGTTGGAGGATTGCCTTACTGGGCACAATTGGATCGCATCGTACGTCTTAAGCGTCGCTTCTTCCCATTATTAAAGAGTCATTCGGACCGTATCTGACCTCGTTGTTCTTCTTGCTGCTGGTGTTTGCTAGGACTCTCGTCGTTCTTCCCCCTCCACGTCGTCTTCCAGTGTTGCGATGGAGAACGCCGCCACGAACTTTTCACAAGATCCATTTTACCTCACACGATCGAGAGTGCTACGAGTCAGTGTTTCCACCTATGGCTTTTGCAGCATAATCCCTATAACCTCTTTGTTTGGTCTATACAGTTGTCAGCAAGAACTCGGCTCTCGGAGTACACGTTGCCCGACGTTGTTCACAGGGTACGCGTTTCCTGCCCACTCGCTCTCGTCGACGTGTGCCGCTTACCTCTACGCCACACCTTATCTTTGTGTAGATCAAATCACTGCAGCCTACGTTGTGGAAAAGTTCCTCGTCAGCGTCGTCTGACGTCGATGGCGTGTTTCTCGTCTTCCGGACGCATGAGGAGGTAAGTGGCCGAAAGTTTTCTTTTTTTCACCAGCCATTGGGGTTTGTGTACTTGCGGTTATTTTCCGTTCGATCGACGAAAGAGATCGATACGGGATCGGGCACTCGGCAAGACCCGGGTAAAAGACGGCGCGGTCACGTGGACGGCAGGTGTCCAAATTAGGCAGTGACAGTTGCGCCCAGGCAAAGTCGGCGGGAGGCTGCTATTCTGGCTGCTGCTGTGCATATTTCTTATTATACGCCTTCTACTTCTCCCCTACTCTACCCTCCTTACCGGGTCATACCGTCGAATTAGGTTTCACCCGTGTGCACCGAAGTCTTCCGCATCATCCAACTCCTTTTTGATTCCGTTCACAATCATCTATGATTTCACACTCATTTCCCGTGCTTTTCAGGCTTGCACCGCTATCTCTCTGTCCAGCCCTTCCTTCCCTCTCTATGCAGCTCTTGAGAGTGAGCTAGAACACATCCAGAACCTCCAGCAACTCCTGTGGTCCGAAGTTGTACGTTCCCTTTCCTTTAATCGAGCGCTTGGCGAATTTGTATACATAAACTGAACATCCTTTATGAAGGTGGAAGAAATGGCAACCGTGGCTCCCCCGCAGAGGATGACACCGTTGATTCCATTCGTGTCTCGACGCGTCCACGATGTGGCTCAAGGTCAAGGTAACAACGCCGCACTTCCAAACGGTTTAACACCGCTGCAAATTGAAGGCTTCAACCTCTCGAGTAATCCACCCAACCCGAAGCTCAGTTTCCGAGCAGGTGACTGGATGTCAGTGTCCCCCCTTTTTTTCCCTCGTAGTGATCTCCCGAGGCATTCGCTGATATGATGTTTTACTCTAGGTGCTCCGTACGTCATTGTGCAGCTCATAATTTCGGGTAAGTCTCCTCTCCTTTCTTCGTTTCACCTCTCGATGAGAGGGTTTCTATGAGTTCTATCATTCCATGTCATGGTTTCAACTTCCGTCCAAGCGAACTATGAGACCCCCTATCATTCCCAATTAGAGTTCTCTTTCGTACCGGAATGAATAAGGTGATACTGATGATGACCTCATTCTAGTCGCAACGTAGCGTGCATTCGATGCGGCACCCCTCGCACGATGAATACCATGGACGGCAGTAGTGCGGCCACCAGCCCTATCTCACCAACGCATCATGTTTCTCCTAGGTTCATTAATGCTGCTCATCCTGCCAACAACGGTGGTCAAATTCCCAACCTTGTGCTCATGGCTCCTCAACATCCTCAGGTTGCTCAATTCTCACACCACGCTCATGCGCAGCACGTTCAACATCAACAAACTCATCCTGCCCTCCCCAATACCCCTCTTACGCCCATCTCGTCTCAACCTCCTCACACTCCTCACGCGCCCAATACACTTATGGCACCTCTGTCCGCCTCTGGCATGCCAAAATCCTATCCACCCATCCCCTCCTCTTCACCCTCAGTCTCGTCACCGTCAAAGGCACCGTCACCCTCATATCCCCTTCTCACACCTTCGGGACACGCATTAAGCGCAGGTGGTCGAGTTCGGAATATCTCGACAGACCCCTTGATGCCATGTATCATGTATTGGCCTGACAATGAACCTTTACCGGAGAGGGGACAGATTAGGCCTCTGGGGAGTGCCGTTATCCAGGTGCGTGGGGGTTCTCCTTGTGTTGAGTAGTTTTCTAGTATCTGTGAAAATGACATACTGATAATGTATTGTCGTTCGCTATTTAGTACCCGCCGATCATCAATACAGGCAACAAGGGCGCAGCGGAGAAGCAACCGGGTGATTGGGTTTGCTCCAAGTGTAACTACTTGAATTGGAGACGGAGGAAAGTCTGTCAGACGTGTTATCCCTGTACGTCTTATCTTTCACTTCTTCTCATTTTGCCTACCCTTTTAATTATTTATCGACATTTTCTTAGATGCTGAGGGAAACGGCGACTCGATCTCCGCAGCCGTTCAAGCGGAACGTATCGCACTCCTCGCAAACGTCCTCAATCGCTCCACGTCTTCATCTGCCTCAACGCCTTCCCTCACCCCCACTACCACGCCCGCCTCTTCGACTTCCTCGTTCTCGTCCTTTGCTCAAGGTCCTACTGCAGGGCACACTGCGACTCAACAGGTCTTGCCTCCAGTTGGCGGAGTCGAACGTCAACTTCGGTCATGGTCATCTTCGGACCACCCGCAGTTCGATCGGGAGTTACAGAATAAGTTCTCGCACCCAATTTATCAGACGTCGGGACACCCGTCCCATCTCTCTCACCCTTCGCACCCCTCGTTGAACGGACATTTCGCCCAGCTCGGTCCATCGTTCCCAAGCGAGTCCAACTTCCTCCCGTCCTTCCTCCAAGACATCATCCATTCGCCCTCCCTCTCCCCCGCCACGTCTTGTTCCTCGGGTTTCGAGGGCCCCCACTACACGTACTCTTCCAACACTTCTGTGAACGCGTCTCCTGACTCGTCTTCTCGTGGAAGTATCGGTGAGGGTCGGCCCCGCGGGAACAGTGGGCATGGAAAGGGGAGTATCGGTGAAAGTCGACATATTGTTCAGCGCGATAGGAGTGCCAGTCGACAAAGGCCTTATACTTCTTCGTCAGGGAGCAATGGAAGCGATTTGAGTATCTGGAGGTTGGACGGTGAAGAGACTAGGCACATGAAACTGGGAGGGTTGAACGGATCCGAGTCGAGCTCTAATGGATTGGATGGATTGAACGAGGTAGACGAAGTAGCTGATACCTTGGCAGATTTCGACATCGCGGGGAAGACCCCGACGAACTGTGCGGTGTTCGCGTAGGGACGAAAAAATTATGTAAAGACGTATGGTGTATCAAAAACGTACGTCTCACTTCTCAGTTCTTTTCTCGCATCTCGAGTTGACGACATCTTCGCAGAAATTCTCGTCTCGTATTCTTGCTCCTGTATCTCAAAAGACTCTCAAGACGGACTTACCCCGCATCAACTTGGACGCATCGTGGATCGGAAAGACCAAAAACCCAACACTCAATCACTTTAAAAAATGGCGACACGGACAATGTATTTTGGAACTATCTTAAAGTATAGTGATTTATACGACCGACCGGCGGCGATTCCTTCCTTCTGTCCTTTTATTCCTATTGCTCTGAATCTTATTCACCCTTCAGGCACTTGTGCACTTTACCCCCCTTTGTTTTTGCTCTTAACCATCTTCTCATCTTCATCTTCATCTTCAGTGATTTATCTTTATGCACCTAATGCTATTCTTGAACGTAGATTGTTCTTCTTGTTCTACCTCAACGCAACTTTTACCCCCTTCACTCTTGTTGTTTTCAGACTCGACCCCGGCGGCCCTGGGCTTGGAATCTTTCTTTCTGTCTGTCTCTCTCCGTTTATGCATATAAAGTATATTTGGCATACGTATCAGTTGTTGTTTGTTGTTCATTACACCCAGGAATCAGAAAAATGAATGTATTTTTTCCCCAACTCTTTACTACCAATGTCGTGTGATCTGTGTCGTTGGCACGACTCTGACGCGATGAATGTTGTTAACTTCCAGAGCCGTTGTAAGTCAATTCTTCTTTACAGGCCCATCAGACATTCATATTGACACAAAGCGGAATAAATTCATTCTTGGTTTGACATACGGGATGGAGAGATCGCAATCATGTACAATCCATAATTTCGAGTACGAACCATCAATCGTCCAACGATCAATGTGGACTAGACACGCTAGCGGCATCGTCCTCTTCCCTCACATTAGGATCATGTACATCATCCCTCCTCTCACTCTGCGATACAGGGCTCCTCGTGCTCTGACTCGGCAACTCGTGTGAGCCCTCTGAAGTTCTCGACGCTGACCTCGACCTTGCTCTTGCTCGTGCTCGTGATCTTTCAGTTGACTCTGATCCACTCTCCCCATCCCAACTGGAAGAGCGTGAGCGTGATCTAGGTCTCCGAGGAACATCCCCTCCTTCCCCAGGAAAAGTCATCAGAATATGATCTCCATTGTAGAAAGCGCATGTGCGCTGTCGAACTCTTCTTGGTAGATCGATGCGTTCGAGTTGTTGTGTATCGAATGGTGTAAAACGCCATTTTGAGACCTTGGTGTCGATGTCAGACGTGCCTGCAGGGTATGAACTGTCAATATATAGCATTTAGGATTGGGAACCACTGGCGGCACTGACCAAGCCGATAAGTAGAGCCGTCACGACAGTGGAGAAATAAGTACGAGATTCGCGTCAAATCAGAGTGCAAGAACCGTGGCGGGTATTCACGAGGAGCATCCTCTCTAAAGACAATGCCTATGATCCCACCGAACAAAGCCTCCTCGACAAAAAATCCCGGTTCAGGGACATCCCTGTTGTGGCGCAGATAGGTGCATTTGTGGTAGGGAAACTGATCGATCTCAACAGGGAGTGGATCGGTATAACCCTGAAATCGATTGACCACTGCGTGACCGAGGTAGTGCAAAATGATAACGATGATGACGAAAGGTAGGCGAGAGACGTTAGAGTCGCTTTGTGGCGACACCAAAGCAGCCGCTAGTCGACCATGAATCTCGAGCATTTCGTCCGTTCTTGGTCAGGCCAGCACCATTTACTTTGTGGAGAGACATCATATTGAGGGAAATGGCGGCGTATGAAGGAAGTAAATGATTGAAACTCTGGATCAGATTCCGAGAAGTCTGTGGATACATATGGAACGTAGTCGAATGCAACGCCATCTTGCCGTGTGAGAGGAACGAGGGCAGCAAGATAACCAGGGTTGTCAAGCAAAGTACGTCGAACTTTGGAGAAAAGATAGCGAATGGTATCCCAAAGCTCTTCGGAGACTGTTGCATTGGGCATCGTGTGTGAAGGCAGGCGGCGCTTGACAAACCTTGACTAGCCTTCCTACTTACGGCAGGGGAAAACCTTATCAGAGTCCCAGGGGGGTCGCTATCCTTGAATACAAAATAACATCTGAGTGCTTAGGAAGGTCGCGAATGGAAAAGACTGTATATGACGGTGACTTGTCATCGTTGCCACCCTATTTCTTTAAGAACGTCGTGATCTTCTCTGGGGACTTTGATTCTTCTTTACTTGTCTTCGTCCCTTTGCGCTAACATAATGATATATTACACTGTTGCAGTAAACGTATATGCAGACTTACCTCTTTTTTAGCTGCAGGCTTTTTTCCAACGGACTACAACAAACGTCGTGAACAGGGGCATCGAGCCTGGAAATGAGAACACACCTTCGTTGGCTTCTTCTCCTGAGAACCCTTCGGTGGAGATTTCTGCTATCCTCGTTCACACGTGCATAAGGGCGTAAAATTCTCAAAGTTCGGGCTTACCTTCGTCTCTGACGGTCCCTCAACATACTCAATGTCGGAATCGTCTTCCCAAGTATTCATCTTCTCCACCTTGCGCTTCTTCTTCGCTGGCTTTACATCTTTTTCATCCTTGGCCTCTGTTTTGGCCAAACGTTCAAATGAAGGACTGCGTTCACGCTTCTTGCCCTTTGAAGGTGTAGACGGTTGAGATATTGTTTCCGAAGGCTTAGTCTGTTTAGCGAACATGGCTTGAATACCGTCTTTGCGTTCAGCAATAGGTTCAATGAAGGTGGGCGATTCTGTGCCGACTTTCCCGACTTCTTTGGGGACCGGATAGCTATGCGGCGTCGTAGGAAGTCTGTCAGGATATTTCGCCAACAGCTCGAACAAATATGCTTACCAGATAAGAGGTGCATCTTCGTCGCGATGGGGTTGTACTAATTTCGTCAACTCGGGTGTCCATTTCTGAGGGGAAGTATCGAGCCAAGTTAAGACAGCTTCGCGATTGGGTAAAATGACCGGTTGTCGATCATGTAACCAGTTGAGCTCTTTATTGGCATCAGTAGTTACGACTGTGAATGTCCACAGAGGCTCAGATTCGCCTAGAAGCGAGAAGAGTAATCAAAAGGAGCAATTCATTCACTGGTACTAGGTGCTTACCTTCCAGATGCGCACAATCATAAAGACCGGCAAGCAACATCAAATGGCCATCCTTGCGCTTGATGAAATGAGGGATGCGTTCCTTCCCCTTCTTCAGCCATTCATAGTACCTACTCATCGGTATCCTGGGATGAAGTTATCCGTCGAACAGACAACGGAGCAGACTTACCCTTGGCAAGGTACAGCACACCGTTTCCGGCCTTTGATGCTCGCCCACATACCACCACCTGCCACCAGGTTCTCACGACGTGCATTCATAGTGCTCAGGGACTTGTCTTCATGCTTACTCCAGTGAGGAACTAATCCCCATCTCATAGTGTGCAAGACTGGCTCAACACTGGACGCTGAGGATGATGAAGATTCATCTTGGGGTGGTTGTGTATGGTGTCTGCGGACGACAGGAGCAGTGGAGCGGGGAGCTATGTTATATCTAGTAACAAGTAACCGTGCTGGGGTGAGTCGTTTCCGATTTGTATTCCTGACATTGTCGTAAAGCCTACCTGGGGACAAATTGGTCCTGATCGATCCATTCGCCAATGGGAATGTCGTATCCGTCCAACGCCTGGATCGCAGCGTGCTATAGGGGTACGAGAGACCACCTTAGCTTCAACTTGAAGCTTTCAAAGAGATGTGATTCTAAGTACTTACGGGAACTGCAAGAGCAAACCGTCCACACATTGTTGCGCTGACGGCGCAAAATAAGCTCATACACAACGGAATAATAACGACTCCTACATACAAGTTGTTGGTGGTGGTTTGGAACTAAGATCTAAGAGACCGGCGCTTCGGCAATCACAAGTTCACAAGTTCATTCTATCCAGCGACCACCACGACTGCACGACATTCGTGACAACCTCATTGTGCGCTCCTCTCTTTCATCATAGATTGGCTATGGTATCTTGTTAACGCATACTATATCACATATAACTTGGACTACAACGACTAGACTCGCGGAGGGTGAACGATTTCAATCGGAGCCTGAACGTCCTTCTCTCCAACATCCACGACGACGAGCACAGCAGCGACGACAGCGACGACAACTGCAACAATGGGAATAGATCAAGGGGCAAAGAAACTGCTTGAGACCGCAACGATAGAGACACTTCATGCTCACAACTTCTCTCGGTCGTCTACTCAGGCAACTCTCGTTCTGACGGATCTGCTTTCTCGATACTTTACCGTGCTGACGACAACATGCGCCAAGTACGCTGAACACGCTGGCAGGAGTCGTCTGACGGCCAAGGACGCAATATGCGCTCTAGATGACTTGGGTGTGGACGTGGAAGAGCTGAGCGAATACTGTGCCTCAGAAGGGAAGGAGATGTCGCGGTACGCTGTACATACCGCACGCAGGATCGAGGACTTGAATGAGTTTAAAGGTAAGTCAAATGTACCAGCCCTCCATACTCAACGCGTGTTGATTATATTCTATAGCATCTCTTACGGCTGGTCTGAGAGAAGACAGGGACGACGCTGTGCCACTTGTGTACGGTCCCATACCCAGTCTTCCCTCGTCAGACGAGGAATACGAGGAGAGCGAAGCAGAATGGGAACAGGAGGAGGGCTTGCAACTGCCAGAAATCCGTATGGATGGAGACAAACCAGAAGATGTGATTGCTGTAGAGCGTGTGCTCAAACGACATTCGCCTCCGCCGTTGCCTTTGTCCCCTATCTCCAATCCTCCTTCACCACCTCGGAAACGACCACGAACCGCAAGCTGGAACCCTCCACCGCATATACCTTCCTTTCTTCCTCCATTTCCTACAGATACGCCTCGTCATACGCCCAGCCCTCCGCCCCTCGACCTCCATCCAGTAGCTCCCCCAAGTGTTGAACCAGTCAAAGTTGAACCAATACCTTTACCAGCGTCTCAGGAGACCACCTCCTCGAAACCCCCAGGAGATTGGGTCACGCCAACGCCATACGAACTGTCAGGTTTGGCCTCTCAGCCGACATGGCATCTTCCACTCAAACCGCCAACACCTCCGCCATCACCACCAAACAGGCTTCCTGTGCCCATGGCTGAACCTGCCTTACTCGGAGCCTATCATTATATTCTCACGCACCACCCGAAGACGAAACTCGATCAGTTTCACCCAGGTCCTACGAATCCAGGGCGATATAAAGTTGCCCTTGAACTAGTTAGACAGGCTGAAACTCAACCTCGCTGGGACCCTCCTCCGACACTCTTTGCGAGCACGGCACCCAATGCGCCGAGGGTGGCTGCTATTGCACCATCATATCCCATTCCCTATGGGAAGCTCGCAGAAGAGGAGAAGGATATGAAGCCATCGAAAGGCGGAAAGGACAGAGACATGGAAGAGGCCAAATTGCCACCGACACAACCGAAAATTGTCGCTGGAATCGATCGTCTGTCGCCGTTGGTCAGTCAGCCATATACCAGGATACCTGCTTTGGCTCGCGAACTGCTATCTGTAAGTAATACATATCCGATTATCAATGTCCTACCACTGATGCACCGTTCTAGCGTCCTGTATATCACCGAACGACACGACTATCACATCCAAATGTCCTTACTCGCGGAACGAAGAAATTGGTGTATGGTGAATCAATTGCTGCGCCGTGGAACACTACACCGTCGGCAGCAGAAGGCAAGGAGGCTGCCAGTGGGAAAGAGAAAACGAAGGATAAGGATATGGTAACGTCTAAGGTCCTTCCTGATGCTGCGTTGTTCGCGACATGGGATTTCGAGCAGAAGAGGTATGATCAGCCGTTACCTGCTGGAAGGAAAGGTAGGATGGGAAATATCAGTGTACATCCTCCCGTGCCGAAGGGAAGGGGGAGAAGTGAGAGCAGGGGTTTATAAGTTGTTACTTATTCAATTTGCTGTTGATTCTGTTTTGTTATTATATAGACCACTTTCAATGCTAGCATGGTCGACAATTGGGAACACATAAAGTGACGAATTGCCAACGAATCTAGGCGTGATTCTCATTCTGAGGATGTCTGTATCTGTGTGCGGACTTGGCGGCTCATTCAGGCTGCTCGGCTTGTGAACTAGAAAATGTGCATATGAAGGTCTCGACGAATGTATCGGTATGAAGTTATTCAGATTAAATGTCATCGTCGCCGAACAAATTGCTATGTAATCTCTGAATCCACTATGAATCAAAGTCGGATACTCATTCTACGGAGACTCGGGTAGCAAGTGTGTTCTCTTGAGATATAACATTAGTCGGACATCCAACATAGTCTGGCCTTACCCTGGGTATTCAACAGCTACGTAGAGCCGTATCATACTCGTATTCGTAGCTAACATAAGTACTCATGGTTTTCAATTAGAAATTGCGAGATATCCATTGGACTAGACCGAATACGTTTCGAAGCCCTCGCGTTGGCGCTTCCTTCTGCGTACAGTGGTTCATTTTCGACGAAGAAACGAGGAATCTCCTATCGATACTTCATCGTCGCCAAGCTCACTTCCGTCGTTGAGCAGGACTCTCGCCACTTTGCAAAGACATTAGGCATAGGTGAGGCACGTTCTGTTGAGACATGCGGACTGCCTCATTGTTTTCGCAAGCCATTCATTTGGCTCCACGCGTCGCGCAATGCTACCAGTGTAAAAGAAGGGATATTTTCATCAAGCCAATCTTCCGACGAGCATGATATAAAGGCATTTGCCATTCACAAAACTATATAGTACAGAGCGAGGTGGCTGAAGAAAAGGAAGACACAAACTACAATGTCCTTCACTCTGGGGTTCCAATTCTCTAGAACTTTTATAACCCGGCCAAGTATAAAACGTCAAGGCCAAGAGGGGGTGCCTCCCGCCATTCCGTCAACTCTCCCTCCTTCTCCAATACCAGAGAGTCCTGTTCGTCATCTACGAGTGTTGAAGGCGAGAGTGGGGGTGTAGACAACGGAGTGGAAGGTAGAGTGAGCTCATCGCCATCGATGAAGCCATACCGGAGCCACGGGAGACAGAGCGCATGGAGGACGAAGTCATCTTCGTCCTCATAGAGTGATGGGGCCACTGCCACACTCGACTGCATTGCCACAGGCTTTGGATAGTGAGCCAGAGGGGACGGAGGTGTGGGCCTCTGTTCTGACAGCGGCTCTTTATTTAAAGTCTGTGGTTGTGCCGTCGAACTTGGCCACCAGGCAGTCTCATGGTAGGCGTCGATCCCATCGTATGTACCAGTGGCTAATTTGAGGGGCTCCCATTCGCATCGATGGGGAAGAGGAGTGTAAAAGCTCTTTGGAACCTGAGCTGGGGTGATGTGGACAGGCACGACGTCTTGTCCGTCGCTGTCACCGAAGGGACCAAAATGGAAGGGGGCAGAGGGTGGCGAAAGAGGTGACCACTGGAAGATCGAGTCGGCCGTGGAGCGTGGAACGGGCTTCTGCGCGAAGGAGAAGCGTGACGATTCCTTTGGAGGGATGTAGGTCTTGTAGGCGGTATATTGTTTGTCGGTGGCACACTGCTCTTCGGAGACAGCGGTTTCGCCGATGGAGCTCGTCTCGGAAATTTCCCATGTGGGAGCATTGATATCCTTAGCCTTCATCGAGGTTCGTGTCAGTTGTTGTTCTGTACGTGTGTGTGGCCAAAACTCACCATGAAGGCATCGAAGTTGGCGAGCGAAGGTGAAGTCTGAGTGGCCATTGTGGCGCGATGTTATACTGATTGTGAGGAAGTGTAGTAGGTAGTGTAATGAAGATGTCAGAACCTTGGACGACGAGCAGCGGTGAGCGCGAGTTCTCTCGTATGAGAGAAGGGTTAACCAAGGTAGTGGATGCAGAACGAGGTGCAGAAGGGGGCGCAAGGACCCTCCCTCCTTTTATAGGCGCACCCCTCTGGCGATAACGCCACTCGCGTCGCGGCTCATGTGATCGCGAATGATTCCGCATGTTCTGAGTTAAGTGCGAATTTTCGATAAGAACGACCAACTGCGCGAGCCCGTCTACTAGGTTTTAGGCTGAATGGAAGAAACGATCTAGTAGAGCGTGTCAGCAAGGCTCCGGATTTGATATCTGACTATAGGTATCGCTGAGTCAAGGAGTATTTGGTATACTACATTTTGCCTTCCACAACCGCGTTGATCATTTACAGTTTTCCCCTTGCCAGAATACCAACACCCTGCGTAAGTCAATCAATGATCACGTCGATGATGTACGACGGGATCTTCCAGGGGAGATGAACGTTACCGGTGTGGAGCTAGGCCTTAAGAACTTCATCGATGTCCGATGCGCGCAAGACGGGCGGGTCGATAAGGTGGCTCGTATGCTTTGTGCGTCTGCTGTCACTACTGTCAACGCAGTCGAAAGGCTAAGCATGAAGTGAGTCCTTGACCATTGATTAAACGTATACGCTCTTAATGGCGTGATTTTCAGAGAACTGGACCAAGCTAGAGAACTGCAGAATCAAGTTCTGAGATTAACCGAAAGGACATTGGCGTTACCATTTGGCAGGGCGATGTTTATTTTTGGAACAGTTACCATCGTCACTCGTGAAACTTATAGGATTCCTCGAATGGAGTATACCACTCTACTGCAGCAACAGAATCTCGCCACGGTCCCTGATCCGGCCAAACTCAATGCCGAAGTGATCTCATGGGCCGACTTCAAGTTCCATAACGTCGTTGCATCTGGTCTGAGGATATCACATACATCGACTGTTGCGGATAGTTCTTGGATCAAGTTCAACGAACCTGCAGAGCTGACAAGTGAAGATGCAGGGTTCCTATTCGTTCTCGGTCTAACAGGACATTTACGCGAGTTATTGACTTGGCATACGCTATCCTACCTTTCGCTGACGCACGATCTTACGACGACACAGCTGTTCTCCTGGGCGGCGTATAACGCCGCATCTACGTCGATAACTATCTAGCACGGTTCTCGCCAAACCTGCTGATTGGGAGATGCGCAAACTGGGACCTCGTAGCGGGTGCCTGGCCACCAAAGCTGTTCTATTCGGGATGAAATTTGCAAGGTGACATGCGCCTGTGAAAGAGAGCCTTCGCACAATAAATTTGGAATTAGGTGTCCTCGTCTTCGCTCGTTGCTCACTGAATCCATTCATAAATCTTCGTCAAGGCCCTCAAAGCCTCTGGATTATATCTCTGCATTTTGCGTATGGACATCATAGTATACATATCTTCTGATGTTTGGGTATCCTTCGCGGTCGGCCCATATTAGATCTACATCAAACGAGTAAGTCAAATGTTTGACTTTTGGCGGGACGCTGCGAAGGAGCTATATTGTACGCTGAGCGACCCTTGCTCGACATACAACTCGACTCCAAATACTAGTGCCAATATGGTGATTGACTTTGAACTTTCGATCAGTGATCACTGCAGTGATACGATCCCATCATATGAACGTAAGTTCGGAGTCTAGAATTGATCATACGTACATAAATTATACTCAACGCTGCTGCCATCTTCTTGCCTCATCTTCAGGGTCCACGCATCAACGAACGCTAGGCCATAGTTCCTCCAACTTCCTCTCGCCGTGCAACATGTTACCAATCCAAACCGCTGAACATATGATGCGAGAGTATCCAGAGACGAGTGTGTTCGAGTGGCACCCCCACTCGCAGAACTTGATTCCAGAGGATAGGACTGGCGAAGCTGCTCTGGACACACCCGAGTTTCGACGTGCAGCCTTCAATCGGGCATGTGAGACCGGTTTAAATCCGTTAGGATACTGGCTGGGTTTAAACCCGTTCTACATCTCAGAGAGTAGCAAGAGAGAAGATATACCCTGGCGAGCTTACGAAGTGCCACCTCTTCTTCCAAGAGTCGAGTTGGAGGATCCAGTGTTTCTGGAAAACATCAATCCTTATGGCAACACACCTCTATTCAAGATACGCAACGGAAACGTCTCTAGAGTTCTGAAAGTGGCATGTTTGATTTACAACATCAGCTAGAGCCAAGGTCTCCTGTAATAACTGACTAATAATAGTTCGTCTCGAGGACTTCACCGGAATGGTGGAATGGGAATACGTCGACATTCGATCCTCAGTTGTCTTTGCAGCTCTATCGTGCGGAGAAGGACGCCTATGCTCACCTGCGACACTCTGGAGCATGCGATGCTGGGGTCGTGCCACAATGCTTTGGCTGGCTGCAGCTTTCCCGTGAAGTAGCTTCGCAACTGTCCACACAATTCAAGTTGTACTGGGAGCTCGCTGATGCTGACGAGGACCTTCCCTATGCCCTCCTCTTGGAACACTTTGCGGATGCTGTCCAGATTTCTGTACAAAATGTCACGTTCCCTATGGCGGAGAAGGCGTTGAGGGCATTATATGTCGTTCACAAATCTTATGTGCAGCATGGTGACATCAGTCGTCGCAATATTCTATTACTTCCAGATGGCCGTATCATTTGGATCGACTTCGACGCCTCCAGATGCGCTTCAAGCCCGGAGCTGCGTCGTCAAGATTTATGGGATGAAATGCGTAGGACTTGGGGCCTATTTTATCAAAGCCTTGTGAGAGTATCATGTTGAATTGTCCGCCCGTGTCCTGTACTCCCATAATAATATTGCGGTAGTTGCCTGGTGCACGCATTGGATTTTCCAACCCTCTCTACTAATCGTTGTATTCACGTTCTCGGTAGTCTACTTATCTTAGTATCCGACTTTATTTAGACTCTCGCACCCTTTCTCGCAATATTTACTCTCGTTTCTCTTCCGGTGCATGGTCTATAGTCTGATTCTCTTCCAGAGTATATTTGCGTCTGAGAGTGCGGATTCGGAATCTCAATCAAACTATTCGGCTTGTAAACTACTTAAAAAACATACACATGAACTTGGTCTCGACGAACATCTCGACAGGGGGACTCGTTTGGCACAGGTGAAGACATGCTCCGATTACAGCTAGCTTCGGTAGCCCTCACCATCATTGTTGTGTTAGCCGATGCTGAGTCTGATCTTTTATTTTATTTTACAGGGGCCTATCGATTGCCTATCGATATTTACAGTCTGGCTGTAATGTTGCCGCACCTTCTAGGCGCAACTCTTGAGTGCAGCCATTGATAAGAACGACGAACTTCGACCTCGCCTACTACTGGCTACGACTCGGACGCAACTATGCGGTCTTCAGTTAACATTGAAGCAAGCATGGTTCAGATATACCCAGAGGTCTCACTTTTCAATAGCTCTCCCCCTCTTAGAGGACTTTCGCCGACGCGGTTGTCCATCGAATCTCCCCAGGCTGAACTCATAGCTGCGGCCTTCTCCCAATTCGCTCTCACATCTGTGAACCCATTCTATTGGTTCTATGGCCCCAATCCGCTTATACTCAGCTCCAGTGTTGAGGACATCCCTATGCCTATCACCGAGTCTCACGTCGTCTCGCGTCTCCCTCAGATCATGCCAGGATCGGAAATCAACTTCAAGGCAGTCCTTGACGATACTCATTCCCTCGTTGACTATCAGAATGGCCTCTGCATCATCCAATGGGTAAGTCTTTCGCACCCGCATACACCGTCATATGTGTCGTTAAACTGCTTCTAGTTTATCTCTCGGAACGTTGAGGCATTCGAACGTGAAAAGGAAGTATATGCCATCTTGTCACAACTTGAATCATCTAAGAATAGTATTCTTCGGTGCTACGACTGGCTGCACATGGATCACACTGATGCTCTGAACTTACACCCAAATCTTTCGCTCGTCGATGCAACGACTATCCAAGCTCTTCTGTTTGAACATATCGATGGTCTTGTTCCCCTTTCTGTTAAGGACGTGACCACCGACATAGCTGAGGCGGCGTTGAAGGCGCTTTGTGGTGTGCATGCGGCGCATGTCCTACACGGAGACATACGACGTCAAAACATGCATCTTCTCCCTGATGGACGTGTGGTCTGGACAGGATTCGGTGCCGCAAAGTCTGCGTCGCATCACCCACTGAGACGTCAAGATTTTTGGAATGAGGCAGCCTCTGCTTGGACGCTGCTGTACAGTAAGATGGTGAGTCGCTTTCTGCAAGAATGTCCAGGTGGCGTCCTGCTAATAATTTCGTAGCTCCCTGACAAGCTTATTGGAAACTTGAATCCCGACTACTGAGAAGTTATTGGTTATGGGAACGAAGAATCGTCGAATGGCGGAGGTTTGAATAACCCAAGGCCTTCATTGTTGGAGGGAATAACGCCGCCGGCCGGGGCGATCTCGACACCAGGTTGGGTAAGATACGTCAAGAGCCTTTTTTCTCTCCGTTCAATGCACGAAACCAAGGCGGTCCCCTATCCTCATATATGTCCTCTTCACCTTCATCATTGAACACATCTCAGGCTGATCATTCTCGAACCTTGACGTGATACCTCCAACGATATTCTGTTCCTTCCTCCCCTTCTCGTTGTGCTCAAAAAGATTGCACTCAGTTCATGTGATCGTTGTCTACATACACCGCCTCCGCAGGGGACCGATTGTGTAGATGTGCTGGATACGGGTATTCGGGAGGCGTTAAATGCAACTGGAAGTGGATTGGTTAGGACTCTCGGAAGTGGGTGGAATAGGAGTAGTGTTGACGAGATAATGACTGCTTGGAGGTAGTGAGATGAGTCTGTATCATACATGCATATTTTTGGTCGGATCCCTGCTGCAATAATATTACAGTGTATGACATTAATGTATATGGTTGAATGTACAGCGGTCTTACCAGATCTGTTGAGTCGGAGGCGCAAAGCCGTATTATATTTGGAACGACGTTTATTGGACGGTATGTGTTCGCAACGCAGAGCCACAACATTAAAAGCCTGGCCTCTTGCGAGGAACACTACCGTAATGTAATGTAGTCGCAACGACCTGCTCACTGAATGAACCGCTATCTGAGGGCTCCTCACCAGTGGCAGGCCTCAATTCTTGCAGTTCAGTTCGGACCGCCACCCGGATATGTATATGGCTCCACTTATGCCAGAAACCAAACAAGGCAGCTCTTGTGTCAATGGGCTCTCGCCAACAGTCGTCGACGGAAAGCCCCACCTCCATCCCTCTCTGGCATGCGACCATCAGTCGCGTCGCTGGAAAGAATAAATAGCTTTCTTGCGTTGCCGATTTCTTGAGGTTTTGGGGAAGGGCCCTGTGCAGTGTGAACTAAATGCTAAAAATCGAGAACAACTTTGTAGGTACAGTATGTACTTTGAACTTCCGATCAGCGATCGCAGTGATATAAACGCTTCGGAAGTCGGAGTCTATTGTTCCTCGTAATTAGTACTTAAGATGTCCACCTGGCGATTTCTTGTCGTATCTTCACTGTGTACGCCACATCAACGTGACCCTTCTAGCTTCTCTCGCCGTGCAACATGATATCAATCCAAACAGCTGAACAGATGATGCGAGAGTATCCAGAGACAAGCCTGTTCGAATGGTACCCCCGCCTGCAGAACTTGATTCCAGAGGATAGGACTGGCGAAGCTGCTCTGGACACACCCGAGTTTCGACATGCGGCCTTCAATCGGGCTTGCAAGACCGGTATAAATCCATTGGGATACTGGCTAGGTTCAAATCCGCTTTACATCTCGGAGAATGTCCAGGCCGAAGAAATACCCTGGCGAGCATATGAAGCGCCACCTCCTCTTCCAAGAGTCGAGTTAGAGGACCCTGTGTTTCTTCGAAACATCAATCCTTACGGCAACACGCCTCTATTCGAGATACGTAGCGGAAATATCTCTAGAGTTCTGAAAGTGGTATGTCTGATTCACGATGTCAACTGAGAGTGAGAACTGACCATCCGCAGTTTGTCTCGAAGACGTCACCGGAATGGTGGAATGGAAATACGTCAACGTTCGATCCTCAATTGTCTTTACGGCTCTACCACGCAGAGAAGGATGCATATGCTCACCTGCGACACTCTGGAGCATGCGATGCTGGGGTCGTGCCACAATGCTTTGGCTGGCTGCAACTTTCCCGTGAAGTAGCTTCCCAGCTGTCCATACAATTCAAGTTGTACTGGGAACTCGCCGACGCTGACGAGGACCTTCCCTATGCACTTCTCTTGGAACACTTTGCGGATGCTGTCCAGATTTCTGTACAAAATGTCACGTTCCCTATGGCGGAGAAGGCGTTGAGGGCATTATATGTCGTTCACAAATCTTATGTGCAGCACGGTGACATCAGTCGTCGTAATATTCTATTACTTCCAGATGGCCGTATCATTTGGATCGACTTCGACGCCTCCAAATGCGCTTCAGACCCGAATTTGCGTCGTCAAGATTTATGGGATGAGGCGCGCGGTACTTGGGGCCTATTTTATCAAAGTCTTGTGAGTATCATATTGGATTGTGCATTCGTGTCCTGACTCATACAACGTTATTACTGGTAGTTGCCCGGTGCACGCATTGGCTGGGCCAGCCGTTTCTCTTGATTAATGTATTCATATTTTTCATAGACTATCTCGACATTCTCGCATGCGTTGTTGCAGTATCCACTTCCTTTTTTTTTCCGTCGCATGGTCCGAAAAAAATCAGTTCTCTGATCTAATTCTTTTTCCGAGGGTATTTGCATCTGAGCGCATGCAGACTGAGCTACGCAATCTGGCTATTCAGCTTGTCCGCCACATTAAATATCTAGGTAAAGATCTCGACGCACGTCCCGACAACCCGACAAGGGATACAAGTGTACTAATATAAAAGCATTGAAATTGGTACACATTTGCTACGACGCTCACTAAACAGTACTATACAATTTACACTCTTTAGACGTCTTCTATCAGAGGCTCCACAGAAGATACGCATGTGTGGGGCTCGTCATTACGTCGCTACTTGTTTCTCCTGAATAGAAGAACAAGTAGTCACAATGTACTGTAAGCATGGCGAACGAAGCAAAACTTACTGAGCGATTTACAGACGGTTTCAAAATAAGGCGTTGGCACGGCTGGCCTTCAGATGTATATAGATGAGAGCAAGCATCCCGCTGATCCGTTGGCCATTCAGCACCTGGCCTCTCAGTGGGAACCCGTCAGAGACACGGATCAACCTCTGATTCTGGGGTGTCGGGGTTCGTTCCAGGAGCATTACTTCGTTATTAGTGATGATGTACCCATATCGAGCACTCAACCACCTCTCCCCAGGCCCATTCTCGCCGGCACATTCGACCATATAGAAGGCAATCTGCGCAATGACCTTCCTGAACTCTATGCACACCTTCTCCATGTCCCTCAGCGGATTAGTCCGAGCGAAAATATAATACCACGAAGCCTCAAATTTGTAGCTAGGCTTGATATCGCCGGGGCAGAGGCAAACTTGTCTGTCAGGTTGTATGTCAGGAAGTGGGGCCGGCTTCGTTGAATCGACCACCGCCCGGTCAGGAAGAAATAACTTTCGTCCATAATCACAACCGCTACCACTGTCTGTGGTTACCGCAGTTGTCTGCTGGTCACGTAGGGTCGGTGGTGGCTGGTTCGCAGGAGTGCTGCCATAGAAGATGTAACCCAACACGCGGCTTAAATCGGCAAATACGATGTATGACAGGGAGTTAGTGACGCCAGCCTCATGATAGAAGAGCCGTTGCGGTTCAATGTTCTGGATAGGAAGGAACTGAGGATTAACACCGGCAACATGGGGATAAGGTAGATTCCAAGTCTGAGGAAATTCATTATGAATTGTCGCAAGAGTGAGTCCCCAATGAACTACGTTCTGCGGAAGCACCCAGTGATAAGGGTAGGCTGGATTGACAGTATTGGACCGCTCTGGAGGAATCGCTGGCACCACAAGATCCGGCTGCGCGCCCTGCCCATGGAGTGTCGATGTGTGTGTACAATCCAGAATGGGAGTGTCCAACGCTACTACTTGATGACGAGCAGCCCACATGAAAAGGGTGTTAGGAACCTGGAGCTGGGCCATATCTCGGAGCTGCTGAGGCAATGGAATGCAATTTGGATACAGTACATCAGACTCGTATTATATAGAGCTGGAATTTATGAACAATGTCACAATCGATGTGCCGAAGGGGACGCGTTAAGGCTGGAGCCTCATTCGATGACCTGATGAGAGTCTCTCATCATTAATCGGATCAGAACGACAGGCTAAAACTCTGATGCATACCAAATGTGCAGTGAAAATGAAGTCGAATTGGGGAATGGCAAGGAATACTGAATCGATTTACTCGGTTTAGACAGACTTGTTGGAAAACGCGACAAAATTTCGGTCCGAGCCTGCACGTCCATGTGGTGTCCGTCGATCCGATGTCCTTCTATTGTCTTGGTTCGGAGGTTGGAACAATGGAACGTTGAAATTGCCAAGCCTTCATATGTACATATCCCCATGAAGGTGCGATTTCCTACTAAGACTATGGGAAACAATAGGACCTCGGCAGCTGTTGCATGTCGCGACGTAGCGTAAATTAGTTCAAGTCACGCCCCAGCGATGAATCGCATGTCGCTCGCTCGGATGGCGCATCCCTGAAAAATTACTGCTTCATGAACCGCTGTGGACCAACCATATGTTCGGTGACTGATTGAGGGCGGGAACCTCAATTCTAGTTTCTTTCGACGTACAGCCCTTTGAAGAGTAAATACGAGGAGTTGGGACTACCTTCGAGGCATCCAGCCTGACTCTTCATCAATCAGTTTTGCGCTGTCGAGGAAGGCTGGAATCGACTGTCCTTCATAATAGTAGAGCACACTTTGGCCGTAGCGGGCCATGATGTATGCTGAGAAGTTCTGTGTGTGTATATAGTAGAATCCATTGGGATCTGAATAGTCCGCATTATCTGTATCGCCGTTAGCAAAGATCTGCGAAGTCATTCCTTGACTCGCACTGAGTACTGACCCTCGGTACTTACGACTGGCCTTATTCCGTGTCAGCCGTCTTTAATACGGATGAATTACTGTACGCCCACGCGCTGAATCGTCAAGGCCAGTAACTTAAGAAAGCTAATCCTGACGTACGAAGGTTGCACCTCTGTCTTGGGACAATGTGACGCCACGTGTTGTCAGAGGTGTACACGTGGCCCGGTTGCGTCTATCTTCTCTAAGGAAAATTCATTCTATCAAATACAGCCCTCGGCCTCAAGCTCAAGAACGACGATCTTCGGCCTCGTCACTACCACTCAACAGCAACTATGCGGTCTTCAGTTGAAATTGAAGCAAGCATGGTTCAAATATACCCAGAGGTCTCACTTTTCGATATATCTCCCCCTTTAACAGAACTTTCACCGATGCGGTTGGATATCGAATCTCCCGATGCTGAACTCATAGCTGCGGCCTTCTCCCAATTTATGCTCACATCTAAAAATCCATTATATTGGTTCTACGGCACCAATCCACTTATACTCAGCTCAAGCATTCAGGACGTCCCAATGCCCATCACCGGGTCTCACGTCGCCTCGCCTCTTCCTCAGATCATGCCAGGATCGGAAATCAACTTCAAGGCAGTCATTGACGATGCTCATTCCCTTGTGGAGTACCGGAGTGACCTCTGCGTCATTCAATGGGTGAGTCTTTCGCATTTGCATCTATTATCAGCTTGGTTTAACCAGCTCCAGTTTGTCTCTCGGAACGTCGGCAGTGGCGCTGGGGCGTTCGAACGTGAAAAAGATGCATATGATATCTTATCACAACATGAGTCCTCTAAGAACAGTATTCTTCGGTGCTACGGCTGGCTGGACATGGATCGCGCTGATGCTCTGAAGTTGCACCCAAAACTTTCATCCGTTGATGGGACCAGTGTTAAGGCTCTTCTTTTCGAGCATATCGATGGTCTTATTCCCCTTTCTGTTGAGAACGTGACCACCGACATAGCTGAGGCGGCATTGAAGGCGCTTTGTGGTGTGCATGCGGCGCATGTCCTACACGGAGACATACGACGTCGAAACATGCTTCTTCTCCCTGATGGACGTGTGGTCTGGGCAGGATTCGGTGCCGCAAAGTCTGCGTCGCATCACCCACTGAGACGTCAAGATTTCTGGAACGAGGCAGCCTCTGCTTGGACGCTACTGTACAGTAAGATGGTGAGTCCCTTTTTTCAAGAATGCCCAGGTGGCTTCATACTGATGATTCCGTAGCTTCCTGACAAGCTTATTGGAAACTTGAATCCCGACTACTGAGAAGTCAGGTACTGTTGCACCTTCTGTCGCGTAACAACTCCGTATCTGTAGGTAGCAACTTGAGGCTGTTGTTATAAGTTTGCCTCTTGAACATTCCGAAGATACATTTGCATCAATATATCTTCAACATAGTTGTAATCCGAATCGGTACTCGAAGAATGAAGACCATATTATCCGGGCAGGACGGGGGGTTCATGATGCATGACGCCCAACCATTTTGAGCTTCCGTTACTGTACCTGATTACCCTTCGTTCCGTCTAAGTCATGCATCTGGAGATGGAGGAGACCCTTCTGAGTCCGTGGTATAATACTTAGCGTCATTTTCTAGGATGAATTTGACGGCCAACCGCTGAACTTTATCCTGTCGGACGGTCTTTTCGTACGTTGTCGTGACGGATTGATACACTACCTAAATGCTTGCGTGATTATTTATATAGCTTTCTGTTTTCCTCCCCTTTTCCTCTACCCGTTAGTCGCATTCGACGTAGCGTAGACGATGAAGTCAAACTTCACGAAACCATTCGATGCGGCTCAACTTGATTCCCACACAAGAACCGAAAGACATAAAGCATAGAATTTGCGCACTGTTCAGTGGAAATCATCTTACCCTTCTGACGTGGCCAGGCCCACCCATGAACGATCCCTGGGTAGCTCAATGTGCCCGGCAATTTGCAGGTGTGATAAAGTTATTTCCCAATACACTAGCAGGATACTGTGTTGTGTGGACCGATTCATAGATGTTTTCGGTCTTTCAATAACACGGCATTGGATGCTTGTCGGCCCCTTATTTCTGCCTCTGCAAGAAGACCGCAGTGTACGATGGGACAACGATGTACTTGGTGGAATCCACAGCGACGGTCGTCTAGCAAAGGACTATAAGCTTAGCCAATCGCCTCAATATGATTGAACGCACCTGGAATTTTGCAATGCCTGCCTGACCACCGAAGTGTCGTAAGAAATAGGTACCCTTAGGTACTCCTGCTAAATCAAGTGCCACGGGGTCCTTTGGATGTTTATTGACGATTATGAGGGTGGCGTTGTTACGAAGAATGTTCGTGCCAGCGTACACACTGAGAACGTCGGGGTCGATTTTTGGGATCGAAACTTGCGCGTTCAGGTCGCCGAAGTATGTTCCATACCTGTCAATACAAGTGATTCACAAAGACATTACCAAGTCAACCAAAGTGGAACACCTACCCTCGGAAGAGCCAATACGCGAGTCCGATAGGGCCTTTCTCGTCCGGCGTTGCCCAATAAGTAGCCTGATCCAGCTTATACCTCCCAAAGATCCCAAGCACATCAACCGTCAATAACCCGCCAGTCAAGTCCGTATCCGAAGTACTCGACCATTCGCCAATCGAAAGCTTAGTTCCAGGGTAATACTTCTCAATCAACGCTTGCATTCTTGGAATCAACATGACTCTGTCTGGATTCGGCTGAGAGTTTGACGGTGTTCCAGAAATCCAAGATTCGTCGATGTAGGTGGGATCCCACAGGGAACGAGACATACGAAGACGAAGCGCTTTGGCTGCATCATCGTTGGCGGAGGTGTCCGGAGCGAAATAGTAATGGATATCGAGAAAATCGAGCAGACGTTTTCCGGTTTGCCTGTCGTGGGCGTGCAGCTGGGTAAGGAACCAAGGAAGGAAGTCCGATCCGTTATGCGCCATCTTATCCGCGTCACCAACTATTGATGTCCAGTCTGTGAGGACTGTTAATAGGTGACGACGTAATCCATAGGGATGAACGATGTACGTACAGTACCACCAAGCGCAGGTGGAAGGCGCTGCAACTTGTACGCTAGGAATAGCTTGTTTCGCCACAGCTGAAAAGCTGAGGACTCGTTCGAGAATTTCATCGTACCCGAGAGGTCTGTTGCTTTCATCAGAAGGTCAAACAAAACTACGCGCAGTAGACATCTTACATCGGATGCATATCTTGATGAGTATTTGATGCAATTTCTATCTCATTGTCGATTGTAATAAGTTGAGGCTTGTTAGTAAGACCGGAAAGATACGACTTCGCAGCCGTCAGCTTCCACGGGGCGTAAACGTTACTGGGATCCGGTGGCGTCACCCAAGACCCATTCGCAAATTGGCCGCTGCCTACAAAGGTTCTTCTGGCAGCTGATGCAAGATGAGGTGAGTTCACATACCGGCATCAGAGTTATAAGGATCATATGCGGCTTGGTCTTCCATGACGTTAATAGATGGTATGCAAGCATTCAGACTACAGACTCTACTCACCAGCATATATCGTTCGTGGGTATGAGTAGGAGGTCGCGTCTTTCGATACCCAGTCCAAACTATAAGATTCAAGAGGTCCGGCTTTGAGAATGACGAACCATGACAAACGGGGACGGACGTACGCAGGAAGCAGCAATATAGCTTCAGAGTTTGCTCCCTTCACCCAACCGACCCAATCATCAGCATTATCAGCAGCGCGGTTCTCAAAATACCAATCGTTCCCAGCGTTGGTGAAATCACCGAAAGGATTATAAGCGGTTTCAGCATTGCCTCCTTTTCGAGAGATCGTAACACCAAGGTGCTGAATGTAGGAAGCAGAGGTAGGGAAGTTTACGCCATAGATATGAGGGTTGATAGGATAGGCATTGAGTTGGTTGATTCTAAGAGCAGCGTTAGACCAATGAATGGAAACACTGAGAAGAACTTCTTACGAGCCAGAAAGTGCTGCAGGAAGTGTGTAACTGAAGGAGGTACCATCACCGGTAGTGATGACCAGCGTGCCGGGGGTAAATTGAGAACCCAGAGTCACGTATGTTATTGATTTTGTTGATACGTCTACCGAAGGCACACTTTTGATGCTCGAAACTTTGACCGTCTGTATGAATCGCCTTAACAGTCACGGGTACGACTATAATGACGAATAATGCGCACTTTACCGTTGAGTATCACGCTGATGTTGGAATAATCGATTGCACCTTGCCCAGTGACTGCAACCGTGTTCGTGCCTATGGGCTCAGCACTAAGAAACTTGGGTTCCACAACGATACTCTAAGATCCCTGGATTCGGCGTTCTGGTCTTAGAAACAAGTGATCGAGAGACTCACGTCTACTAGGATGATGTTGTCGATGTTGTACTGCAGATGCCGTGTTATGATGTTGCTTAGAACGCTCATGCTTGGCACAAAATCTTACGATTGCGCCGTTGCCTTCAGCTTGAAAATTAATGCGGTCCCAAGTACCGTTACCCTGCAGCTGAAGTTAGCAAGGGTAAACCGGAGGAGACTATGTGTCGTACCAATGGGTCCCCTGCTGGAGGAAGAGCACTAAAATCCAATAACAGGGACGCGAAACCAGTAGAAGTGATATTTTTGCTGAGCGCAGTCAAAGGGATCGTCGGAGATTGCGAGTCATCTGTTGTGCTCTGAATGTAGAACTGTAATTCAGGTTGATCACCCTTTGGAAACACAATTTCAGCGACTACAAAGGTTGAGGTAAATGAGCTCAACGTACTGCAATATCAAAACGAAGCCCAGCAAAGGATCCAATTGTCGAAAGGCTCTTCAATGAGAGTGCGGCCCATGCAGTAGAATTCACAGCAATACTGCTAGCATCTTCCTTAACGTTAGTGGCAGAATAGTCTAACGTTGTGCCCCAAGACCAGTCTTGCCATCCATTGCTCAGAGCGTCATCCGAGTAGATGACCTGATCAGCAATTACAGCCGAAAGACTAGAAGCGACGAGAAGGATCCGCAGAGATGACAAGAAGGTCATACCGACTGCTGGTTTTGCGAAGAGACGAGCGGGTGTAGGGAGGCTGGACAAGCGTCAGAATATATACTATAGCAAGGCAGATTGACGGGAGATCTTTGACAGTCAGAAGATGTGCTATACTAGTCGGATAGACATCGGGGCTCTATACACGAATATTCTGGGGTGCGTTGGCGTCAGAAATTTGTAAATCCTCAGGATTTAGCACTTGGAAGGTCCGCCGTCAGTCATATGACCAGTGTTCCTCGAGGTCTTCGTCTGGGCCGCGATTTATACAGTTTTTTTGAATGTGTAGTGGACATGCCGGAGAAAGTCTGCCAATCTCGGGAAATACCTCGGCAACGTCGTTAGAACTGGGTCCGGTACCGAAAGAACAGCATGAAGATCGAAATTCTAGACTCAAGGCAAAGCTCATAAGGTCAGCTGGATTCATTTAACAGACTTAAACTCGCCCGCCATGCAGGTGATATACAGTCCATCTGTAAAATGAAAGAATCTGAATTGTACCCACGGACAGTTGACTCGAGCCAGGGGTGCATTACACCGCTTGAATTGCATAGAGATGACAATTGCGATACATTGCGTATCCCTTCGCAATACAGTTCCAGAGGGCTAATGCATACTGTCTCGTGTCGATTATCTGTCAGCATTCTCGGAGATAATCAAGAAAACGGTTCCTTACGAGTTGGGTACAGCGATTGGCATACATATCAATGGGCAGCGATTTCCGAATTAAAATGAGGCAGTAACTTCCATGCACGTACCTAATGCGCGACGGGCCCAGGCAAAAGGAACTGTTCCCGCGAAGCCGTAGCCTTCTAAAGGACGCCCTCTGTTACCATGCCGTCATGCAAGTGAGGAAGGAAATAAAAATTCGCATTGGCAACAAAGCTTTCGAGAATACGGTCCAAGGTGTCGCAGCCGTAGAGAACCCGATGGCGGGGATAGACAAAAGGGAGAAGATGTGTATCTTGCTTGGACTTTCCTGCTCAGGGTAAAAAGAAGGGATGACCAGTCGGTTGGGATTCGAATTGCATGTAGGGTTGATCGCTTGCAGAAGACCATCCCGTCTCTGAAATAGATACACGCGGTCGATTCAACGCGCAACGAGGTCGAAATGAAGTGAGTCTCTCACACGACGCTGAATGCTTCTTGCAGCTTCGAGCTCGCGCGATAGAGTGAGTGCAACTAGTCGGCTTTCAACTGTTAATTTGTTAAGACAAGCATGAGTCAGGGATTGAGACGGGAACATACCATTTGTGCATTGATATGTGCGCGCCCATAAGGCGTGCAGTGGACATCTATGATTCAAATTGGCTGGTAGTTAAGCATGTACGGAACTAGACGGGTATCAGCCAATATTATACTTACCTGGTAGACGAGCGACCAATATCGTTCTCGTTGGTTTATGATCGGTATTCTCGGCTATCCTGGTGAGACGGAAAGGATAAAAGGTGTCTAGGAGTGCGAACACCATCTCATCTCGTCTCATTTCACTTCTCGATTCTATTAGATATGTTGACTCTCCTCTACGTCCCACCTTCTCTTCTGGTCCTCGCTGCCAGAGGAGCCCTTGCCCAGTCATCCAGTGGCATGACCTATGTTGATGTTGGCCCTGTCGAGAATCCATTCACCTTTTCTCCCTCAAGCGTTCAGCTTCTCCCAGATTCACTGGGCGTGACCTTCCAGTTGTGAGTGTGAAATGGAGTCTTCAAAAAAAGGACTCGACTCACCTTTTTCTCCGCAGCTCTTTCGCCAGAAACCACAGCATCAAGCAGTCATACTTCGAAGAGCCCTGCACATGGGCAGGACCGGGAACCTATGATGGTGGAGATTATACGTATGTCAGAACATCAACCCTATATGCGATACATACTTACGCGATAGGCTGAAGTGTAGTACAATCCGAACTCGTGGGCTTCGCTATTGATCCAAAGATAGACGTGGTCCCTGCCCTGTATTTCTTCGACGATGCAGACGACAGATGCCAGCGGGGTGCGTTAACTAGGCTCACCATCAAATACATCACTGGTATTGATTGACTACAGGAATGGTGTTCCCTATAAATCCGCCGAGTGACAAGGACTCTGAGGACTTCAAATCGAGGGCCATGGCGTCCTCGTCCTCTTCGACAACGGGATCAGCAACGTCGTCCGCATCGTCGACCTCCTTCCTCACTCGTTCCTCTTCCCCTTCTAGCCCCCCATCAGCAAAGGGAAACAAAACGTCAGACAACGGCAAGGACGAGAACGACAAGGATGGCGTAGTCTCCATCATTTTCAGGGTAACAGCCGGTGTTCTTGGAGCGATGGGTGTTATAGGAGCTTTGGCCGTCTAACACAATGTCAATGGGGTACATTGAGCACGGAATATTTAGAGTAAACGAACCTTACAACCTCGTCACTCATTTGAGATCAATGCTATACATCGATTCGATACTACTGATTCGTGAATTTAACTGTTGAGTCTCATTCGTATACTTTATGTTCGATGAAGGGCAAATTTCAATGAAGAGCAATAGAGGAGATCGTCCTGAGGTTCAACAGCACAACAAGGAGTAAATCTTGTAAGTCCGATTCTTTGGAAGGACAGGTCGACGTCCACAGTATGCATTAAGCTTATATCTTCCGGAGTTGCGCCGACTCACAAAAAAGGCAAATGCCTGTGATCCCAACAACAACAAACAAGTAGTCTGGTCCACCCGATATCAGTCGTGCATCTCTCAGCTTCCTGTCATAACCAATGCACATTCTCCAGAACTTCGCGCGAACGATTCAAGAATACTTCCTAGAAAACCCTTCTCGTGCTGCTATTTTCGTACCTATCCTCCTAGGAGAGGCTGAGGAGAACTATAATCTCGACAACCTCCAGAGTATATCTTCTCCCGAGTATGCACACGAGCTCGGAGCGATCAGAGGCTTCATCGAACAGAACTTTCCTTCTCTAACGGTTTCATCTCCTGATAAGACTTGTGGACATTGCAAGCCTTGTATGGAGGACAAATCTCACATTGAGCTGCATGGTCGTCTCATGGATGCTCTTGCTGCAACCCGGGATACTGAAACGCTCACCAATCTGAGCTTCGTTCTTGTTGTCATCATCATTCATTCTCTGGCCCACGCATTCACGGGTGGCAATCCTATGCCGATGTCGAAGGATGGCTTTCCATTCTATAAATCTCATTACTTGCTTCTTAACAAATCCATTGCTGAACCCGGGTTCTTTGCCGAAGAGGGAATCTTTGGCGGTATCATTGGTATCGTGTTCAAAGATCAGGAGAATGGAATGCCTCCAAAATTCTTGGAGGCGGACTTCACAAGGATTGCCTATCTCTTTATTCTCGACCGGACTGGGGCAGCATATCGCCTTGGTGAGTAGACTTCAGTATTTGTCTTACATTATAGTGCGCCGACATCAGGGTTATTTTTCTACTAGACACCGGAGAGCTTGCAGAGCAGTTGAGGCGCAATCGCTTCGGCCGGTTCAAGAATTCTCTTCGCGTCGAGGTGCCGAGGAAGATCACAGAGAGAACGTGTGCTGCGTTTAACGGTGACCACCTTCCCGTTAAGAGGGTTGGTGCTGGCCGCAATCCTGATTGGCTAGAAGCGATATTACAACACGGCAATCTTTGGTACACTGATCCAGGCTTCCACCCCGAATAAGTCCATATCGTGTCCTTAAGTCTGTTGTTTATTTAGTGACTACACTTGCTCATCTAGCTGTGTGCTGAGCTCTTTCTGGAGAATTTTGCATATATGATGCCCAAGGACATAATTTGAGAGACATGGGATGAATCTGAAGTAGTCAAAGGGCGAAGTGTAACGTAAGTCAGCTTACTACATGAACTAATCCTCTATGTCGGTGGGGGGAGTAAAGGATTTGAATTGTGATACTAGATAGAAGGATCGCGTTACTTGCAATATCTTTGATACTGATTGCGCGCGCATCAGGGGGGTGCTAAATGCCAAGATCATTCAGGCTCTGGGCCGTTGCAGTACTGCTGAGGATTTGATCATCGCAAACTACACTGAGCAGAGACCTCCTAGCAGAAAATGAGTGCATTGACAGGTTCATGTATGTGACGCGTTCGAGCGGCAACACAGCATGTTCATTCATCTGGACTGGTCGGGCTGACCTAAACGGACTCGGACGGGTATCAACCAATATTTTGCTGTAACTTGGCAAGAGAATGAACAGCATCCTGTGATTCCCAACTTCATTACATTATGATAGGGGTAACTGGTTATAAAAGCGTACATTCGTGAAGATCACAATGCACCACCCACCTCACGAGTCCATCAGACATATTCATCGCACTTTGCGTCGCAGTCTCTTTCTCCGTCTTTGCTGGCAAAGCTCTCACCCAGTCATCCAGTGGCATAACTTACGTCGATGTTAGCCCTGAAGAGAATCCGTTAATCTTCGATCCTTCGAGTATTCAACTTCTTCCGGGCTCACTGGGGGTGAGTTTCCAATTGTGAGTCCATCTATTGACTAACCAGCAGAGAAACCAATTCAAACTTCTCTCCATAGCGTTGTTTGAAACCATAGCATCAGGCAATCCACCTTTGAGAATCCCTGCACATGGGCAGGACCAGGAACATTCAGCGCCGGAGATTATGTGTGAGTGAAAAAAGCCGATTTGAATTCAAATCGTACTGACTTACCCAATAAAGTGTCGGAGAGAATCTCCCATTCACGCAGTTCAGTATCGATCCGAAGACAGAGGCGATCCCCGCGTTGTATTTCTTCGACCAAGAGGGTGACAGATGTAGACAAGGTGCATTTAAATGAGCTCCTCATAAAAACATTTCCCACTAAGATCGAGGACCGTTAGGAATGGTGTTCGCTATCAACCCGCCAAGTGAGAAGGGTTTTGAGGACATCAGATCGAGGACTATGTCGTTGTCACCTTCATCATCGTCATCGTCATCGGCACCAGCATCGTCTTCGACATCCTCATCAAACTCGGATCCTGGAGCAACGGCAAAAAATAACTCTACTAGCACCAATAATCAGAATGACAATAGCGGCACATCTTCTATTGGTGTAGGAAAGACCACCGGGGTTCTTGTTGGGATGGTCATAATTATGACCGCTTTGAGCTTGCAGGGGATGCATTGGGGCATATGTGCGTAGGGTGGTTCTAATGAAACCAATATTCATCATCAACCCCTTCATAGCCAATAAAGTACTAGCATGTCCGAGTCACTTGTTATTTCAAGCTCTGGCACATTAGGGCGATATGTCTATGTTACAACAATGACGCTCCACTCACCGATGATATTTGAAGTACTGTAGATCCATAGGAAAATTGATGCAGTTATCCCGTGCGAAGAATGAACAGCGGACAGCTTCATCGTTTCACGAGGACCAGGTCGGAGTCAACCTGTAAAGACAAGTGGTTGACAAAAAAGGCAAACACTTGCATTCCTAACAGCGACAAACAACCAGTGTTCGAAATTTGAACCCAGTGACGTTTCAATGCTAACGATACCTCGAACCGCACAGCTATACCCTTCAGATCCGAATATTACACTGCTATATCAACTTAATTTGAAGTCCTTGAGGCTTTCTTCTTGTTGCTCGCTGAACTTATGGAGCTATGCCGTCTACCCTGTCCCAAGCCCTCATAGACACACTGCAGCCACTCTTCTCCGGCTTGAGACTGGCTCTTGAGCAGAACCCCACATACCTCTCGGCATTCTTGCCTTTACTACACCCCGAGGACATATCCGGGCATTACGATCCTACTAGAGATCTCGGGCATTTCTCAGAAGCAGACATGCATTCGCTGCTAACACGTCTACGCAAGATATTCCCCGCAGTCGATGTATCCACTTTATGTAAGTGGCGTGACGGGAAGGAGGTGTACAAGTTTGATGTCCCCGATTTCTTCGAGCTGCATGGCCGACTGGCTTCTGCACTCAGCATGCGACAGACGGATAACAATCGTCACCACCTTCATTTCATAATCATTGTCATCCTCTTGCATTTCTTGGGGCACGCTGTCCTTGGTCATGTCCAAAGGGATTATCCCTATATCAACATATGCGATGACTTTCCATATCATGATTGTTTATCTCGTTCTTTGAGAAAAGCGATCCCGGAACCTGGATACTTGGTTGAGGAAGCCTTGTTTGGTGGTATCATTGGTATAGTTTTTCGAGAAGAGAGAGATGAGGGACGTCCGCCACGATTCCTACAGTCTGATTTGACCAGAATCGACTATTTGTTCCTTCACCATCGTAACGGATCCACTTACGAATTAGGTGAATCCATTGCTATATATGTTTGCCTGCGATAGCTATACTAATAATGATATATAGATCCTGCAGACCTTCGCGATCGTATCACCAACTGGCGTTTAACGCCATTTGATATATCATCCTTGCGCAAGATCTCACTGCCTCGGAGAATCAGGGAAAGAACTTGCGCATTCTACAATGGAGACCATCTTGGAGTCACATTTCCCGGTGATGGTGGTGAGGTACTACATACCTGAGGGTGTGTATATCGCCCCTGCATGCACTGGAGAGAAGCGCATTGCCATAGCGTCGGGTCGCGCTTTTTCTGAGCGGGTTTGACTTAATATCTCACACGCTACTTAAACACGGGTCTATGAAGGGAACGAGGGAACGAGGGATGACTGTGACTACCGTCATGCTTCTTCAACTGAAGTTTGTCGGATTGTTGGTGGTGTAGGATTCCTTTCAAGTATTATACATGGAGCAGGAATGTACTCCCACTCAGACTCTCATACCGACAAAGTACCAAAATGTTATACGGATGACTCGAAAGAAATTGTGCAGCTCGTGCTTTGCTGAACACAGTCTGTGCAAGTGTGCGAAATATAGAAGCCAAATGATCACGTCGAGAGGCTTAAGTACATCGGACGATACGGTCCCGATATTGTGAGATCGGAACCGGTAAGTGTGCCATAGCGAAAACTCCAGTGAGTCCAGTTTGAGATGTCAATGACCCAGTCGAAGATGTTACCTTGACATCAAGTAGACTGCCGTTCAATATCGTGGGCATTGATCGATCTGGCGCTCAATTAGATCCTTGCATCGTATTTGATAGAACTCAAATCAAACTAGAAATGAGCAGTGTAAAACCATTCGAAACTTGGAGTTAATCCGAAGTTCATCTGGCGTATATATACAACTATTATCTAAATACATGCGGTATCAATGTGTTTGTATATACTTATGGTATCGGTCAGGTTCGAGCATGGATCAATGAGTGTGTTTGGGTAGGTTTTAATAAATGGTTACAAATGAATAATGTGAGGGAAAGGTGTGTCCGTAGATCCAAAATGAATGTGATCGTAACATTACCCCCTCCTCTAGAATCGTGTCCTCATGATTAATTATGATAGAGTATGAAATTGTTCAATCATACTATGATGATCCATTCTTCCGAGTTTTCTCTCTCCCATTCTCTATACCATACAACCCAGAGTATTACTCCAACAGTGCATAGGATTATGCCACCAAAGACGCTAAGGATGATGATTCCGTCTTTGTCCATTTCTACCAAAGAGCTTTCATTGGTTGAGTGAATGATTGTTCTAAAATAGGGAAGTCCATACCTGGGATTGATATTGGTTCGACGAGTTGGTAGAAGGAAAGAATGGGGTATTGCCATTCGAGTTTGACTTTCATAGGCACGGATGTGATTGCCACGTGTGTCAGTTTGAGCGTCTGCTCATTGATGATCCATAACTCGCCGGCATTCAGGTAATGCTGATTAGATATGATTTATGCTTTTCTTCAATTTTTGAATAATTTAATCGAATCTGGGTCCACAGATATCATTGCCTTTTCTTTTTTACGATATTCTGCCCATCTCTATACTTTCTAATCCCAATAATCCCATTCTTCTTGTGACGCTTCTCTAGGAAATGATTGTTCCATAATTTGTGCCTTCAGCAATATTCTTGTAGATGCTTTTGACGCATCAGGATAATCTTTATGGAATTTGTCGATTATCTTTTTGTCTATGTTTTTGATGATTTTATGACGTGATTCCCATGTATTTTCAGAACATGGTTTTCCAGCCCACTTGATTAGATATTGAAGGCCTCCACATGCCATCTTGGAGTCTAATACAGATTCAACTTTGTCTTCTAAGATATCAATAATTATTGGAATGTTTTTGTGTGTTTTCTGATTTGGGAATTCTGGTGCATGATATGGCAATAATAAAGTTTCATTGAATACGGGATGTACGCCTTTTCATGATTTTGGTAATTTGAGCTTATATGCGCTAGCTCCAATTTTCTTGATAATTGGGAATGGTCCATATCTTTTATCATCTAATTTTTGATTTGATCTGTCCGTGCGTATATGCGTAGCTTCAAGCCACACTAAATCTCCATCTTTATAATTTATGGCTTCACCTTTATGTTTATCGTATTGTCTTTTCATAACATCCTGTGCTAGTGTCAACGATGCTGATGCTTCTTCTTGGATTTTCTTCATTCGTGCTACAAACTGTTCAGCAGTTTCATTGCAAATTTCCTTTTTGGTTTCTACACCAGTGTAGGCTTCTCATCCGTGGTTCATGTAGAATGGTGAAAATCCAGTCGCAGAGTGGACTCTATTTCAATATGCAAATGTTGCTAGTGGCAACTATTCTGGCCAATCAGTTTGTCGATGATTGATGAAGATTCATAAATAATTTTCAATTTCCTGATTGATTCGTTCAGTTTGTCTGTCTGTCTGTGGATGATATGCTGTACTAGGATTTCCCTGAATTCCTAGTTTTTTATATAAGTCTTTTATGAAGTTGGATACAAATTGCGGTCCACGGTCTGATGTCATCTTTTTTGGTAATCCATGCAATGGATATACATTTTTGATATAGAGATTAGCCCATCCTTCTGATGTCAATTGCTTCGTAGTTGGTATTTCAATGTAGTCTTTTGATTTCATGTCCACAACTACTATGATTGCATCATGCCCTTGTGACTCTGGTAAGTGTGTAATCATATCTACTGATTGATATTCCCAATTGTGTTCCGGAATTGCATTTGGGTGCAATGGAGCATTCTTCAGTTGATGGTTAATCTTGGTTTTTTGACAAGTCTCGCAGCCTTTTATATATATTTTTACATCTTTTTTGATCGAAGGCCACCAGTACGATCGATAGATTAGTTCTTGTGTTTTTGCTTGTCCAGGATGACCAGCACTAATCAAATCGTGATATGAATAAATGATTTCTCCTCTAAGTTCCTTATTGAAAGGGATAACAATTTTCCCCCTTCTCCAGATAAGACCGTCCTCGGTCTCATTGAAGTCGGCATCTTTTGTCAATAGTTTTAATCATACATTGTTTTCATATTTATCAGTGTTTTTTATGATTTTCTCCCATAAAGCTGATGATCTGAGAATTTCATTGGCTCGGAACTATTCTGGTTTTAACAATGTAATGTTTTCATTATGACTATCTCCAATATCATGATGGATCTGTCGTGATAAAGGATCTCCCTTCGTCATTGTGTTTCTGGGTTTGTGGGTCAAATTGAAATCATATTGTTGTAATTCTTGGATCCATTGCACCTGGCGATGATTCAACTTCTGGGGTTTTTTGAAATAGCCAAGGTTCTTGTGATCAGAATGAATTTCGAATTTCTGTGCAGCTCCCATCAAGAAGTGACGCCATTCTTCTAATGAGATCATGATGGCTAGCATCTCTCGATCATAAATCTCATAGTTTCTTTCAGCCGGTGAAAGGCTTTTTGATAAGAAGGCGATGGTGCGCCATTGTCCATCTTGCTTCTGTGCAAGTTCAGCCCCAATAGCATATTTTGATGCGTCGCATTCAACTTTGAACTGATCTTCATTATTCAGAATACCCAATACTGGTGCAGTGGTAATGGTTTTCTTTAGAAGTTCAAAAGCTTCCTGCTGTTCTGGACCCCAGATCCATTCTACTTGTCCAGTTAATTTATTCAAAGGAGTGGCAGTTTTGGAAAAGTCTTTGATGAATTATCGATAGAAATTAGCGAATCCAAGGAATGACTGTAATTCCTTTTTGGCTTTTGGTACTGGCCATTGCGTAACTCCATCGACTTTGGCAGGATCCATCTTTACAGTTCCTTGTGAAATAATATGTCCGAGATATTCTGTTTCTTGAGTTTCAAACTCGCATTTTTCTGGTTTGCAGGTTAACTTATTTTCTCGTAATATTTTAAGGACTTCTTTCACAATGCGGCGATGTTCCTCCAGGAATTCGGAAAATATGAGTATATTGTCAAGATATATGATTACTTTTCCTTTGAGAATGAGATTATGGAAAATGTCATTCATCATCATCTGGAACGTAGCAGGACTATTTGTCAATCCGAAGAATATGACAGTTGGTTCGTATAGTCCTCTATTTGTGATAAATGCAGCTTTCTCTTCATCTCCTTCCTCCATGCGAATATTATTATATCCCCAGCGAATATCCAGTTTCGTGAAATATTTAGCACCTTTGAGCTTATCAATAAGCTCCGAGATTAATGGTAAAGGATATTTGTTTTTCTTGGTCATATCGTTGAGTTTTTGGTAATCCTGTACCGGTCGCAATTTGCCATCTTTCTTTTTGACAAAGAAGAAGGGTGCTCCCCAGGGAGACTTTGATGGTCAGATTCTTCTCGTCTTTAGGTTTTCTTCAAGAAAACCATCTAGGATTTTTTGTTCTTCAACAGTCATGGAATACACTTTGCCTGCATATGGAGATGAATCTGGTAACAGTTCTATTGCATGGTCCCATAGTTTCCTTTCTGGAAGGATGTCAAAAGTATCCTCAGTGAATACATCTGTGAATTCACGATACTGTTTGGGAACCATTTCTTCGAAGGTCTTTTTCTTTTTTTGTTTACTTTGTTCAATTGCTATGTCCATGGCTGTTACGCGCATTCGCTGAATATATTCTTCTCTTTCTTTATACCAAGCATTGATATTGAGTAAATATACGATATCTCCTTCTTCGATCTCTTGTTGTCTTATAGTGATGCATGTGTGTGGGCATCGGTTAAAGTCAACAAGTTGCAATTTGAAGTCTATTGATGGATTATGGTATTCGATCCATTCATATCCGAGAAATATGTCTGACTTCCCCAGATCGGTAACTAGAAGCATGATGTTCTCTTGGTGATCGCTGATTCGAAGTGTGAGTTGGACATATTCTGTGATCAGTCCCTGAGAATTCTCGCTGTTATTGGTGTTATAGACTTGGATCAGTTGATCAAATTTAGAGGTTTCAATTCTGTGCCTTTTGATGAAATTATAATTTATACATGATCTGGTACTACCGGTGTCAACTAACGCTACTGTGTCATGGATTCTTTCTGTTTCTGGTATAACCACAATGACTGGTAGGTCCATTTGTTTCCCTCTTCCAAGTCCTTTGACAACTCGGAGTAATGGTGGTCCGATGTCTGTGATGCTTTTATCTGATGCACTTAGTTTATTTTCAAATTTTTTTGTATTTTGTTTAGAGGAATCAAGCACAGGTTCCACCCTGCTGCGCTTCTTGGTAGAAGATGCCTCTGCGTTAGATGAAATATTTACAAAAGGGGACTGTCTGATTGATGTACTACAGGCATATATCGAAGATGGTTTCATAGAACCCTCCAGGGGTTTATCCGAGTTATTGTTCATATCCGACAAGTCACTTTGTGCATTTAAGCCTTGCCCGAGCCAAAATTCAGCTTCTTCACCTTCTCCGGGTTCTTCTCCATCCATTGCCGAACCATGGTGATCATCTTGTCATTGTCATCATCATCTGAGTCGGGGATCTCCTCGATCTTTGACTCTGATGTTGTTTCATTCTTTCGAACACGTTGAGTGTTCGTGGATGGTCCCGATCGATTGGGGACATGCCATATACTTCCGCAAGTGCCCTTCTCTGATTGCTTGGCCTTACACTTAAGGCAATTCCTGTTCAAGTCCATGGGCTGTCTATGCTCTGTGAACGTTGTCCCAGTTCCATCTTTCTTTTCTCCGTAGTCCTTCTTCGGACTCTGATTCTGAGTTTGACCTGATCCTTGGATCTGCTGCTGATAGGCAGGGTACTTCTGCCCGTAGTTCTGGTTCGATCGGTATGGTCGATATCCGATCTTCTTCAGACGCTTCTCTTCTTCCCGCTGCCTTCGCAAGGAATCAATATCAATAATTGCTTCCTTTCACTGTGCATAAGTGGCTGGTCGCGTATCTCTGTCAAGAGCCCTGTCTATGATGGACTCATTGCAGTTGAGTCAGACAAGGTCGATAGTGTGTTTATCTTCCTTTTTTCTGCCCGCCTGCGTGATGTACATTTCCAATTTCTGGAAATACTCCTGCGCTGTCCCATTGCCTTGGGTTAAGTTATCCATTTGGATAACTGCTTGTTTGACTCGATTTGAATTGAGGAATTGTTCATCAAGGGCTTTGATCAACAGAAGGAAAGTGACATTCCAGCTGTCCGTGCTAATGTCGAATTCATTTTCAAAATAGTTGTTGACCCAGTCGTCAACCTTCAGACCCTTCATGTACGAAAGAGTCATGTCTATCTTCTGTTCATTGGTAAGACCAGTGTTCTTCAGTGTTCGGAACCATAAGTACAGTTGTCTTTTGAAAGATGGATATTTGTCTTTGGTTCCATTGAAGTCTGAGGGTTTCCCTCCAGATGCCTTTGTGTTGGGCTGTGGTGGTACTGGTGGTGGTTGTCTAGGAGGTGGAGTTGGGTTTCTTGGTGGTGGCGGTGGTGGATTTGGTGGATTTGCTCTGAGACTACCAGTTCCAGATCCGGTAGAACCCATTGGTGATAACGGTGAAGATGGTGTGGGGTTTGTAGGGGATGAGTGTGGTGACAGTACAAGTGGAGGTGGAGATCGACGTGTGTAGTATTGATAGAGTGGTGCAGAGAATTCAAATGAAGACGTGGTGTGTGAACAATAGTGTCTTGTACCGGGTGCACGACCCTGTTCTGGTACTTAGAAAAATATAGATCTGGGGTAAGGGAACTCCTTCAAAGTGCTCCGGCCAATAGCCGATCCGGACACACGAGGTGGGTAGATATAATAACTATGTAAAATGGTTTGGCCTTTGAAGGCACAAAAAGAGAAATTGATCTCTGCGGTAGTTGTCTTTCGACATGCGAGAGAGTCAAAGAATACCAGCGAGGTTCAAAACCTCCTGCTGTACACTCAGTCATTTAGGTCTGAGCAGGGTAAATTCTGGTAGGATTTTTCAATGGCCCCTCTGTCAAGAAGGTTGCAGCACTGCCTACTTCCTGGTTGCTTCAAGAGCGGACTACCAGGTGAGAGTAATGATTTATGTACTAAGGGAATACAAGGGTCGCAATCTACAGATGTAGTCGCGTGATTATCCAGGTGGAGGAGTGGAGTGCGATATGAAAGGTAACTAGGAATGTGGAATTCGGATTCCTCCGAATGAGGTCTTGAGCGAGTAAGAGTAAAGCAGAGTGAAATGAGGAATGAGGTGATTGCCGTCGAGTACAACGGACTTGAGAGAGGTGAAGTGTGGGTGGAGGATGAGGCAATGCCTGTCGAGAGAGTGCGAAGGGGCAAGTTTCGAATTATGATAGAACTCAAATCAAACTAGAAATGAGCAGTGTAAAACCATTCGAAACTTGGAGTTAATCCGAAGTTCATCTGGCGTATATATACAACTATTATCTAAATACATGCGGTATCAATGTGTTTGTATATACTTATGGTATCGGTCAGGTTCGAGCATGGATCAATGAGTGTGTTTGGGTAGGTTTTAATAAATGGTTACAAATGAATAATGTGAGGGAAAGGTGTGTCCGTAGATCCAAAATGAATGTGATCGTAACAGTATTGCGATCATTGATCATCACGTTCAAATGTTTTGGTTACGTTGAACTTCCTCTGCACTCGCAGCATGCCATCTACCCTATCCCGAGTACTCATAGACACGCTGCAGCCACTCTTCTCTGGCTTGAGACTGGCTCTTGAGCAGAATCCGATGTATCTCTCGGCGTTCTTGCCTTTATTGCACCCTGAGGACATGCCTGAGCGTTACGATCCTAGTACTAGGGGTCTCGGGACTTTCTCAGAAGCAGACATGCTCTCGCTGCTAACACGTCTGCGCAATGTATTCCCCGATGTAGCCGTATCTACGCTAAGCAAGTGGTGCTACTCAAAGGCGATATATTACATGTTCGATCTACCCCGTTTCTTCGAACTGCATGGCCGATTGGCAACCGCGCTCAGTATGCGACAAACCGATCACAATCGTTATCGCCTTCGTTTCGTCATCACTGTCGTTATCTTGCATTTCCTGGGACATGCCATCCTTGGTTCCGTGGAAAGAGGTTATACCCAGATGAAGACCAGCAATGACTTCCCGTATCATAATTGCTTGTCTCAATCTTTACAAAGAATGATTCCCGAACCTGGATACCTGGTTGAGGAAGCTTTGTTTGGTGGTATCATTGGTATAGTTTTTCGAGAGGAAAGAGATGATGGGCGTCCGCCACGATTCCTGCAATCCGATTTTACCAGAATCGATTACTTGTTCCTTCACTGTCGTAACGGGTCCACCTACGAATTAGGTAAGATCAAAATTGAACCACGCCGTGATTGACAACTGATAATGTGATATAGATCCTGCAGACCTTCACGATCGTATCACTAACTGGCGTTTAACGCGCTTTGATACTTCGTCCTTGCGCCAGATCTCACTGCCTCGGAGAATCAGGGAGAGGACTTGCGCATTTTACAATGGTGACCATCTTGCAGTAAAGTTCCCCGGTGATGGTGGCGAGCTACCACCTAAAGGTGTATAAGCCTCTCCTGCAGACACACATTTGGCGGGGTCGGTGGTTGAGATTAATAGCTCGATCCGTTTGGTCAAGTTTTGTTGTTTTCAGTTGTACGTCTTTCGCCTAAGACCTCGCTACAATCATTGTATGATTACCGTCCTAGTATACTTTAGAGACTGCAAGTCTAATCATCGGACTATCTAAGTAAATCTACCTCCGTAGTATTATTCCCGGCACTGGTTGTAGGCAGAGTCTCGGCCCCGTTTACGACGTTAACGCCCACGAGTATAAATTAGGAATTAAACACACTGCATAAGCTACTGCTACCATGGCTTCCGTTCTGCAGAACTTGGGGCAAACTGTTCGAGAATATTTTTTGCAAGATCCCTCCCATGCCGCCATCTTTGTGCCTATCCTCCTGGGAGAGGCGCTAGAGGACTATAACTTCCACAACCTCCTAAATATCTCTACGTCCAACAGCGCACAAGAGTTGGAACATATCAAGGGTACGATAGAACAAAATTTTCCTTCTCTGAGGGTTTCTTCCAACGACAAAGCTTGTGGAGATTGTGAGCCTTGTATGGAAGATCGATCTTGCATTGAGCTGCACGGTCGTATCGTCGGAGCTCTCACTGCAACGCAGGATATTGACACCCTCATCAACCTTCGCTTCATCCTAGTTGTTATTATCATCCACTCTCTGGGTCATGTTTTTGCCGCTGGCAATCCCATGCCATTGCAGAAAGACACCTTCCCGTTTTACCACTGCAATTACTTGCTCCTTGACAAGGACATCGCTGAGCCCGGCTTCTTTGCCGAGGAAGGAATCTTCGGTGGAATCATCGGCATCGTGTTCAAGAATGAGGAGAATGGATTGCCTGGACCGTTCTTGGAGTCGGATCTCACAAAGATCGACTATCTCTTTCTGTACGATCGAACAGGTGCAGCGTACCGTCTCGGTAAGTCTATTTTGCGTATCATTTGTTATTGAGGATTAAGGTGATTGTGGCTTCCTCTGCAGACACCAGAGAGCTTGCAAACCAGTTGAACAGCAAACGTTTCGGCCGGTTCGAGCATTCTCAGCGCATCCAGGTGCCCGAGGGAATCTCGGAAAGAACCTGTGCTGCCTATAATGGCGACCACCTTCCGATAAAGAACATTGGTCCTGCTTTCAACCCGAAGTGGCTGGACAGGGTACTACGCCACGGCGATCTTACGTTCTCCAATAACCGTTTCAACCAACCGTCATGTGTCCGAATGAAGTGATGGAGATTATTCCTCTCTTTAATGGTACACCGACTTTCTAGTCCACTTGTTGCTTGACATCCAGCGGCGACATTCATATTTTTTCCCGTGTAGTATTCGATCCGTAGATGATGGGCAAGCAGATGCCGGACCAGCACGGTGAAAGTCGAGCAAAGGACGGCATTATAGACTTGTTGATCCTCAGAAGATACCTGATTAACACGTAGTAACTGCATTTCTGCCTGGGCAAGCTAAATCGCCTGAATTCTATAATCCTCAGTCTCATCAGTAATTTAAGTCACCGAACACAATAACATACCCGATGGCAACTTTGGCAAGAAAATGCCACTATACGTTGCATGACAGCCTTCAAAAAAAGAGGATAGAAGAGCATCATCGCGTTGGAAATAGAGACGAATAGGCTATTCCATCTTTTGGGGGCAGACTTGATGGATGAAGCTTGAGGACTGTTCTTGTGTCGCATATATTGATGTTGATACATGAACGTCCCAGCGATCTACTCACTACATCCCAATTTTGTGCAGGCCACAACCATAAAAACCGACGATGGTAGCGGGGATGGACGATTGACAGCTGGGTCCCATATGCAGTCGGTGTGTGACAGGTCAAGGAACATAGCATGTAAGAGAGAGATAATGCGAAAGAGCGAAAAGAAAAAGAGAAAAAGAAACATCCCCACAGAAAGAATAAATAATGATTTGAGACAGAGAGACAAATGCAAAGTATCGAGGAGAGAGGGAAAGAGAGGGGGGTATCCATTTGAACATACACCTGAGCATGAACGAAACCAGTCGAGAGCACGAAACAAATGCAACTAACAAACACACAACAAACAAAACAACGACACCCGAATAACCCTCCTGTCGGATCTAAACAAAAAAAGGGAAATCCTCAACTATTGATATACATAGAACTCTCCAAACCCGCCTTGCTAACTCTCCGCATAGGTTGAAGAGTCGCCTCATCCACCGGCGCACGTCTCGCATGACGATACCGTCCCTCAGAATCCTTAATCTCCAATTCCTGCTGCGAATCGCCCAACTGAGCGACGTCCCCCACAGTAGGAACCAAATTGAACGAATGTTGACTAGTAAATGCCGGAGGAAGGCTTTCCCTCAAATGTTGCGGCCGTCTCCCGCCAACAGCAACTTGGTAATTCCCACCCATGTTCCCACCACCACCTCCGGCGTTCGAATGTGGTCGTTCTGAAGACTCCGCATCGGAGGAGGATGATTCGCTTGAGGGAGGAGGCATCTTTACGACACCTACAGACTTGCCACCAAGTTCCTGCTCCTCGAATGTCATGAGCTCGGAAACGAAGCCGATATTGGGTGAGATGCCTTTCCGACGACCGACGACGAAGGCGTAAGCGCGTGAAAGGGTCCAGTGATTTGCGTGGATGAGGTAGGCCATAACGGCTGTCACCGACCGTGATTTTCCAGCCTTACAGTGGACGTAAGTCGGTGCAGAATGTAGGCGCGCATCATCTAAAGTGGGACATATCGAATAAGTAATAAATTCTGACAAAATGCGTAGAGGCAGCACAAGAAAGATGTTTTACCTAAGATGGCACAAGCTTCACGAACGCCGCGCGTAATATTATCCTCCTCCACAGTATCTCGCATAGGGATTCGTACGTATCGCTCAAAACGTTCCCGTAACCGAAGACCGTGATCATCGTCACATTCGATCGCGAGATTCAAAATCCGCTTCACCCCCAATGACAATAACTCCTCCACATGCTCTTCTGTTGTCAGTTCAGGACCAAGATAGAGGAAATTTGGAAGGATGGTGGATATCGTAAAGACAGGTAAAGGTTCCTCCGTCATTGGCGGTTGATCAGTATCCGGACGAGCAGTAAGTGGAGACGCAGGCATCGGGGTCGATGGGGTATGCGGCGTTGGTGGTCGAGGTGAATTGGGTGATAGGAGCTCGGAGGGGCGAGGGCGTGCTGACCCTGGTGGCGAATGGTTGGAATGAACCAGGGTGAGATGTGAAGGTGAGCGAGAACGCGAGCGTGAGCCCTTCCCCGCTGGCGGCGCAGAAAGCATTGCAGGTTTATTGACCTGCAACTTCGGCAGATTTAGCTGTAGTCTTTCCGCAGATGTTGTATCGAGTTTGCGCAGAGCCGGTATACTGGGTCTGCGTGGCGGTTGAGGCCGGGAGAATACTGTTGACGAGGGCGGAGGTGACGGTGCAGAATAATCGTCAAGGTGACTCCATGAAGGCATAGCGGAGGGCATAACAGGTTGTGGTGAAGGTGCAGCTTGCTCAATTTCAGGGTAAGTCTTAGACCTTGAGGCGCTAAGCGTGTCAAGCTGCCTCAGTCCGCCTGGCGTGCGCCTGCCACTGTTGGGCGCAGATGGAATGGATGGCACGGTTAGGGACGTCTCATCCTGGGAAGACTCGTCGGCTTTAGAACTGGACACGATCAACTGAGACAGATATGTATGTCGACGTGCGGAGGAAAATCCGCCTTCAAGGAAATCGACTGTGCCATGTTGAAGTAATGGCCCAACGACATCCATTAACGTCCATGTGGACGCTTGCGTGCTTGTGCGGTCTTTTACGTCCATATGCTCGTCGTACACAATCACATCTCCGTCCCAATCATCATTATGCATAAGATCGTCCCATGTTTTTGTGCCCTCCTCTGTCGTGATGTATTGCCGTAATGCATCCAATGAATGAAACGCGCCTGCAGGTTTACGTGATCGCTTGAGGATAAGTGAAGGTATGGCCATATTGACCGTATGCTGGAGATGTGACGAGAGGAACGACGCGATCGGGCGGCTGTCTATGAGTAGAGGGCGTGTGGGAGCAGAGAGGCGAGAGAGGAGCAATGCAGGACTGATACCGACCGGGACTGTACTAGTACTTTGTCGTGACGAAGGCTGTGGGTGATCAAGCGAGACCTGCCTCGAGTGGTTGCCAAACGTGAGGTAGCGCGCACTCAGAGGAGTGGCACCAAATTGTGATAGCGGCGTAAAGTAGGCACTGTCAGGACTGATGGCTGAATCTGGGGTGGGAGAACGGTGGCCAGTACTGTCACTCGGCGGGGAGTCTGAGGAGAACGAAGACGACGATGCTTGATGTGCATGCGTCGATGACGCAGAACGAATGGGTCGGAGACGGAGATTCTTGCGAACGCTCCTGCGTAGCTGCTCAAGCACAGCAAGATCCCTGGAGAGTTCGTCCACATTTTGATCAGAGTCTACATCTGGGTTGAGAGGGTAGTCGATGGGTGAGCTGGAGCCTGAAGACGATGGCGACGAGAGAGGGTCATCCGTGTCCTCTTTGGGATCTGGCACCAGGTTAATGGGAGTTTGGAACTCGATGATCGTCGTTGAAATGGACTTCTTGCTTGTTTCGAGCGAGAGCGTCGGAGGCCGCGGTTTCTTTGCCGGCATTTGTGAAGCGCTGTGCGGGGTTCTTTGGGCTATGGTACAAAGGAGTTGCTATCAACTGAGCTTGATGCCTGTGATTGAATGCTGGCCGACACCGCTATGCTTTGACTGCCTCGGTGTCGCAGAACAAGGAGAGGTTGCTAAATGCAGTGCAGTACGGTAAAGTGGTCCGGGTTTGAGGTTAATTGTAACTCTATGTACATCAATTGAGCGTCATGGGTCGAGTATGAAGTTTGCTTACCGGGTATACCGTATGACGACCACTGGCTGCTATGGTGATTCGCCAACTATGTCGTTGGCCAGTGTGGGCCTGCTGTGGACGGGCCTAAATCTCCAGGAATAACAGGGAGGGAAGACGCCACGCGAAAGACTGGGATCGACGTCGGGATTAGCCAGACGAGAAAAGGGTTGGGTATAAGATGCGAATAAAAGTGAGTGCAAAGTCGAAAAGAGAAAGTCAAAGCATGGACGAGAGCAAGACGAGTTGGAGACTGTTGGAGAGAGCAGAGTGGACGAGCCAAGTAGGCAGCGAGTACGGAGATGCATTATTTTCCAATTATTTTCTACTCTTATTGAATAGCCTATTATGGTAACATATTATAGCTTAGTAAAAGTAAGCGAGTTTAGTAAGCGTGGGAGGATAGACCAGATTTGCGTGCTGACCAAATAAAAGCAAACGCAGCTGTAGGAGAGAGGCATAGCGCGTTTTCAGAGACCTCCACCAAAACACGAGTCCCCCGTCCACAAAATGTACAAATCCTCAAACTTCCGCAAGTCCCAGCCTGCACAAGATGCAGCCCCCGAAAAGTATCGTTCTCAGGCCCACCAGCTCCAAGAAGCCTTCCCCGCCTGGTCGTTCGAGGGTATGTTGCTCATTTACATGTCACGAGTCCTCTCTCATTTACCTCTCACTCTCTCCAGACCTCCAGTCTTTGCTCGTCGAAGTAGGCGGCGATGCATCAATTGCTGCCATTCGAATTGCTGAAGGTACGTTGTCTATGTCTGTTTTCCATCCATGACAGCACATGCTCATCTCTGCAGGCCACGCTGAGCAATGGGGCTCTGTCAACCGCAAGAAGGACAAGAAGTCGCTTACACCCTCAAACTCCCAATCAAAGGACCTCTCAAACGGTACTACTAGGGGTGATTTCCGCGGTGGCAGAGGCGGTCGCGGAGGTAGGGGTGGTCCAGGACGGGGTGGTGCTGCTCGAGGCGCCTTCGCTCGCGGTGGTCACCATGACACCAATGGCCGCCAGGCCAGGGCCACTCCTAGCCAGTCCACAGAGGCAGTCGCTTCCAAACGTCAGGAAGACTCAGCCGCGACGGACTCAGCTGTGGGTACAGATGGTTCCACCAAGTCCGCAGAAGAGCATCTTGCACCATCTGGATCTCCCTCGGTGGGTGATTCCAGCACTCAAGCCGTACCCTCTGCTTCTGCGACGAGCACTCCTACAACTTGGGGAAGCCATCCCGCTGTAAATGGCACAACTGTTCCTGCGCCTGCTCCTGCTGCTGTTCAACCTTCAGTCCCTCCCTCGTCCAAGCCTGCCCCCAAGACACCCGCAACAACGAAACTCTCATGGGCTCAAATTGCACGGTATGTACCCAAATTCTCGACGATGACCTTAACATGTTTGCTGAAGCGCTCATAGACCTCATGAGAAGCCTGCACCCGCCCCTGCACCTGTTGCTCCGGCACCTGCACCCTCAGCCGTACCTACATCAGCACCTGCATCGGCTGCTCAGCCCGAACCTGTTCCTGCATCTGCACACGAACCAACTCCCTCGTCTGAGCCCCTATCTGAGCCTGCTCAACTGGGATGGGAAGAGCCAACTACTGTCCAACCGCCCACATGGGACGATGAACTCACATCGAAGTCTCAACAAGCCATTATTGCCGAGGAACCTAAGGCAAAGGAGGAAGCCCCCGCTCCAGCACCGCAGGCAGAGTCAGCGCCAGTGGCCCTTCCGTCCGCTCTTCCTGCTCAACTGCAAGCACCTGTTCCCAAGACTGAGTCACCTGCGCCAGTGAAGCCAACAACACCGGCTGCACATACGAGGCCATTATCTGCAACTCACCGACACAGTGCACGCTTCAAGACTGACCAGGCCGTTGTCATGCCTAGCGGCAGCTTCGGCGCTAATGTTGAGAAGGTCGGAATGCAATTCGGTAGCCTTAGCTTGGCCGGCGATGAGATTGAGCCTAGCACGTGAGTACCATAATTAGCATTTCGAGCTCGATGTGAACGTTTGCTTACCCTACGTGGTAGAACCGAGTCTGCGCCTGAAGCTCCTGCTGCTCGTGCGCCTGAGCCTGAAAGTCAGCCTACTGCTGCACCTGTGCAGCAATCTCCTGCGTTGCATCTTCAGACCCAAGCCGCTGCCCAGGAAGCTGTGGCACCAGTTCAACTTCCGCCTTCTCAGGTGCCTCTCAACGTCGGACAGACACTCTTCCAGCAAACAATTCCTCAACAGCAGGTTTCTGCACCTCCCGCTCAACCCCTCAGCCAACCTCAGCCGCAAGGTTTGCCTTCGTCCCTCACACAGTCCTCCCTCCCATCCCAGGTGTCTGCTCAACAAGCCGCTGGAGCCTCACCTTACGCGCATCAGAACCAGCCTGCTTCCCAACAAGGCCTCACGAGCCACCTCCCACAACAGCAGCAACCTACTCAGGCGCCCCTCCATACTCAGCAGCAACAATCGCTCCACCAATATGCCCAGCATGGTTTGCCTACGCACCTTGAGGGTCCGCAGTCGCCTCCGGTCCCCCAGCAACAGCAGAGCGTCGGAGCTCATTCGTCTTACTTCCGTCAACCCGAGGCTCCTTACTTCCACACTCCTACACCTCCTGTATCTGCTGGACAAAGCCAAGATAGTGCATACGCCTCGTTTGGTCAGCAATTGGGCAACCAGTTGCACCAGAACCAAGCTTCGCACCTTGCCGGATTCGGTGGTGGAGACTACGGATACGGGGATAACCAGAGGGTAAGTCTCAAGTCATCCATAATGATGTCTTTCAATTTTCTGACGCACCCTACAGTCATTCTACGATTCCTACTCTGGCAACCAGGCTGGATTCAACAGGAACAGCATGGGCTATGACGACATCAAGGGTCTGCATGGCGGTCCTCAGCAGCCTCACGGTGCTCCTGGCCTTCCTCCAGCTAACTCTCAGCCATCGCAACCCCTCCCTCAGTCGTCCCAGACCGGAAGCCAATCGCAACCCGGCAGCCAAGGTCCTCAACAAGGATACCCACCTCCTCTACCATACTACTACCCTTACCAGCACAACCAGTACTATGGTACGCCCTACAGCTCTGGCTATTCTGTTCCTCAGCCTTTCGTGAAGTATCCTGCCGTATTCCAAGGCCCTCCCGGCCCTCAGTCCGCTCCTTCGCCCGCTGCGAAGCAACCCAGCACTGTGCAGCCCCAATCGCCTTATGGTCAGAGCTTGTATGGACAACAACACCCTTCAAGCGCCTATGAGGAGATCAGCCACCAGCACCATGGTCAACACGGTCATGGGCAGAGCGTGGGTAGCCTCCCGTCTAACGAGTATAGCAAGCATCAGCTGTATAGCAACAGCGGTCAGAGCATGCAGAGCTTCATGGGTCTCGGACAGTCCACTGGACCTTCATCTGGACCTCCTTTGGGCCAGCGGGCTGCTGGAGGCTCTCCTGAGGCCGCTTACAAGCCATATGGCGCTAACGTTGGCGTGAAGGATGTTGGAAGTGGTGTTGGCGTTGGTGTTGGCCAGAGTGGTGTTGGACAAACTCCTCAGGGCCGTGGTGGCGTTCAACAGCCTCAACAGGGTAGTTTCTATAATACGCAGCGATTTGGGGCGTCTGCGAATGCTGTACCTCCTTCTGGACAATCTCAGCAACATCAACCTCAAGGACAGGTTCCGCAGGGACACCTTGGGTATGGTCAGGGCGGTTCGGATGGGAATGCTTTCTATTCGTACCAGCCTAGGCAGCAACAGCAGCAGCAGTATTGGCAATGATTTGGGCTTGATGGACCGCCGCTTTTACTTAGGTGCAGCTTATAGTTTGCCGTTATAGGGAGTACATAGTATAATGATGTGCCTTTTTTCGTTATTCACGTGCTAGCGATATTTTCTTCGTGCTCTCTCTTCTTCTTGTCTCGCTTTTTCTTTTTTTGGTCTTCTTTTTCTTACGATTTCTCTCGATTTCTCTCTCCTCTCCTCTGTCTCTCTCTGTTTGTTTTCTACCACTCATCTGCTCTCTCGTATCATACATCCTCATCTCAGTCCTCACACTTTATCATGTCCATGATGTATATGTATCGGTTGCACGACGATGGACCATCGAGTGACATATGTAACTTTCGCAAAAAAGGCAGAAGCAACTCATTTCCGAATCTCAATTGTTATGTTATCTAGCGTGCTGACCCACGGTCAAAAAACTATCAAGTGCCTGGGTTGTTGCCGGCAAACCAGATCACGGAATAAAGAACGAGCGAAGGAAGTTGCGGCTGCAAAAAGAAAGAAAGAAAGAAAGCCAAGAAAAAGTGGGGGACAATAATGCCTTGAACGCCTCCTGTAGTTGATGGTGATTTAGGGACTATAGTAGCCGTAGGCCCCCGGACATTTACATGGAGGCGGATCCTCAAAATCGGAGACATCTTCATCCACATCTAGCTTCACTTTAGCTTCAGATTCATCAATATCCATCGGGAGATGGTCGCCATTCAATGTGGCGCAGGTTCTGTCCGGGATCCACTTGGGTGCGGTTACAGCCTGAAGGCAACGACGATCGAATGGGGTGAAGTCTCCCGCTGCTAACTTGTTCTCCATATCGGTTGGGTCTAGATAAATAAATGCATCAGTTGCAATATATATGTTATCGACAAGGACGAATATGCGTACCGAGCCGATACGTCAAGCCGTCGCGACAATGCATGAATAGGTAGTCAATAGCGTTGAAGTCGGCATGTATCGGAGGAGGTGGTTCACCATCTTCCGAGTCCTCTTCACGGAACACTATACCAATGATGCCCCCGAATAAAGCCTCCTCGACAAGGAAACCATACTCGGGAAACGATCGTTCTGTGATCAACGTCTTAGAATGCCAGTAAGGGAACTCCAAGTGCTCATCAGCCTCCAAAATGCTGAAGAAACGACATCCGACTGTATGACCAAGTCCATGCAGGATGATGACCACAATCAAGAAACGAAGAGTGGGATTGTCCTGGTTGGACGCCTGACAGTGACACAACGCCTCTGCAACACGTGTGTGTAAGCGTATAACATTATCACGCGAATGGCTCATTGATGGTGAACCACGGTCCCAGTGTGCCGTACAATGCGAAATACGTGGTCTAGGAAACTCTCTGGTGAAGTATCGTCGCAGCATCGCGACCTCCATAGGTGTGGCGCAAGTCGGAAATGAAGGATTGGGCTCAAGGAACGTCCTGTCCCCACGAAGAGACGGAAGGAAAGTATTGAAATATGATGGGTTCTGCAGTATGGTATTTCGCACCATAGCAAAAATAGGCTCCAATTGTTCCGTGCTGGAATCGGTCAAGGTCATGGTTTCAATCAGAATAATAGCAACGGGAAGCGATCAAGACTGTCGATGTGGGGGGACGCAGCGGTATCAATTGTATAATGGGGCGTAGTAGCTAATAGTCGAATGTCACCTTTGTGTAAGCCAGTTTCAATACGACTAGTGACTGAGGCAGGATAAGCTCAGTTTCAGTCTATAGGGGAAGACAGTCGTTGAGCGGTTGCGAGTTCTTACCAAACTGCAAGGACACGTAAAGTCGAAGAGGTTCGGTAGTAGGATTTCCGAGAAGATATAGTAGTATACTGGTCCAGCAGTAAGATCGTCGATCATCTATCTGATCGGCGACCGGAATATACAAACGGCCGTAGTACCAATCTTGAGTCTTTACCGCCAGCGTTCACATTATTTATACGACTATCACTCCTACCATCATCACTACCACTATGGTTTCTGCAGGCACTTCTTCTTCCCCATCCGATACAGCGGCGACTCTGCCAGACTTGTTCCAGGTTGTTCAGAGATATTTTCTGGCCAATCCATGTCACGCTGCTGTATTCGTCCCTATCCTGCGGGGAGAGGCTTCAGAGGACTATAATCTCGACAACCTCCGAGGTATCTCTTATACCCATTATGCGCGGGAGCTGGAACACATCGGGCGCATCTTCTCGCAGAATTTTCCTTCTCCGAGGGTTTCCTCCCCCGACAAAACTTGCGGATATTGCAAGTATAGTATGGAGGACAAATCTCACATTGAGCTGCATGGTCGTCTCGTGAATGCTCTCGTTGCAACCCAGGATGCTGACACTATTGTCGAACTACGCTTCATTCTTGCTGTTATCATTATTCACTCTCTGGCCCATGCATTCACAGATGGCAATCCTGTGCCGATGTCGAAGGATGACTTTCCATTCTACCATTCTCTTTACATATCCCCTCGCAAATACATTGCCGAACCCGGGTTCTTTGCTGAGGAGGGAATCTTTGGTGGTATCATCGGCATCGTATTCAAAGAGCAGGAGAATGGACTGCCTCCAAAGTTCTTAGAAGCGGACTTCACAAGGATCGCCTACCTCTTTCTATATGATCGGACCGGGACAGCGTACCGCCTCGGTAAGTATACTTTAGCATTCACCTTATGTTCTGGTGACTGACGGTTATCCTTTTACCAGACACCGGAGAGCTTGCAGGGCAGTTGAAGTATCATCGCTTCGGCCAGTTCAAGAAGGCTCGTCGCATCGAGGTACCGAGGGACATCTCAGAGAGAACATGTGCTGCGTTTAATGGCGACCACCTTCCGATTGCGCGGGTTGGTGCCGGCCGTGTTCCTGAATGGCTGGAAGCGATACTAGCACACGGTAATCTTGAGAACATCGATGATCGCTTCCGCCATGAATGCGTCCCTATCTTGGAATAAACCCAGCCATTCCATAATTGCTAGAATCTGCGTATGAATATTTTCTCGTCTAGCCACGTATCGACGTTCAGCGCGACGTCTCAGTCTTCCAATTTATGAACCTCATATACTATTTCCCAAGATAAATGCTCATGCTCCGACATCGACAAATAGCCTGTGTGGCGTTGGGATCACCGCAGCAGCTTTGAGCTTGACAATAACTGACAGAAACGTGGACTGGTACTACTTGGAGACTTCGAGGGTTACTTATCAGACTTCCGCTACCAACACTATACTCTATATCCCAAGAGCGACCCGAGTATCTCCCAGATTTTTCGCCTTTACTTTGCCCCGTCGAGGACATGCTTAGAGACATCATGTCGGACTGTCTTCCCTTATAGAGGCTGAAACTGAGCCTAAGGCAAACCGTCTCAGCTCTTCATATTCCGGCTTTTTCCAATATCCTCGAAATGTCGTAGGCTTGTAGAGGATGCCACCTCTATGTCTACGCTCATGTAGGACACTGTATGTGGTCATTGGCGGCGTTGGCTAGCGTGGCGTCGGTCAGGGCTATGGTGGCATTCAAAAACCTCAACAGATAGGTAAAACCACTCATAATTCACAGTACATTGGATAAGTATATACAAGGTCGGGGTACATTCCTATTGACTCTTTATAACTGCTTCATGACATTGATAACACGAGGCACATAGGCCGGTAACCTTCTGAGTCAATGGCGTAACCCAAAGGTTTCTTCAAAGTCATCGAAATCCTCAAAGGCCCGATCCACAAGTCTAAAGTCCATAAGCGTTCCTTCCACGGGATCATAATATTTCAGCTCGCCCTCGTGATCGGGTCGGAAGTGATTGGTGTCAGTGATTTGGCTATGGAATACTCGCGCTGGCAAAATTGCAGTTAGCATGCTTCCATCAACCCATAGATTGGGCACATTGTTCTCAACACCGATAAATGCATTTGCCAGACTATAAAGATAGTCCACATCTGTCAGTAAACGTGGAGTCAATGAGGGATGAAGGCAGCGTGGGTACGAAGGTCTAGTAGGCGGCTCACCGAGGACATATCTTCGTCTATGAATATATTTGTTATCAACCACTCTCTTGATGTATAGCCCATCCAGATGGGCCAGGTCCCCTCTATGGCCCTCCTTATATACAGGATGTAATACACCGTTGAAGATGAGTCCTTCAAGTGCATAACCTGACTCGCCAAAGATCGGGTTATTTGGATCTGACTGCGTCAAGTCTACCAATTCTCCATCTTTTTTGTAGTACGGGATCGAGGGGTGGGGAAACCTAACATGAAAAGGTGTCACCCCACTCATAGACCCTGACAGGTGAAAATATTGCCAGCAGAGATGAGCAAGCTCGTGAAGAATAGTGGCACCCGTCAAGGTTATTATTGAAACGACTTGAATAGAAAGCATCGGGTTGAAATCAACACTCTCCAGAAACCTCACCAGATTATAACTCAAGAATATGACAGGTTTGCGTCCACCTAGCCTGAGATCCGGTCGTGGCATTTTGCCATAAGCAGACATATGCATGATACGAACTTCAGGCCAGTGGGTTCGCAGAAATCTCAGCACCGCTGCTTCCCCTTCTTGAGAAGGACTCGCTTCATTGTACCGTCGATCCCGGTGTATGTGTTCGCGATAAATACGGTAGAAACTACTCTAGTTTATAAGTACTCTCTTCTCAGCTCTACTTCCAGCATTCCGACGCACTCAGATACCACTATCATTACCATCATTAGTACCACTATGTCCTCCGTACACGTTTCCACTTCCCGAACCAACTCAGACCAGACTCTGGACCGCTTGTCCCAAGCTGTTCGGGGATATTTCCTGGCAAATCCATCTCATGCTGCCATATTCGTACCTATCCTGCGGGGAGAGGCTCTAGAGAACTACGACTTTGACAACCTCCACAGTATATCTTATTCCAAGTATGCGCGGGAGCTCGGAGACATCAAGAGTTTCATCGAGCATAACTTTCCTTCTCCGACGGTTTCACCTCTTGATAAAACGTGCGGACATTGCAAGGCTTGTATGGTGGAAAAGTCTAACATTGAGCTGCATGGTCGTCTCGTGGCTGCTCTTTCTGCGACCCGAGATATGGACACTATCATCAATCTACGCTTCATCCTCGCTGTTATCATCATCCACTGTCTGGCCCACACATTTGCGGTTGGCAATCCTATGCCGGTGCGGATAGATGACTACCCTTTTTACAAGTGCAACTACCTGTTTCTTGCCCGTGATATTGCTGAGCCTGGTTTTTTCGCTGAGGAGGGCATCTTTGGCGGTATCATTGGCATCGTATTCAAAGATCAGGAGAATGGAATGCCTCCAAGATTCTTGGAGGCGGACTTCACGAAGATCGCCTATCTCTTTCTTCTTGACCGGACTGGAGCAGCATACCGCCTTAGTGAGTAGATCTGCTTTATGTTTTAGCATACTGACACCACGGTGATGCTTCTACTAGACACCGGAGAGCTTAGAGAGCAGTTAAAGTCCCATCGCTTCGGCCGGTTCACGAACACTCGTCACATCGAGTTGCCGAGGAAGATCATAGAGAGAACGTGTGCTGCGTTTAATGGCGACCACCTTCCAATTAAAAGGGTTGGTGCCGGTCGAGCTCCTGACTGGTTGGAAGCGATAATAGAACACGGTGATCTTGAGTACACCGATGATCGCTTCCACCACGAATGCGTCCATTTCATGAACTAAAGCCCGCTGTTCAATTAGTAATGCGTATGAGTACCGCCTTATCTCTAGCTATGTATTGAGTTTTGATGTTCGTCACAATGTCTTACTTTGTTCCAATTTATGAGTTGTGTCAATTTATACCAGACAAAATGCTTGTGCTCTGACACCGATGAATAGGCCGCATGGCGTTGGGATCAGAGCCACAGCCCCGAACTTCATGATAACTAACGGTAGGAGCTTTCAGCGGCTGACTATGGTTATCAGATTTTCGCCACCAACGCTATACTCTGTATACCAAAGTGATCGACTATCTCTCAGATACTTTGCCTTTACTTCTCCTTGCCGAGAACATGTCTGAAGCATTACGATTCCAGAGAATTCACGAGTTTCAGAAACGGATATACATCCACTTCCAGCTAAATCTCTTGAAATCCTGAGCTCCAACTTTGGATAAAGAAGTTAAATGAGTAGCTAAGAACATATTCTATTTAGACCTGAGGAATAATATTTCACAAGTACACAAGAATCGACGTTGCATAGCTAGATATATATATAAACATTCTACACACGGTATACCATTTGAGAATGCCAGCGTCCCCTACGTCGTCGTTCGCTTGACACATGGCTCTTGGCCGAAGCGATCGGAGGAGAGCTCAAGATTGCCATGCCGTAGTATCCTGGTCAGCCACTCTGGCTCATAACCAGAACCGATATTCTCTATCGGAAGGTGGTCACCATTGTACGCAGCGCAAGTTCGTTCCGAGATTCCACTCGGCGCCTGGACACGCTGGGAACGCTCGAAAAGGCCGAAAGATTTGTTATGTAGCTGGTTTGCAAGCTCTCTAGTGTCTGCAGAGGAAACCGCGATCATGTTAGTCTTCAATAACAACTGATACGTGAGATAGGCCTACCAAGACGGTACGCTGCACCTGTTCGATCTTGCAGAAAGAGATAGTCGATCTTTGTGAGATCCGACTCCAAGAACGGTCCAGGCAATCCATTCACTTCATTCTTGAACACGATGCCGATGATACCCGAAGATTCCTTCCTCGGCAAAGAAACCAGGCTCAGCGATGTCTTTGCTAAGCAGCAAGTAATGGGAATTGTAGAACGGAAAACCCTCTTTCTTCATCGGCCTAGGATTGCCAGCAGCAAAAGCATGACCCAGAGAGTGAATGATAATAACAACTAGGATGAAGCGAAGGTTGACGAGGGTGTCAACATCCTGCGTTGCAGTAAGAGCTCCGACGATACGACCGTGCAGCTCAATGTAAGATCGATCCTCCATACAAGGCTTGCAATATCCACAAGCTTTGTCGTTGGAAGAGACAGTCAGAGAGGGAAAGTTCTGTTCGAGTGTCCTCTTGATACGTTCCAACTCTTGTGTGCTGTTGGATGTAGAGATACTTAGAAGGGTGCGGAAGTTATAATCCTCTAGCGCCTCTCCCAGAAGAATAGGTACGAAGATGGTGGCATGAGAAGGATCTTGCAAGAAGTATTCTCGAACAGTTCGCCCCAAGCTCTGCAAGGTGGAGGCCATGGTCCGAGTGGTTTAGAATAGAGAGATGTGTTTATTGCTGTTTGCGGCAGGGTTGGCGTGAGAGACTTTCACGGTATTTTGAGGTGCGTCCTACTCGTCGATCTCATTATTCCGACAAGATGTGGCTAGACCTCAAGTTCAAGCTACGCATACGATGAATAAAGCGTTCAATGGGAGGACCGACATTCTCCGCCCCCTGCGACTCGAGCGTTAAGGAACGTGATATAGTGGCTTGATACAACGTGGAAGCAAGAACCTGATAGCTGTAGTCTTGAGGCAGTTCGATCGAGAATCTCAAGTACAGCAGACGTTAGAACCCGATCACCACACAGTTTATTTGACATCGTCAGGCGCATACGTGTTCGTCCTCCAGAAATGGCGAAAGTCATAGAGCGAGGTGTTAGCAAAGAAGATCGAGACATTGTGACAAACTTTGGAGAGCTCAAGAGTTCAGCACATACAGGAGCTAGATGAGAACCCGTAATCACTAAATGAACAGCAGACTTTAAGACATGAAATGGATGCATTCGTGGTGGAATCGGTCATCGGTGTGCTCAAGATCGCCGTGTTGTAGTATCGCTTCCAGCCAGTCGGGATCACGACCAGCACCAACTCGCTCGATCGGAAGGTGGTCGCCATTAAACGCAGCACACGTTCTCTCTATAATATTCCTCGGCACCTCGATGCAACGAGTATTCGTGAATCGGCCGAAGCGATGACGCTTTAACTGCTCTGCAAGCTCTCTGGGGTCTGGTAGAAACGTCAACGTGACGTCAGAGCGCCAGAACATAAGGCAGATTCCGAAGCCTACTCACCAAGGCGATACGTCGCCCCAGTCCGGTCAAGAAGAAAGAGATAGGCGATCTTCGTGAAGTCCGCCTCTAAGAATTCTGGAGGCATTCCATTCTCCTGATCTTTGAATACGATGCCAATGATACCGCCAAAGATTCCCTCCTCAGCGAAGAAGCCAGCCTCAGCGATATCGTAATCAAGAAGCAAATTACTGCACATGTAGAATGGGAAATCATTTGTGTGCATTGGCCTAGGATTGCCAACCGCAAATGTGTGGGCCAGACAGTGGATGACGATAACGGCGAGGATGAAGCGTATGTTGGTGATGGTGTCAATATCCCGGGTTGTAGCAAGAGCATCCATGAGGCGACCGTGCAGCTCAATGTGAGATTTGTCCTCCATACAAGGCTTGCAATGTCCACAAGTCTTATCAGGAGATGAGACCGTCAGAGAAGGAAAGTTCTGCTCGATGAAGCGTCTGATCTCCCCGAGCTCATGTGCATACTCGGGAGAAGATATGCTCTCGAGGTTGTTGAAGTTATAGTTCTCCTCAGCCTTTCCTAGGAGGATAGGTACGAAGATAGCAGTATGAGAGGGGGTTTCTAGGAAGTATTCTTGAACCGTTCGCGCCAAGTTCTGGAGAATGTGCATTGCTTACGATCGATGGAAAGAAAGAGGCGCTACTGATATCGGCGGAAGCCAGAACGATTGTTTGTTGTTGTTAGGAACAGAGGCGTTTGCCTTTTTGGCTACTGGACCCAAATCCAATCGCTCCTGCGCACCCCAACCACCGCACGGAAGGCTTGGTTCACATCTACCGGAAACTCAGTGTTTTTAAAACCTTTGCCGATGAGGCGCCACTCTAACATACCTTGTTGCCATCTGTTACCGACGTCGTCGAAGAAATACACGGCAGGGATCGCGTCTATCTTTGGATCAATAGTGAGCTGGTCAATTGGGACGTTTCTCCCCGGACTTCAGTCAGTTGGTCAGTGTCAGTTGAATGTGGAATCGATGTTTCATACATACACATAGTCTACGCTGTAGGTCCCGGGTCCTGCCCACGTACAGGGATTCTGGAAGGTAGACTGCTTGAGACTGTGACGCCCGCTGCCGAAGCTGCAAAGAGACAAATGAATTGAAAATTTTAATCATGTTCCAAAGATTCACCTACTATTGAAAAGTAACTCCCAGTGAACTCGGCCGAAGTTCAACGCTTGAGGGCACAAAGGCTAATGGATCCTCGTCAGCGCCGACTTTGACGTTGGTCATGCCACTGGACGACTGGGCGAAGACTCCTCCCATGAGGATGGAGAGAGAAGCCGCGACATACAAAGGAGTCACTATATCTAAAGAAATATCAAAGCCCGGGAGAGAGATGTCGTGTTGCACTTTTCTGGTATGCCTTTTGTACTCTCTTTTTGCCAGAAGATCCGGGAACTAGCGACGTGAGTATTACACGACTTTTTTATGTCTTCCGCCAAGTGCATAACAGAATATTGGATGATATCCATCCAGTTCCGTAATGTCGACCTAGCCAGTTCGAGTGTATAGGTGCTCCTTGTTGTCATCTGCATGCGTTGGATTCATGCACTATGCCGACACACTCATTGTAAGTATGTACCTTCTCCGAACCGGACTTGAGTTGGAACTGATCAGAGGTAGTCCGCAGGACCCCCTCAGCAGTCCAGAACTAGACCTGTCTTGGGCTTTATCGCCTGCTCAGTCGCATCCGCAACCAAAATCAATTATGCAAATAACATGGTCTTCCTGGTCTCACTTATGGCTCATTCATTTAAGTTCTACACGACATGGACAACTTGTTTCTGTCTGGGATTTACTTTGCTTCGGTATCCTGATGTATCAAATTCATTTCACATTTGTCACGCTGCCCACAGGCAATCAGCCATACGCTTTCACTGTGAATTGTATCACTGCCTTCTACATCTTTTATGCAGGGGGGGGGGTCATGATTGAGAGCTTTGTTTTCTCTCCTTTTCAATCATATGATATCTCAGCTCTGCCACAATGTAGGCCCACGCGCGGTCTGATCTCGTCCTCTGGTGTTGTCGCTGCTCAACAATAACACTGTACAGGTCACGATATTTGGACCACACCTAAATAGATTGGACCGATAGCCCATGATGAACCGTCTACCCAGTCGCCGTCCACGGGCTCACAAATACGATTCTGGACGTATGTAATTGAGGTCCTGGAACAGCTCCGACTCATACAAACATCACTTTTGCCAGGGATTTACCACAGTTGTTATGTATTCCACCTTGCATCCAGATCCCCGGGCATTCCATGTACTTATCAAGGAGGCACCTGGAAGTCGGCGGCCTACCTTATTACTCAAATTGGATCCCTTGACCGCGTTTCCCTGATATATACAAGCTAGTAATCCTCCCCTCATCCAGAGTTCTCTTCTTGTGTGCATGGAAACTGACGGGTGCTTGGAAATGGTCTCATCGAGTCGAGGGTTAGCTTAGATTTGTCACGGTCTCTTACTCCCCGATTGAACGGGCGTATAATCCTGTTCCATCATACATGGTGGAATTCTTATCGACAATCCACCAGGATCATTCGTTTCATTTTCATAGTCCAAATGGAGAGAACTGTTTACATTGTTAGTCTGCATGCTGACGAATATTTGATGGTCATACTTTTAACAGTAATCATCGACGTATTATGGTAGCGAATCTACAAGCCACCGTACATGATCTTACCGTCCACAACAGTCGCAAGGACCTTTGCCTCTAGTATTTCTCTCGCAGGGACCGCACTTTCATCAAGGATATCCCTGTCCAGCACCACGAAGTCAGCCTTCTTGCCATTCACAAACGAGCCAATATCGTCGTCTGCAAACGAAGCGTACGCCGCATCTAGAGTCATGCCTTTGAGCGCTTGCATTCGAGTAAGTCGTTCCGATGGATACCTAGTGGAATAGACATGAGGCGAGTTTCGTTGTCGTTGCAATAAAGACTGGATCATACCAGCCACTGCTCCCATGAGGACTGTTCCCCTTGACGTCTAATCGTGCGACAGCAGCGTAGAAACCGAGGAGGGGATTTATGCCTTCGACAGGAAAGTCTGAGCCAAGTGGGAGGATTTTGTTTGGGGATGCCCTATTACACGTCAGAGTAGTTGAGTACATTCTGCACATTAGGGTCCGATAGTGGACTTACTGGAGGAGTGTCTGATAGGCATATGCGCCCTTAATCCTCTCCGGACCCTGGTACATATCAGCCTTACCATTCGAACATGTACGATGAAGGGTGACGAACCAGACGATCTTCAGCGTACCACATATCGCTCGTTCTGAATCGTTGTCAGCACATCATCATGTTAGAGATCCCATATAGGATACATACGCATGAGTAGGTTGAACGCTTGTTATCACTGTTCAGATCATATTTAAAATGAGCGCAAAGGTAATCTGTAAAAGATTGAAGCAGTACTAACCTCCTAAACGACCAGCTCTCTCCAAATCTTCCACACGCATGATCTGCGCATGTTCTATCCTTGGTCTTCTCTGGCTTGCAATGGTATCCGAAGGTAAAGAAGTGTTCCAGAGCAATCGCTCGTATATATCTAGTACAAATTTGTTTGCGCGATCGCCAATACAGTGAATGTTCTGCACGATCAAGTCAGTTTAACACATACCTATGGAGCAGATTGATCACTTACGACACCCCATCCTGAGTCCCACCATGTCTTCACCAAGCTTTCGAGCTCATTTTCTTCAATTCGCATGATACCCGAAGTGTTTGGATCATCGGAGTAGGGTTCAAGAAGCGCGGCGCCCCAAGAGCCGAGTGCACCTGTGTCAAAAGTTACACAAAGTACAGCATTTGAGAAGGATGTAGAGCCTTACCGTCAGTGAAGACCTTAACACTTCGAACGTCCAACCTTCCATCTATGCCGTACTTGTGTAATTGTTCAATGATAGGTTTGGTGCCGTCCGAAGGGAGAGCGGAGGATGCCATAGCGTATACTCTGATCTGTTGTATCGTCAGTCGTGTAGCAAAAGGTTAGTTATCGTGTATGGAGTATTGACGTACAGGTAAATCGCCCTCATCCGCAAGTCTAATGCACAAGCGTCAGCATTTGACCACTCAGAGCATTTATGATCCCTGTGACCAACTTCTTAAAGACACCAATCATACCAGCGTCCATCGAACTGGCATCGTGTACGCTCGTCAGCCCCACGCTCAATGCGTCTTTCATCGCGTGCCTTGCGAACTGCTCCGTTTGTTCAGCGGAAGGAGGCGGCGCAGGAACGAGATCCATAGCATTGTCGACGAAGATACCTGTAGGCTGACCATCCTCACCCTTCCTGATCTCACCACCAGCGACGTCCTCATCGTTTGGCCATTGTTTCCCTGGTAGTGAGTGAAGTGTGAACTCTAGTGCTCGAGGTGACAGCCATAGTGCGTGCCCATCTACTCGTGAGAGGGATATGGGTCGGTTCGAGAGTAGAGGCCTACTAGCCAAGTCTGCCTATACCTCAATGGCAACGCAAGTACTTACAGTAAGCACTAAAATGAATTGGTAGCGCGAATTTCAAAACATACAGCAGTTGGGAAACCACCTCTCCAGTTAGACCAACGAGTTTGATCCCAACCCATTCCCTGAATCCATTGATCGGGATTGTCGGAGACTTCCCGATGAGAGCGGACATAATCTTCAAGGGTTTCAAGGATATCTACAACGTGATTGGTGATCAATAATTGCTCAGCCCCTGAAGCGCGATTGGAGTCTACCGGTCAGCGATGTAGCGTTGTCAAGCTGAAGTTGCATCTTAAATCCATAGGCGACCAAGTGCGCATGTGCGTCTACCATTGAAGCAACAGATGACGATAGCTAATAGTTCACCTGAGGTGCAAACTTACCTGCCAGACCTGGCACAACAATGCTGCCTGGTTTGGTGTAAAATACCTCTAGAGGCTTCTTAGCGTTCGGTTCGTTCCCGTAGAACTTCTTGATAAGTTCATTCTGAAGAACGTTCCAGCTTTCACGTATTTCATCTGCATCAGCAAAAAACACCTTCATGTTAGAGTGGAAAGTATTTGGAAGTGCAGGATCAAACAAACCAAGGGTACCGGTGGCCAACAAGCGATCCTTACTTACCAGCAAGCAGTGCACAGTCGGCCTGTCCTGGACAACAGTATATATCTTCACGTTATCTGGCGTACATAAAGCATACGACTCTGGAAGACGAGTAAAAGAAGATATAACGTCACTGTTGGTGCGCGTCGAGTAGAGGTAGGAAGTTGTTAGAGCAAGCGCGATGGCTATGCTTATCAGCGCGAGAGTTGGAAAACTGAACGCTGATGATGAAGAGGATGACGATGATGATGAAGTCGAAGCAGAGGTTTTGGGTTGATCGGCATTGACTTTCTGACCCCTCCGTCTAGACATCATGATAGTGGTGTGCACTGTAAGTAGAAAGCTTTCAACTTCGTAGAATAGTCTGACACGCGTGCGAGAGAGTGAAACACGACTAAATATATCTCAGTAGGTTCAAATAAGGCAACACCTTCTGATCCTAACAAGTCCAAACTTCCAACAACGCGAGCGATGGTCGCTGGCCTTTTCTGAAGTCAGCAACAACTTGAAGTGTCATGCCTAGACCCTTCTGCGCTATTGGATCCCGTTGGTCAGTCAAACTCATTTATCGCAAAGGAGTAATGCTAGATGTTGAAGGTGGGAGCGCTCCGCCAACAACTCGAAGTTTGACTCAAAACAAGAAGCGCAGCCGTACTGGTGTCTGCCGCTGTCCGGTACGCAATATGATAAAGTTCAATCTCCAGGAATCGTCTCTTTAACTCGAAAATAGTTATTGCTAGTGGCCCAAACGCTACTTCACACTAGGTCCACGTCGGACGTCTTCAGACAAAGTTGAAACGAGTTTCACAGAGTGAACGGGTCAACCATCGATGGACAAACCCAAAAATGTGGTGAATCCTGAGGGCTTGTAAAATCTTCACATATGTAACACAGGGTCAGTTCCGTACCGCGACAGGGAGGAGAATATCTATGATAAATCTTGTTCGGTATTTAGTCCTCGACTGTAGAATCTCACGAAGCATGCAGTGGCACACCCCAGAGTCCATGGTCGGTGAGCATTTCCATCCTAATTCGGCACAATAGCGTATTCGCCTTCCAGGCCGGTCTGCACGAGGTCAGTGTAAAAAATGTTCTTCCCTGCGCCATGTCGTTCATAGATGTTCATGTCACAGGCGGGGCGCGGAAAAATAGTTCTTTGTTGGCACGCACAAACCGGCCCTAAAGGTCAAAGCCCATTCTGACTGCCTGGTTCGGAGCTGTGATTGTTGCTAAACCTCGTTCCCATACAATCTTCACCGCCCGTAGCTTCGACAGATTGTTGATGTCGATGGGATGCCCGCTGTGGATCCGGGCGAGCTTGCCACACGGATGCTTTAGTGTCCGAAACAAACACAGGAAAACACTCGTGTTGGGTTGGCCAGGTTCTCGGGCTTCGAGAGACGACGTCAGCACTTCCAGTCTCTACAAGTATATATTCTTTCTTTCATTAAGTATCCAAAGGGTTGAGAAATCTAGAGAGCTGCGAAACTGATAAACGATCCCTCTGGATGCCTCTATCATCATGAGTGGCCTACTTCACCAAGGGCCATTCAGCAGCTTACGTGTCTGGCGAGGTCTTGCCTTGCTGCTTCTGCGCGCTTGATACTGAAAGAATGCGTTCAGCAGGAAAGTCTTCGAATAGGACACGTTTACGTGCATGCACAATCAGGATTGTCCCAGATCTTCACGAAAATGGAAATTCTCATTGTGAGCCCGAATGAAGCTCTGTGGAAATGAAAAGGTTTGGCTATCCATTCTCCCCCTCATGTCTCGAAAGAAGCCTGCACCGATGCCCCTCCTGCTGATAGGCAAACACGTCGCAGGTCTCTACCTTCAGATAAATGACAGGATGGGACCTCTGTTCCATCTTCAGCCCAGTTTTCGTTAGCTAATCCCTTCTTCTTCGTGACATTCCTGTTCTCTACACGCCACTCCCGCTGTCCACCATGGCCGATCTAACCTCCTTCAAGAAGTTATTATCTCATCGCTCTCTCAAGAACTGTGGTCGTCTCTATGAACTCTGGCGTACCACCCAAGTCGCCATCCCCAACCCAACCGATCTCACCTTGCTCAAAGACTTCCCTCACAACGAGATCGACATCGCGGAGAAGATCAAGTGGGTCATGGCCAAGTGTGGACTTCCTTGGGAAAGGTACAATCCTGTCTATCCTATGCCCAGAGACCAAACGGTATTCATTCACTACTCTCTCCGCCTGTATATTTTCTGACCTACCTTTCATCAGGTGGCATGCCCGATCGAGGGATGTCAAACCGTCGAGTTCACTGACACGCAATCGGTGAAGAAGCATCTAGGGACTGTCACCCACATGGTCTTGCTGGCCAAGATTCTCGGTTTACCGCCTGCTGCACTACTCATATTGAGGCATTGTTCAAAGTGTAATCAAGAGTGAGTTCATGTTTTTGCCTTCTTTCCGACTTTTGTTGACCCGTGTGCGTAGGATTTATTGCCAGCGCCCTGATTCGTTCAACCGGCACACGGGTGCATGCAAGGCCAGGCGTGAGTCTGCTCCTGCTCAAGACACGTCCAAAACGAGAGGCACTCGCCGTGCAAAGCCATATTCGCTCAAGGACCGACCTTCTGTCAAGTCTGTGTCTGATCCTGATCCTGAGGTCAACACCGTGGCGCAATCGGAGTCGCAAGTCGCATCTAGTTCTCAGACTCAATCGTCTGTGTTTGATCTGGGAGGCCCCTCCGCTCCCGTCTCTGCCCCTCAGTTCTGCACTGGCTGCTTTGCTCTTGATCCAACGATCGGAAGCTTTCCTTCTCCTTGGGTTGGAACACTCTCCTCACAGACCCCTGCACCGCCTGAACCTCGGACACCTTCCCAGCTCGAACACTCGCCTCTAGTCTCTCTCGAGCCGTCCAGCGATCCTGGGTACTTCTTTGCAATCCCTGGTTACCCTAACATCCCTCTTTTCCACACCCACGGTATGGGAAAGCTGCCGGTCAGCTTCGAGGATGTTTCCGACGATGACGACATGATTGTTTCCACCGACGACTCTGGATTGTCTCCGGATGAGTTCTCGGATGATCTTCCTGGCTCAGATTGTCTCTTGTAACCTATGATTTCTTTATTTATTCCAAAGGTGTAAGTTAGGTTGATCGCATCTTTTCAATACGTCTGCACTGATGGGCTTCTGTATCGATACTCTGCTGTATTCCCCGTTATAACCATTGTCGGTATAGGTCTGCGATGGTCCTGTATTTATTTCGATTGAATCAAACACGCTGTGCCGTACTATCTGATACTTACTGGCCTACTGGCACCCACTGTTAATGCTGTTGCACAGCCACTATTGACACAACTTCAAATTCTCGCTCGCTCGAAATATCCTTCTTATAAAGGTAGAAGTTGAGTAGAAGATTGAACTGCTCACACCACAATACTTAACAGCCACACAGTGACGCTTGAACAAAGAAAACAACGCAGTGAAAAAATGACCCAAGCGGGAATCGAACGTAGCCCATTATCGACGTACGTGCCTGATGAAAAGATCGGAGTATGAGGCAATATTGGCGCCAGTTTGGGGCAGAGCGGATGCAGGAGATGGAGAGGGCGTTCTGATTTCTGCTTTCATGCTTTCCCCTTGAACGTGAACGCGCATTTCAGGATGGAACCGGCTGCAAAGAAACAACAACATTCAAAGCGATCAGTTCCCTCCAACGCAAAACATCTTCCACATATCCACCCTCATGCTCGTCTAGACTCACCCGCATACGATGCATCTGAAGAAGACAACGATCCGCTAACAGACGATGGTGCTTCAGCCATATCGATTCCAGTCTCTCGATCCCGAGACAAGTCCTCTGTTTCTGCTAGTATTCGATCTGTACTACAAGGTTCACGTCCAGGGGCACAAGGCAGACATGCTTTGGCTGCCGCATTGGTCTCGAGCGACGAAGGTGTGGATAGTCCAACGTACGATGGAGATATAGAAAGCAGCACTACTGCAGGTCCCGGTCAGGAAGCCGTATCTCGCGCGTCGTCCTCGTATGCTGCCAGCATTGCATCTACCCTCTCGCCTACCACTCCACCATCATCTTTACCTAATTTCAAACTTGGTCAACGCCCGACCCCTGCCCATCCTTCTATTCCCACTGAACCTCCTCCGGTCATGCCTATTCCTATGCGGAGCTCTGGGAACCCCGGTTTTCGGTTACCAAGTTACCCTCTTGACCCCCTCCCGACGCTCCTGGCTCCAAACACCCCAAACACATTCAATCCGGCAAACCTATCGCCTGAGGATGTACAAAGACATTTCCGGGAAGAAATAGACGGGGAGGGTATCGCTGTTGGCCTTGGTGAAGACCGAAAGGTGTACAAGATAAATGAGCCGCCGAAAGATAGGCCAGTGAGGATATACGCTGATGGTGAGTAGTTCTACTACTCAACTCCTTCTTTCCTTTATCTCTGTATGCAGGTGTATACGATCTATTCCATTTCGGGTATGTCAAGTTCACGCCTAATGTTTGTTCCAATCATTGAATTGCATTACAGTCATGCTCTTCAACTCCGTCAAGCCAAGCTCGCCTTCCCAAATATCATCGTTCCCAACTCTTCTAACGACTCTTCGTCACCTCTAAAAACACCTCCAGCATCCTCATCTTCAACCTCCCTGCTAACACCACCTGCCACTTCTACCCCATCGCCAAATCAAACTCAGTTCATTCCAGGAGTATACCTCCTGGTCGGCGTGAACTCGGACTTGCAATGCGCACAGCACAAGAGTCGAACAGTCATGACGCATGCGGAACGGTGTGAGAGTGTACGGCATTGCCGATGGGTAGACGAGGTTGTGCCTGACGCACCATGGGTGATCACCGAGGAATTCTTGCAAAAGGTACGTTATCGTCGACGTTTTCGCCATCTGATATACTTGCTCAATCTTTATATTTGTAGTACGAAATCGACTATGTTGCACATGATCAAGATCCGTATGGAAGCGCCGGGCACGACGACGTCTACGCATACTGCAAAACGCAAGGTACGTTTTCTTTCCCCCCTCTCACTTTGCCCCGAAGTAATGTTCTTACTCCTCCCCACAGGAAAATTCCTCCCAACGCTGCGCACACCAGGCATCTCCACCTCAGACCTGCTCGCCCGTCTCGTCTCTGGGTACCGACACCGAATCTGGGATAAGAAGCTGGAAAAAATGGGTATGCGAGACTTGATGGCTGAAGGGAGTGATTGGGATGAAAGTCGGGTGGGAAGTCGGGGTGGGAGTGTTGGTGGGGAGAGTGGTGCGGGGAGCGGGCAGGGAAGTCGGGAGGAGAGTCCGGAACGTGAGGCTGCTAATGGTGACTCAGTGGGCAGGACGAAGACGAAGACGGAGCAGATGGAGCAGCTTCAATCATAGAGTGAAGCAGGATTCCCCATCCACAACTACCCCTCCCCTCTAAGAAGATCAAAAAAATTCAAGCGTAAGGCTTTGTCGTTATACACTTTTTACCCTTGCTTTTCTTTTTCCCTTCCAACAGTGCAAGTTTGACGTCACTCACCTTTTATTTTGTGGAATAGACGTGTCCACATACATACCTCAATCCACTCGCTATATAACGCTTCCCACAAACGTTTTTCCATTCCCATTCCCATCCCTATTCCCATCGCCCATTCCCATTAACCCGTTCTGCTTATTCTGCTGTTCTGTTAAATACTAATGTATACTTGCTACACCAGCCAGACACTGTATTCACTATATTCACTATATACAAGACACCGAAGAAAGTAGTGTACGAACTCTCTGATATACATTTGTAGTGTACTCATGTGTCTGCGTTGTTTTTTATGAGATCTTTTCTTTCAGTTCTGTGTTAACCTTGTAAATCCCATGGTCTCGTTAGAAATTTGGGGATCGTCAATGCTGAGATTGCTTCCGCGCTTGTACGGCTTCTCCCAGTCTGAGTTCGGCATCGGAATCAATCACAAGTACTCAATAAGTAGTATAAATCTGAAGAGCCGCGGGGATGGGTGACGTACAATGTCCCACAAAAGAAGATTTTCTCAAGGACGCTGGACAACAGCACCAAACAAATCATACCCTCGAGCGCACGTTGACAACTAAGTTCAGTTCATCTCTGAAGGTGTGTTCCCCTACAAATAGGTATACGTCAAGCGTATTCCAGTTACATTCAAAACCGTAGGCCCCTGCGAAAAAATCACACTCAGCATCGACTAACGCAACAGTGATGCCATCGGGAGAAATATGCCAGTATAATAAAGGTATATATTGGACGTTATGAGTTTTTTTGTTCACTGATAAGGTCTTACCTGAACGTCACAAGGCCTGGTCATCAATATCTTGCTATAGCAGTTTATCCTGATTTTCCCGATGGTTGAGGGCTATGCAACACATGCCGAGGGAAGAATGTGACAGTGCTGGTCAGCCACGCGGCCCTCATCCGCCTCTGGGCTCTTCATCATGATTAGCGAGGCAACTCCGATCCTAGCGACCCTTATCGACCTGAATGTAATTTTTTGATGAGGGGCCTATCGCTTTGAATCTAGCTGTCACACGTAAAGATGGCATCAGACTCAAAGTTGCGAGCTTGTGAGTATACAAAGTCTGCGAGTCCCACGAATGGGTATCCTTAGCCCGTTTTGGCTACCAGGCTCATATAAACAAAGTTCCGGACGAGTCGCGGAGTTCATATGACGGCGCCCGAGTTGTGTCGGTCAATGCCTAAGGCACTACGGACATCCAAGGTCTTCCCTGTGGGTGTATTGCATCATCCGTACTACGTGCCGGATGCATTCGTATTACATGCCGGATGCATTCGTATGTGCATACCCGGCCGGGATTCAAGTCCTGGATGGTATAGATACCGGATAAAGTTCTTGTGCTGGTCCTCATAACAATCTTCATCCATTGAATCAAGCCTCCATTTCTTACACCATGTCTCCCAAACTCCCCACTCGTAAAATAGGCGACACCGACGTGACTGCAATCGGCTGGGGTGCGATGGGTATTTCTATCGGTTATGGAACGCCTCCTCCCGACGACGAACGCTTCAAGGTTTGATTCATGCGTACTCATTCGATTTCACGTCTCCTCACTCACTATTTTCTAGCTCCTCGATGCTGTCTACGAGAGCGGATGTCTGAATTGGGACACTGCAGATGTTTACGGCGACAGCGAAGACTTTCTCGGTCAATGGTGAATTGTGCAAATGCCTCCGGTTGCCTGACTGACTCGGGTGGTGGCTTTCCTCATATTAGGTTCAAACGCACTGGTAAACGCAACGAGATCTTCCTCGCTACGAAGGTCGGGTTGTACTTGCAACCTGATCGTCTCGTCAATGGCGACCCGGAGTACATCAAGGAGACCTTCGCAAATTCCTTGAAACGACTTGGTGTCGACTATATCGACTTGTACTACCTGCATCGGTCAGTATATTTCTTGTTCGCAATTGAGATAATAGCATGATGAGTCTTGATTTTTACTCTTTCTTCTTTCTTCAGTCCCGACCCCGCGGTTCCCATCGAGAGATCAGTGGCTGCTATGGCCGAGCTTGTCAAGTTCGTTTTCTTCCTCTGTAGTAAGTATGTTCGCATGGTGGGCTGATAGCGCTGTTCTGTTCTACAGGCAAGGCAAAGTCAAGTACCTCGGACTTTCGGAATGCTCTGCGGATACCCTGCGTCGTGCGCACGCCGTCCATCCAATTTCCGCCGTTGAAGTCGAATATTCTCCTTTCACCCTGGACATTGAAGACGAGAAGATAGGTCTGTTCAAGGCTGCCAAGGAAATTGGTGCCACTATTGTTGCCTACTCTCCTCTTGGTCGTGGGCTGATCACCGGTCGCTACGTTTGTCCAATCACTTCTGGAGGGTTTGGTCATGATTCCTGAATTGCTATATTCTTGTAGAAAGGTCCTGAGGACTTTGAGGAAGGTGACTTCCGTCGTATGGTACCTCGCTACTCCAAAGAGAACTTCCCCAACATTCTCAAGATCGCCGAAGGCCTCAAGAAGATCGGCGAACGCCACAACGCCACTGCAGGCCAAGTCGCCTTGGCCTGGCTTCTTGCCCAAGACGAGAAAGTCATACCTATCCCTGGTACTACGAAGGAAAAGGTACGTATTGGTTCATTGTGACTGTATGCCATGCCTTGACCTGTCTTCATAGTACTTGAAGGAGAACCTTGGTGCCCTGAATGTCAAGTTGACACCTGAGGAGGTGCAGGAGGTGCGAGAGATTGTGAGCAAGGCGGACGCTGCCAATGGACCCCGATACCCTGGAGTCATGCAAGAGCTGTTGTTCGGAAACACCCCATCTCTCGAAGCCTGAATGGCGCCAGTTCGATAGCACTTTGCATCAAATTGTATACCCTAGAACGCTTAGGACATACTGTAGCTTCCGCATCCATTCTATTCTTAGCTGCATGGTTATCTCGAACATTCTACTGCTTGAGCCGTGTTAGGTTGCCAGTGGCCGCCCACTCTCGATGCATTCGCTCTCGTACCTGATCTCGCTATGTCTCTATAGTCATCGGTATGTTAACAGACTTCCATAAAATGTTCGCAAAGTAGTATGCATTCCTGAGTCTGCCAAAGTCGAATTCAACGCAGGGTATCTGCACTATGTAACTGCACTTTTTAACTTGATATATCCTAGGGACCAGAAACGATATCAAGTTTTCTTTCAAAAGAAACCTAAGTCGGACCGAGCGAGTGGCGGTGCGAAATGTTAACTCGGTGGGTGCCAGTAGGACGCGTGCGGCACATCTCGATCCAGAAGGCATGCCACACGCTCAACAGTTTGAAATATAAATATGATGCATGATGAGTACCACGTAACGTTATAGAGGGGAATACAGCGAAGTGTCGATAAAGGGGCCGATGAATGCAGATGTAAAAGAATACGATCAACGTACAAAAGTTCGAAATAAATGAAGAATACGCAAACTACAAGAGGAAACCCGACTAGGATAGATGATCAAGAGCACGCACGCAAGCATAACAATTGCCCACGGATAAATGGCATGAATGTGAAAGAGGATTGCCTAGATCGTCCACAGCAGGGCGTTCCCATGGAAAGAGAGGCATGAAATTTGAAGGGGAGAACTCCTCCAGAAACGATCCCGAGAAGTCAGTAGAAATACTCAAATCGTGGTCTTCAGCAACATCCTCGAAACTGAACGGCGTCTTTGCTACAACGTCGAAGGGAGGGATATTGTGATACCCAGGGATGGCATAGAAGTAACCATATTCATGGCCAAAGTAACCAGAATCGCTGGGGTACTGGATAGAGACTGGAGGCGAGTGTTCGAGCCGGGGAGGCGTCTGAGGCTCGGACACCACAGACGTCTGTGAGGAGAGAGTTCCAGCCCAAGGAGAAGGATAGCTTCCGACGGTTGGATCAAGAGCAAAGCAGCCAGTGGAGAACTGAGGAACGGAGACAGGAGCGGAAGGGCTTCCAAGGTGAAACACAGACGATTGAGTCTGAGAACCAGATGCGACCTGCGAATCGGATAGCACTGCGGTGTCGGTCTGATAATCAGCATCAGACACAGACGTGGCAGCACGCTGTTGAACAGGTCGGTTCTTGCGCGAATATGGCCTAGTACGGCGAGTGCCTCTCGTCTTGGGGCTGGTTTGAGCAGCAGCAGACTCACGCCTGGCCTTGCACTCGCGCAAGTGCCGGGTCATTGAATCATCACGCTGAATACAAACCCTACGTACATGGGTTAACGACAGTAGGAAAGAAGGAACAAAATATGGACTCACTGTTTGTTACACCCCCCACATTCCCTCAATACGAGTAGTGCAGCAGGCGATAGACCGAGAGTCTTGGCCAGCAAGACCATGTGTGGGACAGTCCCAAGATGCTTCTTCACCGATTGCGTGTCAGTGAGCTCGGCACTTTGACATCCCTCGATCGGGCATGCCACCTGATGAAAGGTGCGTTAGAAAGCATGTAGGCAGAGAGAGTAGTGAATGAATACCGTTTGGTCCCTGGGCATCGGGTACACAGGGTTGTACCTTTCCCAAGGAATGCCACACTTGGCCATGACCCACTTGATCTTCTCCGCGATGTCGATCTCGTTGTGAGGGAAGTCATCGAGCAAGGTGAGATCGGTTGGGTTGGGGATGGCAACTGGTGTGGTAAGCCAGCGTTCATAGATCTGATGACTCTTCTTGAGAGCGCGAGGGGGGAATAGCATCTTGAAGGATGTAAAATCGGTCATGGTGGACAGCGGGAGTGGCGTATAGAGAGCAGGAAAAGCCTATGGGAGAAGACGGCGAGGGTGCAAATGAATACTGGGCTGAAGGTGGAACAGAGGCCCCGGTCTGGTATTTATCTGAAGGCAGAGACGTGCGACGTGTCTGCTGCCTATCGGTGGGAGGGGCGTCGGTGCAGGCTTCCTTCGAAGCATGAGGCCGGGATGATAGCCAAACCATTTCATTTCCGCTGAGCTTCATTCAGGCTCACAATGAGAATTTCCATTTTCGTGAGGGTGCGGGACAAGTCACATTGTGCGTGCAAGTAAAATGCCCTATTCGAGATTTTCCTATTGAATGCGTTCTTTCAGTAACAGGCGCGCAGGAGCAGCAAGGCAAGATCTCGCCAGACATGTAAGCTGCTCAATGGCCCTCGGTGAAGTAGGCCATTCATGATGGTAGGGGACCTAGAAAGATCGTCATCAGTTTCGCAACCCTCTAGATGCTAAGCGCATGAACTAATATATATTTTAAAAGACTGGGTGTCCTGCCAACGTCTCTCAAAGCCTCTGAACTTGGCCAAAGCCTGAAAGTTTTGCTATGTTTGTTCGATCACTAAAGCATCCGTGTGGCAAACTCGCCCGGATCCATAGCGCACCCGATCGACATCAGTGATCCGTTGAAGCTGCGGCGGTGAAGATTGCATGGGAACAAGAACCATCACAGTCCCGATCTAGGCAGTCAGAGTGGGCTTTGGCCTTCAGGGCCGGTTTGCGCATGTAAACAAAGAACTATTTTTCCGTGCGCCGCCACCTGTGATATGAACATCTATTAACAACATGGCGCAGGGAAGAACTTTGTTACACTTACCTCGTGCAGACTGGCCTGGAAGGCGAAGACGCTATTGTGCCGATTTAGGATGGGAATGCGACCAAATGATTTATGCCACTGGAGGTAAAATGAGAACGCTAAATAGGGGACCGAGAAAATTTCACCGTAGATATTCTCCTCCATATTGTGACAAGGAATTGACCTTGCCTTTATATGTGAACATTCGTAAAGCTCTGAAGACTCTCAAATGTGGCGTAACCGTTCGATCACATGCAACAACTCACCAGCTCTTCTGCCAGGACATTCAAGCTGATCAGCCCGCATGTTTCATACATTGAATACTAATGAGAAATTGTCGTGAATAATGTACAAGCGAATGATGTTTGCCTCTTCGCCTGAAGAACTTTGTGACAGAACATACCATCATGATTTTTACCCACAAATGACCGAGGAGCTGCTTCTGCGTTGGTCAATCCAAAAGTGTGAGGCAAGTATGCTCGGTTAAGTAACAGATATCCTCTAGATGTACTGAAACTGACGGTGAAGATGTAGCATTGCTGCCAATTTGACCAAGATACCTGTACACCATCACAACGTCAGCGTATGACACGTGGTAGCTGATACCCACCGGCTCCAACAGGTGCAAACTATGCACTACACCACCGTCTTCAAGTTGCATACATGATGGTCAACGTTGAAGTGGTTCGTACACCTCAAAGGTTAGGTAGAATACTCCTGCTGTATTATTACCCCCACCCCCACCCCTCCATAGAGATGGCATGCTTTACTGCCTGAGCGGCTCTAGTTCCGAACTCAGAAACGATCGCAGAAGATCAGTCCATTTCGCCATTTCAGTCCGTCGAAATATGGCCGAAAGACAAATTGGGCAGTCATGAAGGGCCTATACAGATCATTCATAGATGCGACGCGCATATCAGGACAAGGGAAGACTATAAGCTTTCAGCAACTTGAACATGCAACGACTCGGATAGCAACTCAGGTTTCTCTATAATCCATGTCGGGGTCTGAAGCGATCTGATCCGACCTCGGCATTGCAGCAAGTGCAACAATCTTCTATGTTGAACTCACGAGTTACGACAGATCTGAAGAGTGACAAATGACGGCATGTGAAACAGTCGACAAGAAACTACTGGTGCAACTTCAAGGCCAACAGGTTCAAACAAGGTTCCGAGAAAGGCAAGAATACGAACTGGGTTACTGGGATTGAGACAACGGCGAGTTACAGAATGTGAACACGAATGTTTAGGAAACCAGGACATTTCATGCCTACAGCGTAAGCAACGACGAGCACAAGTACAAGAGAAGCGGAACGAGAAGCGCACAATCGTAGCTAAGATCAATTGGACCCGTGAACAGATTGGTCGTGGACAGGGTATGTAACGTTCGTCGTTACAACTAGCACAACAAACTCAACCAATGATGATATTTGCCTCGAGGTTGTTCCCGTCAGCAACAGTAAACCTGACATGGATCTGCCTCCCGGTCGCGCTCTTCACATCAAACCTGTCCAACTGCTTCTCCCTAACTGCAGCCCTCCCACCCGTGTAGTAGTCCTTATGGGTATCCGTAGCGGTCCCCCTCGGAGAGAGGTCGGTGGCGACGTCGACCCAGCGCTTGTAGTTATGCACGCCGAGTGCCACGATGAAGTGCTCATTGCACGACTTGAAACGAAGGATACCGGAGGTTCCACTACACTCCATGGTGAGGACTTGTTTCTCGTCGATTTCGCTCCAGAACCCGCCGAGGAAGACCGTCTTTTCGACGGTCTCAAACCAGGCGTTGGGGTTGGTCTGGTAGATGCGGACAGTAATGGTATAAGACATAGCTATCGTAGATGCGATTGAGCTATATCCAACGAGAGAGTCGTAAAGTAGAGGTAGTAAGCTCACCTGAGGTGATATGATCTTGAGGGGCTGCACGTAGCGTTGAGTTTCGAGGGCTGAGCTAAGGGAGAGAACGTTAAGTATTGATTTAAGTGAAGGCGTAGATGACAAGTGTGTACTTGGCTGGTAATCCCGAGGTTGAAACTGTGCTCTGAGGAACTTTTGAGTGAAAAGGGAGTAGGTTTTATACTCTACGAGCGACCGGGCCATGAAATCCCCGATGACAGGAAGATGACGAAGACGACATCTCTCGTGGGCGATGCCGTTTATTGCTGTGACATAGAACCGTACGCCTGGGACCACGCATACGAGAAGGGATACCAAGTGCCTGCCCGTGAACCATGTTTATGTCGACCCTCGCAGTTATCACAGTATATTAACAAGCACTGACATGTGAGGCTGCTCGAGATCGGCCTGGTATTGACACTGTTACTGTTATGGAAGCTGCCATGGTATTGTGCACCTGGGACTACACATACACAGAATGTATACCAAGTGCCTGTTCGTGAATTGTTCTACGTCGACCCTCGCAGTCATCACAGTATATTAACAAGCACCGACGTGTGATGTTACTCCAGACTCGTCGATTGGTGTCGACGCCGCTATGGAAGCTGACATGGAATTAAGAAGGGAGGGCCAGAATCCAGTTGACAGTTATTGGACATCCATATTGCAGCCTGGAGAGGTTGGCGGGGGTGCCTCTTGCTTATTAGCCCGCGAAGCAAATGTACTATCTTGGGGCACGGAATAGAGAGAATGTTTAAATATGACCTCCACAGAACTTTTGGAAGTCGTAGGATGGAGAAAACCATCCTTGAGTATTCCTGCACGTGGGCAGGACCACGAACCGTCAGCTCTGCCAGACATGTAAGCACACCTGCCGATTTGAGTTCTACTCCTACTGACGTACCGAATGAAATGTTGGTAACAATATCCTGTACGCACACTTCAGCATCGATCCGAAGATACATGCAATACCTGCGCCGCATTTCTTCAATCAAGATTGCTTGCTGTAAAGAAACACCGCGAGGAGCATTGGTATGGTGGGCATCATTATAATTGTGTTGGATCTGTAGGGGTATGGAGTATGTGTACAGAGGACGGATCTAACGATAGTCACCTTTCATCGATGGTCTTCGAAGCGCCGTATAAAGCCACGGGTAAAGTGAGGTATTTTTTTCCCCATGCGAAGAACGAAGAATAGAAGGCGAAGGTAGAAGTGTTCACGATGAGTGGAAGTCAAAGCTGTCGACAGGTCTACCTAGGACCTCTGAATATCCCTGTAATGGTCTGATCCGCGGCTGGACAAGAAATGACCCCGAAGGGTCAGACGTCTGAGCGATTTCGAACAATATACAGCCGGGGAAGCCTCAAGAACTCTAATCCTTTGGGATCGGCATCTGCCACCGGACATTTTGAGTCAAGTTGATCATCCTTAGTTCATCAAATGTAGTACTATACACTGTCCATCTCAATGAGAAGCAATACACCCGGAGTGAACTTGTCTACTTACCTTCGCAGTCCAGACTCCGCGCGCGGCACTGATTCACATTCACAAGAAAGGCAAACGCTTGTGTTCCTATGTTCCTAACAAAGGCAAACAATGGATGTGGCGTTGCGACGATATGGTCAGTGTTGCCACATATTAGGATACGTTGGGGAGACTACAAGCTTTCAGCAGATTGAACACGCAATGATAGCGACTCGAGTAGTTTCTCTATGAATCCATGTCGGGGTCTGAAGCAATCTGATCCGGCCTCGGCAGGCCTCGGCATTGCAGCAAGTCCAACATACTTGCAAGTTGCATTTAGAAATCGCGACGTAGGAGTTACAAGTGCAACTTCAAGGCCAACTGAGGTTCAGACAAGGTTCCGAGAAAAGCAAGAATACAGACTGGGTTACCGGGACTAAGACAACGGCGAGTTACAGAACGTGAGCGCGAGTATATAAGAAACCATGACATTTCATGCCTACAGCGTAAGCAACGACGAGTACAAGTACAAGAGAAGCGGAAGAAGAAGCGCACAATCGTAGCTAAGATCAATATCAGTAGATATTTGTCTACTGAACAGCTTGGACCCGTGAACGCATTGGTCATGGACAGTACAAATGATGTTCGTTGTTACAACTAGCACAGCAAACTCAACCAATGATGATATCTGCCTCGAGGTTGTGCCCCTCAGCAACAGTATACTTGACCTGAATCTGCCTCCCGGTCGCGCTCTTCACATCAAACTTGTCCAACTGCTTCTCCCTGACTGCAGTCTGCGCCGTCCCACCCGTGTAGTAGTCCTTATGGGCATCCGTAGCGGTCTGGCTCGAGGTGAGGTCGGTGGCGACGTCGACCCAGCGTTTGGAGTTGTGCACACCAAGTGCCACGAAGAAGTACTCGCTGCCGGAATTGAAACGAAGAATTCCGGAGGTTCCGCTACCGCCCATGGTGAGGACTTGTTTCTCATCGATTTCGCTCCAGATCCCTCGGGTGAAGATCGTCTTTTCTACGGTCGTGAACCAGGCGTTGGGGTCGGTCTGGTAGATGCGGGTAGTAATGGTGTAAGACATGGCTATCGTGGACGCAATTAAGCTGTGTTCAGCGAGAGAGTCGCGAAGTAGAGGTAGCAAGCTCACCTGAGGTGATCTGATCTTGAGGGGCTGCACGTATCGTCGAATTCGAGGGCTGAGCTAAGAGGGACAATGTTAAAGCATGGATTTAAGTGAAGGCATAGGTGACAGATGTGTACCTGGCTAGTAACCGCAAGGTTGAAACTGTGCTCTGAGGAACTTTGGAGTGAGGGGCGAGTAAGTCTTATACTCTACGAGCGACTAGGCCATACAGAAGGACAACAATGATGACATCCCTCGTGAGCGATGCGGTCTATTCCTGCTATGTAGAACCATACGCCTGGGACCACGCATACACAGAAGGGATACCAATTGCCTGTCCGTGAACCATGTTTACGTCGACACCCTCGCAGTTATTAACAAGCACCGAAATGTGACGCTGCTCGAGACCGGCCTGGTATTGACACTGTTATGGAAGCTGCTATGGAAATATTGTGCACCTGGGACGACACATACACAGAAGGGATACTAAGTACCTGTTTGTGAACCGTTTTACGTCGACACCCTCGCAGTTATTAACAAGCACCGACATGTGATGCTGCTCGAGACTCGTCGATTGGTATCGACGCCGCTATGGAAGCTGACATGGAATTAAGAAGGGAGTGCCAGAATCTAGTTCATAGTTATTGGACATCCATATTGCAGCCTGGAGAGGTTGGCGGTGTGCCTCTCGCTTACTAGCCTGCGAAGCAAATGTATCTGTGGGGTAGGGAATAGAGAGAATGTCTTAATACAACCTCCACAGAACTTTCGGAAGTCGTAGGATGGAGAAAACCATCCTTGAATGTTCCTGCACGTGGGCAGGACCACGAACGTTCAGCTCTGCGAGATTATGTGTAAGTACACCTGCCGATTTGAGTTCTACTCCTACTGACGTACCGAATGAAACCTTGGTCACAATATCCCGTACGCACACTTCAGCATCGACCCGAAGATACATGCAATGCCTGCGCCGTATTTCTTCAATCAAGTTTGCTTGCTGTAAAGAAACACCACCAGGAGCGTTGGTACGGTGGGCATCATTATAATTGCATTGGATCTGTAGGGGTATGGAGCATATCTGCATAGGGCGGATCTAATGATAGTAGTCACCCTTCATCGATGCATCATCGACGGTCTTCGAAGCGCTGTAAGGCCACGGGTCAAGTGAGGTATTTTTTCCCCATGCGAAGAATGAAGATCAGAAAGTGGAGGTAGAAGTGTTCATGCTGAGTGGGAGTCAAAGCTGTCGGCAGGTCTACCTAGGATCCCCGAATATCCCTATAATGGTCTGATCCACTGCCGGGCAAGAAACGACCCCGAAGAGGTTGGCAGACGTCTGAGCGATTTCGAACAATATAGAGCCGGGAAGCCTCAAGAAGTCTAGTCCTTTGGCCGGACAAGGGCGATGATCTCATCCGCCGCCGGACATTTTGAGTCGAGTTGACCACCCTTATTTCATCAAATGTAGTAACGTACACTGTCCATCACAAGAAAGGCAAACAATGGATGTGGCGTTGCGTCAATGTGATCAGTGTTGCCACATATTAGGATACGTTGGGGAGACTACAAGCTCTCAGCAAATTGAACATGCAACGATAGCGACTCAGGTTTCTCTATAATCCATGTCGGGGTCTGAAGCGATCTGATCCGGCCTCGGCATTGCAGCAAGTAGAACAATTGGATTTGGATTTACGACAAAAGAGTTACAAATGACGGCATGTGAAACAGCTGACAAGAAACTGCTGGTGCAACTTCAAGGCCAAGAGGTTCAAACAAGGTTCCAAGAAAGGCAAGAATACGGACTGGGTTACTGGGATTGAGACAACGGCGAGTTACAGAATGTGAGCGCGAGTATATAAGAAACCAGGACGTTCCATGCCTACATCGTAAGCAACGAGGGGTACAAGTACAACAGGAGCGGAAGAAGAAGTGCACAAACATAGCTAAGATCAATATCAGTAGATATTGGTTTACCGAACAGCTTGGACCCGTGAACAGATTGGCAGTGGACAGAGTATGTAACGTTCGTCGTTACAACCAGCACAGCAAACTCAACCAATGATGATATCTGCCGCGAGGTTGTTCCCCTCAGCAACAGTATACTTGACCTGAATCTGCCTCCCGGTCGCGCTCTTCACATCAAACTTGTCCAACTGCTTCTCCCTGACTGCAGCACGCGTCGTCCCACCCGTGTAGTAGTCCTTATGGGCATCCGTAGCGGTCTGGCTCGAGGTGAGGCCCGTGGCGACGTCGACCCAGCGCTTGGAGTTGTCCACACCGAGTGCCACGATGAAGTACTCGCTGCCGGAATTGAAACGAAGAATTCCGGAGGTTCCGCTACCGCCCATGGTGAGGACTTGTTTCTCGCCGACTTCGCTCCAGGTCCCGCCGTTGGCGTAGTTCCAGACCGTCTTTTCTACAGTCGTGAACCAGGCGTTGGGGTTGGTCTGGTAGATGCGGGTAGTGATGGTGTAAGACATGGCTATTGTGGATGTAATTAAACTGTGTCCAACCGGAGGTGGTCGTGAAGTAGAGGTAGCAAGCTCACCTGAGGTGATCTGATCTTGGAGCCTGCAAGTATCGATAAATTTCGAGGGCTGAACTAAGGGGGACAATGTTAAAGCATGGATTTAAGTGAAGGCGTAGGTGATAGATGCGTACTTGACTAGTAATCGCGAGGTTGAAACTGTGCTCTGAGGAACTTTTGACTGAGTAGGGAGTAGGTTTTATACCCTACGAGCGACCGGGCCATGAAATCCCTGCCGACAGAAGGATGGCAAAGACGACATTCCCCGTGAGCGATGCGGTCTATTCCTGCGACGTAGAACAGTGCGCCTGAGACCACACATATGCAGAAGGGATACCAAGTGCCTGTTCGTGAACCATGTTTACGTCGATCCTCACAGTATATTAGGAAGCACCGACATGTGATGCTGCTCGAGACCGGCCTGGTATTGACGCTGCTATGGAAGCTGCCACGGCCGTAATGTGTACCTGGGACTACACATACACAGAAGGAATACCAAATGCCTGTTAATGAACTATTTTACGTCGATCCTCATAGTATATTAAGAACTGCCAACATGTGATGCTGTTCGAGACTCGTCTGAGCCGCTATGGAAGCTGGCATGGAGTTAAGAAGGGAGTGCCAGAATCCAGTTCACGATCATTGGACGTCCATATTGCAGCATTGAGAGGTTGGCGAGCTGTCGCTTGCTTATGAACCTGCGAACCAAGTGCATCTGTGAGAGAGAAGGTTATAATATGACCTCCACATGATGTTTGGAAGTCGTAGGATCGAACAAACCATCCTTGAGTATCCTTGCACGTGGGCAGGACCACGAACGTTCACCTCTGCAAGATTACGTGTAAGTAAACCTGTCGATCTGAGTTCAACTCGTACTGACGTACTGGATGAAGCGTTGGGAACAGTATCCCATACGGGTACTTCAGCATCGATCCGAAGATACATGCAATACCTGCGCCGCATTTCTTCGACTAGGGTTGCGGCATTCTGCTTTGCTGTATGAAAGACCGTAGGGAGCCTCGATGCGATGGCATCATTATAACTACATTGAATCTGTAGGGCTATGGAGTATATGTGCTTAGGGCGGATTTAACGATGATCACCCTTCATCGGCAGTCTTCGAAGCGCTGTAAGTCCACAGGTATCTTTCCCATGTGACGAATGAAGATCAGATGATGGATGCGGAAGTGTTCATGATGAGTGGGAGTCAAAGATATTGACAGATGTACATACCTTCGCAGTGACTCACAAGAAAGGCAAACGCTTGTGTTCCTAACAAAGGCAAACAATGGTTGTGGCGTTGCATCAGTTCGGTAAGTGCTGATATTAACACATGTATGAAAGGACGATTCAATCTTTCCCAGAGTACATACTAGTGATCAGGCTTTGATTCTTGACAAATCCACCAACACAGAAAGCCGAATAGTGAGACAAATATGACATTCAGCGCGAGCGACGGCGATCTGGACATGTCTTGATAAGGTCATTCTTGGGTCATTCCCACTGTGGAGTACGACAAAGGAATCTCAGTGATAAAGCACCGTATATGATACTACTGTCCTATTAGCACGTATTATTGTACATTTTATACCGCTTCCCGCTTCCTCGGCGTCGCGCGCAGAATATCATCAACACTGAACCAGACGGTGAGCTTGGTAACTCCAACGATGACTATCAACACATACCGAAGAATCATCTCAGCGGCTTCACTCGCACTGAGAACTACTTGTCGTTTAAGCTTGTAACTCTCGGTTATACCCAGCCCTTTCATCGAACCAATCGCGCCCTTATTCATATCTAATAGTCTTGTCAGCTCCTTATCCATAGATCAGCAAAGGGACAAAACATACCAAGACCTGCATCCGATCGGCCCTCATAATGCGCCGCTCGGAGCTTGGAGACCAAATCTGACGAGTCGTAGCCTGCATTGTCAGCAAGAATCGTCGGGATCTGTCTCAATGCACGAGCAAACGCCTCCGCAGCGATGGCTTTCTTTCCCCGCACCCTTCGAGCCTCCTGTTCCACCGCACAACTCATCAACATCTCTGAGCAACCACCACCGAGAACAATCCGAGTCTCTTTGACGGTTTGAGAAAGGACGGAGAGAGCATCATGCAACGAGCGTTCGGCCTCGTCGATCATCTGGTTCGTTGATCCACGTAGAACGACGGTGCAAGCTTCGCCTGCTGCGACACCTGAGAATTTGATCAACTACAGTTGAAATACGTTAGAGTCTTCAATGGCCATAGTCTTAATAACAAATGACTAACTTTGTCCTCGCCGATCATGATCTCCTCAATCAGATCACACCGCCCAAGTTTGACCAAGTCAGGTCGGTCGAAAGTGCTGGCAATCTCACCACCAGTGACTAAGGCGAGACGTTCGACACCTTCGAAGTCGGCGTGCTCGATAGTCATGATACCCTTCTCCGCAAACAGCGACTCGGGGTAGTTGTAAATCAGTTGCCTGTTGACGAAGCAGTTGATTCCATGTGCGGCAATAGATTCAACCTTGGTTTTCATTTTTTCCTAAGGGAGAGGGTTGATGAGTCCAGTGGCCGTATGCGGTGGTATTTAAATGGATAGACATACACGTTCCGCACGTTCAAGTTCTGCGAGTTTTCCGGTGCTATCCACCTTCAGACGAGCACCGAAGATCTTGATCTTGTCGGTGTCCATGGCTAGTGAGGAGAAATAAGAAACATTTCGATATTCATGAGATTGAGTTAAACACACAAGTGTTGGCGATGAGGATCTTCACATTTTCTAGTCGTTTAGGGCAGTTGACCCCGATAGATTTGTCGAGAATGAAACCTAAGATCTCATCTGAGTCATGAATCGCCAGAAGCAAGGCTGATATTGGACGCACCCTCATCAAGATACGAGTCCTCCAGCTTTCCGCCAGCCTTCTTGATGACTTGGATGTGGTCGAGATCCGTTGAACCCTATACGAAACAAAATTGAACATGCTTTGACGGAGAACGCTTGTATTTGTATATACCTTCAGGCGAAGAACAGCATCTACAGCCAGATTAGCAAAGTAGTTCTTATCCTGTGCGAGGACTTTTGACGACAATGTCGTCCGGGCTATGTTGAACAAATCCTGACGGAATTGGGCAGGGTCTTGTCTATCATATTTCACTGAGTGTCGTGTACGACGAGTATCATGTTGTCAAAGGGTGCTCACCTGTTGTCCACGGCCGCCTTCTCCAAGGCATCCAAAGCAGCTGCACTGGCAATACGGAACCCTTCTACGATAGTCTGCGGATGGATCCTCTGCGCAATAAGTTTCTCCGCCTCTCTCAAAAGCTCCGCCGCCAATACGCAGACAGTCGTTGTACCGTCGCCGACCTCGTCGTCCTGGACCTTCGAGATGTTGACTAGAATCTTCGCCGCGGCATTGTCCAATTGAATGGCTTTCAAGATGGTAGCACCGTCATTGGTGACATTAATCTCTCCCGTCGAAGCAGATTGGAGGATTTTGTTCATGCCCTTAGGTCCCAATGTTGATTTCACGAGATCGCCGAGAGCGAGTGCACCGACAAATGACGAGAGTCGGGCATTTTCAGCCTTCTCCTCGGTCGCCTGAGGAGCACGTTAGGTACGGATATGATAGTACACGACCTCAAACTTACTTCTGCTCCAAAAATTGGCATCGACATCGTTCGTAAATTTCTATCCAACGATGTTAATGCGTTTGTTGAGCAAGGATGGGATGAATATAAACTCGATCCAAATGCGGTCTCGTTACGCACTCATTTCATAAAGCACGTGCATTAGAGATAAGATAAGATGTTCTTCCCCTCCTGATTTTACGACGACCGAGTAGAAATTTGGTTCATTGGTTCAAGTAGCATGAAGATTCAGACTACTGGAGGTGGCACGATGTCAACGGATAGTAATATACATGCAATATATTGCGACGAAGCGCGAGTATTCCGCTTCCTTTACTAACTCGAACCATCTCGATTCCTGTTGACTCGGAGACTACAAGTAACACTTGTATGTCCAGACGCCGTACGAGAGAACCACTGGAATAATACGTTCGTCTGGGTTGAATGTTGACACAGTATGAATCTATACAACACACCTGATATTGGATAGTGGTGATATATAAGTACATGTGGGATACCAAGAGTGCAGATCATGCTCCCTCTTGCTGAACAAACGGATTGGCAATCTCTTCCCAACCATCAACAGGACTGAGTAACGTAATTGTTGGTCCTCGCAGGACGACCAACCCCAATGAACGTGTTCTTGACCCCGATTCTATACGGCCGTTCAATAGAGTAATATCGCAACAAGATCGGTTGGTACTTACCAAATTGCAGTATCTCCTCTACCTCGTCGAGGACCAGGTTGAGTAGCTGATCGTAACCTTTCAAAACACCAGTGACTGCAGGATGATTCAGTGTCAATGCATTTAACCATCGCCAGTACTGCACACACCTTCGCGTCCCCCCGTGAACTTTACACGTATCCTTTGATTCGCGTATTTTGACAGATCAAGGATGGCTTCTCTCTTTGGTTTGTCAAGGGTGGGCTGAGGGCCTTTGCCTCCTCGTGTGCCAGGCCCGCCTCCTCTTCCACCCCTGGCTGCGCCACCTCGACCCTAAACATAGCAAACGCCGATAAATACATTAGATGGTTATGATAGGATTCTAACATACTCGATCAGCCATTGTATCCTTTGACAACGATACGAGTTGTTGTACGAAAGGCAGTAGGTGCGCTAGACCTCACGGGTCCTCACTTCAGCCACAGTCGGCTTCGATCCGTTTCGCCTTTGATATCTGGAATGAGAAAGAACAATGAAATGTCAAAACATTGTTATGTTTGACCAAGGCCAAAACATAAAAAGCATGCCTTTCGGATGAAATGGCCCAAGCAGGTGGTGGCTGCACACTGAAAATCCGCCATCTCCCAGCGCGCGTCTGCCTCACTTGTCCCTTTACCCAGCTCGCCACCCTCTTATACGTACAAATACCACTCTTTCCTTACGACTCGGCTTCCAACATCCTGCACACGTGCATTCTTCTCCACGAAAAAATTCTTCAGGTTAATCTCTATCATCCGACACCATGAACGCTGGTGAACTCCTTGCAAACACCCTATCGCCCGGTGCGTCTCCACATAGCCAATCCTTGTCGCCATTCGTGTTTTATTCATTATTCGGAACTGACCTGGCCCTTTCATCGTCTTATCAGACCAGCGTACGCGTGAAGATGCGACGCAGAAGCTCGAGAGGGCGTGCAGGGAGAATTTTGTGAGTTCCAATTAGGGTGTTCAGTTGGTTTGGTCTCAATGACGTCCGCCATGGATAGCCCGCGTACATGCATACGCTCTCCTCTGAGCTTGTCAACGAGAGCTCGCCACCACATGTGCGCAATGCTGCTGGTCTTGCACTCAAGAACGCCCTAACGGCCAAGGTAAGTCCTTCACCGTAACGCAGATCGGCCAATATGTCCTGGGCAGCGCGGAAGGGTTCCAATGGGCATCACATTGAAAATTTATCCATGCTGAACAACGTGGATGGTACGCAAAGGACATGCAGAGGTGCTAAGCTCCTAGTAACGGACATATGGGAGTGATTCTGTCGCGTATCCGTCCTTGGTGCCTTCCTGGACCTCCAGGGCATATTGCCCATATCTTTCCACATTCTCATGTTTACAATCATTAATCATGCATTGTTTAGGACATAAACCGACAACTTGACTACTCCAATCGCTGGCTTGCTCTTGACCCCGAGCATCGCAATAAGATCAAACAAGACGCGCTTATGTCTCTGGGTTCGCCTGTCAAGCAGATTGGAACTGTAGCCGCTCAAGTCGTGCAGGCAATAGCGATGGTCGAGCTGCCTCACAATCAATGGCCGCAGCTCATCGAGATTCTGCTAGGTTTCGTAAACCGGGAGAACACTAATCTGCGTGTGGCGACTTTGCAAGCAATTGGTTTCATTTGCGAGACAATTGTGTGTCTTTCCTCACGATTTCTCGATACTTTTTGAGATCTGACCTTTGCAACAGAAACCCGAGATATTGGCTGCACGATCGAATGAGATCTTGACTGCTGTCATTCATGGTGCCCGCAAGGAGGAGCCTTCACCGGAGGTTCAACTGGCCGCCATTCACGCTCTATCCAATTCGCTGGAGTTTGTGCAGGACAACTTTGAGCGCGAGGTATGTTATGAAAATCAAATTTAGCGTCGTTATATGCTGAATGTATGAACAGGGTGAAAGAAACTACATCATGCAAGTCGTTTGTGAAGCAACTCAGAGCGCCTCTGTACCTGTTCAAGTAGGCGCCTTCGAGTGTCTGGTCAAGATCATGACCCTCTATTATGAGAAGATGGGCTTCTACATGGAGCGAGCGCTGTTTGGGGTATATTTTTCTCCTTTTTTGACCGAGTATGCAAGGCCTTAACTCGAGCTTAACAGTTAACCGTCATGGGAATGAAGCATTCGGAAGAGGCGATTGCTCTTCAAGCTATTGATTTTTGGTCAACAGTTTGCGATATTGAAATAGAGATCACGTACGAGAATCTAGAGGTATGTACTTTATCGCCCTTTGTATGCACTTTACTCACTATTTTTATAGGCGCAAGAGTTTGGCGAGTCGCCAGAGCAAGAGAACAAGTACTTCTCTAAGATTGCCCTGCCTGAAATTGCTCCTGTTCTCTTCGAGTTGCTGCTCCGGCAGGACGAGGACGCAGATGAGGATGATTGGAATGTGTCTAAGGCTGCTTCCACCGCACTCGCTTCACTCGCACAGGCAGTAAACGATGCTGTTGTCCCCATTTCTGTTCCATTCATTGAGGCGAACATTCGATCGCCGGACTGGCACCGTCGTGAAGCTTCTGTCATGACGTTTGGCTCAATATTGGACGGACCTGATCCTTCGGTGCTTACGCCGCTCGTCAACCAGGCTCTTCCAATCCTCATCGACATGATGACTGATTCTCACTTCGCTGTCAGAGACACAGTGGCCTGGACTTTGGGGCGAATCTGTGACCTTCTGGTTTCCACTATTCAGCCTGACGTACATCTCCAACCGCTCGTCACCGCACTTGTGAATGGTCTACAAGACCAACCCCGTATCATTGCCAACTGCGCTTGGGCTTTGCAGAACCTTGCGGAACAACTGAGTTACACCGAAGATAACCAACCATTGGCTCCCAACCCGTTGTCACCGTATTACGATGGCGTGGTTCAGGCCCTGCTGCGTACTACCGAGACGTATGTTGACGCTGTTCCCTATCGTCATTCAAGTTACTAATATTTCCTCCTCAGTGCCACCGGAGAAGGCAACTACAGGACCCATGCATACGAGTCTATCGGTGCATACATCACCAACGCTCCCCCAGATCAAATTCATGTGGTCCAAAATACTGCAGTTACCATCCTCCAACGTTTGGAGCACATGATCTCCGTCCAGGTGTGTATTACGGGACTCATAATTTGGACTATTTCCTCATGTTCTTTGCAGAACCAAATCATTGGCATTGATGACAGGAATGAATGGAACGATCTTGTAACTCACTTCTGCGCCGCTCTCATCGTAAGTGCCGCCTGTCACGTCGTGATAACATGATACTGATGGGGTCATACGACAGAATGTCATCAGGAAGTTGTCCGACGGTATTCAGCCACTTGCAGATCGTATCATGACCTTGCTCCTACAACTTATCCAATCCGCTGGCAAGACTTCAACAATAGTCGAAGATGCGTTTTTGGTCGTCAGTGCTATGATCAACGGTACGTTCTCTAGTTATGTGCCCAGGAACGACCCTAAGCGAACTGTTCCATTAGCGCTTGAACAAAACTTCTCACCATACCTCAACGCATTCTTGCCTTTCCTCTATACCGCTCTGAGAACTCATGAGGAGGCTGAGCTCTGTAACGTTGCAATTGGCATCATTGGTGATATCTCCCGTTCTCTGGGTGAGCAGAGCGCGCAATACTCCGCCGGGTTCATGAGCGTGCTCTTTGAGAACTTGCAGAGCGACATCCTTAACAGAAACGTCAAGATCAGCATCCTCTCGTGCTTCGGTGATATTGCTCTCGCCATCGGCCCTTTGTTTGAGCCATTCCTTTCTACAGCTATGACTGTCCTTCGTCAAGCAGGCACGATTCAGGCAAATCCCGTAAGAAATCTTCTTTTGTGCTTCCGTCTTTTTTGTTTAGTTCTAATCAATCTTCTCGACAGCTGGATCAAGAGTTAAGTGAGTATGTCACAGCATTGCGGGAAGGTATCTTGGAAGCGTACACTGGTATTGTTGCTGGCTTGAAAAACACTGACAAGGGTATGTTCAAGTTTCCGTCCGTGAACCTATGACTTATATTCTTTTAGTCAACCTCGTATTGCCTTACGTTCCTGATATCCTGGAGTTGATCCAACGCTCCTTGGCCGACACGGAGAGGCAAGAGGCTGTTGTCCGAATTTGCTATGGCTTGTTGGGAGATCTTGCCGAGACCTTCCGCAACGGCCAAATCAAAGAACTTCTGCTCGCGGAGTGGATAGCTACCGAGTTGCGACAGAAGGGACGTATGAGCGCTGACACAAGGAAAAACTTGCGCTATGCCAGAGAGGTATTTTCATCCTTTTCCATACTGTCTCGTCCGGAAGCTGATCTACCGTTACTTTAGAACGTCAAGCTTGCTACCGCGTAGATTTCTTCTTGTTCGACCGTGCTGGACCAATCTCATTCATTAATTTCATTGTTCTCGAGCATTCATCTCTTCCCTCGCATTCTTACGTTTTATGACGATCCTATATGCCATCTGAAGGAGGCATCCTTGTTATGTTTTTACGCACTTAGAACTTATGGCAGAAAGAGGGTCTGCCAGTATGATCGTTATTGTTGTCGTCGTCGTCATTCTTTGTCCTCTTGATTTGAATCCTTTTCGTCTACCACTCACCTTTTCAATGTATCCATGGGTCTCGAACTTCTCACTCCTGCTACATCCTCAGCATTTCTCAGTACTGCGTCGCACTTTATTCTCTGAATAATTGTTCTGGTTTGTCAAAAAAGCGATACCCCTAGCGACCGTGGGTGATTGTATATGGTTCCTGAAGGGAGCACACACTGGGTATACATATATGCCCATCTCTACATTACGGCCGTAACTGCAAGTATGTATAAGATATCTTCGCTACAATACGCACATTTTTTTTTTACTCTCATGATCCTCAATGGTCGCAGAGGGCTCTGAATGGAACGAAGTGTTTTGGCATACGCTGATACTCGTACAAACGACATCAAACATAAAAACAAGAAATGACATATGGCGGCTTTCTCAAAGCAAAAGGGTATGACGATGGAACATAATGTGCAACGATGCGAGAGCCAGAGTGCATAGGCGAGGACGGCTGAGCGAGGGGTGTGGGGAAGAAAGCGTCGAACTATAAACACAAAGCAAAACAGAGAAAACAACGAAGTGGGTGCGAAAGACAGAAGGGAGACGACATGAAGTCCATACATGGAATAAAATCGGGGGTGGTGAAATCCCCTAATGCAAGATGCGTTTATATCTTAACGAATACATAACTGATGGATGCGAAAAAACCAGACGAGCACTTGCAGACATTGCGTTCAGGCAGGTACCATGCGTCGTTGTGGCTTTGAGACGGGAGTCGAGATGTTCTCCTTCTCGTCTTCCTCGCTCACTGAGCTTACACTATGCGCCTTGAGGGATTCACGACTTGATATGCCAGGTTTCAGCCTCGAAGGTACATGTGACATAGATCCTCGACGGGCAGCAACAGCTTTTGCCGTGGGTGTCACAGAAGTCGAGCGAGTAAAGGTGGAAGATCCCGTGGAAGGGATCCTTGTGGGAGTAGCGGACGATGTAGTTGATTGGGCAAGTGATGAAGCACGTCTCAAAGGTGGTGGTCCCATAGAGCCCTCCACTCGCTTCTGAGTAGTAGAGGAACCTACAGTAGAAGCGGAGGCGTTCTGACGAACACTACGAGCGAGGGTAGTCTTCCCAGCAGCAGAGGGCGGATCGCTAAGCTTGCGCTCCTTCGTGATGCTCCCACTGTCGGACAAGACTGAAGGAGGTCGAGAGACACTCGGGGTACCGAAGATAGAGGATTCACGGCGAAAGGGTGCCTTGGATGTGGTGGCAGGAGTATTGTTGGCGGAACCACGAGTGGCAACCCGCCTTTTCAGCTACGGAGTCGTATAAGCGATATTGCCCTATCAACGAAAAAAGGATTGGAAGCGACTTACCAGTTCAAGCTCCTGCTGCTTAGAATCAAGAGCGATATTCAGACCCTGCAGGTCCTCTTTATCTTGGGCACGCTGTTTAGCAAGTTGCGCAAGTTTGACTTCCTTGTCTGCACTTTCCTGCTGTAACTCGTGCACCTGTCTTCTGAGCTTTTCCACTTCTTGTTGAAGCGAAGTTACTCGGTCTTTCAGAGTATCCTGCATAACGTCGGTCTCAGCCTTGCCTCGGAGCATATGTTCCATATTGGCGCGGGCTTCAACTTCGCGAGCGACAACTTCGGAGATTTTGCGACTCTGTTCATCGACCGTACGTGCGTGTTCACGCTTGATACGACTGATCTCCTCGTGCAATTCCTCCACTTCGAGTTCACGCTCACGGATACGTGAAGTGTATGATGCGATCTCGGTGTCACGCTGACGGATGGACTCTTGTAGACGATTGACACTGTCCATTGCGTACTGGCGTTCTTGGGTTAGCTCGGTGACGCGGTCTTCACGTTCCTGCAGAGCGCGAGTCAGTTCATCGGCGTGTTCCTCTTCAGAACGGAGGTGCGACTCGAGCTATATGATTTAACAGTCAATGAACAAGTCCGAAGAACGCAGATGAGATTGAACTTCACCTCTTCCTTTTCTCTCTCGAGCTCTTCCCTGGCATTCCAAGCCTCTTGAAGTTCGCTCTCCACTTCGGCCTTCCTGTTTTCGTTCTCATTCCACTCCAACTCCATACTAGAGATCCGTTCATTCAGAGTGTCGACTTCGCTTTTCAATGCGTCTCTCTCCCGTCCCAACTTCTCCAACTGTTCCCCAGACTTCTCAGTATGTTTCCACTGAGCCTCGAGTTCAGAGCGCAAGACAGCGATCTCCTCTTCTTTTCGCACAATTTCCTCACGAGCATCCGTGAGCTGTTGTTGAAGGTCAAGGTGATCCCGGCGCAGAGCGTCGTCAGCTGCCAGGAGGGCAGTCCGCTCTTCTTCCCAGGCGACAACTGCAGCATCGTGTTCCTCAGACTTCGCCAAGAGTGTCTTCAGCTCATGCTGCTGCTCTTCGCTTTGAGCCTGAGATTGCCTTTGACCGCCCATAGACTCCATCTCTTCTTTGGCAGCCCTGATGCCGGCCTTCAGCTCGCGTTCACTCTGGTCACGTCTCTTTAACTCGTTCTTCACATTCTCCAGTTCCGCAAGCTTGACTTGTAACTCCTCTCTCATTTCGTTCTCGCGACGATCGGTGTCGGCCTTCTCCCGCTCAAGGTCACCAATACGTCGGTGTAGCATCCTCAACGCCTCACCACTCGCCTCGTCCATGACACTTCTCTCCATGCTTTCCTCACGGCTGCGGTCAACTTCCTCTTCAAGTCCACGAACACACTTCTCCAACTCACTGACACGCTTGCGCCAGTTGCGAACGACATTCTTTCGGCGCTCACACTCCCTCTCTGACTCTGTCAGCCTCGCGTTCAGAGTCTGCACCAGCTCGTCTCGTGCACCCAAGTCAAGCTCATACTGGGCACAAAGCTCCGACTGAAGAGCAAGCTGTGTACGAAGGGACCAAATGATGTCCTCCTCGCGCGACGCCTTGCGTGTATGCGTAGAAATCGGCGGAGATGGGGGAAGCATGGTTCCGGGAGTGTAGTAGGTTGTAGCATGCGCGCCGAAAGGATCTTTCTCCTTCTCAGGTGAGCCCATCACCACGAGGGCAGTCGAGGTGTCGTTAATGTCCGCCTCAGGCTGTTTGCTGTCAGTCGCCGTACTCGGCGGGGACTGAACCATGGAATGGAAGACTGTGTCACTCAACGCTCGATTCCGATTCCCATTGAAAGGTTTCCCATGGTCCTTTACCGAATCTGAAGGTGTGGATTGGGCAACCAAAGAATGGAAGACAGTTTGACCGAAGCTGAAAGACTGGCTTCGGTCGTGTGTAGGTGTCGATCTGCCCGTGTTCGATTGCAAGATGTCCTTGAATGGCGTAATGGCATGTTCGGGTTGCTCAGGTGAATGATCTATTGCAAGATCTGTCCCCCGGTCTTCCGCTTCAGAGATCTCAATGGCGGAGTCCAGCAGAGAAGTTCCTCCAGTCGCAGGTATGGTTGGCAACTCCTTATCAGACGAAAGATCAAAGATGTTGCCCAGTTCAGGTGGCGGCACGGGCAGCATTAACGACTCCGCACCCGTGGGTGAGATAGGTGTGGGTGGAGCCTGCGGAGGACTAAAGACCTCTTGGGCACTCGGACGCCCAACAGGACCTCGACGCAACCTGTTCATGATGGATGGATCCTCCATCTCGCTTGCACTAGAGATGTCAGGAGTAATGACTTTGTATGCGTCTCTGGAAAAGAAACGAACGCTCTGGCCTGTGCCAGGTGTATTACCGGGCTTTAAGATAGATCGTATGGAGGCGAACTTGGACTCTGTGATGGGTGTAAGCGGAGGGTGGGCTGCGTCCGTTGATGGTCTGCTTAAATCTTCATACGGACGAGCTGTGGGATCAGTCGAACGTTGTAATGATTCGGAACCTGCTAACAATGTTAATCCCGGCAGACCCGCGAAGAGCAGGAAAACCCACCTGATGAGTTTCCAGGTTTCAAGATGGCACGCAGGGAACCAAGCCTGGACTCAGTAACGGGTGTGTTCGGAGGGCGTGCACTATCAGTCGAAGGGCGGGCGGTGTCTTCTGAGGGATGAAAAGCTGTATCTGGAGATCGATGTAATGAGATTTCAGAACCTGTATAACTCTGTCAGCAAGGGTACTTCAAGCGTGGCAAATATGAATGGGCAGTTCTGCTCTCTGATGTGAGAGCCGGATATTGACTCCTGAATTGAAGGTATAAACTGTAGAGCACATAGTGCTATAAGGAGTTTCAATGTAGCCTCACAGCGTTGAGCAAGAGCGCTGGCACAGCTGAAGAGAGCGCAGCCTTTCGCGAGAGATTCGCGAGGCTCGCAGAAATCGCATATAGCATCTTAAGCATTGTATACTCACCACTGGAAGTACTATGAATAGATGACTTTACTTTCTTCGGTAGGCCAATAGGAATCCGGAGCGAGGACGGTTGTGAACCTGTCTCATGTTCGGCGAAGGGGTTAGTGGATATTCGTTTGAGGAGGCCTTTGCGTTTCGAAGGTGATGGTGGCGGGCTGGGCGAAGGAAACGGAACTTCAGAAGTATCTTCATGGAAGACAGATAGATTCGGGTGTCGCTCATAGACACCATCCATTACGTGTGGGTGTAGGGAGGATCCAGTATCGTCGGGATTCAGACCTGGCGTACCAGGTCGCTTGATTGCGTTGGTCAGTTTCGACCACATCGTATGTCCTTGAAAAGCGATTGAATACGTGTAAGACTTATTTTTTAGGGAGCCTGAACCAAGTCTTGAGGAACGAACAGCACGGTGTAGCCGAGAACATGGGCGTCGCAGGACAAGGACAACCCGAACGGGCGCGAGGTTGAAGTTGAACCTTCACGTGATCGCGACACGACGCGTCTCGAATTTGATTTCTCCTGCTTTTGGAAGCTTTTACAAGTCTTGTACTACATTAATGTCCATGCTAACGAGGTATGTGCCCCCTTTGTAGGTCGAGTAGCTTCTCATAAACTCGAGCCTTGTGTTTGTGTACACCGATAGTACTCTCTTTAGGGAACCAAACCGAGCATTACCCAGCTCAACTGCCTTCTGCGAGTTATCAATCTAGGATATTAACAATGCTATTAATACTTGATGCGCCCCCATCTTGAAAGTGCCACTGGTTTATAAAGCATAAACCCATACATGTCCAGGAGGCGTAAATTCATTCATAAGTGCCTACGCCCTTGCTCTGCTCTTCGTTCCTGCATTCGAACTGCTTTAAAAATCTCCACCATTTCCTGCAGCAACTGCGGCTCGACACTTGTCAAGTTTGGAAAGATATCCGAGAGAAACGCGGCCACCCCGGGTAGGTCTCTCAAATGAGTGTCCAAAACGTTCAATGTTTTAATCTTCTCATTGAACAACCCATCGCCAGGTAGCCGATCCGCAGTTATAGGGATGTAGGATGTAGCAAGAGGGAAGATATTCAGGTCTTCCAAGTCCGGACAGTGTCGAACGAAATGGATGATGGATGTCAAACAGATATCGGACCGCATACGGATCTGCTGCAACCGAGGAAACGCCATTGCCAGGCGCATGATATCCGAATCACTTAACTTGACCTCAATGCAGCCAATGTTCAATGAGATCAAATTGCGGAACGAGAAGATAGGTTGAATGTCGATAGGCGAAAAGACGCGAATAGGGAAGACATCCATGGCTGCATTTATTGGCGAAATAACTTTCACGGAAAGGTGCTGCAGAATATGATTGGGCAGGTATGACGCGATAAGATGGAGTATATCTTTGCTTGCAGGGATCGTGTCTTCGACCAATGTCAAGCTGAATGACTTCAGTTTTGGGAACTGATATGACCTGAACATCGAGGTCAAAGAAGGTGCCATAGCATACTTGAGCTCGAGGACCTCCAGTGTCGTAAACACAGTTGCCTGGAGGGGAGGAACATTCTCTGCGGAAACACCAGTATAATCGTAGGTTGCAATCGACAGCGATCGCAAGAATGGCAACCGGCTGGCCTCCATGATAATTTTCTGGGCCCCACTTTGAGAGGTACCTTTGATATCCAAGATACGCAGCGATCGCAAGGATGGTAAAGATGCGTGAAGAAAGTCAGACCAGCCGCGTGGGCCGTCAAAATTGACATGCATCTCTTCAATGTCACATGCAAATTGAGGGACGTAGGAGATGAACGAGCAGGCAAGCTGTAACATGGGGTTGCCGAATGGCCGTAGCCTGTGATACATATGAATGGCGCGTAACCCGGGGTGCAGGAAGAGGGTAGGAAGAGGAAGACTTGCAGACCATACCAAGTCACTTACGTCCCAGTAAATGTTCTGGAGATTAGGACATAGTGGATCGGATGTCCTACGACAAGCCAGAGAGTCGTATACTGAGGGTGAGAGCTCTCGCCGCAGCAGTTGGGCTTTCTCTGCGAACTTTTCCCCGTATGAGTAGAAGTACATGACCTTGACACGACGCGCATAGAAGTCGAAGCGGGCCCAATCCGAGGCACACACTGGCCGGCGAAAATTCTGTATGAAACGAATACGTGAGTCTGTATTCACGACCGGAGATACGCCAATGAACTACCCACAAGAGTCCGGCCATTATCATCTACTACGTCGACTGGTAGAAACCGTAGAAGAATCACAGGACTGAGCTGTGCGTGATATAGAACGTCCAATGCAGGGTCACAAAACGCGCTGCACGTCTGAGCCAGGGCATTGAGGGTACAGAAGTCCGGGTTGCTGTCTTCGTTCGCTGCTTCATATGCATATTGACATATACGGGTGAAGATCTCGCCAATCAGCAAGCAATGGGGTGGGCCATTGGATGTACGAAACTTTCGTAAATCTGGACACCGTGAGGACATTGTCAATAATTTAGAACGAGCTCACTCCTGGGTCAAGCTAGTCTGGTTTCAAATGCGTCATCTCAACTGGTGTGAGGGATTCCGGATTTAACCGAAGATAAGTTAATTAGACCTCCGCAACGCGCTTCAGCCACAGGCGCGTCGTCGACCGTCTTCACGAGTACTTTATTCGACTACCTTAATCAATCGTCCTGATATATTTATGGGCTCACCCACAACACTGGCTCCTTTATCTTTCAGTTCTGACGAAGGCCGTGTGCTGTGTCTCGGAGTATGTACCTACTTGACAAGTCCTCGCTACCCTATCGGCCGCATGACTACCAGCTCGAAGGAGTTTGCAACAACCCTGGATGGTGTTGATCTTATGGTTATAATGCCTGTCGGGTCAGGCAAAACAGGTGTTCTGACCATGTACATGCTCATTGTACGAGTGATTGCCTCAGATCCCAATCAGGACCCGCAAAAGCAGGCGAGGGAGAGGCTATAATGCTTGTCATTTGCCCGACGAAAGCGTATTGGCTGGACGGTTGCGCCACACCATTTGAATTCCAGCATTCGATTATCTGCAACTACCAGCAGCAACGCCACTGCCAACGGCTGGTGCTTGCGAATGATGCCTTCAATGTGCGGTAGAGTTGCCACACCAATATCAAACCATTGAAGTTTCTTCTGGTGCTTTGGACTTGTTTGAGCAGAATATAGCCTATTTTTGGCTTAACCGCCTTCTCAGCCTCTCGTACAGGCTGCTTTTGGATGATCTGCACAGCAAATGAAGAAAGAGCCGCACGAGCAGCTTTGATTCCAATCTATGGTATGGTCATAGACCACATCAAGTCACTAACGTCCTCGTGAATATTCTTTAGATCAGGACATAGTGGAATCGATGTCCAACGACAAGTTAGGGAATTGTAGATTGAGGGTGGGAGCTCTCGCCGCATCAGGCGGGAGGCTTTCCCTGCGAAGCTTTCCCCGTATGTGCAGAGATACATGATCTTGACACAATGCACATAGAAGTCTAAGCGGGTCCAGTCCGAAGCACAAAATGGCCGGCGAACAATCTGTATGAAATGAACATGCGAGTTTATATTCACGATGGGAGATATGCCAACAGAAACCACCCACAATAGTGGAGCCACATCGATTAGTTGAAACCGCAGAAGAATCATAAGACTGAACTGTGCGTGGTATAGAACGTCCAACGCAAGGTCACAGAACGCGCAGTCTGGGCCCATCTGTGAGGGCGGAACAATGCTCCTTCCAGTAGATAGACTCCTAGACACGGCTGCGAATAACGGCTTCGACTATATGCTACGCAACATGAGATACGCTCTGCAGAATTAGAGGATTCTTGCCGTGGATGGCGAATGCGCCACAACGGTAGCGTTCGCCATGGCCGTTCGGGAGATAGGTTGTTTGTGCGTGTTAGAAATCAAAGCGTTTGCCCAGTTTGGAAGGATCGGCCGACTGTTCGCCGATCACTACGCCCGGTTACTTGGTTCTTGCCCGTCGTTCTCACTACAATTACACGAGCCGACCTAAACCCGGTCTTCCGCTGCGTACTTATCTCGGCTAGCATCTGTCATTGTGCTCAGGTTCAGAATTCAGACTCCTCGACCCCCGCTGTACTTTTCCTTGCTGTGCGGTTTATCGTTCACGAGGTCTGTATCCGCTGCCCAGAGCATCAGCTGCCAGGCAATAGAATAAGACATCGCCTCCCCATCATCATGGGAGGCGATGTCTTGTTCTATTCGTGCGTAATCCTCTCGCCTGTCGGAGTTTGTACATACCACCACAGTCCCGTCTTCCGTTACCCACATATGTATCAACATGTATGATTGTCATTCCCAATTCAGTATGGCACTTCCATAGATCTTTCTTTCATCACAGCATGCTCAAGTCACGCCTCACATTCCTGGTTAATCGTACATCGATGTGACTTGATCATCATTTCACTACGTCGGTGGAAACATCGTGCCCAGCCAAATTCGTTTAACTGGTCCAGGTCCACAACTGACGCTCTACCAACCGTCCAACTTATGGTATTCTGACCGCGAAGATAGCAACCGAAGCCCAAACTGGGCCGTCGGAAGGTGAAATTTTTCTTCCCTTTGTTCTTGAGCCTCGTGCTTCCATTTTATCCGAGTGGCACAACGGCCCATTGACCCATTGATCCCTTTATCCTCCAGGTTTAAAAGGCCCCTCTCCTACCCCCCGTCCCCTCACCCTCCTTTCCCTCCTTCCACCATCATGCCCCTTCTGCCTTCTTCCCTTACTATGCCCTCTGCGACTGGGCTGTACTCTCGTCGATGTATGGTATGTTACTCGCATACTATGACATTGGCCACTCGTCCCCTCACACCTGATCACTGTTTATAGCCACTCAACATCTTCTACCATCGGCCGCAAGCCTCGACGACGTCTATGCCACATTTATTTAAGGTCAGTAATATGTGTCATACCCAGTCGATAATATATACTGACTTGCACCACATCCTACGCCACACTAGACTTGCGCCACACTTCGAGTCTGTGGCCATTCCTCAGGTCCGCCGTGTCTGTCTTTTATCTCTCGTCCCTATGCTGTCCCTCTGCGTGTCCGCCGTGAGACGTTGTGCCGTGGTGTCAACCTATCGCTACTGGCATGGGTAGCGTGAGTGAGGCTAAGGTGCGCCACACCCTTGTTGTATTTGATATATCCCCATCTAACACCTACCTCACAGGCAGTTTACATATCCGTAAGGTGTCCGACTCAACATCAACGTCAAACAAGTCTTCCAACACCGCGATACGAGTGGACTTCCCCACCAACGTTCGTCAAGATACCTCTAGACCTCAAGAGTCGACGACGAGGTCGAACCTCAAGACCGTTGATGTGTCTTTGGTTATGTGGGACGAGTGCCGGCTCATCAAGTGAATCCGGTGGCGTGGTGTCTCGCGAGAACATGCATACTTGTGCGGTTGGGCAACCGTCGCGTCTCCCTAACTCGCTCTGGCTAGAGCGAGTGCGCAGCGCGACAGTAGGAGGCGTCCCCTCCCACGGGCCTCGCCCACCCGCGTCGCGCAGGGCGTCCTAACCTTTGCAGCTGCTCTTCTTCCTCCTCAAGCTCCCGGACCTCAAGACCGTCAAGACTGGCTCATCAAGACCAAAGAGGACTAGGCGACCTGCGGAGGGTTTGGGTGGCTCTCATTCCCGCCACATTCCGGAAGACCTCGAGGCGTTTTACGCCTATGTCGAGGTCTGCGTAGCGGGTACATGCGTTCATATGGTGCAAGATTCACGCTGCATGCAGTTGTGCAAACTTCCCATGCACGGGTCTAGCCAACCCGCGTACCTGCAGTGCGTACTCTCTGGCGACGGCGCTCTCTGGTCTTGCGCTTTCTTGGGCGACGGTTTCTCTAGGCGACATCTCTGGCGACCCTCTGGCTGGCGGCTTTCTTGGGCGACATCCCTCTGGCGACACTCTGGCTGGCGGTACTCTGGGACGACATCTCTCTGGTGGGACTCTGGGGCGACTTCTCTCTGGCGACAACCTCTGACGACATCTCTCTGGGCTTGTTTGGATTGTATCTTATCTGCTCGCTCTTGTTCTGTCTGCTCTGGTGTCTCGTCTCTGGTTCTGGTCCCGCTCTGGCTCACACTTGCTCACGGTTCAAGCCATCATCAAGAGGGGTTCGAGAGTCGAATACGATATCCAATACTTCGGACGGTGAGTCTTTCCGATTATTCTTCCTCGATTACTATCTGACGAACATTGTTTTCTAGCCATCGGGTCGGTCAGGTTTCTAGCTTGCTGGTCTGGTCTCTCTAGTGCTCTAGCTTGGTCTCTCTGGTGCTCTGGCTCGGTCTCTCTAGTGCTCTGGCTCGCTCGCTCTTTTGATCTTCCTCTCGGTATGTTCGCGGCTCCTCCATAGGTACGTCCTCAGGGTTCGAGAGTCGAAAGCTCGGGATTTTCCTTACCTGGTGAGTCTCAAACATCGCCGTTCCGCTTACTCAGACTAATTTTCTTGTCTCCCAGATATAGACCTTTCCGCTGACATTTAGAATGGAGCAGAGCACCAAGCTCTAGTGGAAAACATCTCATCCGAGATGTGTCACGCTGAGTTTCTCGCCTCTCACATTCATATGTTTTGCTGACCGACCACGGGGCGTGTACGTCCCCCGTAAGTCTCCTTTACTTTCTTGCCACATTGAATCTGTGCTTACGTCCCTCTTCCTTTTTCGCAGGTCTTATTCGTGGTAGATAGTCGTAGTTGAGATATGTATTATAATCATGACAATCGAATTCATGTCATCGTTTTCATCATCATCATCACACTGTCACAAATGGGAACTCCGAGCATCGTCAACCCCTTTCAATTAGAATCCAACTTCACGTCTGTGCAGTCAACTCAGTCTTTCCAAAGGGGGCCATGAGGTGCAACTGCAGCGGTTCTGCCAATTCCGTTGGCGCCAGAGCGTTGTGGGTACGGAAGTTCGGGCTGCTGTCTTCGTTCGCTTCATATGTCATATACCGGTGAGGATTTCGCCGATCAGCGGCCAACCGTAGGACATTTTCAATAATATAGAATGAGCGAACTCCCGGATCACTGAGCAAGAGAAGAATGGGAACACCACGACGAAGCTAGTAGCGCGCCGAAATTGAATGTCGAACTCCAAATCGGCGCCCTCTCGCCATAAGAATATATCCTCACCACGCATGTCTGCAATTTGTTTTGGCCAACAATTTAGCACACTGGCGGCATATGTAGGTGGGCAAAGTGATGCCTAAAGTGTCTGCTGATGTACTAGTGATGGAATGTGCGATTGATGTCAACATGCCCTCCGTGGCACTGGAAGCTAGACAAACCTCAACATCCAACGTTCTACAATTTGCACTCTAGAATGTTGCCTAAGCATAACATAATACAGTACATACGACATGCAGAACATAGTATGTATACAACGGTCTGACAGCACTGGAAGCCGACGACAGAGAGTTGAACATGAAAGCGGCTAAAGGAGGATTGGTTATGCAGACAGACCGTAAAAGATGCAGGAGCTGCGATAGTAAGGTAGTGTGGTGTTACTGAATTGCCAAGAAAACAATCAGATGAAACCAAGAAACAGGCTTGATTATGCAATACGGATTGCGGAACGTAGCGAAAGCGCGAAGTTGGAATCTTGATGGAAAGAACCTTGTCGTGACGGAGTAAGGCATCGAACCTTGTAGCATGGCCATTGATAGGAATGTTCATAGAATGAGAGTGTTGAATGGCTTGCTTGTCGCCGCTGGCATGCGATGCCATATCTGCATAGCCAACCCCTTCATCCAACGGACCACATATTACAGCTATTGAGGTCGCAAACCAACACCCTATTCTTCGGCACCTATCTTCAAGTTAGCAGTCTCCTTGACTAAATCATGCTCGCCATTCTCCACAACATCCGGGACCGCGATCCCGATTTCCACAACACCTTCCTTCAGATTTTTCGACTCCGCATCCGACCCAACAGGTCCAGATGCACTTGAAGGCGGCAATTTGACGTTCGAATGTCTTGGCGATGGCGGAGAAGTCGATATAGGGGAAACAGAGGCAGCATATCGAGCGGGCGAGCTGCTACAAGATATCATAGATGGAGACCCGCTCTCATCGTCCGACATCGGCGACACGGAACGCAAATCTCGGTCACCAAGCGGAAGCTCATTCGGTGAGGGCAAACGCGGGGAATGGGAGGATACGGGTATTGATGGAGAAGGTAGAGGCTGGACGGGAGAGCGGGAAATTGATCGACTGCGTTCACGAGTGTAATGATCCAAATTATAAGGGAACTGGGACGGTGAATGTGAAGGCGAAGTATCGGTATGCAATGCGGATCTTGATTGGATTACGGGCAGTACTTGTGGAGGAGGTGTAGGTGCAGTGATGGTAGCGGTGGAATGTGAGTGAGAATGTGAGGGTAAACGATGAGTATGAGATTGCGAATATGATTGAGTGAGAGGGTGAGCATATGGCACAGAGGCCGATGAATCCATGGAAATGGCTGGTATTGAAGAGGAGGCGGGTAACGGCGTTGTCGACGCTGAGGGTATCTCGTTGCCCAGGTATTGTTGCAGGTCATGTTGAAGAAGATAATGCGATCGTATTTGAGGATATTGTGAATATTGCTCTTGAAGTGGTACTTGAGGTATACTGAAAACCAACTCTCCTTCATGATGTCCAGGGATATTGACCACCGGCTGCTTCGGCGATTCAGTACTCAAATCACTCTCCATTGAGGGAGACCGTTGTATCATTGGCCCTCGTATACCTCCGGATCCAATGTCATGCACTGGAGTTGCTGATAATGGGCTTCCGTAAGGCGGCGTTACGTTAACTGCAGGAACCGGAGTAGCACTCTCGCCACTTCTCGTCCCGGCAGCTAAAGCTCTTGACAGCCTTTCCTTCAACGGCGACGTCTCGTAGAATACCGCTGCTCGTTGGGCTTGAGACGCTGACGTCGTGACCACTTGGGGCCGGGGTGTGTATATGGGTATGACAGGCATCGAAAACCTATGAGAAGCTGCACGAGGCGGAGGCCCAGAAGAACTCCTCCGAGGAGAGGATGAATCCACACTAAGTCTAGGTGGTTGTTCTTGATGTTGACGTGTAGGAGCCTCGGAAACCTGCTGTCCAAGTCTGAACGGCCGATCACGTAGACGACCACTGCTGACCATCCTAGGGTCAAAAAAAGCTTTATCACCCTGCACGTTTCCTCTAGAACTCGATGGGTCCGGGACGAACGAGGCGGAACGGAAATCCTGGTGAGGATGTGGACGAAGTTGGACTGCTGAGAATGGTTGAGTCAAGCCCCTTGCATGTGGGTGCTGGAACCTGCCTCCGAATGGCACAGTGCCTTCATCTGTGAATGATCGTATTGACCTCACGTCATCGGACTCTGCCAAGGATCTATTTTCCTCGAAATCTTCATCCGTGATGATACTCTTCTCAGAAGCAGTATCTGGTTCTCTTTCTCGTTGTCTGATACTAGACGCCGTGGCGAGGGCGAATACTCTACCCAACTGGGTGTCAAACGCTTCTCTATCCTCGGCCGGAGCCTCAGGAGGAGGAGGACTGGTCCATTTCGTTCGCTTGGGTGCCATATGATCCAATTGCTGATCAGGTAGCATAGGCAGTTGAGCCATAGCCGCCTTCTGCACGAAGGCAGGAGGTGGATCGTGTACTTGAGGCGGTGATAGACGATCAGGCGGACCTGCGCGCAGCGGATTGCTACCGACCGTATAAGGTGTCTGCGGCGGAAGGGGGGATAGTCTGGGCGGTATGAAATTGGTTGATGATGGACGTGAGGGAGATGCAGTTAAAAGTTCTTCATCCTTTCGTTCCTCACAGAGTTGGGCGAGGGCGACGATAGCTCGCTCAGGTCGGGATGCGAGAATGCGAGAAGCACGCATCAGTTCGCCGCGAACCTGGCAATCGAATTGTGAGGAAAATGAATTGTTGAACAGAATGTGAGTACTCACCGTGTATAGGCCGTCTCTTGTAACGCATCGCGAAACGTTGAAGTCGACCTCAAAAGGATCCTACAAACAATCAGTATCAAAACGAGTCCCTATCTACGCGTTCATACTTACTTCAATACACAGTCGATTCCGCTCTCTCGCAGTTCCCCTGTCAGACTGTCGATATAATGTCATTAGCTTTCATCGCGAGGCAGGAATGGAACAAGATTTCAACGCACATCGCTTTGCCATCCTTTGCCATCTTTCTTCAGAAGGCCAGCTCTAATGGAGACAACGCCGTTGTTGTAGTTAAAATCACGAGAATAGTAACGAAAGAAGTCCACTAAGCTGAAGACAATGTCTCAGTATGAATAAGGAGCTAGTGGATTAGGACTAACAGTTCGGCAACGCTCTCGGTGTTGCTAGATTGCCATCGTTGACGAAGCAAACGGATATCGTCGAAAAACCTGAACGTCACAAAGACAAGGTTATTGGTCAGAATATCTGCCACCGAAACATGGAGCATACCATATATTATGCCCATTGAGATGTGTTTCCTCCTGTTTGGAACGGTGAGCTAAGAGCCCAACAATGCGAGGATCCAGATAATACATACCGGGGATATAGGCCGCAACGCCGGCATTTGCTGCAGATTTGGCAGTACAGGAGGATTCTTTACATGAACCAAGAAGAATATTACAAGTAAAACATATCCGTAAGATGATAGGGTACCCTTGTATGGCGAGTTGATTTTTCTGGAGATACTATGAATACACGGGCAGGCACAGCTGAAAGAAAGTGCTTACCGTCGTTTACACCAAACTTTAACTAAAATGATTGATTGTAAGGCATCAGTGATAGAGATACGCACCGAGGGACTCACGAAATAAGACCATAGTGCGCACACGGGGCGGGTCGATCATAGCATAACACATCAGCAGTCGAGTGTTTTCGAGAGCAAGCCTGTTTTCGAACCCAATGTCACAAGCAATGCCATAGGGTAAACCAGGCGAAGGTTCTAATGATAACTTGACGATGGGTATTCGGGCATGAGGGAGAGGTTTGACATGAAACTTCGTCTCTACGGAAAAGCATAAGGCACGTTCGAAGATGATTGCAAGACATGATCATACCCCGTTCTAGTAAGTCACCGAGCATGGTGACTAGATCGCTTGCAGACAAGCGTTCTTCGGAGTCGATCAGACAACACAGATCCATGTCTGAGGGGAGACGTTCATTATTCTAGCCATGTCCGTTTATCCTAAGTACGCACCCGAGTTGCGAAGACTAAATCCATTCGCAGTGCTGCCAAACGATAACAGACGGCTTTCTGGCTCTATTGTTCTAATGAGGCGTTCAAGAAGCTTGCGGACATCCTCCTTGATGGTAAGCTCCTCCGTTGTGGGTAGCAACTGGATCACAAAGTCGAATAGACATCGCGAGAATTCCGAGACGAAACGCTGCTTGGATGTTTGCCTCTGGATCGGGGTTTGTAGCGGTTGCTGGGCTTGGTGGGTATGTTGGCGAAGAGGCTGGAGACGTTGAGAGTAGACTGCGGTCATTGCAGACAGGTGGGGGATGTCCACCGTCGATGCAGGCGTCGAACCAGAGGTATACCCAGTACCGCAGCGGTTAACTGGAGACTGAGGGGGACAAGCGGAGGGGCAGTCGAGATGATCAGAGAGGTCGTTGAGCCCGTTATAGAAGTAATTTCAATGGACCATCGCTTCCGACCTCTCGGCACCGCTTAAAACACTCAAGTTGTTACAACTTTCCCTCAAGCTACAGCCTATTATACTAACATTCGCCTCGACTATTGAGCGTATATAGCTCAGATACTCCATACTCCTCCGAGTTAGCCTCGATGCTCCGCCCTGACCGACGACAATTTCCTCCATACTTATCCCACGTTTTGACCATAGGAAAATGCCGAGCCAACTCTTCGGAAGGTTTGGAAGCACAAGGGGGTGTGATCCGGGACCCTGCACCTGTGCGATATTACAACTCGACGCACCCGCTCACCATAGCCTTCTCTCGCGGTCAGAAATGCATACCCTGCGCACATGTCTCACGAGCTTGAAACCAAAGTGGCCATCCGACACCAACATTCTCATGTGCACATTCTCGCGCCAGTCAAACAAGGATGCAGAAGGCAACAATAACACTTTGACAGGTGGAGACGTCATTCGGCCTCAAGCATGGAATCTAGAATGGTCGCTGAAAGCTAACGACAAGCCAATCAATGACTCCATACAATTCTTAGTTCATGTAAAAATACACACCTCCCAGGTGAGGCTGCTTTCCTCTTCTGCCGCGAGGTTGAGCGATCCCTGCGTTCCGAGAAGTCTGATCAGCAACAGGGAATCGTCATGTAGGTCGCTTGGAGTCACGTAAGTATGATAAGAGGAAGAAATCGATCGTATTTTTGTCACGTTTTCTGCGTCTTTTTCTGGATTCTACTTATTTTCCATGATATAATGTATAGGGTTTCAGCTCTGATCATCAGCTTGCCGCAGCCGTTCCCAACTCGCTATAGTAGGAAGTCAGCCTTGTGTTCCGATTCAAACACCTTCGAATATACGCACTTAAACGCCGACTCGATGCATGACTTGACTTCCTTGTACGTTACCACAAGACAACTCTGCTCATCTCGCGAGACCAGCATGATCCGCTCATCTGTACCAGCATCGAGCTAAATCACCCACCAAGCCAAAAGCAGGTGCATAAGCCACAATATTAAGCGCCACATTGAAAGCGACGAGACTGACCTTGTTTAGACAAGTCAACACATGTGACAGATTTACCACAGGCCGCCCGTGTTCATCCACCTGATGAAAGACGTAGTCCCTGAACAGCTTAATAATATACCTATCGCCCGTTTCACTCCATCTTGGGTCCAGAGCGAACTCGGGGCGTTCGTTGATGAAGCCGAACTTGCACAGGAGACGAACGAGGCGACCGTTCTCCAGCTCACTCATCAAACCAGCTTCAAGGCGGTCGACGGCGCTATGGGCCTCTTCGACTTTCTTGATAGATTGGCGAGAGAGCATGTCAACTATCTGGTCGATAGCCTATAACGCATCGAAGGCATTGTCAGGACGATGTCAGACACACGATGCACAAAGCTCATACCTTCTTCCCTTGAGGCACATTCGGCTTGCCCATAAGGAACAGTGCGATCTGTTTGACTTCCACCGAGTAATATCGATTGATTTGCTCTAGTGCTTTCTGTGGATTATACGGAGCACCTGGATGGTGGCAACAGAGTGCTAATATAAGTTTGCCGAACATCGTCAGGTCTTCTTGTTGAAGGCTGGCCATATCTTGATGGGCTTCGTACATGAGGACGTCGACAACGCCGCAAGAACCGACGCGGACCCTACATGAGACTAGTCAGGAAAGTAGCCCCACGATGACAAAGAGCTGGAGTGCCCGTACCTGTTCTTGCCGGTAATGAGGATCTTGGTAGCGTCGATGATACGTAGCGAGAGCCCCGCATCGTGGACCGCTTTAACGGCACTCGCGATCTGAACGATGTAACTTAACAAATTTTGTTCTGGTATTCGATCCTGAGATCGACTTCCGCGACCACTGGTGGCTTGTGGTTGCTTAGACCTCACATGTACTTCTGAGAGAGTAGTTGAATTTGGATGATAGTCGTACACGACGACTAAAGCTATAGGTACCGGATTGAGCAAGCAAAGTAGGAAACTGAGACAACGACTTACAGGCGTCCCCAAATGCAGAAGTGGTGAATGCTTCCCTCACTGATATGATGTTTGGATGTTGTATACGACGCCAAGCCAATATCGTAGAGAATGCCTCGACGTCTTTCAACCGGAAATCTAGACCAACTTCATCAATCATCAAGTGCATGATGAGTCATATTGTCACATACTCTCAATCCTACGCAAGACATAAGGCAACCCATCTGACGCCTTGGTCGCTCTATACACTGCAGAATACCAGTTCCCGAACTTACGTCGTTCGCCTGTGACCGGTTCCAAGGGAATCAGGCTATGATAGCCTTGTAGCTCCTCGGGTAGCCCGAGTCCTGGAGCAGGAGCAGTATGAATATTCTCGGCACGTTGTTGAAGTTCCTCGCGAATGTCATCTGGAACAAAGAATCGTGGTTGGAGGTCCTCAGGGCGCGGTTGAGTGTATAGGTGGTATTGCAACTTCCGCAGCATCTTAGCAAAGAGAGAAGTGAGATAATATGGGACACATACAGGTTGACGAACGAAAGAAGGCGATGTTGAATAGAATAGGTCTGCGCCCTGGGCATCATATTCGAGCATCTGTGCTTGGTCCTGGGCAGCATAAGGATTCGCATAAGGCTTAGTGAGAACAATATAAATGATCACCGGCATCGCAGAAGCGAAGAAAAACGCTAACCGACATCATTGAACCCTCAGGTACAGGCATAGACTCTGCCATTCCATAAGGTTCAAACGGAATGAACTCTTTTGCTGGTGTAACGGCCGCCACGGCCGCAACCGCGTTCGCGTTGGCAGCGACGACAGGGTCATTATCATCACGAAGTTCTGCTGCTGCTGCAGTCGGATCAATGGCACCGGAAGAAGAGGAAGAGCTGGCATGCACACGGCAAATACGTCAGAGTCAAGGTCAATCCTCCTTATGCAATCGAGCACTCACGAAGATTGAGACTGATAGTACTGAGATGCTACAGGTGCCGGGCTGGCTGGATGAGGTATCGGGGTCTTAGGTACAAATACAGGGGCGTTGACAGATTGTGCGGGAAGTGCAGGTGCAGGTACAGGTGATTCCGGAGGTCTGTAAGCCGTAAGATGGGAATCAAAGAGGATGGAGATATGAACTTACGCGGGGGATGGAATATCGCGCTAGATGTGTGCATGAATATGTGTAAAGGAAATCCGGCAAGATAATATATGACATACTGAAGGGTGAGAATAGATACAGCCTTTATCCTGGAATTTACACGAGCTGCCGAAATCCAATCAATCCCTCCGTACCGATCATTTAAGTACGGTAACATACCCATAGATCAGAATATTCCTACATTGTCGTTGAGTCGAATCTAGGTTAGAAGTGAGACAAATACGAGTGAGTCCGTGTGGACAGTCGCAGATGTGACAAGTGTAGGAATACGGACCCTTTCTTGGGGATGGTTTGGTACCAACGGGTTCCTGCTCCTTCCCCGAGGGAGCAACAATTCTTACCGCAGATGATGAAGGCCTTGCGAAGAAGGCCATCTCTCCCGAAGCCATCCTACGATGAGGAGATGGAGGAGGACGACAAGTCGTCAAAGCAGAGTCAGCGACGCATAGGCCATTATATGTAAGCGCCCATATTAGCCAATGGTACAAACAAACGCCCGTAATACTCGCTACCGCCATCTCCTCTTGTCTCCTAACCACCACCATCTTGACTTGTAACGACCATGTCTTTGGCTAGAGACGCTGCTGCTTTCAAAAATGCCCTTCATAGACAGGACTACTCTTCGTGGCATTCTCAGCCACCGCCTCTGCAGGCACAAGATGCGGCAGCAGCGTCTTCCTCTAAATCCAAGAAGAAACGGCCGAAATCAAGCATGTTTGGCCTCTTGCCGACAGTGTAGCTGTTGCTGATTGTTCAGTGACACAGATGTCGTTTATTCCCAGCCCGCAGATACTGGAACAGGCACGAATGTCAACACACAGTTACTCTACGCCGTGAATTATTTGAAGACTAGCGGCAACCCTACACGATTGCAAGACCTTGCTATCTTGACAGGCATCCCTCTAGATACAGACAAGGTTCTGTTTGAAAAGTTCAGGGCGCATGATCGTGTTGTACATGACCCACGGACGGATCTCTATTCGTACCGAGTTCGTATTTCCGTCGAGGCCACTTTTCATGAAGCTAACCCTCCAGTAGCACGATTTCAATGTGCGAAATAAAGCCGCTCTTCTGACAGAGATTCAGCGGCAGACTCGAAAGGGCGGCGGACTATCGGTGCGCACCCTGAAGGAGAGTTGGAAGGAGGCGCCACAAGCCATCGAAGAGCTTGAAAAGGAGGGAGAGGTGTTTGTTACTCGGACGTTGAAGGATGGTCAGCTGCGGATGGTTTTTTGGAATGAAATCAAGCCCAACGAGGAACAAGGAGGCATGCAAGTCGAAAAGGGTGAGTGGCGTTCAGGTTCGCGTTGGCCAGTCATACTGAAAGTGTCCAAAACGACAGAGTTTCTTGATCTTTGGCACTCACTTGAAGTGCCGAACGATGTCGACCTCTTGAAACAACTCGCGAGCGAGGGTTTGCAAGCAACTGCAGGAGAGACTCTTGTACCGAAAGCGCCAGTTACCAAGAAGAAGGGAAAGAAGTCTGCCCAGAAACAACGTCCCATTCGGCTCACAAACCTGCATCTAAAGGGACAAATAGATCTATCCAGGGATTATTTTCCGCAAGGGAAGTAAGCGTGAGGTCGTTAGACTATGGACTCTTTTCTTGGTACCACACCTATATGCCGGACATTCCTTTTTGTATTTTAGATTGCCGGGCTTATACAGGTGGTAGAATTTTTTTGAATGCTTGACGGCTTGACGACACTATCTGTGGTGGCTGTAAATGTTTCTTACAAGGTTGTACCTTTCTCTCCAATATGCCAGGATAGAACTTGGCTGCCTTATCTGCAGTTTGTTAACAGAAGGTAAGTGATCAATTATCAAAGCTATCTTTATATCCCTTCTAATTGTTCTTAGTCTCCTAATATTGCCAGTGAAACTTTGTACATCTGACCTGTCATCTCTTTCTAAATTCATTGCATTCTTTGAAGAGTCTTTGTAATTGTTCAATGTCATCTTTATCTCAAACAAAGCTTATATCATTGATTGTGGAAGTGAATCACTCTATTACATCATATTTTCGGTACATGTAAAAGATCTTGATTATGATTTCATCTTGGTAGTGCTGATATATACACAAAGAATTCTTAATAAAATGCAGAAAATTGTATCTGCTATAGTACAATATCTTCTCACTTCATTATTTGTTTGCAGATGCTGCTATTTTTCCATGTTACTGTGTTTCTATAGCATTATTAGAATATCTAAAGTGAAATAAAAATAATAGTAATATATTTTCTATAGAGTCACTATTAGATATCTTAACATTCCATTAAAGTCAGATTTTCTTTCTCTTTTTTTTGAGAATGTATATCTTTAGAAAATATAAATATAAAACTTTATACTAAATTGAATATAGAATTCTCAATATAAAATATTCAAATTTACACTATTATATAGGCTAAAAGTAGAGTAATTATTACAATATATTATGCAAAGAGCAGATACTTTATTGTCTCTGCTATCACAGATTTATTCTATTTTAAATAGCCTCTATTTCTATGCTAATTATAATATCTGCATCTAAATTTTGATCAGTGTAAAGCAATATAAAATATAGTAAAAGTAAAAGTAATAAGGTTAGATAATGTTTATTCTGTTAATAGATATATATATATATTAGAGTTATAGCAGAGTTCACAAATAGCTGATATTATATAAATAGAATATTCTATATTATCTTATAATAGATTACACTGCCAAAACTAACAATGAGACTGTATCTATTTCAAATATAAAATGTAATCTAAACTTTATCAAATCTATCTATAAAACAGATGAAATAATACTTATGTTCTATATACAAAATGCCTTTCTCTGCTAGTCTAGAAAATAGCTTTATTCAGTTAACATCAGGATATGTATCAGACAAAGTAACAAGTTTGAGACTAGCTATATTTATAGCCAATAAACTTGACTCAAACTGTTGACAGACTTCTTCATCACCAGATGGCTGATAAAGGTTTATAGTTATAGGCATTCTTGAATACACAGATGAAAGTGATACAGATATAAATGATAATCTTTCTTTATCTGCATGTAGACTTAGATATTACAAGCATAAATTATGCCAAAAATTAATAGCTATTTAAGTAATTAGAATATAATTAGAAAATAAAGATGTGATATGATTCTTACCTTCAGCATTTTCAGGCAAGCTAATATGGCATTTTGCCAATGATGATTCAGAGTTTGACAAAATTTGATTGATTACAGATATATGCTCACTTCTATATTGAGTCAACAAATTGACACTAATATAAAGCTGTTCAAGGCCAGAGATATAACCACTATTTAACAATAACTGCAATAGTGATAGATCTGTGTTTGCCACTTCTAGTGATTTCAAGTTAGGTCTGAACAGCTTTTTGCCTATAGTAGTTGTGACAGTGTTTGAAATTGTAGAGAAAATGTCAATATTACTAAGTATAAGATACTGTAACTTAGAACATGATTGTAAAGCCCTTTGAAGCTGCTTAATTGATATTTTGCTAGTTTCTAGACTCAAAGTATGTATTGGCAGAAGAGCCAGACTTCTGTAGAAGTCTACATGAACAGCAGCAAAAATAATTGACATCTGAAGATGAGTGATATTGTTAAGTCTGAAAGAAAGAAGCAGTGTGGAGTTGCCTGTTAAAAATTTCACAAAAAGGCTTTTCAAATATGCAGAGTATTCCTTATGATGATGTGTATATGTTCTCCATAGCTGCTGAGTAGCTTGTTCAGACCAAGGGTTAATCAGTCTAATATGCCTATAGAGAAAGGGCAATGTATATGAATGCCAGGCATGACAAGTGCAACAACATGCAGCTAAAGTTGGCTGCTATATATGCAGAAAGCATGTCAAAACTTCGCATCTTCAATATCAGAAATGCATATTCAACTCACTCTATGCCAGTCTGCAAAGTCTGCATACACCCAATATATGACCTTGAACTGTATCTCCAAGTGTAGTAATAGAAGCCCCTGCTCTTTTCTACTTTTGAGGCACATGGTCAAAGATTCACGAAATGCAGCACCCAAAGCAATGAGATGAAGTGGGTTGGTTGGAAGAAGAAGGTACACACGGCCGGTTGACCCCATCCCTCTGTATATATACCGTATCGACGACCCTAGGATGCTCGCGATACGTGAACCTTACATGCAATACTGTACATTCACAGCCCTGGAACGAGCTAATTACAGATAGACGGTATTAGGGTTCAGTCAAGCACACTGTCCTCAAAGTGGCACGATGATGCGGCATACTCACAAAGACGCAGGAGAAGGCGTACATGAAACGCAAAGGTGTCTGAAGCCAATGACAATAGATTTAGGGACAGCTGTTCGTGACACCTACGGCCCTCAACGGTGAGATAAACCATACCCAAGTTGATCGGATTCCTATGTAGTATGTGTAGTCATATCCTGTACAAGTGAACCCAAGTACACAGAATCAACGTATACTATATTCCGAAGACAGGGTATGAGAGGGAGAGACAGTGACGGCGAGAATAACCATGGGTTGACGTACGAACAACGTAAGATCCCCCATGTATCGTCACAGCGGAATTCTCACCTCCCTTCAACCTTGTCTGTCCAGCCCTACGACACACGCCTCTATTGCTTTACATGATCACTCGTATTGTCTATGAGACGGGGCATAGGCGAGGATTAGCGAATCGGATGGCCGCAGATGATCGCTTTGATGATCGCTACAAAGGAAAGAGCCGTCGAGCGGGAATAGAATACAGAACATAAAACACAGGCATAAGAACAGAAACGAGGCAAGGACCCCTCATCTGAAAGACACAGAGAAGCATGAAGACATGAGCTCTTGAATGACAGTCAAGGATCGTTCTCGGGATCAGGACGGCTGAGACGGTGCAAAGGCCTTTGCCCCACGAACGCTCCAAAGTCTGCTCGTAACTAACGTCATGGAGAGGTACAATCAACGTCTATGAGTATCCTCGAATATCGTGCAGCTTCGGAGTTCCAGTGGTGTAGTGTAATTGTTGCCGGAACTCCGGCTCTACGCGGTTATTCATGCACAGCACTCAACGCTTTATAGAATCCCATGTCTTCATCCGTCTGAATCTCGTACCACACCTTAAGCGGCATTAGCTCAACACTAATAATTCTGTATAGCTCACACTAAGACACTGAAGAACTTTCAATGGCCAAGACGTCACTTCCACTGCTAGCCCTCCCGCACCCTCTGGTTCTCCTTCCGACTGCAAGGATAACGATTCCAGTGCCCAAATCAACTGGCGAGGCCCTGCTGACGTTGGTTCAGGAATCAGAGAACCAGTCTATCGTTGCTGCGGTACCTATAAGTTCGCCAGATTCCCCTCTGCACTCCTGGGGCACTGCGGCTCGCATAACTCGACTCATCAAGCCGCCTCTCAGGAACCTTAAGCAACCGTACCTCTTGTCGCTCTTAGGTATCACTCGCATACGTGTTCTCGAGAAACAGAATTCTACTTCACCCCGAGGAGATGGCATCTTGGAGTGCGCCGTGGAATACCCGTCTCAGGATGGCACTCCCACAACGGAGAATGTCGTGAAATTTAAGACTGCTGCTCTTAGACTACTCGAGCATCTGGCAAAGGACACTACCCAGCAAGCCAAACGTGATACCTACAACAAGGTAGCTTCTATGTTGGAAGAGGTCACGGAACAGAGGGCTCCGTGGATGGCTGACGTCATGGTCGCCAACATCAACGGAGAGTATGCAGACAAGCTCGGTATGCAGCCTAACTTTGAAATGAATGCATGTTTTCTGGACTAATGTATTCCAGCTTTTCTATCTGCGGTCGATCTGAATGACCGTTTGCAACGTGCAACGACGCTCTTCGTGAAGCAGACTACGATATCTGAAGTCTCACAGAAGATCGCGCAATCAGTAGATGAATCACTGTCGAAGCAACAGAAGGAATTCTTTCTCCGCCAGCAGCTTGTGGCTATTCAGAGAGAACTCGCCAGCTTGCGTCGCTCTAACTCCACTTCGCCCGTGGGCGACGAACAGAGCCCTCGCGCACCATCTGAGCTCGACAATGACGAGCAGGCAGAAATGGAGGACATGGCCGAGATTAGAACGAAGATTGAGGCAATGGCTCAGGGAAGTGAGGAACGGAAGATGGCAGTTAGAGAATGGAGGCGGTTGAAACGTATACCGCCTGGAAGTGTTGAGCATGGTGTTGTCCGCAACTACGTAAGTCATCTCAATAGCATGTCCTTTCTGCCTGTCTGACATTGGTGTAGCTTGAATGGCTTACTGCTGTTCCGTGGCCGGGTTCATCGGGGAACCTATCAACTTCCATGGATGTAATCCGCTCCCGTGACTTCCTACCCAGTGCGCGACGACAACTCGACGCAGACCACTTCGGACTTGAGAAGATCAAGAAACGGCTGATCGAATATCTCGCCGTCGTTCGTCTCAAAGCGCTCCAGGCGGAGGCAGAGCAGAAACGCCAACAGGCTGCCGCTGCCGCGGAGAAACAGGAAGAGCGAATGGCTTCCGCCACGTCGAAGGATGATACAGAACTCTGTAAGGACACCATGGCTTCGCATGTCAATGCTGGATTTCCTGGTGCTGGTGCAACACCATTGCATATACAGAGTCCAACACCTTCTCCGCCTTCTGCACCCCAAACATCCCCTAGCTCTACTCGAAAGAACGTGAAGGGACCGATACTACTGTACGTGCGATAATTAGTCGCTCTTAAGTTTACTCTGGCTGACTATATGCGCATATTTGTTAGGTTTGTTGGACCGCCGGGTACCGGTAAGACCTCACTTGGCCAATCAATTGCCCGTGCGCTCGACAGGCCTTTCCAACGAATATCGCTTGGTGGTGTCCGAGATGAAGCTGAGATTCGAGGACATCGAAGGACTTACGTTGGAAGTGGACCCGGTTTGATTGTCCAAGCTCTCAGGAAGGCGGGTCGTCCTGACCCAGTCATTGTCTTGTATGTGATTCTACCAAGCTTCAAGCTGTTCCCATCTCTAATGGTTATACAGGGATGAGATAGATAAAGTCAGTCATGGTAACTTCCATGGTGACCCGGCAGCCGCTCTACTGGAGGTCCTTGATCCAGAACAAAATCATAGCTTCAACGTACGTATCTACACATTTAACTCTGAAGCACCATATTCATCGTTGTACGGCGTATCATAGGATCATTACGTCAACGTGCCTGTTGACCTCAGCCCAGTCCTGTTCATCTGCACCTCAAACACGCTCGAAACTATCTCCGCCCCACTGTTAGATCGCTGCGAAATCATTCAGCTTAGCGGTAAGCCGGATAATCTCCATGTTTGGATTGTGTGCTGATGCTTATGTAGGTTACACTTATAATGAGAAGATGCACATCGCTCGACGGTTCTTACTCCCAAAGCAACTCACAGCAAATGGTCTAACTTCAGACCATCTCCTTATCACAGAGCCTGCTCTTCTGCAGATCGCGACCTTGTATACTCGTGAAGCCGGCGTTCGATCACTTGATCGCGCCATAGGTGCAGTGGTGCGGTACAAAGCCGTTGAATGGGCAGAACATATCGATGCGAGCTTGAGTGGCGAAGACACTTCCGATTCCGTCATCATCGAAAGTACCCTGTCCAAGAAAGCGCCTCATTACAACAAGGTGGTGGAAGAGCACGATCTTGAGAAGATCCTCGGCATTGCGCGTTGGGACGCCGAAGAGCGAGAACGAGAGGAGCGAAGGGGTCTTGTGTACGGTTTGGTTGTCTCAGGAGTGGGTGAAGGTGGTATTCTCCCTGTAGAGACTGCTGTTGTACCCGGGAGTGGTAGGCTGAAACTGACGGGAAGTTTGGGCGACGTCATCAAAGAGAGCGGGGAATTAGCGTTGAGCTGGGTGAAGACGCATGCATACGAACTTGGCGTCACTAGTTCTAGAAATCAAGACCCTCTCAAGGTGCCCGACCTTATCGATATCCATCTACATCTACCGTCAGGAGCTGTAAAGAAGGACGGACCCTCGGCTGGTATCGCTATGGTAAGTACACTTGATCAGTATTCGGTTTTCATAGCCTTATTCCTGATCCCTTTCTTATTTTCTCAGACTTGTGCGTTCGTTTCGTTACTCACCGGTGCATGTGTTCCAAGCAATGTCGCCATGACGGGAGAGGTAAGCCCTTCGACTTAGCATCAGAGTGCATGACACTCAGTTAGTTCCCGTCCTAGGTAACGCTGCGAGGTCGCGTGGGCCCTGTGGGCGGTATCAAGGAGAAGGTCCTTGGGGCACATCGAGCGCACGTCCAGAAGGTCATTCTTCCATGGGCGAATCGTAAGGATGTCGAACACGACGTTCCACTTGAGATCAGAGCTGCTATGGAGTTCGTTTTTGTTAGGACGATGGAAGAAACCCTTCAAGCGGCTTTCGGCAAAGGTGTTCTCGATTGGAGGGGGAATGTGGTGGTCATGGAGAGTCGTTTGTAAGTTCACACAGCTGCAGGTTGGACTTGGTGGGCGCGTTTCTTGTCGTTCCTTTGCATATCCTTGGACGGATGTTGAATAATTCCTCTGTCACGCTTCTAGCAATACTTTACAACGTACATACACGTTTTTATTCTTTCAACTCCTCATGATGTATCAATCCACAATACAAAGCTCACCGACAGTTTCTGTAATATTATCACATCTCACTATGTAGTCGACATTAGAATAAATTCGAGGGTTGTCGACCCCCGATATCTTCCGAACAACTTTTCCTTTCCTTTAAACACTTCGTTTCCTCCCTTTTGCCATCGGGATGCCGTCTAAATCAGGAGACTCGCCGTTGTCGGTTGTGAAATGGCGACGATTTTACTGGGGATTCCGCCAAGTGGGGAAAGATCGATGCACCTGGGCGAATCACGAGATTGCAGTCTTTCCGTACTATATATACTGGCCCCTCTCCAAGTTTTAACTGATCTATCCTACCTTCTCCGCTCGTAAACGATCTTTCAAATATCACCATGGTTAAAGCTGTTGTACTCGGAGCCGCAGGTATGAATCTCAGTAAGATGTAGAGTAGATCGATCCTGATATTGTACAGGCGGAATTGGCCAGCCTCTGTCTTTGCTTCTCAAGACAAACCCGCTCGTCACTGAGGTACTTATCTCATCCGAAGTTGCGCATATATTGACCGTTTTCTAATATGTGTGCTCTAGTTGGCATTGTACGATATCGTAAACACTCCCGGAGTGGCCGCCGATCTGTCCCATATCGCTACCCCTGCGAAAGTGGAAGGGTTCCTTCCCCCAGATGATGGTCTCAAGAAGGCATTGAAGGGCGCAGACGTTGTAGTCATTCCTGCCGGAGTACCTCGCAAGCCCGGTGTATGTGGTCTTTGTCTCTTTTTTGAAGACTCAGTCTAAGGGAGTTGATTATATGCACTAGATGACGCGAGATGACTTGTTCAAGATCAACGCAGGAATTGTACGCGACTTGGCTACGGGAATTGCTACCACTGCTCCTAAGGCGTTCGTTCTTGTCATCTCCAACCCAGTCAACTCAACCGTTCCTATCGTTGCGGAGGTCTTCAAGAAGCACGGCGTGTTTGACCCTAAGCGGCAAGTCGAGTTTCACTTGCAGTCGCGAATTCCGATCGTTGAACCCGGAATATAGAATCTTCGGTGTCACCACTTTGGACGTTGTACGATCCTCCACATTCGTGTCTGAGATCCTTGGCGATCTCTCGCTTGCACCATCCGTGACTGTCCCAGTTGTCGGCGGACATAGCGGCGTTACTGTACGTTGGCTTGAAGCTTAGCGTATGCACATTGCTTAATCTTGGCTTTATCAGATCATCCCTCTTCTTTCCCAATCTTCTCACCCCCTGCCATCGAACCTCTCCCAAGACAAATTCGAAGCTCTCGTCAAGCGCATTCAATTTGGTGGTGACGAGGTCGTCAAGGCTAAGGATGGTGCTGGCTCCGCTACCTTGTCCATGGCTTATGCTGGTGCCGAGTTCACTGCGAAGATTCTCAGGGCTGTGAAGGGCGAGAAGGGAATCGTCGCGCCCACCTTCGTGAACCTGTCTGCAGACAAGACTAGCGGTGACGCGCTCAAGAAGGAGATTGGTAAGGATCTAGAGTACTTCTCTGCTCCCGTGGAACTTGGCGTACGTATCACCTTCCCATGTTTGTGCTCTTGAGCGTGGCGCTGATAGCAATATAAACCCACTTATAGCCCGAGGGTGTCGTTACTATTCGCCCTCTCGGCAAGCTCTCGGATTACGAGAAGAAACTGGTTGAGGCCGCTATCCCTGAACTGGAGACTAACATTGAGAAGGTATGTCTGCTGCCCATGCTTGTGGTATTGTTTCCGACTTTGCTTTTGTAGGGTGTGTCGTTCATCGGATCATCGAAGTTGTAATTACATAGAGCCTTCAGGGAAATGCAATGCAGAAAGATGTATCAATGGTTGTAACGTATTGACGCTTATAGCTAGTCGTGCTATATATTCGAATTTGTAGTGCCAGTGTCGTATCTTGGTGTGCCCGTCGTCGGACCTGTCGTAGTTTGCAAGAAAAGGCTGAGCATGATTCATTCGGAGATTGAATTTCTGAATCCTACTTTTGAAATCTGTAGCGGTGGGCGCTACAACGTACCGGATTAGGCAGTCTAACGGAGATTTACGGCCGGATTTTGGTTAATCCACTTTTAGGATCTTTTATCTACGGAAATCTGTTCTTGTCCGCAGCTATTCCGCAGCACTTAGACTAGTATTTAAGTAGCTTGTTTCGTAGCTGTAGATTCCTTAGCTTACACCGAAGAATCAGTCTTATAACCTGTCCCTTTTGGTGTGACTCTTCTCTCCCGTGTGACGCGAGTGTTCCCTCTACGGTCACCAGCGTCACAAAATCCTTCCGTATTACGTAAATGTCCTTAGTGCTTGGGGAGTAGTCAGAGCCTCAACGTCGTCAACGACGTATTCAACGACGTCGAGCCTCTTCTTCACGATAATTACGACCCTATCAACGATTTAGCTCGCTGGTTCATATATCTGGTCCCGGAACCATTGATACTCAGATACCCTGAGTGCAAACTTGTCATGTGTTTCTAGCTTGGCTTTTCCTTGAATCTCGTGGAAACCTCTGCGAAATACAACGATGGAAGACCTGAACGACCACGTCGCCAAGTCTACGAAGAACGCGCCAGATGAGGTCCCAGATAGTTCTCATATCTCTACGCCAACTGCTTCGATTGCTGTGATATCCTCTGCACCTGTTGCTTCAAGTTCAAAAGACACCTCGATTTGCTACAAAGCGACTGAAGCGATGGACGAATTCTCGGCTTCGTTGGCTTCGATGATGGATTCTAGATTGTCTTTGTCGGATTCAGATCCTTCTGACCCTCAGAAGGCATCGATCGCAGCCGAGACGAATAACGGCCAGTTTCTCCTTCCCCTCCCTACACCTTCTGTAAATCGCTCTCGAACGTCATTCTCTCTTCAAGACACGGAGGATCGTCTTGTTAGTCTGGACTCTCTACCACCAGAGGTCGCGTCCGCAGATATTTCAATCGCAAGTGAGTCTTTCACAATCACTTCATTTGTTCTGACTCACAGGGCATGTGATATAGCTGACGGCAGTTTCGTGGAGACATCATCTGGTGCTGCGGCACGAGAGCTCAAACGTCGGTACGATCAACTGCTAGGCGTTGGCAAGGACGTTCGTTCGCCATATGTTATTACTGCTATTGTAAACCAATACGGTAAACAAATGTATCGCGTAGGGTGAGCATTCTTGGTGTTATTTGTTATAATGTTTGATACTCAAAGTTGTCTCAGTCACCGTGATTTAACTACGCCACACGTTGCAGACGATGTCAATGTCCCTTCCACGAGAGCAAAGTCGACATCGTTCTCTACAACCGCGTCTGCACATCCTCATCACGCTTCTCACACATCAAAGCGTCGCTCTCGCATGAGCGTGCACTCATTCCTCCCGCCTGTGGTGTTCAAGAACGGGAGTGCTCCCTCTTCTCACGCACCGAAGCCGCATGTTGAGGATGGAAGCCGGTCGCCACCAACACGGAAGCTGAGAAAGACTCGTTCGATACCGAATATGTCTGGCGCCGAAGCACCGAAGCCACCTCCAGAGAAACCTTCCACACCTACCGGCCGTCCTCATGCCCATAGCGTGTCAAGCGCAGACGCTTATCGCGGACCTCTTCCACCGCCGCCGGCAACTCCTCACATACCCAAGACGCCGTATCACGATGCCTTCTCCGAGGCCTTGTGGTGGGACTGTGATCCCCCGTCGCCATACGGTTCACGTTCTGCAAGATCCTCTTCACGACCTCCTCACGACCCTGCCAATGAATCAAGCCCTGGTGGTGTCCACAACCCATTTGGACCTGGTGTCACGTTCGATTCGCCTGCATGGCCATCTACCTCGTGCTTGACATCACCCCCTGTTTTGCGGGAGATGCAGTCTTTTGACTCTGGATTGACTGCGCGTGCCGATCCTCAACCTCGAGGATCGCGCTTTGGCAAGCTGCGTACTCGTCAATCGGACGAGTTGTTTCCACAGATGGATTCACCATCGCCTGGACCAAGTCCTATACAACCAGAACCGCCCCAGTTTACTGCACCGTCTGAATTCAGTATGGTATCGCGCTACTCTACCGAACTCTTTGATATCCTGCAGAATTCACGTGGACTGCCCTCTCTGGACAAGATATCACCAAACTCGAACGAAAAGACAATCAGGCTCTCGCTGAAGGCGGACGAGACCGCCGCGCCTCGCGATGATCCTCGCTTTGTCATTTGGGGAGAACTAGAAGCAGACGAGGTGGACAGCCGCTCAGTTTCTCGCGGTAGCATCACCGAATTTTCTTCAGGTCGCTCAGGCGTTTCTCGTCGTAAGAGCGGGAAGAGACACACCGTCGCCATACCAGACACTCCTGTCGTTCGGGTTCCGTCTAATGAAAGCCCAAGGAAAGTGTTGATCGCAGCTACAATCGAACGGTGGATCGCACAGTTAACGAGCGAGTTGAATTATGATGAACTCCTAATATTCTTCTTGACATATCGAACCTATATCTCTGCTGTGGATCTGGGACATTTGCTGATCTGCAGATTCCATTGGGCTTTGGCTCAACCTACGTCTCCTCATGATGAAATGGTACGGCGAATCGTTCGCGTTAGGACATTCATCGCGATACGCTATTGGCTGTTGACCTTCTTCAGCGTTGATTTCATGCCTAATCGAGAATTACGACTACTGTTCGCGGATTGGTTGAATTCTCTGAAGAAGGATCCCGTGCTCACGAGGCACAAGGATGCTGTTGTAGGTTTAGCGATCGCACGTTTCAGAGTTCCTCATTGACCATTTTGCAAATCTAGAGTATTGTTCGCAAACTACGCAAAGTTGTCCTTGACTGCAAAGACGCTCATACCAGGAAGCAAAGGGTCGACGGTCGATCATCGACGGATAAGTCAAAGGTCAATCCCAATCCCGTCCTTGGAGATCTTTCAAATGGGCATTTCGCCGAATCCCTCAGAAAGGCCGTTTCCAAGGAGGAAGATGAAGAGCCTGACATTGATCTTGACTTCGATGGCGCAGGGTCTACAGACCCGCAAGACTTCCGCCTAGGTGCCGCACCGTCGAAGAATCCTACTACAGCTGTCGATCTCGCCATGTTGCGCCAGCCGTTACATCTCGTCTTCCTACAGCACAATAAACAGGCAACTCCTACGTCGCCTGTCTCTCCTCCGGTTCTGGGCCCTGGTCCATTACCAGTCACTCATAGCACGCTATCTCGTGTCCTCGTGAGCACGATGGGTAGACTTGGTCGATGGAAGCGAGTGCTTCATTCGCGTTCTCCTGTCCGTGCCCCGATGGGTACTTCGCTCGACGTCTCAGCATTCGACGTAGAAGCCAGTGAATCAGGCGATCTACTACAAGTGAAGGGAGGTGTTGAACAGTACTTGAAGATGGTCGAGGATCAAATAGCCCAGGCATCAGCTCTCCTACGCCAACCTACACCTGTCCCACCTCCGCCTCCGCCGGTTCTTCCTCCTGACGTACCTCAAGTTCCACCCGCTGTTGAGATGATACCTGATTTGGCCCAACCAAGTGATTCTGATACGTCCGATGGCATGGTTGAAGAGCTAGAGCCTGTCACAGAAGCAAGTGAGGAGGACGCAGGTGCTCGTCCTCCCCCGAAGGATGGAACACCTGATGCTCTTGACACGCCTGAATTGTCTCGCACCGACACGTCCTTGGATTCGTCGGTGCAGTCGGATTTCCTGACTTCCGACGAGTCCGTGAGCTCTTCTTTAGTTCGTCATCCGTTGGGACTAGATGTGGACATCATCTCGATAGACGATCTTTCGGACTTATCGTCCGATGAGCAAGTGGACCCCTCCCGCCCACCTGGTTTGAAGAAACCACTACGTCGGCTTCCCAATCGTCGCGATTTTGAGTTCGTTCGCCATTCAGTTGATTCAGTCTCCTCTATGGGAATTCAATCCCGGGATTCCGTCCTGTCTGCGGGCTCAAGCTCCGTTATCTCATCAGTAGGTGAAGAATTGGGAAGCACTATTCAGCAGTGGCAAGTGACCGCTTTGGTGGATTCGCTGAGTGATGAAGAGGAAGAAGGAAATGTGGAGGCTGCTCTTCGCCGTCTGGAAGGCCAGATCAGTCAGGATAAGCAACGCGCTAAGAAGTCCAAGGTAGATGGGTGGGTGCAGTCTATGAGAGAACGTCTTGCGGCGGGCCAGTTTGGTACAGCTCGATCCCGCGATTCTTCTGATGAAGAGGATTATGGAGAGGTTCAGACTAGTTTGGACAGGCCGTCGAGCCCGAACAGCGTGTCCCAGCGATCTGCTTACGCGAGTCGACGAAGTTCTGTTAGTTACATTGGTTCTCCCCTCAGTCATACGGCACCTGCACTAGACACTGCCACGCATAACAACGTTCCGCATCCACATGTTGTTGCAGGTCCTGACGCCAAGCCCGCGGTGGAAGATGCTGTCCCGATGGAAATCCTACAGAGTCGAGTGCCATCAAGACCAGGTACATCTGCGGGATCGCCGCCGACTCGTCACACGAACGGCCTCAGTATCACCCAGCCACCTAGCAAATTCATCTCAGAGAAGCATCGTTGGCACCGTTCCTTCGTGACAGAGTTTAGCTCGGAATTGTTGATACAACACTTCTCCATGATTGATCGAGAATTGTTCCTTAGTTTGAAGTTCGAAGAGTTGGTTGCGCAAGACTGGATGGCACCTAGCGAAGATACCAATATCCTTGATTGGGCGGAATTCCTCAGAGAGCGAGCAAGGCTGCGAGCAGAAGGACGCATCGGTCAGAAGACGACTGCCTTGACGCTAGTTCGGGGACGATTTAACCTTGTTGCCAACTTCGTACAATCGGAGATTGTTTTGACGCATCCAAGCCAAAGGGCGACGGTGTACGGCAAATTTGTACGCATGGCATGGGTGCGTATCATTTACCACAATGAAGAGATTTGATATTGACGTTGCTTAACAGAAATCTTACCTCTTGATGAATTTCAATATGCTCGTGGCCATCATAGCTGGATTACGCGGTGAGTGGGTAAGGAAAGCCATGAAACAAGGTCCAAACCGTCTGGGCATCTGGGAAACTCGAATGCTGCAGGACTTGATCGTTTGGACAACCTCGGAGGGACATTTCAAGCATATACGACATACTGTGGACGCACTCGCTGAAGCTAAGACTATATCCGGGTATCAGGACTGTTCAAATTCTAGTACGGATGGGCAATCGTCTTCCAGGAGTAGAGCGACATCAGACGGGAAGCCTCCACCTCCATCAGCGTGTGTTCCATTTTTGGGTATGTCTTTTATCGATCATCTTGTTTGGATATATTCTGACTTGTATTCAGGCATCTATCTCTCTTACCTACGCCAGTATAACGCTCTGCCTGATCTGATTGATCCAACAGCTCCCAATGAGCCCGTGGCAATCAACTCGATAACCAATACCTTCGAATCTCCAGCACATCCTGAAGTCTTTTCCAGTCTAGCTCCTCTTCCACCATCGGTTCAGCTAGAACCTTTGATTAATGTACACAAGCAACGTCTTATCGCCGACGTTATCAAGTCGCTTACTGCTGGACAACACTTGGCGTCGCGTGTACAGTTTGCTCTTGACAAGAAGCTGTTCCAGAAGTGTCTGAAGCTGCGCGGACTTGACTCAGATACCTTACAACGGGCGCTCGCTCTCTATCCTGAGAGACCTTAAATGGTTTATTTGTTCCATGATTTCATGTATATGTGTCTCCTGCTCCTTTTCGGGTTCTGGCTTGTTCATGGGGTGTAGAAGTTTGTTCTTGTAGGTTATTCATGTCGTCTTGGCTTGCTACAGTGGGGCTCTGTGAAACTTGAATAGACTTAACATCACTATGTGTAACTGGAATTTCTACCATTGAGTCGGGTGATAAAAAGTTGGGAGCCATATATACAGTATGTCCGTCTTGCGACTTTCATTGTACTTACGATAGAAAGCTGATCTATTGGGCCTTTACGATCAGATAGCAATAAGTGACCGGGCTCATTGCATTGAATGGCAGGCATGCTCGTTTCCCCGCCTGGGCAGAGCGGTAAGTATTCGCGTTGATATCCAAAGGATGGATGTTCTGGCGTACCATTGCCATGTAAAATGGGAACCGAAATCTGCAGCATGCTATTACAATACCATGGTAAGAAGATGGCGCTTCTCTGGGTCTTCTCTGTTAGAATGACCCAGTGCCTTCAGTGTTCGAGATAGGGCTCCCGATCTTCTTGGATTCTGCGTAATGTTCCAATGTTTTCTTACGCCACTGCTCTTCATCCGGCCTTAGACCTCCAGGGAAGAATATAGGGATCAACGAGATCCCAACATATCTCTCACGCTCTTCTGCACGTTTCAGGGCTTGGAAGACTTTCCTTTCCGCAATCACTCCATCCACCTCTCTCTCCAGGCGAATTCCTGTTGTACTAGGTGCTCTTCGAATACCAGCTGCGACGCCGTTGTAGAACATACCCAGGCTCTTAATCGCGAACAAAAACCACAGGTTGTTTTGCAACCCAGCAATAGTCAGAAGTAACAAGAGTTGGCAGATGAATAGCACCATCATAATTGCCAAGGTCCCAAAGGTCGGAACGCCGCCTGGGTCTGCTAACGCTAGGTCCTCCAAGCGAAAATGTCCTCTCCCTTCGCTAATAATCACAAGTACCTCACTATATCCATTGCCTCGAGTGAGACATATCACAGCTCTATCCGTCTCGTTTTGTAGGGTGCGGCATGACCACTTTTCTTTCCTCCATTTTGGCAATGCACCAGTGAACAGTGACAACACAGTGCCGGCCACCGTGACGATAAATACGTTCCAGTCCTCAAAGAGGGTGATCGGTATGACAGATATTCCTAGTTGGATGAATATTACAGCTATTCCACTGCAATAAACCCAGTCCATGCTGGGAATCCCTTGGTATCTGAGCGATGCCTTGTAGAAAGTTAGGGTCAAGCCAGGCTTGGTGGAATCCGTCTCATGATCCCTAACCAATCGTCCAAGAATCCATGACCTATTCCGCCGACTGGTCTGCGTAGTAGCATCTACCAAAATGCATTGACAGTCTGCAGGCGGCATGAGTCGCCCCTCTCCTATGACGGTGCCGACGGCGTTCAGTGCATACCCCAGCCAGCCGAAGGACAATGCAACTGGTGTGAAATAACATGGATTTCCAGCCAGTTGTGCAATAGCACGTTGCACAACATCCACGCCGATGACGGTGAGTATGGATAAGATATTTGTTGGGTTCAGCCATTGTGCCTTTACTGAATCAAGTTGTGATCTCGACTCAAGGAGGCGAGTGATGGTGTTTCCGTAAGAGTAAAGGAGCGACCGATATAGCTTTAGAGGCATCGTGGAAGGATACTAGGAAAGTACCTCGATGTAAATTGCAGGGAGGGTTTCTTGTATCCAATAAGTTCGGATTCTTCCGATGCTCTAAGCTTAAGTTCGCTGCGTACCTGTTCACGAAACGTACCACATTGAAGACACGTGTTTGTCTTCTGCTTCCCAGTGCGACTGAAGAAGTATGGCCGGATGACCCTGTATTAAGATAGTGAAGCAAATCACTCGGAAATGCCATGGGAGACGCCGCCATAACCAAGTAACTTCTGTCAAATAGTCAAACTTGTTATCAGCAGAGAACGGCGTCCTTAGAGTCCATAAATATACTAACACATCATTACAAGTTTGATTTCTTCCGATGATCATGCTTCTGAATGCGGTGCGGATGCGTCTGCAATCGCCAGCATCGATCCTCCACGAACGACCAGAAGATTATAATGCTGAAACCAGGAGCTTGGAGCTACGGGGACACAACTCAACAAAACACGCACCCGACAGCGAGAAACGTCTTGGTTGAGAACGGACTTCATTGGCACTTTGATATGCTCGAATCCTGGCAGTTTTGTCGTCACTCGAAGTCGTTCACGACTCTCTTAGCACTTGATCGCGCAATTAGTGTTTAGAAGGTCAGGAACCTCGGGGTGACCAGGATCATAATGATATTTGGAATCATTATTATTTGGTACTACCTCCTGAATGCACAACGAACAAATCGAAACAGTAACCCACTTAGACGTCATTGCCAATGTTGTTTACAACCTCTGTTGATTCTAAGTCTAACGACGTGTAAGCCTGCCTGGTAAAACGATCTCCAGGTAAACGCGAGCCCTGGAACAAAATATGACGATCGAAAGGACAATTGATGTCCATGGATAACTTGAACTAAAAATTGAATAATTCCGGTGTTGATGGGTATCATTTGCAAGGAATGAGGAAGGGGTATGGATAGTCGCAACATCCTCGCTGAAATCATGGAACCACCGGGGACTCGTCCCGTGCTGAAGGTGCTGAAGTGAGCTCAGGCGTAGGTGCCCGAGTTGATCTGGGAGGGCTGTCGGACACAAGCGTACTAGCAGCCTGCGACCCTTTGTCACTCCCCGAGTTGCCACCTGGCTGAGCACGCTCAGTGATTTCCTGTCTATCTGGATTCTCATGTGCTGGGATGTCTTCGCTGTTTAATTTCTCGTGTTCCGTGTTATCCGGCATCCCAGTTTCTGGTTGTCCCTCGCCACCCTTCGTTTCATCCGCCGTGCCTTCCTGGCTATCCAAACCCTTGTGTTCTGCGACCTCTCGGCTGTGCAGCTTTGTATTTTCCTCGTTATGCGCCGTCTCATGCTCTACAACTTCCCTGCCATCGAGCTCTGCAATGCCCTCGCAATACAGCATCTCATGCTCTGCGGCTGCCCCACGATCCGGCTTATCATCCGTTTTGATTTTCTCACTATCCGGCTTCGCATACTCTGCAAGTCTTTTGTCTCTCCACCGTTTTTCGTTTCTTCTTAACCCGCCGGGGAAAAACACGGGCAAAAGCGACAGCCCAACGTGCCTCTCAATCTTCTCCGCCTTTACAAGAGTGCTAAAAACTTTCGTGTCATGTACAACATTGTTGTCTGTGAGAGGTATGAGGTGAATCCCTGATGAAGACGGTGACCTGCGCAGGCCTGCTGCAAGGCCGTTTTGAAGCATGCCCAGACTTCCAATGGCGAACATGTACCAGGCATGGTTCTGTAGGCCCGCAACCGTCAACAGGAGTGCTATCCACAATACGAATAAGACGGAGGTCACAATAACAATGAAGCGTGGGTGGGGGTGGCGTGGAGCGGCAAGATCCTCGAGTCGTAATTGGCCTTCGCCTTCGCTGACGATGACAACGACATCCTTGAAACCATTGCCTCTTGTGATACAAACAACCTCTTTGTCGCCTGGTCTCAGCCTGCGGCATACCCATTTCTCATTCCTCCACTGAGGTAATGCGCCACCCAATAATGCCAGGACTGTGCCTCCGACAGTGATAATAAGTGTATTCCAGTCGTGGTCGACAGCGCCGGGTATGACAGCGATACCTAGTTGAATTATCATGGTGGCGATTCCGGTATAATACACCCAATCACAAGTGGGTACCCCCGGACGCTTCGTGATGTCGGTCTTGAAAAGTGATATAGTGAGGGCATGGTCCGGCGAACGAGCTGAATGGTCTCGAATGAGGCGACCTAAGACCCACGAGTCGTTTCTTCTAGCGTATCCACTTTTTGCATTCACAAGAATGCAGCTGCAATCGGGATCAGGCATAAGACTCCCTTCCCCGATTGCTAAGAGAACGGCGTTCAGCGAATATCCAACCCAACCGAACGAGAATGCTACGGGCGTAAAACAGGAGGGATGACCGGCTAATTGTGCAACTGCCCGTTGGACGATTTCCCCGCCAATGATCATGAGGATGGAAAGGATATCATTTGGGTTCTGCCATTGCGATCTCACAGGATCGAATGCTGATCTCCGAAAGAGGACGCTATTTAAGCTGGAGCTCATGGCTTGAGGGTCGCAAGATAAGGATTGGTACAACGGTGGCATTGGGAAGCTGCTCTGACTGGTAACGTTTCGGTCGAGGGAAAGGTTCACGATTACATCGATAAAGAACCAATATGTACGAAGATACGCATGATATCAGTTAGTTCAACAAATATGTAAAGAATGTTCTCAGTACATACCTCAGGTGCGAGTTGCGCGCGAAGAACAAATGTGGTGCGTAAACAAAGCGGACTGGGTATCATCCGTAGACTCTTAAGAACCTTCTCTCTAAAAGGTAAACCGTTGGGTGTTGGGATAACCGACAAATTGTCAGCACAACAGACGGCCTTGGAAACCGTGTATGTGGGATCAACGTGATGCTATGTGAACATTGACAGACTTCTGACAGCACGGCTTCTATCAAATATCTGTCAGAGTCTGGGCATTTATGCAAACACCGCGCATAGGCACCTATAAATACCGGTAGCGGTGATCAGTTGATATTCTAAAATGGAATATGGACAAAGTCGATGCATCGATCTTCAAATAAGGGGGTTATGGCGCGGATATGAAAGCATCTTGGGCGCCCAAATAGAAGCCTGAGAGACCACAGACCACCTACCTTCATTGACAGCCATTCCAGAACTACGTTCTCTGCCTCAGGATATTCTAACCACCATGGTTGTCTTACTCAAAAGCCGCCACTCATCGGTCCTCAGCAGTTGATCATGCAACCCGTAGGAGGAAGTTGTACAGGAGAAAATCTGACAAGAAACCGCCCTACTACAACTTGCACGAATGGTTGAGATCTGGCATACAAAGGGTGGGCACTATGCATTGTGCCTAGCGACTGATCGATGACATCCACGAAAGTAGAAGGCATGGCCGCAATCATAGCCATTGTCACTTGCGCGTCCTGGTGAACGACGAAGCACGGACTTGAGTTTGCAACATATACTGCTAGCGAGCGCTGAGGCTGGACAAATTTATCCACAAGGAGATACGAAGCAAGGCAGTGGGAGATGCTGACAAGAATAACTGTGAGCGTGCCACATGTCCGCCTTAAAGCACATCTCTCGCAGGTTTCTGACTACAGAGTATTTGGGTGATCCAGTGGTAAGCTCTGCTCCTAGATGCACCTGGAACGTAAGTTGGGGATATTTGCAACCGCCGTTCACATGATAACTCACTTGAAACCTGAAGAAATCAATCGTATGATCAAAGCCGCCATGGTATAGAGATGAGACTTCGAATGAACAGTAGAGTCAAATAGTGTCCAAGATGAGCTAACTTCTGGCGGAGGATATTGAGGGATGCTGAAGGGGGGAGGTACGAATACGAATAGAACACTAGTTGCGCAGACATCACTGGGCCTTAGAATCGCCCAGTGACGGTACCGGTGCTGTTGAATTGGGCGCGGATGCCACAGTCACACTGGCGGCACCGTTGGACAAAAGCGAAACGGCCTTCGATAGTTTCGCTTTCTCGCTATCCAATTTCTCATACTCTGCGAGCCTCTCCTCTCTCCACTGTTCCTCCCGCTTTCGCAATCCTCCGGGAAAGAAAATTGGCAAAAGCGATAACCCAACATGCCGCTCAGCCTGCTCCGCTTTCACCAGAGTCTCGAAGACCTTGCTGTCATGTATGATATTTTTCTCCCTAAGATGGATACCAGAGGAAGGTGGCGATCTACGAGCACCTGCTGCAAGGCCATTCTGGAACATACCCAGACTCCCGATAGCAAGCATGTACCAGGCATGACTCTGTAGTCCCGCAACCGTCAGGAGCAGTGCTATCTGTAACACGAATAAGACAGAGGCGGCAAGCATGGTGAATCGGTCGCGAGAGTCTCGTGGAGTGGCAAGATCCTCCAGTCGCAATTGGCCTTGACCTTGGCTGACAATAACGATGACATCCTTGAAACCATTGCCTCTTGTGAGACAAACAACCTTTCGGTCGTCAGAGTCTAGTCTACGACATGCCCATTTTTCATTCCTCCACTGAGGTAATGCACCCCCTGCTAATGCCAGCAGCGTGCCCCCGGCAGTGATGATAAGCGTATTCCAGTCGTGGTTGACAGCACCAGGTATGACAGCAATACCTAGCTGGATTATGATCGTGGCGATTCCGGTATAATATACCCAGTCACGCGACGGCACTCCCGGGGGTTTCGTCATGTCGATATCGTAGAAGGAGATGGTAAGGCCGTTATCAGGCGTGGAAGGGACTGAATGGTCTCGCACGAGACGGCCTAAAATCCACGAGCGGTTTTCTTTGACGTATCCACTTTTCGCATTCATAAGAATGCAATCGCAGTCGGGATCAGGCATAAGACGACCTTCGCCGATAGCTGACAGAACAGCGTTGAGGGAATACCCAACCCAACCGAAGGAGAAAGCCACAGGTGTAAAACCGGAGGGATGACCGGCCAATTGCGCCACTGCTCGTTGGACGATATCGCCACCGACAATTGTGAGAATAGATAGGATATCGTTTGGGTTCTCCCATTGCGATTTCACGGGATCGAACTCTGACCTCCGAGAAAACATGCGACTAAAAACGGGGGGTAAGGATTCGAACAATGGTGGCATTGAGATGTGCTTGGGTTTGCAGTGCTTTGGTTTATGTGAGGCCGCCGCTGATGATGACGCAGGTACGACGGGATCAGCAATTACTCCAAACCTCAAAGCGACCCGACAGTAGAGTTAATGGTTGGCCTTCGAAAGCCTTCCCGTTTCTAAGGGTGACCCATCAAACTGTGTCAGTAAAATACCTGGGCCGTGTAATTTCCCAGGATTGCCATATATACGGCGCCAGTCGCTACGGGGTTAAGAATGACGCATGCAAGTCCTTTATATAGCGCAAGCATCATGGTCTGAGATCAATAAGTGGATTGAGAGAGTAAGAAAGTTATCATCAAGTAGGAATGTGTTGTGCCATTTCAGGCTGCCAAGCGGGCCAAAGCAGAAGTCAAAGGGCGCCAATGCTTGACAAGCGCTGTTCAGCGAGGCTGCAGAAAGTTACTTTTCGGGGTCACTTAGGACACTTACTGCCGTAGTAGTCTAACAGGGCTAACGTAGACGCGCTGTTATCAACGTAGATATTTCGTTCCTCGATCACTTGCTTCACTTCGCTCTCCTTCCACCTTTGCTCGACGTTCGTCGTATCGTGCTCGTTATTCGCCGTTGTATCCCCATCTCTGCTACATCTTCCCCCTCCTAGCTCTCTAACTCTCATCGACGCTCGTCAAGGCTGCACTCCCAGTAAGGTTCTCTTCGTCTACGTAGCATCCACATTCGTAACCAGACACCAAGTCTAATCCCTCCCTCGCTTGCTTTGGCTCGCGGCATCATACCGCTGCCAGTGTCTTCTGTGGTATGGTCACATAGGCCTCATAGTCATATGCTTAAAGTTGTATGCTCAATGCGGGCGATGCCTACCCGGTCGGTGCCCGTCTATACGAATCGGTATTCGAGGTCCACCGTTCGTTCGTCACCGGGTGGGTGCCTTCGGACCTGCCTGCTATCAGGTCTCGAGACTTCAAAGCTAAAATGGTCTCTTCGTTGTCCATTCATCCACCCATTTGTGTGTTTGACTGCCTACACCGTGATATGACCATGTTCATGTGCGCACACGTTTCTTATTTGAATCTTCACTACTGATAACACATTCTTATCATCGTTTGCCTAGTGGTTCGTAGCCTCTGCGACATGCACTTCACAGGTGATGGACACTAGGCGGGATATGTAATGTTCTGACTCTTAGTGGGATGGATTGACATATATGTTTGGTAGAGGTGTATGTTCCGTAGGAGATCATGGTCTTGGATGCAAGGGGGGAGCAATCTGGGTTCAGATGGTATATACATGGGTATGTATTCACCTCTTAGGAATCACTGATGTAACACGGCTGTTCTATATAAGCTGTATAGGTCTAGTAGGTTGCGAATGAATATGCCTGATGCATGCAGAGCCGTATACAAGCATAGGCGGAGGTCAAGTAAGTTCAAGTGAAGGATAAGTGAGCCCAAGTGAATGTAAGCGAGTTTAGTATGGGCAAGTGAGACTTAAGTGAGCAAGTTCACGTTAAGTGAACTTGCTCACTTAGATGCCTAAACGGCTCACTTATGCACTGCGACGCTCACTTGGCTCTAACTTATGTTTGCTTAGATCCTCGGATCGCCGCTTCTGCATCACTGACGGCCTATTGAATATGCGCTAACGTACTATGGTAACTAAACTGACTGCAGTCTACTTTATTCTACCTTTTACTACAATCCCTTCACTTCCGACTAACTCCCAGTTGTTGGATGCGCGAGCTCCGACGCAGTTGGTTTGCAGTTGACTCGGCATCATTGTTCACTGCTACAGGCTTCGAGTCTGCTTTGCGTTGAGTCTCTTTGGCTTTGCTCGGAGCTTGAACCCCTTTCTGCGCCGCAGTTGGCTTTCGAGTTGGAGCTTTTGGCTTAACTGTCCGCCTGCTGGTAAGTTGATCCTGACTCTTCGCAACCGTCTGTTTCCTGATTCTGCTTGTCATGCCAGCTATTCGTGATTGCGACCAAACATACTCAGCTTTGTCTTCATCTAGAGTTTCGACATATGCCAGAGTGCCATGGGTCCACCGTAACTCGAGGTCATTAGAGATTTTGCACACTGTCACCAGCGGTACAATGTCGGTAATATCATCTTCGCTTTCTGAGATGCCTTCCATCGCGGCGAGGACATACTCGGGAATTGTTGGGTGTCGTCGAATCCGATACTGTTGCTTGTAAACCAGCTCGCCACTCTCCTCGTCAACTCCCTTCTCACCAATGACTATTCTGCAGATCTCTGCGTCATCTTCAGGCTTCCGCTCCAGGTATTCCCTTGTGATCACCAGGTGAAAGAGTAGCTTAGCAGGGCCGAAGACAAGTGTGTCTGGTTCCATGGCTTGCACCTTTGACCTTGTAAGCTGCAAGAGCAACCTCTCAAGAAAAGGATCAACAAGACAACTGTCTCCAGGAAGAACTGGTAGTCTGTACTTCTGCCCAAAATCTGAGACAAATTCCACCTTGTTTCCTCCCTTCCTCTTTCCAATACTACTCATAAACAGCTCCATCACTGGATGGGAGAAGACTGGAGATGTTATGATTTCAACAATAGAGTCATAGGCATCTTCCAGAGCTTGTGTGAGTGCAGTATTTTTGTAACCATGGCGGATAGTAGCCTCATCACAGAGTTGAGCAGGCCATTTAATATGTGCACATTTCTAGGAGGGTATGGTTACTTGGTTTATGCATATAAGTAAACTAATCACCTACCTGCCCTACAGGACCAAGGAGTGCCTGATGAGCCAGTATTCCTGCACACTTGTGAATTGGAATTTGGGAGGTAGTCTTTGTGGGTCTTTCTCCCTGAAGGTACAAGTTTCCATAGTACCAATCAAGAATTGCATACTGGCCATCTTGCTGTACAATTCTTGCAGGATAAACATGACTGCCATTAGATTTGGTTTTAAAGGCCCCAAATTTTCCAATGCTATATGAACAGTCAAATATATAGGCATAGATATTGTAAATAGAAAAAAAAACTCACAGCATGTCATGCCACATTGGTGAACCTTTACAAATAGGACAAGTCCACATTGCTCTTTGATCATTCCAGTTATCAGGAAGCTTAAAGTGCTCTTTGATGCATGTGATATGAAACCAGTGCTGGCAAATATCACAGTGCATGACCTCAGATTTTTCTTTGCCATCATGAAGACAGCCTGGTATACACTCCACAATAGATTTAGAGCTGTCTCTGGAGCTTGAATTCCAAGACTTGCAACTCTTGTCACTTGCATGATCTAAATCTATAAGCTGATCAGATATATCTTCACCTCCTTCAAGTGAAGTATGTTTCTCAGTAGCATTCTCCTCAGCAGTCTTGAAGTCAAGTAATGACTGGAATGTATGTTCAGAGCCTTTCTCAAGTGAACTGATATATCTCTCAATCCACTAAATTCAAGATAAGTATAGGGTATATAATATAGTAATATAACACTTACTGAATGCTCTGTAATGCGATGGTATATCAAGAGACAAGCCATATGGGATGGCTCCTCTATAAGAGAGATAGGACCAATATCCTGCAAGACTCCATTGTTTGACATACTGTCATAGGAGAAAGTCCTATCTCCAATAACAAATTGAGCTGTATAGTGATTGCTTGAGGGACCATTTCGTCTGTGAAATAGCAGACGTCCAACTAGTCGATAAGTGACTTGAGCTTCTTCTGCTGCACCAGTGTTTTGAGATAAAATATTGAACTGAACAATAGCCTGAACTGATGTCTTTGCTGAAAACTTGGACTTGGTCATGCCTGCTGTCTCTGGAACCAGATGAAGAGTCTGAGGCCATAAGGTGCGAATAGAATGAATAGAGGTCTGAGATGAACATTCTGGCTTGCCACATTGAAGATTGAATAGAGTTCGAAGATCTTCTCCATCATGTTGTCGACCTAAGCTTGTTGACTGTCGTGGAACAAACCAGTCAAAGTAGTGCTCCAAGGTTGGCTGCTCTATGTTTGCATTCTTTATTGCCAGAAGAGTGTCATCATTTCGCAAGCGCAAAACAGTGACTGGTGGTGTGGAAAGAGTGCTTTGATGACCATGAGGACACTTGTGAATGACTAGATGCTGCATTGCAAAATAGCTCTGCAAAATGCCCATATTATCCTACATATAGTAGTATTTAATTTAGCACTTGCATACTATATAAGAAGAAATATCATACCTTTGTATTCAAATCTTTTAAAGTATGAGTCATCCACTCAACTGTATCACCAGGAGAATTCTCTGGATAGAGCTTCCAAATAGAGTAGATAGAGTTTCTTGCAAATGCTTGTGTACCACTCAAGATTCTTAATCCATCTGCCTCTTCTGATCCCTTGCTGCGCAATTTTTGAATCCAGAGAAGTCGCTGATGAAAGTCATTGAAGATGCGGCTGATTAATGGTGAAGTAGGCAAGGCATCAAGCAAGGCCTCCTGAGTGGTATTGGACCAGTGAATGAATGATCGAAACCAGACTTCTAAACCAACATCAATGAAGCAAGAGTTTTGATACCACTGATATCCTTGCATACTGCGTGATTGTAGGGATGGAGGAAAGATACCATTGAAAATTGCAAGTGAAGGCAAGACAGCTGGTGCAGGTGTGAAGATCTGCTCTTCTTTGTGAAGAGCTTCAGCAGTATCAGGTGCACGACCATCATTGAGAGCAAACTCTTTTCTAGGCAGGTTGGTGGTGTGTGAACGAGGTGCTTGAGATAGAAAATGTCCTTCTATTTTAAGAAACAATGAGTCTCATTTATTGATACAAGCAAAAAGAGTCTGTGCAAACCTTTAATTGCCCTATGGTGATTTTCACGCTCCTGCATATGAAGGAATATATTTTGAATGCCTGGAATGAGATCTTGATCCTTTCCTGAAGCATGGTGAAGAAGAGAATGCTGTGTCTCAATAGGATTAGAGGTATGGGGAACCTCTGAGGCCACAGTAGAGTTCATTGTTCGCTTGGCAGGAAATATCATTCCCATAACTGTGGGACGCATCCACCAATCCATCCAGGTCTTGATGCGAGGAAATGTTGCACGAAAGGTCACAACAAGCTCATTGAAGACCTCCTCTGTTGTCTCCACAGAGACCATACAACGTCGCAGGTTATCAAACTGGTCGCGAGCTGAAGGTGGTACCAGATCTGGATTTTGCCGAAGTCGTGTGCCTGACCGCCAAAAATGAGTCTCACAGCCCACTTCATAGTCTAAAGCTTCCTTGAGAAGGGCCTTATGCTCTGCCTTCTGTGCTTCTGGTGTGAGAAGATACCAGCCTGGAATCATGCTTGAAACTGTGATAGCAAATTCATCTGCATGTGCTCCTCGCTGTGATCCAGAGAAGTCAAAAACCTAGTTATACAAGTCCTATCAGCATTAAGACACATATGCAGAATCATATTCACTTACATTGAGCAGAAACTTCTTGTCAAACCTAGGTCCCGCTGCTTTGACAATTCCATGATTGAGATGTCGAAAGTGAGGCCGATGATGGTCCATGTCCATACCACTGATCCATGAATAGAGTACTGGGATCCACGCATTTGATGTAGAACTGAAAGCACATGTTGCAAGCAGTGTACCTTGATGAAAGAATGAGTGATCGCCATCTGTGACAAAGCCATGTCGCCCAGCATCAGCTCCTGCAGTTGAGTTGATGATCCAATCCTCGACAGACTCTTTTATAACCTCCCTCATCCACGGTGTTTGAAGAACAAAGTATGTCGGCCCACTGAAGCTAGATTCGACGATAAACTTGTAGTCAGACGTGAGCTTCTGATTAAGGTCGGCGAGTGATCCCAACAGTGCAAGTCCTCCCTTTGCCGATGATGGGTTGATACCTTGACGTGCTTGACTCTTCTGGACTTGATATCGTGCCGCCCGAGGATTAGCCAATCCAAGTGATATTTGGTGAAGCGGAACTGAGCGGGGAGCAATGGTTCCAGTACGCAGTGCATGGGTTGACGCCATAGGATTGCACGCAACTTGATTGTCAAGTGCAGCCTCTTCTTCCACCGAGAGTGCACCACCAGGTGGACGAGGATGATTGTGAGATCCGTCATGCTCCCAGACTTTGATTCGTACACCATCCTCATTTGTCCGTATGAAGAGCCATGTCTGCGCTGTACACTTTATCCACACCAGCGACATTCTATTACACCCATCTCCTGACCCGGGACATCCCTTTGCAAGCTGGACCTTGCGAGCATTGACATCAGTCTTCGGGCGTTGGCAGCGACCACATGCATTGCATTGAACAACACCAAGGCAGACTCGCTTCTCGGCGTTGTATCCGTTATGTTTACACATGCCACCGGAGCGCCAGACCCACTTTGTGAACCTCCACTTCGTATCTCCAGCATCTAGCGATGCGGGCTGCTCACGTTGTATGAAACCAAGCGGCCAGTCTAGAGTTCACATCAGTGGGAGTAGGTGGTGCTGATCCGATGACATCCACATACCAAATGTGTCGTTCTCATTAGGCTGACCTTCAGCCGCCTGTGAGACCTCTTGATTGAGACCCACAGCTTGCTTCGTCTCATTTGCGAGAGGATCACCCTTGACTATGCTTGTATTAGTTATATGAGGTGCTGCGCCAGGTTGAGTGGAAGGCCATGGAGGTGGATACATTCCGGAATGCAGCCAAGGGTTTGGAACTCCAGGTGCGAATGCGAAGGGAGGATAAGACGGGTAACCAGGTGGTAGAAGAAACGCATTTGCGATGCCGGGATATGTAACAGCAGAGGGATAGAATGGAAAACCAGGATTGTGGATGGAACCAGCGGCGGCCGTGGGTACGACACCGGCATTCGTTGCCATAGGTAGACCTGCAGCATTTACCACGGGTAGGGCTGCGGTGTTTGCCATCTGGCTGGAAAGGCCTGGGGCAGCAGATTCCTGAGGTTCTAGTGTGGGATGAAAAAGCTTAGTCTCACGGCGGTGAATGAAACAAAGCTGATAACGCACCTGTTTTGACACCGGGAATCATGGGTGGTATAGCATAGGGATTATACCCCATATGCCATGCCATCGGCATATTAGGGCCAATGGTGTTGCTCACAGCTGGGTGAATCGCTCCCGCTGGATTTTGCACCTGAATCACGCCAGGCGATGCACCCTGAGGCGCAGTAGTAGCATCCTGACCTGAGGGAGCTGTTGGAGAAGAAGGTCCAAGACCTATCAGGTTGAGGGCACGGCGAACTAAAAACATTGCCTCGACGTTAACGTTGAACGAGCGTCGGGCGAAAAAGTCTGCTATGATGGATCACGTTCACCGATCACTTCGATCACTGAACGATCAACGACGAGCGTGCGGGGCGGCGAGTAGGTTCGTATTGAGATTCATACTCAACGGCTATATTGTACAGGGTAATTCTACATCACTAGATGATATCAGCATCGTTGCAAGGCATTCTGTGACTGCAAACTGGCACATACCATGTATTAGGAACCCTTAGTGTGCTCTCAGGCCCTACATTCGGCACCTCATCCTCTGAACTTCTTTGAGCCCACTATGCACATGTTTCGGCACACACACTAACTCACGCACTAACTCAACAGACATATTTCGGGGAATAATCTGAACTCCAAGCGACGAACCAGTGCATGAACGAGGCAGTGGTGCACGGAACGATGGGGCGACCATGCAAGAGTGTGTATTAGAACCTTAAACAGGATCAAAAGGTGGTAGCAAGTGGAGAAAGTCGCCGACAGTGAAAAAGTGAAGCAAAGTGTAGCGCAAATGAGACGCAAGTGACGCGGCTTTTAGGTCTGACGCTGGATCGCGGCTGTGTGTGAACAGGTCAAGATGGAAGGGCACGTGTGGCTTCGTCGGCCACCTACCTACAGTAGAAGGCACACGTCGGAGGGCGCGGGTGGAACGTCCGCCACGTTATTCCCAACCCAAGTGAGAGAACGTGAATCCAAGTGAATCCCAAGTTCACTTGCGACAATCTCACTTACAGCGCCAAAAGTTAACTTAAGCTAACTTAAGTAACTTTTGTAAGGGGTAAGTGACTCACTTAAGTGAGATTGTTAACCGTCCTGTTCAGCGCTCGTTTTCTTACCGTGTGACTTGACTGATTCGAGTAAGTATTTGTTGTATTCATTGGCGTTGAAATCCGTATCCAGTCGGACGAAAGATGTGAAGCCGATGCTCGATACACTAAACGTTAATGGTCTTTTAAAGTGCCTCAAGACCTTGCTCTCCGAAAACGAAGGAACCGAATGGGCCAGTACTATTTACGTCTTCGCCTTTTTCGTCTAGAATTAGGAGGTTCCGTTGCTAGTATGGGCATTGCGCAGATACTAAATGGCTCGCGAAGCCGACCCAGTACACATAAATTCGTGAGCCACGTAGACCATCTCCAAGTATAGGCGACCTCCAACCAGTAATACGCATGTATTCAATATATTGTAGCTACCCCAAATAAATAACAACACTACACTGGTGACTTTGAACGGAGCTACAAGTTCTCTGCTCTCCCAAGTGAGTGCAAGTTAGATTGTATAGGACGGCGCACACCTATTGAATTCATTTACCCACCTATAAGCAGATAATTGTTAGTAAATATACCCCCACTCAGGCGATAAAGAGTCTGGCGCACCAAAGTCGTTGTGGAAGATGGGGGAATCCTACTGGTCTCCTGAATATCATTACTATTATAGACGCCACTGTTCGCCTGTTGAGCATAGTCCTGTTTTTCATCTTCCTCTCCGTTCTGAGGAACCTGAGTCGCCAAATTCGAAGTTGGCCTGGAAGTATGTTCAGCTTTTGCATGGGAGGCCAGTTTTTCCTCACGCCACTGCTCCTCGTGTGGTCGTAGTTTGCTATTGAAGAATATTGCTAATAAAGAGATCCCAACGTATCTCTCGCGCTCCTCGGCGTCTTGCAAGGCCGGAAAGACCTTATCCCTTCTGATGCTCTCCCCTTGTTTCTCTAGATGAATCCCAGTGGTACCGGGTGCTCTTCGAACCCCAGCTGCTACGCCGTTCTGGACGATGCCCAGGCTCCCAATCAACAGTAAGAACCACGCATTGTTCTTCAGTCCAGCAACGGTCAGAAGTAATAACGCCTGACAGATGCAGAGTACCAGCGCGAGCGCAAAAGTGCCCGAAACAGGTACGTCCCGTGCGTTTGCTAGATCCTCCAAGCGAAGGTGTCCTTCTCCCTCGCTAATGATTACAAACACATCATTATATCCGTTCCCTCGAGTAAGGCAGATCACAGCCTTGTCATTCTTCTTCATCTTGCGACATGACCACTTCTCTTTCTTCCACTTTGGCAATGCACCGCCAAGAATCGATAACAAAGTGCCAATTGCGGTTACCATAAGAATGGTCCAGTCTTCATAGAGGACGCCTGGGATGACTGAAATCCCTAGCTGGGCGACTATTACAATTACTCCGCTGTAATAGACCCAGTCCATGCTGGGGATTCCTTGGTTCCCAGACGACGTCTTGTAGAATGTCACGGTTAGACCAGGTTTGGTAGCATTCTTCTCAAGATCCCTGACCAACCGACCAAGAACCCATGACTTATTTTGCTTACTGTACTGCGTAGTCGCATTCACCAGAATGCAGTCACAGTCCGCAGGTGGCATGAGCTTTCCCTCTCCCATGATCGCCAAGAGAGCGTTCAGTGCGTAGCCTACCCAGCCGAACGAGAACGCGACGGGTGTAAAGTAATACGGGTGTCCGGCCAATTGTGCGACTGCACGTTGCACGATGTCCGCACCGATGATAGTGAGTATGGATAAGATGTCCTGTGGGTTCTGCCATTGTAATTTTATCAAATCAAACTGCGAATTTGATGAGATTAGGCGAGTGAAGGGGTGCCTAAGGGAGTAAAATTGCGCCCGGCTCTCTGATGGGAACGGTACTGGGGCCATGATGGAATCGTAATGAGGAAAACGTTGATGCAGGTCGTTTTATATCCATCCTAATTCACATTTCTGGCCATTCACCTCACTAATTTCCGGTGAGCGAAGAAATGCGGTTACAGCGCGCATTCCATTTATGTTCGCCCGACCCGTGAACTAGTGCAGGTTTGCGTCTGTGGTGTTAATAGACGATCCTATGGTGACTTTTCGCCCCTACAATGGCCTGCTGGGTAAGTCGTGGGTGTTCGCAACTGGCACTCATCCGATGGCTCACTCCAATGCCTCACAGCTTCAACTAACTATTATACACCGGTGCCTAACGATCAAACATTGTCGGTGAGTGGCGTCAGAAGACAGCGAAATGCGTAGATTGAACATGACTCTCGCACCCATGTCATGGATGACTTCCCCGATGATGACCTGCTGCGCCAAGCACCAAAGTAACTGCTGGAGCAAATTTGAAGGTACCATCGAAGTCTTGTTAGCCTTCGACCTCGTGACTTTCTCATTATCTTCCCATACTCCGCAATACTCGTATCTCCATTGTTGCTCGTGATTTAACGATCCACCAAGGAAGAGATCAAGTAAAATCAACAACCCAATGTTAAAGGCTTTTGTCAGCATACGTGGGGCCTCCTCTATGACTTGTGCAGCAAAGACAGGTGCTGACCTGTGGGCGTATGAGGCAAGGCAATTCTGCCGCATGCTGAGGCTTCCAAGACACGTCAGACTCGCAGCTGTCAACATGAGCGCTATTTCCAACACGAAGAAGACGGAGGTATCAAGGGTGGTAACCGTATCGCGAGAGACCTATGAGGACCTCGAGACACAACTGATCTTCGCTGAGTATGAATGATCATGAAAGTGGAGCTCCCAGTCTTCCATTGAGAGAAGATAGCCCAAAGCTCTCCGGTTGCCGAATTGCAGGGTTAAGTGTTCAAAGCGATGCAATGAATAGGGTTAATAGTGAGACCCTCCGAAATAAAGATGACATGATTGTATGGCACCAAGTACGCATTGCCTGCGCAACAGCTGCAATGCAGGACATAAGTGAGCGCTGCATATGAAAATCTGAATCCTTCTGTAACGCGGTTATTAGTCGTTCAACACCGTCGTAAGATAGGCCTAGATATAAGAGACATTACATGAGAACTTACTAGTACATACTACTAAGTTGTGTTGAAGCTTAACGGTATGGCTATAAGTATGCCTGGAAAGTGGAAACGTGGGAAGCGAGAATATGCATAAACGCCGGTCCACAACAGGCGCAAATAACGCGTACACGTATACGGGGCGCTGGCCGACTTACAGTTCTGCACCAACCATCCACTTTTCATATCGCTTCTCTAGGTCTTGCAATATCCTCAGACATTGTTTAACGTGAACATCTCTGCGTGCTTTTATCATTCTCCTCTATGGAATCCGTGTCCAACAGGAGACAACAGAAGGAGATCCGGCAAGCCGAAATCCGCAAACAGATTGCTTCCCTACAAGCTCAATTAGTCGACGTATCGAATACAAGTGGTATAATTATTCCTGAAAGGCCTTGCTCACCGAAGAGAAAGAAGCCAGACGGACCAATACTCGCACCTTCGACGCCGTCACCCAGTTAGCTCCCATTGTTCACATTTGATCGGGCTGGCAGGCTGACTCAATGTGCAGAACGGCGCAGGCTAGATAACTCACCTAGAGTACACTCTACCTCTAAATCACGACCTTTGCCGTCTCTGACTGCCAGGATATCCAATGCAAGGCGTCAGCCGTCCGGTGGACCAAAGAGCGCACCGAGCATTCCCAAGCCGGCACCGTCGACAGTGCTCACCAAGCTCGCGAGTTTCGCTCCAAACGTGGACCCAGCTGCTGCGAAGCAGATATCCAACCGCTCTTCTGGCTTCTCAGAACGGCCTGCACCTCTTCCCGCAGAACATGATGACGACGTCGCCCCGGAGGCGGCTAAACGAGACGAACGTCTGACACTGATAGAAGACCTTGAGATCGGACCCACCGAACACAAACCTCCATTTGATGATCCCATCTTTGAACGATTAGAGCCTAATTCTGGAATTCGTCTGTCGTACGTGGCGCATCTTTTTAAGTAATCTAAAACTCATAAATGCAGCTCACGGACGTTACCACATGACGATCTACAAGACTATTTACGTGGCCGATATTATCTCTCTCCTTCAAAGCTATATTCAGTTGTACGTCTTCAGCCGAACAAACAAGGATATGACGTCCCTGTGGAAGGCGATTGGGTAACTATCGCCGTTATTGCCGAACGAGGGCAACTGAAGTACAGCAAGGCTCCCGTGGGCATTGGCAAGGATGGCCAAGAAGAGATTGAAGAGAAGGAGGACACTTTAGACGATATCGCCCTGGATGGAACTTCTAATACCGTCAAAACAGACCTGCGGAAGTGGAAAGGAAAGGCTAAGGAACAGCAAGCAGCACAAAAACCTAGTGGCAAACGGTATATTAATTTGAAACTAATCGACTTCGGCTGTCGATCCAGCTCATCGTCCACGGCTGGCAAGTCCGTCATTCGAGGCGACGCGCTCTTGTCATTGCTGCTCTTCGAATCAGATCGCGTAGAGACGGCGGTGGATGGGGATGGCAAGAAGCAGCAAATATACCATGGGGGTAGTCGAGGTGCCTTTGAGCGTATGTCGAAACTCAAAGAAGGTGCAGTCGTGGCGTTACTCAATCCAAGGATACTCAAACCCTTTCAGGTAAGTTATATTTTATAGTTATCCGACCTAGGTATCCTGACCAATGGCCTCCACCATAGCATTCAACGGATCAGCCTCATCCGACCAACAACATTTTGGCACTCACGCCTGAGTCCGTTGACTCCACAGTCGTAATTGGCCAATCACTCGATCTGGGCATGTGCAAGGCTATCAAACGAGATGGCAAGGTATGCGGCAGCTGGTGCGACAAACGGGTGAGTGATGTCTGCGACTGGCACATCACGAATGCCATCAAGCGCAACAGAGCCGCTCGACCTGAGTTTTCGATAGGGTATGATCTACTATTTGAGTGACTATCTCGTGTTGATCCGATGTATACTTTCAGGACTTCCGGATTGTCCACTGCTCCCAAACGTACCAAACCGCAGTTCGACCCGAAGCGGCAGTGGGGTTTACTACCTGACGAAACGAGCAGTGGAGGAGGCTCGACGTACATCGTCTCAGGTCATATTATATCGAATCGCCCCGACACCCGGTCTATGTACGTCGGGGAAGCCGTAGGCCGCGAGGCACAAGCCAAGGCCGCCCGCGCCCATGCGAAGGACGCAGATCGAGCGCTGCAGAAGTTATTGCGGAAGGATAAGGAGGGTATGAAGTACCTAATGACGGCCAGGGAGCATGCAAAGCGGAAGATGGATGAGGATGGAGCATCTGACAAGGCTTCGACGCCGCTGCCTAAGAAGCTCAAGAGCAAAGGTAAAGGCAAAGCCAAACAAACAGAACAGAGTTCGGAGGAAAGTGACAGTAGTCAGAGCTGCTCTACCTCTGACGAGAACTCGAAGACGTCCGGAAAGCAGGCCAAGTCTTACTCGGCACACCTTATACGAAACCTAGGATTCGACCCTACTGGGAAGGAAGGGCGCAAGGTGAAGCACACAGATGTGCAGAAGAAGGTTCGTCGAATAATAAGTCCTAATAAGACTTTCACTTATTCCGTTCAATAGCTGGATGCTCTGGCAGCTTTGCAAGCTTCGAGACGGGAAGTTGACCTTGGTCCTAGACCAGGCAAGAAAGCATCTCAAGTTCGCCCACCGACCAACGCTGAATCTCTATCCGGGAAGCAAGGCGGCACGCAGACTGTTGTGTGTCTTGATTCTGACAGCGAAGACGACCTTAGACAGTGTGAGGCCACTGTGTTTGGCAGGACTAAGCAGTCGACCGCTGATGCGAAGATGGTCAATCTGGATAGCAGCGATGTAGAATGATGTGCGGTATCCAGGCGTTATTGTACTTATTTTGCTAGCTTTTGAACAGTGGCTGAGTTTCTCTGTGCATATTTACTTCGTGTGCTATCCTATTGCATCATTATGTTTCTTCAAGTAGAATCAACGGCCGTGTGAGTCCAAAATGTTTCTCCTGCTGTTCGTCTCAAAGGCTTATTCTGTGTTTCCCCATTTTAGTCATTCGCTGATCTGCTGACAGCTGGACTTATTCTGCGGAGGCAGGTAAAGATAACGTTCGAGGAGCCTCAGACTTAATTATATGTCTATCAAGGTGCTTTTGTGCTTCCAGCTCTGAGACGCCTTGATTCGTTCGGATGCTCAAGATGTCCTCTCGACCTTCATGTGCACGAAGGAATGGTACAGGCGATGATCTATGGTCAGATGCCCTTCAGTTCGCTCACGACCTCGGTGTTTCCTGGTGTTTCACATGACTGGGACGCTCAATCATGATGGTCCAGATTTGATGCTGAAGGCGCCCCAGACCAATCCGATCCTCATCAGGTTGGTGACATAGTTCATTCTAGTGACATAGTTCATTCAAGTGCATGTGTGATCTAGCCGACGACGATGGGCTTTGGGACCTTGAGACTTCGCTAATGTGGCTTTCGCACAGTGTTGCTTTCAGCAGACAGAAACTGATACGAGGCTAACCCAAATATTTTTTGTCAACTGACGAGGAGCAATACTACAGAAAGCTCGGATCTCTCTTCGGGGTAATACATCACCAGATAGGTATACTGTTGCCGATACCTGAACATCTAACCAATGTGTTCGTTCTTGCAGGCACCCCAAAGACAACTCATATGTGGCATGAGACAGCGGAGACAACATGGTGCCGAAGTTCTTGCTTCCGGACGTTGCTTTTCTGTGACGTGGGGTGTTTGCATTGCAGCTTCCAACCAGATGGTAGCAGCAGGTACATTTGCCATGTGCTCGTCAGTCTTAGACTAAGTCTAGACATTGAGTTACAATGCAAGAGACAGGAACGCACAAGGTGAGACGGCCTTTTGACAACCAGATATAAGGTACCTCCACTCCATGCGTGTCCCTTTGTACTGTACTGGCATGACCGTTCATTCACGGCCTGTGACATGTTATGAACGAAATCGCCTGTCAGACTCGCTTGTGACAGGTGACCACTAATTCATGAGCTGTGATGATCCCAGAATGGGATATGTGTGCCAGGTCGGAATGATGGTTACACTGCGTGAAATGTCAGATTACAGACGCTCAGCATATGGTCGGCATCTGCGTATGCCGACCATATGCTTTCCAAATGCTACTCATGTTCCCAAGTCCTTAGCATCTCTTCGTCATCTTGATATGCCTTTGAGATGCTGAGTATATGCTTAACCCAAATATTGTGAATATATATTCTTTCTCCATTTCCTCACGATAGGTCACTTACCTGGAAGCTCAGCAAATTACCTAAGTCTTGACCTTGACGCTCGACATTGCTGGCCGCCGAGTCTATACCTGGCTTCACTCACTTAGACTGTTGTTCTCATCTGCAGCTTGCCAAGTTGTATCTGCCCGCCGGCCCTTCCAAGTTGTTCTCGGAGCATAGCGCAAAGGCTGAGTTGCATCTGAGCCTCCCGTATCTGACCTATTGCCCGAGCCTGTCGAGGGCATATCAGCAGAGTCGGACATTGTCTCTGGTGAGTTTCTGTTCACTAATTAGTCCCTGCCCTGCATAGAATTTATCTACGAGCCCGCCGGGTATGCGATAATGACCACAAGGTGAGTTTCGCATCTCAGGTGCCACGTAAGTGACATTTGACTCTCATATATATTACTTGTGGTTACTTGCACCCGGTACATCGCTGCTTCGAATCGTGACCTCCTTCACATGTGATGACAGGTGCGTGAGCTGCCCATAGTATGTACATGTATATAGCAGTATTTTCAGATAGCTCATGCGACTGAAACTAGCAGGTGAGTTACATCTCCATCACAGTATGTAGTCATGTAAGTATGAGGTACCATGGTACCACTCAGCCGCCCTGGTCCACTTTGACACTTGCACACCAGGTGAGTCTACACAGTCACTGACTTTGCCACTCCCTACTCACTTCAGATTGTTGCAGGCCCCCCTCGACAACTATCCCGCCACTAGCATATATACTTCTTTCATAGTGTTCCATGCTTTCGAGCATCCCACGAGCCAGCCATTATCTACTGCCATTTTCCACGGACTTCCTTCCTTACATCTTAACTTCTAGTGGCCCATAGCGTAGTCAATAAATCTTATTTGTCATTTAACACATCTGAGAGTGCTGCAAAGCAGTACAAAAGCAGAATAAAGTGAATATTCTAGCAACAGAATGCAGAGAAATATCCAAATGAGGCTATTTGAGCAGATTAATGGGACAGATAATGGTAGTTTCCATATGCCAGAAAAGTAGCACTTGGGAGGCATACACCTGTCATTTGCCCGACATAAGGGCAGGAATGCGACCATTCCTAATGTATGCTAAAATCGAAGGACTTTGCTAGGCATATGGGCGGCATGCGGTGGGCATCCGCAGATGCTGGGCAAATGCCGAAATTCTATAATCTGACATTTCACGCAGTGTTACCCTTCTGCAGAGTCCAACAATGAGGCTGTTGAAAGTTGATATTTATATTCACCGAAACCGAACTATTCCTTCGTTTCTTACTTACCTACCATATGGGGAAGCATGCTTGCTTAGTCACCCATGGGATACAAAATCTTCGCATTCTCTTCGATGCACCTCAGTCCGTAGTCTACGACTATCAATGACTGAGGTGAGACCATATTTATCTACCTTATTTTATTCTTAACTGACACACACGTAGCGTATTTATTGTCTGCGTATAGGTTAGCTACTTCAGTCCGTAGTCTACGACTATCAATGACTGAGCGTATTTATTGTCTGCATATAGAACGTGCGTTGACTGCACTACCGTCTCTGCCAGATACCTCGCAATAGGTTATGGGCCCCGGCCGTAACTAATACAAGACAATATCAAAATATAGTCATCTATCTACACAAGGACTCACTATCATCCTTCTAATCTGCCTATCTCTGCATCAATGGCAATGACAACATCGACACCTGCCTCCAGCCGTCTCTATGACATTCCACATCTTGAAAATGATGGATCGAACTTCCAACCATGGAAGTACCGCATCAAGATTGTCCTGAAAGTCAAAAAGCTCCTCGACATTGTCACTGGCGATGAGCCAGACCCTGGCGTTGATTCAACAACGAAGGACACGACTGCCCATGACAACTGGGTCAGACGGGACAAGGAAGCACGTGCACAGATCACGTTAACGATCAGCGATGAACCGCTCAACGGCGTCTTACATGCAAAGACGTCCAAAGATGTGTTCGAAATGCTCAACATGCGCTACGAGGGTCGCAGAAGACAAACCACAGCTTACCTTATTGGTGAGCTCTTCCACAACACCTTTTCCGATGATTCCGATCTGGAGCCGCAGCTCAACAGCATGCGGCACAAAGCCTACATCCTTCGCACGCCGCTCAAGTGTCCACTTGACGATGTACTTGTTGCTGCTGCCATGATCGGCGCTCTGCCTCCTTCCTACAGCATTCTCAAGACCATTCTCATGTTCTCTGATGATTCGCTTGATGTGGACAAGGTCATCTTCCAGATCCTAAATGAGGAGAAGAGCAAGCGTCAGGAGCAGGGTCTAACATCTGCCCTAGTTGCACGCACGCAAACTTACACGAAGTCGAAGGGGAAGCCAGGGAAACCAGCTGAGGGGAAGAAGTCGAACTCGAAGAAGTGCGACTACTGTAAGAAGAAGGGTCATGTCAAGGATGAATGTCGGAAGCTCAAAGCTGACAACGCTGCCAAAGTGAACACAAATGGCAACTTTAATGCAAAGGTTGCTGTTGTGGATGGTGAACTCAATGACCTCCGCCTGCAGCTTTTCATGGCAGAGATGCTCGTAAGGTGACTGGGAATGCATGCATGCTGGATTGTCGACTCTGGCGCATCCGCAGTGATGTGTTCTTGCCGTGAGTGGTTTCACACATACAAACTGCTCTCACCACCTACACGCATTTGGCTCGGCGACCAACGCTTCATTGAAGCTGTTGGCATTGGACAAGTCATTCTCAATATACGTTCAACTACCGGCATTATTGTCTCTGCAGTCACTCGTGAAGTGTACCATGTCCCTGAACTCCACGGCAACCTTCTTTCTGTGGCAAAATTCACTCGGGATGGTGGTAAAGTCACCTTCTCTGGTGACACCTGCACAATGACAAGCCCCTCTGGTCAACTCTCTGCTATCGCTCGGAAGAAAGCGGACGGTCTCTACATCCTTGACGTCTCGATTGAACCCTCACCCTCTGCTCTCTACACTCGCATCACCGATGACGATGTAACTTCCGATGACAATGGCGACCTCTATGCCTTCCAAACTGTTGCCAAGCCCACCTCTGTCTCAAAGGCTAGTCTAGAAACATGGCATCATCGCCTTGGTCACATTAACTATGACTATGTTCTAAAGATGTTTCGGAATGGGTTAGCACAGGGTATGGAGATTGTTGGTAGCACCACACCCAAAATGGAGGTCTGTGCTCCATGTGTCAAGGGAAAACAAACTCGCACGATCATTCCTTCCACGTCCTCAGTGAAATCACCTCATGTCAACTATCGTGTCCACTCAGACAACTGCGGTCCAATGCAAACACCCTCTCATCTTGGTCATCTCTACTTCAATACCCATATTGATGCTCACAGCCATCATGTCCATGTTGATCTTATCAAAGCCAAGTCAGAGACACACTCCTGTGCTGTTAACTACATTTCGCATACTGAACTTGTGACTGCACAGCCACTTGTTTATTATCGCAGTGATGGTGGTGGCAAGTATGAGTCTGCCCAGCTTACAGCTTATTTCAAGACCAAGGGTATTCACCATGAGAAGACCAATGCATACACTCCGCAGGAGAATGGAGTAGCTGAATGCATGAATCGGACTCTGGTTGAGATGGCACGCACAATGCTTGAGGATGCAGGACTTCCAAAGTCACTCTGGGGTGACGCCATCCAGTACGCGGCATACATCATCAATCGTACACCGACGCGATCTCTTCCCAACAACCGCACTCCTCACGAGGTTCACACTGGCAACATTCCTTCCGTTGCTCACCTTCGTATCTTTGGATGCAAGGCCTATGCTCATGTTCCCACTGAGAAGCGTCGCAAACTGGATTCAAAGTCTTTTGAATGCATGTTTATTGGTTTTGCAGAGAACCAGAAGGCCTACAAACTCTTGCACCACCCATCTGATCGTGTTCACACATCACGCGATGTTCGCTTCGATGAGGGAGAAGACTCCAAGATAACACGTGTCGAGATTGAGCCTGAGGCACCAACTGAGGACAACCATGAGAAATCTCCAAAAACCCCTGCTTCTTCAGCTCATTCCACTTGTCCTACGGTTGAGGAGGTGACAGATGAGTCGGAAGTCAATGCAATGCTTGAGGAGGTACCTGACGACAAGTCAGAAGATGAGGTTGATGTACCTCCGCCACTACCAGTCCAATGTGCCCCACTTCGCCGTTCTACTCGCCGTACCAAGGAACCGATTCGAGATGATGATTCCCACTTCAAGGTCTCATCCTACAATTGGACAGCGAAGAAGGAACGACGCTGGACAGAACTATCTCTGGATCAAGATCCAGTGGGCAATTCCGACCAACAAGCCAACTGCATGACTCTGACAGATGAACCTCAAACTTACGAAGAGGCAATCTCAGGACCCAACTCGCAAGACTGGTTAGCTGCCTGCGCAGAGGAACTCAAGGTTTTTGTGGAGAAAGAACTTTTCGATGAAGTTCAGAGGCCGAGAAATCGACGGGTGGTAGGCTGCAAATGGGTATTTCGGCACAAGTATGGTCCGGATGGGCAAATCGAACGATACAAGGCAAGACTCGTAGCACAAGGTTTCACTCAAATTCACGGTGTTGACTACAATGAGACTTTTGCTCCGGTCACCAAGTTCAACTCAATCTGAATCCTCCTTGCTCTTGCCGCCAAACTCAATCTCGAGATTCATCAAATGGATGTCAAGTCGGTGTTCTTAAATGGTGACCTCGACGAGGATATCTACATGGCTATTCCTCCCAGTTTTGTTGCATCTGCCGACGGCATGGTCTGGAAGCTCAAGAAGTCCCTTTATGGACTTAAACAAGCCAGCCATGAGTGGTACAAGAAAGTCCGTGCTGAATTCGAGTCTCTAGGTTACACTCGGAGCCATGCCGACCACAGTGTTTTCTACAAGAATGTAGATGGCAAACTAGTTGTAGTAGCCATCTACGTTGATGATATGCTAATCTTCTGCAACAATTTGGCTCTTGTTGAAACTCTCAAGGCCGAACTCAAAGAATGCTTCGAGATGAGCGATCTTGGAGAGGCATGATGGATCCTCAATATGGAGATCAAACGTGACCGCGCGAACTGCACGATTGAGCTCTCACAAGAGCAATACATCGAGCAAATCCTCGAACGTCACGGAATGGCCGATTGCCGCCCGGTCAGCACACCAATGGCGCAAAATCAAAAGCTCACCAAGCTCGCCGAACCCGAGATCGATGCACAGGAATATCAACGTGCACTCGGTTCTCTCATGTACGCCATGCTAGGTACTCGCCCCGACATTGCCTATTCAGTTGGGATCCTTAGCCAACATGCAGCAAAACCAGGGGAAGAGCACTGGGGAGCACTCATGCGAGTCTATCGCTACCTCCGTGGGATGTCTGATCGCAAATTAGTCTACCAAGGAGCCAAGGGCGAAAGCAAGTCTTTCCCCGACCCCGTTTGCTTTGTTGATGCAGATTGGGCTGCCGACATCAATGACCGTCGATCCATATCAGGTTACACATTCATTATGTCTGGCGGAGCTGTCTGCTGGTCCTCCAAGAAACAAAAGTCAACCGCGCTTTCGAGTACCGAAGCCGAATACATGGCAGCCTCCAATGCTACCAAGGAAGCTATTTGGATTCGCACCTTCCTCTCGGAACTTGGCCAACTTACCTCTGGACCTACCACTTTATTCATCGACAACCAGTCTGCGATGGCGCTTGCCAAGAATGCCGCCTTTCATGACCGTACGAAACACATTGCGGTTCGACACCACTTCATCCGCGAGAAGCTTGAGGATGATGAAATTGATGTTCACTATGTACCTACTGGTGATCAGACAGCCGACGTTCTTACCAAAGGTCTCAGCCGGGAGAAGCATGAGAGGTTTATTGCAGGGATGGGAATGGTTTAATGTTCAATTTCATTGAGTGGGCGTGTTGAAAGTTGATATTTATATTCACCGAAACCGAACTATTCCTTCGTTTCTTACTTACCTACCATATGGGGAAGCATGCTTGCTTAGTCACCCATGGGATACAAAATCTTCGCATTCTCTTCGATGCACCTCAGTCCGTAGTCTACGACTATCAACGACTGAGGTGAGACCATATTTATCTACCTTATTTTATTCTTAACTGACACACACGTAGCGTATTTATTGTCTGCGTATAGGTTAGCTACTTCAGTCCGTAGTCTACGACTATCAATGACTGAGCGTATTTATTGTCTGCATATAGAACGTGCATTGACCGCACTACCGTCTCCGCCGGATACCTCGCAATAGAGGCAACGACAGAGAAACAGTCGAAATCTCCCAAAAAACAAATGAAAGCTACGTAGCGCTTATTTTATACATGTAGCGCCCAAAAATACTGAAAAGCGCTCGCATTCATAAGTTTCTGTGACCAGTGACCAAGCCATTCATAGCGGCCTTGTGACATGTGACGTGAATGAACGGTCATGCCAGTACAGTAGTTCGTATTACCTCGCTAGAGGAACACGTCGGAGTACTTCCCTGTCATCATGCACCATGCTTACGTATCCTTCGCTGTACTTCTCGCTGTTTGTGCTGGTAAAGTTAGCGGAGATCAGCTAATCTACTCCGACAATGCTTTGGAGGGCGAGTGGTTCGTCCGGCCTACTCCGAGCTCAACGATAGATTTGCCGCCACCGACGTGAAAGAGGGCACATCTAGCATATTTGTCAACGCTACCGAGAACAGCTCTTTCTGGCTGGAGAATCCTAAGCCATTCGGCAACGCAACAGGCGGAATTCGCTTTGACATCGCTGTGAGTACACATCGTGCGTGTTCCCTTCGCAAGCATTGTTGAAGTTCCTATGTGGTATACTAGGGGAATCATCCTGATTTATCGCTCCAAATCGGCTCTACGATCGATTGGGCAGCGTCCCAACGTATCAAATTGTCCGATTTGGTATCCTTGCAGTCTCTCTCTCCGAATGAGTTCACCACAGTATTCTTGGATTTCAGCACCATTCAAATTCCCTACAGTCCTTCATATCCTACCGTTCGTAGCCTATTTCTTATTCGTCCTTTCCATTGATCCTATGATCCTTTTTTCAGCTTCCAGATTCTTGGAACATTGTCCTATTTATGGCCTTCACTGAAGGCGGTGCAGAGGTGAGTTGAGGAATATTTTTGCACCGTGAGTTATATTGAAGTTACGTGTCAGTACTACTTGGATAACATTGTTCTCGTGGAGGTGCGTGTGCGGTGTAATCATAAGAGTAAGTTCTAACTATTTTCGCTACGACAGTAAATCACAGAGCGATCTGCGAGGGAGCATGCGGTACTTGCGGTTGCCTTGAAGAGAGAGGATAGTCTACACGATTACTGCGACGTTGGTCCAAATCCACAGAAATGTCATCGTTCGAGGGACTCTTTACTTCACAGGAGTATCTCCGATTGACTCTCTACATCTCTGAAGCCTGCAAATACGCCCGGTATGTAGACTTTATGCTGCCCTTCGCCAATAACTGCCAAACCTGGTGCACCGAAGTTCGCATACCGCAACGAACGAGATATATATATCAGCACCGGGGTGTCCTGAGAAATCTCATTCTGAGGGAAGAATGCGCCATCGTCTGTGGTAATGTAATGTTGGCTCCCAGTAAAATCCAAGGTGCGTAGCGCCTGGAGGAACAAAGCCAGTATTTCATCCGTTTCGTACTCCGCATTTTTCCCGAGTTTCAGCCATTCCCTGATGTATGAAATTCCATTCGAATTGACGGAAGGTGCTCGACGTGCGATAATGATATCTTTGAGCATGATATTGTCTCCCTCTCGAACTCCTTCCAATCGCTCTCCTTCACAGCGATACGTGATGAGTGCGCGAACCATGCCTGGTCTAGGGCGCCAGCGGTAACCGGGACGTTCGTCTCGTGGTGTAGAGGTGAATATGAATGAATAATCGCCTTTCCGTTCACAAATTGACATGAACTTCTCTGCGAGAGAGTCGACTGTCGATGCTGTGGACCTTCCTGATGGTGTATCAGCCACCGCCCCAATCATTGAGTAAAAATAGTTCTTCTTGTCGTCGTAAACACGACGATCCAGGTTTGAGATGATCCCCGCCGCACAGCGGCTACAAGGTAAGTCACACCGCCAGTCGGCAACCAAGTCCTCGAAGGCGTCGAGTTTGGGGTAACGTCTGCGAGCCGCAAGCGGACCTGGCCCACATGACATACGTAAGCGCATGAGAAAGAATCCCAGGGCATTTAGAAAACTTTCACCCTCCAAAACGGCCCCGCCAGAGTCTTCACCAATGAAGAAAATCTCGGTGTTATTCACAATTTCTTGATATGTCCATATGCTCTCCACCCATGAATCCTTCTCAAGAATATCCAACAGATAGAACTTGGTCTCATCAGGATTTCTAACCCTACTCATTTCGAGCACTGCAGAAAATGAATGGGGAGACAAGACGGCGACAACGCATTTTGCGTGTCCGTATATGTATCCCATACTCTCGAGCGTAGCCCGCCTTGTAACGACCGGTGAGGGAGGGATGCAGAACGCATCTACCCAAATGGCGGAAGGTCGTATGCTCCTAACTGTGGCACACACGACGGAATGGGTTCGGGAGGACATGGGAATATCGGGGTGGAAGGGGTTCAAGTTGGGCATCGTGTCCTTCCCCCAGACATAGGATACACAGACGTATGGCGGTATGTCTCCGCCATTAACATCGAGAGGTTCCGTCAGGATCCACCGCTGACCATCTAGATCAATACTGGGTCCTGGCGACTGTAGTTCTGGAGATGCTGGTACCAAGAGCCTGAGCTCCATCTAGTCGAGAGTAAATTTAGGGGGATAGTACAGGCCTAGAAGGTGAGTTATCGCTGCAAAGCTCTTTCGCTCTTAGTCTGATATGCTTACGCCAGATAGGCCGGAATGTGGTTAGAGCTGCGTTGAATGAGTGAGCGATCGATGGTTTGGGTGAGATACCCCACGAAGAGGGAGTGACTGGTTTTCACCAACTATCAGACCTGCCGTGAGAGGGGGATTATTTATAGACTTCGGATGCTCAAGTTCGACATTGAACAGAACTCTAATGGCTTTCCCGATCACGCCGGGGAGACGTAACTACTCTGTACTGACTTCGACAGATAATGATCATTATGCTCAACCGACACCTGGCATAGATATTGTCGATGAGTTTTGACGATACATTAAGGAAGGCAACGTACAACGGACACATAACAGGGCTTGGGAGTCTGTGATTTCGTGGATACATTGGAAGAAAAAGCAAGAACTGGAGGAAGTCTCTCGGTGCATTGAAAGGTGGTGCATTGAAGGATAGAACAGTCACGTCAAGAAGGTGACATTTATGACAAGGGACCTGCATGGACCAAATGGTCGATCATTTGATTATCACTGCGTACGTTGCACACCTCCGACGGTGAATGATGGTTCCACTGGCAATACCACTTCGGACCGTGGCATGGAAGACTCGACCAGACCACAATACACCCCCGGTGTGTACCACGGGGTCCCGTTCTGGTCCTTCGCGATTGCGATCCCTGGTGCTCCGAAAAGATATCGTACCGAACCAGAGATCCATATCTCAATGTCAGCACCTGGAGCAATCGCATCTTGAGAAAAAAAGATTCCCGTCTCCAGAATAATATGCTCCGGGCTTCCTGTAAAGCCTATTTCCTTGATCATGTCGTAATGCCTTCGCACAATATCCTCATCCGTATGTGCCTCAATCTCCAACGCTTGAAGCCAACTCATGAGAGAGTCCCTTGCGGCTGAGGAGTACTGTCTTGTCCTTCGTCCAACAATGACTTCTTTCAGTCTGACACCTCCAGCCTCCTTCACCCCAGCAAGCCTGTCGCCGTAACTATGCCAGGATATGATGGAACGCAACATTCCCGATTGAGGGCGCCATGTTAAGCCCGGCCGGTCGTCTCGTGGATTGGCAGTAAAAATGAAGGAATAATCGCCTTTCTCTTCGCAAATCCTCATGTAAGTTTCGGCAAGGGACTGTACAGATGGCTTTGAGGATCGTTTGGATGGAACCTTTGTCACTGCCCCGATCATGGCGTAATAGTAGTTCTTTGGGTCCTCGTAGACTCGACGATCCAAGCTTGACATAATCTGTAGAGCAGACCTCTCGGCAAACTCGCCCATTATCCAATCTGCAATTACGTCCTCGAAAGTATCCACATATGGATACTTCTGACGGAATGTCATGACAGACATATTGTTCTGCTTCCGATAACGAGTGAGGTAGTATCCCAACGCGTTAAGGAAGTCGAAAGCTGGAATGCGGTCTTTGCAATCCGGGTCCTCACCAACGAAGAATAGTTCACCCGCATTCGCGATCTCCTGGTAGGTCCAAACACTGTGTACCCACATGTCTCTCTCCAGATCCTCCAGTACATCATCTAAAGCAGTGTCTGAGTGCGCCAGACGACTCATACGTTCGATGGCGGAATAGGACGGTGGAGAAAGGACGGCGGTAACCTGCTTGGCGCGTGCGTAAATGTATCCTATGCTCTCCAGAGTGGCGGCTTTCGTCACGGGATCAGTGGGCAACGAGAAGGAATCTATCCAAAAGGCTGTGAGATTTGAATGGCGAATTGCAGCTGAAAGGGAATGAAGGGTGTGGTGGGACATTTGGAGTTCGGGGTATATGGAGTTTGGCATCCTGCCTGGTCCCCATACGTAGGAGATACATCCATACTCTGGTATGTCATCAGAATATATATCCAACGGCTCGCTCAATGTCCATTGTTGGCCATCTAGAAGAACCGATGGATGCAAGGTTTTTTCCTCGACTTTGAGCATCAAACGGAATTCCATAAGATCCAAAACGGTTGTAGGAGGGCAAGATACCTGGCTGGAAAAGAGACTGCTTGGAAACCAGCTACAAGATAGTGCCATCAAGTTGGAGTCAGGCAAGCCGAAGATACACGAGGAGGCTGTTATCTTATATAGCAATGCGGAGCACCACCAGATCTTCTCCTGAGAACGCGATCGGCGTATGATCGGGAATGGGCGCGGTATTTGAGATTGTTTGTACTTATTTGTAGGAGGGGTTTCAAGCAGGGTGAAGAGGCCAGTGCGAGGCGAACCACAGCCTGTTCATCCAAAGCTGTCTTAGCGGCATACGCGGAAGATACATAAACAATGCAGTTCACACCTAGGATTTCGCCCGTTAAAGATATACCTGAATGGAGACTTCGCCGCTTGAGTCATAGCCAACGTATGCTTGACTCGATTGCTTAATACAGTCCTCCCGAATAAGTTAGTTCTCATGCGCGATGATGAACAGATTGAGCGTCGAAAATCCAAGGATCCCATGATTGTCTCCAAAAGGCCAGAACATAGGACCAGCGGTTGTGTGTGGCCGGTGACGCGGAAGCAGGCGGTGTTGCAATCCGCTTTCAACGGAGTAAGTATTGCGTTTGCATGTTAGGTTGCCGCGATCGCTCTGGATATGAACGTTCGCGGCGTTGGCTGGCGGCCGAACAAAACAAAGGTAATGGCGGTGGTGCGCAATATTGGAGCGAAGTTAGTATAGAACGAACCTGGTGAAAAGCTTTGGCTTAGAACCGCCTTTCAGCCAATAAGGAGTTGAAGACCTATAACGCACGAAGGAGAAAGTGAGGCGAGAGTTCCGGCAAATTGTTGCAATCATAGAAGTTGAGAAGGGGGCAGAGAGTATGACTCGAGCGCTCGGCAGAGGAATCTACATCGTTAAGGGAGACCCGACGGTGAGATTACGCATCAACAGGCAGATTCGGGTGATTCAACCAAAGGCACATAAGGACTAATGAGGTATACTTACAAAGAAGAGATTGACTTGAAGCTGCATTGCCACCTCGGCTCCAGCAGAGCTCAAGACGCAAATAATTATGGACAGCCTAACCTGATATATCCGCTTTGTCCGCGAGAGGCGTAGCTCCGACTTGTGGATGACCTTGAAAAGAAAATAGAATCATGTTGCGCATTGAAACCGAAGCCTGTGTTCGAAAGCAAGTATCTGTGAGGATTAATCTCCGACACTGAGGCAATGAGACCGCAGTCCGTCTCGTCCAATTTACGCAGGGTTTTACACTTCTATTGAAAGAGATACCTCCCTAAAAGGAATCTTTAGGTAGATGTTCTGCGCCACCCGTATACACGAGGCTGTGACAAGAACATCCAGCGGCTGAACTTGGGATTTCAGTATCGTCCCCTACGCAGAAGAAGAACACAAGGCGCTATGATGCTTGCCTTTCGTTGGTGCCCGCTGAGGCATACGCAAAAGGGCCCGCAAGTGTTGATAGGATGCCGACAAGAGTTACTTCGCCTCCTTGGACACCGTGAGGCTAAATGATGCAAGCATGGTATCGCCGCAGTGGCTTCTATTGTGCAGAGCCGCAACAGAGCTGGGAACACAACTCCTCTTACGAAATGTATAATGATGCAGAACAACAGCAGCCTCTTGATCTTGCGATTGTCCCGTCCGATAAGGTTAAGGCCAGTCCCAGGAGACAAATTCTCGAACAAACCAGGTGTTTGCTGAGAATGAATTGGAAACTGAGAAAAACGTCTTGAAAAGGAAAGATCCTTTGCCGAAGCGTTCCGATTGGTATACGACTGTCATTCACGACCAGCGAATTCTGATATTGGCCACGTTTCTCACGGCGTTGGCGGCGGTGTTGTGGTTGTCCCTTTCTCCGAGTCCGAGCCTTGTAACCGTTGACGATCTCGACACAATTCGGACCCTCATTTGGGTCAAGCAACGAGGCCTCTAGTCATGAAGCCATGGCTTGCTATGCCTATCATTATAATACAATAGTAGTATGAATCGAGCAAGTCATGCGGGCCGCCGTCTCGCAGGAAGTGCGTTTTTCTGAAAGAGCTGATCATCTTGGGTCACCCGGGATATACCGTAAGTCGGAAATGGTGCACCTATTTAGACACGTTGAGCCCTGTGGAGAAAGGGTATCCCCACATCGCTTTCTACCCTTCCTTTGTACCTTCCCCTTTCTCCGTTCCTCATTCTCTTTCCCTCCGCCGTCATGGATAATACCCCTTATACTACAATAGATTTATGGAACAATGCTGTAGATTTGGCTTGTCGCTTATCTTCTTGGCCACACTTCTTGCCCGCAGCTTCAGAATTACTCACCTGCGAAAACCTCTCGCCGAGTGATATCAAGCGGCATGCCACTAAGGTTTGTGAGCGGTTGCCTGACCATGATTATCGAGATGTTATTGACGTGTGGTTTTGGCAGATTATCAGGCTTGTAGAGGTAACTTTTCATATTCTTTGCTTGCGAATGTATATCAACGGCATTCTTTTATCTTAGCACTCCCGTACTACGCTAACTCGATCCGGCTTGGTATTAAATTCTCCCGCGAGTTGTCAAACTGGTTTCTCGCCGTTCAAGAAGGCCTATTTTGACCTTCTGCTTATGCTAAAACGAATACGCCACCACATTGATGACAAAGAACTGCAACGTGAGTATACTTGATACATTGCTGTCACGGCTTTACCAGGAAGATATATTGACACCGCATGCTGCTCCTGACGACAGGTCGTATCGATCGATTGTCATTCGATATGCGTCCTCCGTCTCTGGAATTTCCTAACTCACCAAGTGGCGTCCGACATACACCATATCGCATTCCCAGTGGCCTGCGTCAGCGTAGCCCACAGTCCGAGGAAGAGGACAGGAAGATGATGCCTCGTGAGTGCCTCGCCCCATCTCATATCATATTCACTGACAGACCCTCTTCTCAGCGCCTTCAATCTTGCCCAACATGGATAAGAGACGCCACCTCCGACATTCCACTTCCTCGCTACGTTGTCAGGCCCGAGATCCTCTTCGAGGACGTCCTCGGAAACGTCCTATGCTTGGATCTGATGGTGAAAGCTCAGACGAAGAGCCGGACACATCTGATGACGAGGATGACGAACGGATGATTGAAAGCGAGGATGAAGATGATGAAGAAGAACAGACACCAGTCAGTTATCAACCGCCTCGCGCTCGACTCGGTATTCTGTGTACAAAGCGGCAGCCGGTACATTGCATGAGGTCGTAGCCCGGATTCCCTCATCCTATTAGTATGTTTTGGAACTTTCAACTTTCCCAATTTGCCTGTGAGTACAGATGCGCATCTGACGGCTATATGCTACTCATATCTACACTGGTCAGCTTAGGGAGTTTCGCTCTGGGCTACCGGGTTTTTGGTTAGATCATATCATGTATCATAGTTTCGGATACGGCCGATGCCTCTGCCCCACGTTCCTTATGAATTCAATGTCCATTACGACTAGACTATCAAGTTGCCGCGTACTTCTGGTTGCACAGAACTGCACATACTAAGTTGGCTTGGACCGCATATACCTGTAACTTCTTCTATCCACATTGACGGACATGGTGGGTGTGAAGTGTCCTTGTTCAATCCGTGAACATACCGCCCTCCTGTGGAGTTCCCCTATGAACTCTGCCGAACCCTTGCTTTCCTGACCTCAAAATGTCCAACTCCGTGCGCCATCCTCTGAGCTTCTGCAACATGGCGTTCTCATTCGATGATGCACCGACGCTTTGTCCTTCATTTTCGACCGCAGAGATAGTTTCGTTTAGAGCGTGTTCCAGCTTTCCAAAGACACTGTCGAAGGCGTATGGATTACCGAAGAACGATCCAGGCTCATGCTCTCCACCTGTGCCCGGGACGGATTCAACGGGCGCAGCTGTAGCGACATAATCCGTCAGTAAAGAGGCTGGTACTAGACGAAAAGAGTGCACCCTACCTTGTGGATCTGACTTAGGGTATACCTGAACGATACACAATGAAAGGGCCTCTCATGAGTATGAGGTGAATTACTCACTTGTCCAGGATTTTCCCGTGATGGCGACGGAGGTATTGCACTATCCGTGTTTCCGGGAAACTTTGCATCAGCTGGCAGACGAATCAGTCTGGCCTTGTAACAGGTAAAAGAGGATGTTTAAATACAAGCTTACCGTCACCTAGAGACATCTTGAAAGGTTTGTCTTCGTTGTATGTTGAGAAATATTGGAAGGATAACTTTTGACGGCGGCCTGTTGCATGCTGGCCTGACCATTTTGCGTTTAGAACAAACGATGTGGAGCAAGCTGCACTATGACGCAATCAAACGGTGAGGTAGACTCGTTTCACCGTGCCGCCGTAGCTTAGCAGACACCTTCCCTTGAAGCTCTTGGATGTCGCAAGATGTATGCCCCGATGAGAGCCACGAGAAGGGACGCATGAATGAGAAGCTTCCCACCATGCAAACCGTGGCAATATGGCGCGAATACTACACCCTCTTTCGGTCAAGCGAATGCCAACAATGTCCGGCAGTCTATTAGAATCAGACATCATCAAATCATGAACAAGTGAGGTGGCACGTAGATGCTGTAATGAGGCTCGAGTCTGTGCCACGCCAATTGGTACGGCGAGAACACAAACAATCTGGTGCCACAATTCAGCATTTTTCCTTGTCTACAAACGGAACGCCCGAAAGCTTCTTTGATTGTGATCGAGATCGAGATCTTAAGCGGCAGGAGTCTGTTTTGAGCGTAGATGGTTCATATTTGGCAATCTGTGTACATACTGCTGTCAGCTTCACAGCATTCACGGGCACACCATAGTGGATTTCATGTGAGCCTTACGGAAAGGTAAAATACTGCACCATATAGCAGTTCTACTGTACGTTCAGTTGAATTGCTTCCACATCCTGGAGCGATATTTGAGCCAATAATGAGCCACTGATATTTCGAAGCGATATAATGGCGGTAGAAACAGTGTGGCGAGATCTGTTTCACCTTTCGCCATATCCTTCCTATGATTCTTAAAACTATAGGATGTCGCAGCGAATGAAGGGCCAACGACGACGCTTAGTTTCGACAATGCGTGATACAATGTCACTGAAAGTCACGCTGTGACTCGATTATAAGTAAGCGCCGTACAGAGTGCAGTTTGATACGGCCTGCAAGAGGACTTTGCCCACTGACCACCGCGACATACTATTTCCTTGCTTTCACTATCTATCAGAATGCCAGGAGACGAGACACACCACAAGACCCACGACGAGTCGGAATCGGAGTCTGAAGAAGAGGAGGTCGCCGAGACGATTGCGAAAGTGGAAATCGATCCGTCGAAACTCACACCTCTTTCTCCGGAGGTTATATCAAAACAAGTGCGTTGATATGGCTCTAGTATGGGGGGTTGAAGTGACTGAATCTTTGCTTTGAAGGCTACCATCAATCTAGGTAATGTATACACCGCACTGGAATGCACACTCAGGACTTATAAACCAAAACAGGAACGATTGGTCATGTCGCTCACGGAAAGTCGACCGTAGTGAAAGCAATATCAGGTGTTATGACTGTTCGATTCAAAAACGAGTTGGTGCGAAATATCACCATCAAGCTTGGGTACGCGAACGCAAAGGTGCGTAACAGACGGATCATGCTCAAGCCACTTATCCCAAGTTTGCCTTAGATCTATAAATGTGAAAATGAAGCATGCCCACGGCCGGGCTGCTACCGATCATATCGTTCGGACAAAGAAGACAACCCTCCCTGTGAACGACCAGGATGCGGTCACAGGATGAAACTCGTTCGCCATGTCTCCTTCGTGGACTGCCCGGGACATGATATTCTGATGGCTACAATGTTGAACGGGGCCGCAGTCATGGACGCTGCATTGCTTCTTATTGCCGGAAACGAGACATGCCCGCAACCTCAAACTTCCGAACATCTGGCCGCTGTCGAGATCATGAAGCTCGAGAACATTATCATCCTTCAAAACAAGGTCGATCTCATCAAAGAAGCGCAGGCCCTTGAGCACCACAAAAGTATCGTCGCTTTTGTGAAAGGTACGTTCGTTTATCTTTGTCATGGGTTTTCCCCCTTAATGTTGGAACGTCGTTTTATAGGCACTGTCGCTGAATCATCACCCATCGTCCCTATCTCCGCCCAGCTCAAATACAACATCGATGCCGTCAACGAATACATCGTCAAACGCATACCTATCCCTGTGCGAGATTTCACCACGGACCCGAAACTGATCGTGATTCGTTCATTTGACGTCAACAAACCCGGTGCAGAGGTTGACGAGCTCAAGGGCGGTGTTGCCGGTGGTTCCATCTTGACCGGTGTTCTCCGACTAGGTCAGGAGGTTGAGATTCGACCGGGTATCGTTACGAAGGATGCTCAGGGTAGGAACCAGTGCAAGCCCATCTTCAGCCGTATTGTCTCGTTGCATGCCGAGAGCAACCAACTTCAGTTCGCCGTTCCCGGTGGACTCATCGGTGTCGGAACTAGGATCGACCCTACGCTTTGCCGTGCTGATCGTCTCGTCGGTCAGGTACTCGGTGCGGTTGGTAAATTGCCTAAGATTTACACAGGTATGTTCCAGTTTTCATAGTGAACTCTAATGCCATCGGATCTCAACCCTTGTGAATAGAACTCGAAATCAGTCTGTTCTTGCTCCGACGACTTCTTGGCGTCAAAACGGAGGACAAGAAACAGACAAAGGTGTCTAAGCTGGTCAAGAACGAACTGTTGCTGATTAACATCGGCTCGACATCTACTGGTGGACGTGTTCTCAGCGTCAAGGCAGATCTTGCCAAGATTCAGCTCACCTCTCCTGCTTGCACAGAGATCGGAGAGAAGGTCGCACTTTCGCGTCGTATTGAAAAGCATTGGCGTCTTGTTGGTGAGTTGTTGTTTCGACGTGTATAGTCCGAGGTGAAGCTGACTTCATATTACTACAGGTTGGGGTAGTGTGCAACGCGGGACAGTTCTCGAAGTTGATTGAACATATAATTCAGCATATATGGCATTTGTGTAGCATTAGAAGCATGTATCTCTGCGTTAGTTGTATACAGTAGTCTTCAGGACAGCGTCATTGCAGTAAGGGACAGGACCGACATACAGTCACACAAAAACAGCTGCCGAGGCAAGTTTTATTTCATTGACGAATATACCACAAACATGAAGAACTGGAACTGTGCAGGACAAGGAAATACGAAAGCCCCAAAGGCCAAACAAATTTTGGAAAACATACTACAACGGAAACGAAAGAGAGAAAGGCAAGTCTAATGCTCGTAGGGAGGCGTCAAAGCCCTGTCTCTGTCATCATCCTTTTTAAGGTCATCGACAGGGGGAGGTGTTCGCGCTCTGTCATCCCTACGTCGCTCCGGAGATGGGCTCCTCCGCCGTTCTGGACTACGGCTGCGTCTGCGTCTGTTGTCTCTGTCCAAATCCCTATCCAGGTCGCGATCATCACGGTCGCGCTCACGGTCACGGTCGCGTTCCCGTTCACGATCACGATCGACTCTGTCTCTATTACCGCCACGACGAGGGCTCCTGGAGCGCTCGCGGTCGCGACGTGGAGGAGGAGAACGCCTGTCAGAACGCCAGACAGAGGACGGAGGATTCTTGGCCCACTAAAACTTCAACTCAGCTTGGAGCACTTTTCAGGCCCGCCACAAGCAACTCACCTGAATACTTAAACGTCCATTTTGTATGTAACGACCATGCCTGCCACAGAACAAGGAAGATTGTGAAATGACGCACCACAAAAAGCTCAAAAGTTGACTCACATATCATAGTAAGCTTCCTCAGCATCACGTTGACTGCGGAACTCCACGAAGGCATAACTGCGAGACGATTCGGAAGGGACGTTGAGTGATCGTTGGACTCGGGGTAGAACGCGGGAGGAAGACATTCGAACGAAATTCGCGCGAGGATCTTCAAGCGAACGCTACGACGCGGCAATTGGGAAAGTCCACAGGGGGTGCTCGCGGGTGCATAATCGTGTTTTACGTCGCGGACGAGGCGTGCGTGCAGGGCCACTCGACTGCAGCAAATGAAGGCATAGACGAGAACATCAGACGGTACTCACGGGTTGGCAGTGGAACGTGGATTTCTTGGTGCTGGAACGTCACAACGAACTAGGGGTCCATATCTACTCCGCTAATGAGCGACACGTTGTCAAGTATTACCCAGAACTACGTACCGCTCAAACTCATACGCCAGATCCCTAGCACGTGTAGAAGGATGAAAACCGCTCACAAAGAGAATACGAGGCATATTATCGTTGAAAGCGAGGTTGTCGATGAGGGAGAAAGACAAGCGCAAGGCCACTCATTCCAAACATCAATAATCCTGTTTGGCTCTGTTTGGCTCTTCCGCGTTTGGGTCTTTTTCAAGCTCACGACTCCAGCTAGCTAGTTTCCACGAAAAGTTGTAAACATTTTGAATACTGAATGGTGAGTAATCAAATAGCGGGGGCGATCGGGATAGATACAAGAAACAGACGTGTAACGATAGCGATGCGAGTTCTAGCTATAATACAGAAATCATGCCACAGTAGGAAGTGGTAGCGCGGCTGGATTCTGAGGAGGATTGAGCAAATCAAGCTCCTTGATGTCGACACCTTCGAAGGAACGACTCTTGACCCGACGAGTCTCGATTTCGCGTTTGGTCAGATAAAGATGAAGTAGGTTAACGCAGTCCTTGGCCTACAAAATGCAGCGGTCAGACAAATTCAGAGCATGGTGTACAATCACTTACAAGAACGAAGATGCCTAAGCCAACCGAATTCCGCCACCTAATGCGATTCGAGAGTCGGTATGAGAGTCTGAATATATATCATGATGCTTACCACACAGGATCGCACTCTGCGAAAGTCTTCGTCCCCCCACCAACTACACTCAAGGCCATGTGAACACCCACGCCTAATTGGCGTGCAACACTCATCTGTGACCAAGGTTGAGAATCAAACCACTTCCCAAAAACTTCTGGGGCGCCCGTCCGCGGAGGACGGATGGCGAGGAATCTTCGCAGTAGTGGCGAATACTTGGATAATCGGAAGAGGATGGCACCCATCCAATTGGATATTTTCGGTATCAAGAGTGCCCCGCCGACGAATCTACCAAGAGATGCAGAGGTAACACGGATAGTTCGTTCAGCGACTGCGGCTGGATCCTGCGGTAACTCTGCTTCTTGCTCTTCCCCGTTAGGATCCACTTCCTGTTGTTCCTCATTTCCTTGTGGCCGCCCCTGTTGCTGTTGCCCTTCCTCACGAGCAGGAAGTGCGTTCACGTCCACCTGAACCTGCAAGTTGCGGTCATCGTTCAATGCCCAGACATATCTGCGCACAGTAGTGCCTGTTGAGGGTTCGGTTCCCATAACCCAATGTTGGAACCGCCTGAAATATCGGCGGTAAAGCTTTGTCACGAATGGATACAGGAAGGTCACCATCAATGGGGAAGGAGGCCAGTTGATTAGAGGACCCCAAGGTGTGTCCGCCCCTGAGGTCATCGCGCGTCTCCAACGTGCGGTCATAAGACGTTCGGTGGTTTGAACAGGAGGAGACGTCGTCCACGCCAGAAATAATGGTACAAGTGGGAACCCTTCGAATAACGGTGTTCGTGAGATAATGAGGGAGACGGGAACAAGTGGGAGGTTTATGAAAGCGTGCCATGGCCAATTACTGGGGTCTTCAGTGAGAACCAAGTCAAAGCTACGAGAGAAGTTTCAGTGCAATACCCTAAGTCCTATGGAATGTTACCCACAACTCTTTCCCAAGAAATTCTTGTACTGCGTAGGCACCATATGAAGTGAGGATAATGTACACACCTATATGACGGTGTGAGTAATCTACCTAGCGCAGACGAACGAGATATGCACCAAAGCCAAACGATGCAATGACACATGAAACTCCAGCGACGGTAACCACCTTCCCGGCCATAGACACGACAGAATTAAGTTTGTTGAGGAATCGCAATGTCCTCGGATTGTAGCTTTCCAGTTCGTAAATGGTACCACATTGAGGACATTTCAGCGCATTTGGTGCTCGTGAAGCATCTTGCTGCGAGGACTGGATCCAGCTCAGCAGACAAGATTCATGGGCCACAAGAGTGCAGTTACATGGATGCACCCATGCAACAGGGGGTTCCACAGGCTCTATAGCGAAGTTCAGAGGGAACACGTGAAGCGGTACGATGGTCGAAAAGGTGCCCACGATCATGATGTTCTTCCTCTCTGCAGATATAACACATCTTCACCTGCACTTGTCCAACGTCATTAGCGTACCTCGTGCATGAATTATGTCCATCTTACCCTAAGGTCATCGACAGTTGGAACCCATTGCTGTTCTGACATCCTGAATACCGCGTGGATTCTGGGCAAGCAATATGTTTCTGGCACAGGGTCCAGCTCTATACCTATCGAGAGTCGCTACAATAATGACCCGTTAATATTGGGCCTAAGATCGTCGTAGAGTCTCGAATGAGAGATGCTACTCGTGTGCGTTGGCTTCAGATCTTGTTAGGAGGCAGACGCTTATACATAAATATAGCTTATTACAGGAATAAGACTTTCTGTAAGTGTGGGAAAACTACGTTATTAGCACTTCATTGAAATTCGGGTGAAATCCTTACCACGTATCTAACCAGCTTCAAGCTTCAACAGTTGCTGCCATCCTAGACCGCATAATTTGGTATGTACATCACGCATAGTATACATGTCCGAGTTGCTATATACTCAAATTCTCCAAAGATTGTAGACCAATCATAGCTGTTAGCAGGCTGGATACACGTTGCTGTTTAGTGGGCCGTCCAAGTGAGTCCAATTTCGCAGAGTTCCTGTTCCCCTGGCTCACGTTACACAGATGCATGTGGAGGACGCACTTCACAGCCCGTACCTACAGGCCTGTTGCTACCGCTTTTGCCCTCTCTAAAGGACGCCGTCTTATCAGCACACATGCTCGCCGCCAGACCTTCAACTATCTCTACGAGCAGTTAACTGCTGCGCGAACTGACAAGGATATCAGACTTGCCAACAGGCTCATCTCCGTCGAAACAGATAAGGAGGGTCTTGGTACCGTCATTCACGGCCATGGACCCACTTCAGCCTCCGAAGCGTCTACGACATTGGAACTTTTCGCCCAGCGAGACATCCTCGCGCTAGAACAATGCGGTGGACAACGACACGATGCCACGGAGGCCGAGGAAAATTGTTTGCCTGGGTGGTTTCTATTGTACTCTGTCCACCGCCGTGTCCATTCCACTCAGGATGCAAAACAAGCGTGGATTCTGTGCAAGTCCTACCTTTCTTCTCAGTCTCCGGAACTCAAGGATGTCCTATTGATTTCATTTGCATGGCAATTCGTGCAGTTCGGTGTTGAAGATTGTATGCAGGATCTAGTGAACGAGTTTACTCGTTTTCCAGAGGCGATCTCTACCGCATCATCCGACGCCCTTCTTCGCATCTTATGTATGGCGTCCGCAACCGAGACCATACGTGCATGCGTTGTCTCGATGTTGAACGCGTTGGCGGATGGAAGAGCTCCAATAGCGCAGACGGTTCTGGAGCAGGTCCTTCAGCGTGACCGCCTCAACCTTGACATAGCTCTAGCGGTAGAACGCTGTATCATTGCCCAGGGAGCAATTCCTGCACACGAGCAGACAAAAGCATTGCAATGCTTGTGGTCACCGAACGAGTGGAGCACTGTTGAGGTTCCCTCCTCGACTTTCTTTCAAGATCTAAAGGTGGCTTTCGATCACCCCACATTGTACATGATAGACTCCCTATCCACTGCCAAGACTTATGACGAAGTCGTTTCTATATTGGAAACCGCCGGTGTTCTCACGTGGAAGTGGCTATACGTTACACTGGCGCCTACCATGCGTGAGGCTATAGAACGACTTTCCAGAGTTGGAGTCGATGTGCCCACACAATTCAATGCCTCTCAGGCCAGTCAAAACGGCCAGGGTCCCCCTGCATGGCTCATTTTGCACTTACTGCGCAACAGAATTTTGACTGCGGAAGATGCGGCCTTGGCTTTCCATCTTGTGGATCATCACCATGCCTCCCTCGCTGAACCCCTACGGTCATGCTCCTTGATTCTTTCCGCATACTGGTGTGCAAAACTTCGGGTAATCACATTTCTTCGCCGTATCGTACAACGAGTCTTTTCGCTTTCGGAGACCTTCACCGAACGTCACTACGACTTCTTCCTCCGTGCGTTAACATATGGTTCAGCCTCCAAAGAGCTCAGTATCCTTATCAAGACCATCCTGTGGAAGATGTCGAAACTCAATATTTCTGCGTCAACCGCCACATACGATCGTCTTCACGATAACGACATCCTAACTTTGGAGGTAGCAGAAGCTACGAAGGAACATATGAAAATACAAGGCATCTCGCCATCGTCTCATCATCTCGAAGCCCTCGTTCGGCTATTCGCGCGGTCAAGACAGCGCGAGAAGGCAAAGAGGTACCTGATGATGTTGCGAAAGGCTCTCCTTACAGATGGGCGTAGTCTTCTCCCGTTAGGACCAAATCCTGGATCCCAGTCGGCTGGAGGCTTTACGTCACCGGATAGATTCTACATAGAATCATTCAAGCGGTTTTCTGCCATGCGGCGATATGTTCAGCTCATTGCCGTAGGTCATGGGAGGCACGTTCGACCGGCAACTAAGCACGGTAGGAATAGTGACACTTCTCCACAGCCAAATGACCATTCGTCAGGCACAAACGGTGCGGGTGCGATTGATAACGATCGCAAAGACCCAGGCGGTCAGGATATCCCGTCCAAAGAAGTTCAACCATCACATTCACTCCCGTCCACAACAGCGTCATTTCATCTAGGAATCGAAGACTGGACTGCTACACTGCACGTCGCGGCCAATGATAAAGAAGTCCCTTCAAAGAAACTTCTTGATCTCTTTCGGAAGGGCATAACTATGATGCGATTGCCACCGACGATCGTGACCTATTGTGTCGTTATTCGAGGGTTGCTTGCGAAGGGGGGAGCCAAGGATGCACTACTTTTATGGAGAGAATTGTGCGAGTCTGGACATACTCTGGATACAATTGCGATCGGCATCGGCGTAACGGTCCTGACGTATAATGATTTGGCACACGAAGCATTCGCATTGCTAGAGAGCGTCTACTCCTGTCAAGATATGTCTTTGGTCAACAAGCGTAGGCGACGTCGATCCGGGCTTCATGTCAATATATATGCGCTCAATCAGTTTATGGTTGCTCTATCACGCAATGGTCGACCAGATGTCGTTTACGAGTTGTGGTCAAATCTCGAGCGGCTCTACCAAGTTGAGCCTGACGTGTACACGTTCAATATCATGCTCAGGACAGCAAGGTGGGCGCTAAAGTTGAATGAATCCCTGCGGGGGACCTTGGCGGAGTTAGGGCTGTTGAGACCGCCAGGATCATCCCCGTCCCACCACTCATCCAGTCGAGACGTGGTCGCTGCATGCATCACAAGTATGCTTGATCCAAACATCCCTCACCGCGTCTTAGGTTTCTGGGAAGGTCACTCCGCTGGCAAAGTCGCATTGCGTATAACTCGAGACATGTTCTTCCAGAACTGGCCGGAGCTACAATCTGTGAAAGGCCCTGTGCGTGCCCTACGCAGTTCAGGTTCCTCACAGCTGGTCTCTCCAATGAGCGATGCGTTTCACAGTCTCCGAGGCGGACCGAAGACCTTGCCCAACATGGAAAGCATGCTGCCCTCGTTGCCTCAAGACGCTATTATGAAAACTCGTTACGCGCGAATCGTTCCTACCGATCCCAGCTTTCGAATCATCCTCGATCTTCTCGCGGCTGAATCACTTGCGGCCGAGATCCCTCTTGTTCTGGCGTGGATGCGAAGTCTCAATATATGGCCTTCAAAGTCCACACTTGCAACGGCTTTGGTGTACTGGTCCGCAGTCAGTTCGGATGCACCTCTCATCCAAGCTTGGAAAGGCGGGGAGCAAAAAAGCCCATATGCACAGCTTCTTGCTTGGATGACAGAGTGGGTGGGAGAATCTAATATGCCGGAGCCCGCAAACATTGCTATGCAGCTACGAAGGGTGCGATTCTACAGGGAGGCCAACTATCTAGATATCATCGAGCAACGGAGAAACGCGTCTGATGTTGTTGATTAGAACTGCAATGCATTCACATGGATTCACAATCGGAGCAGATCGCTATGCTAAGTTTGATGTCCGGCCGTTGTGGGTACAGCGGGTTCAGTTTTTTTTGCCTACTTCACATAGTTTTCGTCGGTCAGTGCTTAGTCATTGGTCAAACTTCTCCGCCCGCGATATCTCTCATCAAAGTTTCGGAAACCCGCACTTATACTTGAGCGTTTGTCAAACCGGCGAGTTGGACGGTGATTGTGGCGCCGAGGCGTTGCTCTTTCAGGTATGTCTAGTATTGTTAGGCGTCCGGGAATAGCATATAAAGTCTAAGGACTTAGTGAATTTGTCTAGCCCCACATTCACTCTTCAGCCGCGGATATAGCTAGTTATTCTGTCAATCGAAGAAACGATCATCCATGTCTTCCACGCCAGCGTCCTCCAGCAATGAAGCATCCTCCAGTAATACACTTAGTGCTTCAAGCTCCACCACTCAAACTGCTACCAGCGACGGAGGTAAGGTCAAGCAAACGAGGCGAAGACAACGCCTTAGCTGTGTTGAATGCACCAAACGTCGCCAGGTAAGGACCGGTGGATCCTTTCTTTTATCGACTTCTCCTTACTCCTAGTTTTCAACTCTATCCAACCGTTCTCATCGACCCTCTGCAGAAGTGCGACAGGCAATTTCCATGCGGACTTTGCACCTCCCGCGGAATCCCCCATCTTTGCCGTTGGGAACCCATCGTCGTTCGACCTCCGCCTCAACGGCCGCCGATAATTGCGACTGAGCCCACGGCGGATCCCAATGCCACCATCGAGGCATTACTGGCACGCGTCGCAGTCCTAGAGAAAGCTCTTTTGAACGAAAACGGTGGCCAGCGTGATTTGGATGATGGCCCTGGCAGCAATATTCTGGACAGCAGCATTCGCTCGGTTCACGCCGGTTTGATCCCTGACTCCAGGGGCTCAAGTGTTGAGCAGGACGAAGAAGGGCCTAGGAGTACAGGCGGTCCCCGTGCTCTTCTCGACTACAATGTTCAACTCGCTGCGGTTGCGCTCGCCCAGCTATCTCTTGCCCCTCGAACCGAGTATGTAGGTGCTGGAACGGTTCTATGTGCCCTCCATAAGTTGGGCGACCCAGATCCCTGGCGTGTCCCATACCCACAGTCTTCCACGACTACGACTACCCAAGTCCCTTCTATCTCCAAGTCAGCAACCTCGAACCCCGTCATTTCACCGATTCGACGTCTGATCTCTCAGCTCCCGACCCGCGCTCACGTCGAAGAGATGTTGGACTCGTTCTTTGCCATTCGAAATGGGGAATTTGGTATCTCACAGCTCTGGTTCCGTACTGCCTGCCAGCAGATGTGGTATCACCTCGATCTTCGATGTACTTCGGATTGCTTGTCCCAAGGAGGCTGTCCAGCTTGTCGGGAAGAAATTAACCCACATTGGCTCTCACTCCTTTTCGCAATTCTTGCACAGTCCCCAAGCAACAGGCAAAAGGGCTTACAGTATGCGAACCACTCCTTAGCCGCAAGAAGGATCGTTGACGATATATTGCTTTCTTCTCCGGCGTATTCGGCAACTGAGGATTCGGTTCAGGGAGGGGTTCTCAGTTGTATGGCGGCCGCGTTGCTGTCTGCTTATTTGGCAGATCGCGGAAGGGTGAGTGAAGCATGGAAATTGTGCGGCACTGCAATTCGGTAAGTATGCCATAGTTCAATGCCACCCGCAACAAGATCTAACGTTCATAGTAATGCACAAGCCTTGGGCTTACATCGAGATCCCCGATGGCGCAAATGGGAGGCAATGGGACCTGTTGAGAAGGATCTTCGGATGGCTACTTGGTGGCTCCTAGCTGTGGGAGACCGGTGAGTAAGAGTCCGATATAAATATAAATCTTGCGCTCACTTATCTCACAGCCTATTGTCGTATATTCTCGGTCGCCCGCCAATGACCATCAGAGGAACCTTCGAAACTATGCCATGGCCGCCCAACACCTTCGGCGACGGCTCACCTAACCGAATCGTCCTCTTTCAACGGAATTTCATTCTACTCACTGACCTTATGTGCGAAGCTTCTATCACGGTATGTCTGAACGTAAAGATTTTGACGTAGCTTAGCTGACGTTTTCCAAAACAGTGCTTAGGTCTAAGCGACCCCATCTACTCAACCGTAGTCGAGATGGATCGGAAGTTTCAGGAGTGGGAATCTCAATTACCTTCTATCTTGAGCTGGCGAAATCGGGCTTCGACACCGAACCCTCAGCCATCTGGTGGGCCGTTCGATAGTAGTCCTGACGAGGCCGACCCAATGACATACTGTCCTCGCTTCATTGAAAGTCAACGAGTCGTACTAGCGGCTTGGTATTTAGACACTTTGATGTATGCCTCACGCGTTCAATTCTCTTCTTGTATACTTACGTTTCTAATTTCCCAGGGGTATCCATCGACCGTATTTGATGCATCCTCCTCCACGCGAACCACGATCACGGCCTGGGAGTCCTCTCTGGTATGAGATAAATCCATCGAGGGAGCGATGCATCGAACTTGCCATTGAGCTTACAAGCGTCCTATGTCAATACCATACTAAAATTGCTGGTCAACCTCTTACCGAACGGGTCCTCCCTATCATGCTCCCGTACTTCATCTTTGACGGCGCTGTTGCTCTGGCAGGTGCTTTGTCTCAGGTTCCGCCACATCCACGAGCCTCGGAATGCTTGGAGCTCATGGACAACGCCATGGTCGCCTTACACGAAATTGCGGACGCCACGAAGGGCGCCGTCGATGGTGAAGGAGAGACTGCTAATAGGGCGCTCAAGGTCCTCGCAGCATTGCGCAGAGCAGGCGGGTGGGGGCTAGATGAGAGGGAGAAGGGCGAGTTGGTCTCCATGATGGACTTCCAAGAGCAAAACGACACCATAGTTGGGGTCAGAATACCCCCTACCACTCTATCGTCACACTCTTCTGGTTTCCATGTCCGTGGCTCAGAGAGTGAGACAGAAGCGAATTTCTTCCGCCATCACACCACATCGGCACCTTTCCCTACTCAGTTGGGAAGTGTTCCTCCGCATGCTGCATCATCTACCTTCTGGATGAACTCTATCATTTCAAACGCACCAAATTCCTTTGGAGGGACGTCATCGGATATTTCCTCGTCGCTGGCCTCCGACTTTCAGCAGTTCTCAAACACGGGCGGAGAGCCTTCACTGCAGTCTCAGATCCCAGGTAGAGCAGAATCTTCGTTAAGCCCTTACATGGTCTTACAGGGTGTTCAACAATCTTCTTCCAACGAAGGTTTGGTCGATTTTGATATGGATTGGGTTCGCCTTGCGGGTATGGAGAACTGGTATAGCGGAGGAATGACCGGCGGCGGGTCTGCTTAAGTTGTTGGTTTTGTAACTTATGCCAGTATGTCAGAATTTGTTTTGATTTTACAGTATGTTGTGATTACCCTTGCTGTCGTACCGATAGATCATGGTTCCTCCTGCACTAATTATCGGAATATATCGATCTCATTTCACATGCTATCTCTACAGCAGTTTCATCTGAAAACCCGCCGTTTGTACCACGAAACTAAGAGTTACTGCCTTTGCATGTTCTCTGGCACTAAGGGTCTCTACACAGCTCTGCACACTGGCAATGTTGCGTCTCGCACCCCAGCTATTTATCAGCTTCAACGTCTAATAATTAACGATAATAGCGTTTGCATGATCGAACCTACTGGCAATTCAGTGGATTATCCGGTGACAACTGAATTGCCGTGGACATCGGAGTAATGGAGACAAGGACAGGAGAGACAGGTTTTCCGACCGCAATAATTAGTGATAATAAGCAACCTTTAAAACGCGCTGGGACACGCAAAGGGAAATGCCGGAGGCCGGACCCCGGAGCGCCTAAGTGAGGCATTCTGCCCAAGTGAATGTTCCTCACCGGTTTGTATGCTCAACAGTGCATTTTTCACTCCTTTCTTGTGCTAGACATTAATTCCTATGTACATAGTATTATATACCAAAATGTGCGATTTTTAGCGTGACTGTAGAGGGTGGAGAAAGCGGTCAAAGGCCATTTACTTACATACCTGCCTAATTGGGATGGGGTTTCCTCCATCAGAGGCCCTGATGCCGCGCAGCGCATCTCCGAGAAATAAGCGGCATGTCCCATGAAGAAAATGAGCCTTTGCTTTTCATGGGACACGCATTTTTTGGCTGGAGTGTTGGCGCAGAGCGTGTCCCATGAAGAATTTGCATTTTGGCTCTTCATGGGACACGCATCGCGATTTCGGCCGCTTTTCCTCACTTTCCGGCGCTTTTTTTTCCATCAACAATTCATTCTCGACTATCTCTACCTATTCCACATTGTCCGGCACTCCCCCGACTGCTCCCCGCCCTCCCGATCACTGTTCGACACGTCCCCGCCTTCCCCCGCCGCAGTGGTTGGGGTTCATCATGTCCCGGGACACGCACTCAGATGCCCTCCCGCCAGCGGTGCTTTGGCGCCCGTGTCCCATAACAAGAAAGCTGGTCCAGCACGGTTATATTCACCCCACCTTCACCTCAGTGCGATAATTCAGCCCACATTGCACGTTGGCGTCTGCAGGGCGCCACTGGCAGTGAATAAACTGGGTACTGTACTTTTACGACCATAGCGGGCGTCACATGTCACAGAGGCTGAAATGTCCGCTATTTACCGCCTCAGCTCACAAAGGGGTCATCCGCTGTGTGACAGGCTTTTAGAAAATGCACAGATTTTATATTTTTCATCTGCCTGCGGTGCAGAACAGTGTAAATAAATGGAATAGGTACAAAAAGCTGCTGTGAATCATCAAAACGAGTCTAATCTGCATCACTGTAGTACTCATTTGAAATGCACTTCCTTCGCCCAGGTCCAAAGCCAAGGGGCCTCCAAAATCCTAGCGCGCAAAATTGACCACCATTGGGTTAACCCTGACCATCTCTCTGGGGTCCTGACATTTACAGCGGGAAGCACTTTGCTTCACACTTTGTTTGAATAAATCTTTCCTCCAATTGCCTGGCCTCCTAGGGTTGTGGGTTCTCAATGAATAAGTAGTCGAAGTCAAACCCGAGAGATAAAATGGTGATAATATACACAGACTGTGTTCTGTAGCATGGTCATTTAAGAATCTGTTCCTAATCAGGCTCACGAATGCTGAGGTAATAAATGCGGATGTAATAGCAATTACTCATTGCACTTGAATGACTGCATTGCAGTGATGCACCATAATCACATTTTACTTTATATCACTGTTAGACTCATGCACATAGGGGATGCAGGCTCACTAACCTATGGTGTACAATTCACTGTACATGTTGGAATATAGTAGAAGCAGCAAGCATCGCTATGTGCAAGGACGAGAGGAGCGGGATGGAGTCCTGCATACTTGGCGTATTTTCATATATAAGTAGTTTACTTACCTTGTATGTACCTCATCCATTTGCCTCAGAGCTCAACGAGGTCAAATATAATGACTCGCTTTCCTCCCTCGCGATGTGTATTTCAATAGTACAATCATCTCGTTCCCTTGCTGATCTTTCTAACCCATCTAATGGACTGGGGTTAACTCTGCCGGTGACAATACTGGGCCTGGCTGTAACGCTTAACATTACATAGACCGACCATGGCCACTTTTCCTAAGACTCACTGCCCTTGGTAGATTATCCATGGACTAGATAAGATATGATCATGCATATCCCATTAGGCAACCAACTTGCTTCGTATGTACTTCCATTTTCCTTGTCCTCCGTCATTAGTATCCTACGGGCACAGAATGCCCTGTCTCTTATATACTCTAGTCCGCGTTCACTGTAACTCCCCGTCATTCCAACACCAGTAATCCAGCCTCTCTGCTTCTCCTCCAACTCTTCCAGTGAAACTCTGTCCGCCAAGGCTCGAGACTTCGCCCTTACACTGGCAAACTTTCTAATCACTTCATTCCTCGGCTTTTTTTCACCATTATATTGATAGACTTGTACTTAGATTGTATGATAAATAATTTATAGTCACCTCTTGAATGTACACCTATCATAGCCTCTGAATATACACAACACGACAACCTTTTCTATTCAAAGGCTCCGAACTGAACTTCTGCGAGCAACGGATGTATTAAATGCATGCTAAACGCCCATGGTTGTCGGGTTGGGGTGTGCCAGGGGTCCTGCCCAGCACTTTGGGGGGTTCATTTCATGAATTAGGATCTTCGAGGCCCCTTGTCCAAAGCCTTCGAATGCACCAAAAGCAGGTGGTGAAGGATCTTTCGACACCGATCTAAGCGGACACTGTCACACCTCACACAAGGGTTGTCCGCTCGTCCCCGGTGGATGGTTGGTGTCACAAAAAATCGGTCGTCCGCTACGGTCGTAAAAGTACAGTATAATCCAATACAGACTACCAGTGGTCAAGCCCGCCATAGAGAGCAAGTCAAGAATACACATAAGTGATATGATTTAACATCCCTTCATATGACGACTGTAAGTAAGTCACATCGGATGAGAGCATACAGTAGGCTGCGTGGCCATGTTAGAAGCCTTTTGGTCAATACAAAACTTTCCAAATGGGGACATCCGTCGATCAATGTTGTGACTTCGTACTCGTGACAGACGCGTCGTGTGACAACCGCGTCTGCGGGTTGGTGGCACCGACGATACGCTTGTTTCACAAGTCTTAAGCTTGACGACATAGTCCAATAGTATCAGATGGACGTAGAGACAAGTCGAGCGAAACGATTGGAGAAACAGCAGTCGAGGTATCGGGATAGGGGAGGGTGCGTCGAGCACCGTTCTGCTGTATGTTTCCTTATTCTAACCGCAATGCAGCATATTCGTGCCGGCTGAAACAAACCCACTACTAGAGGTTTTACTTGCTCGAGGTCCGAATGGAGAATCACCATCTAAATACCGCCATGGCAAGAGGTCTCCAAGTCGTCGAGAGAGTACTCGCGACTCTGCCCAAGGTCGCTTGCGAAAAGGCGAGCCAACCGTGAAATCAGGCAGGAAATCTACTCCTGCTAAGAGCAAGAACAAATCTACGAAGTCTACGCGTAAGTCCACTACCACAGGAGGTGCCGCTGCTAGTGTCGAGCAGATGGATGCAGGTACTGTGATGCGTCCATCTGACGAGACAACTACTCAAGGGTATCTGATCTGTCAGGACCTTCACGTTTACCTGCTGCGTCATCTAGTCGTGCTGTCAAATCAAAGGTGAATGACAAGCATGCGACTACCAGTGAGTCCCCTACTCGTTCCGTGACTATCGTCTGACTGACTAGCGACGTTGACAACCGCATGGCACAAACAGCAGTTTGTAATGGTATAGTCATTCACTGTCAATATGTATCGTTCATTCACAGCCTTTCTTTTGCAGAGTCCGATAGTACAGGGAAAGACATTGCTAATACCGGGCAACTCGGTAAAGAAGCAGCCCCTGCATCAAAAGTTGTGCAAGTGAAATCTAGTCGCACTACTCGATCAAAGGGCAAGGATAAAGCATCTGAGCATAGTAAGTGCTTTCTCCGATCTCCGAAATGATGTTCACTGAATCTGACTGTCCGCAGACGATGACGTGCGAGGTGACCATGACGATATCCCTCCTCCAGCCAAAACCAAAGCAGTCACCCGTGGTCACAAGGCACCGCCGAAGGAAACCTCAGACCCTGGCAAAGGTAGGATGATCCCGCCTCGTTTACCTAAATCAGACATTCATAGTCTCTATCGGCAAGAAGGAGCCGCTACCAAGCGTTCCAGAGCAGCGGAAGAGGCCGATCCTGATGTCGTGCCTCCACCGTCAAAACGTCCCAAGCGAAAAACTGCTGCAAAGTCTTCGGAGCCTCGAAAAACAGACAAGGTCACCACTCAAGAGTTAGCGCCTCCAGTTCCTGACACACTTCGGGACTTCGAGCAGCCAAGACCGAGGCGAACCCAACAGGCAACGCGAATTACCAAAGGTTCGTGCTCAACGGAACTCACAATAACCCTTATTCACGGTCAAAGTCCACTGCAGACAATGATGACGTACAGATCTCCACATCGATTGCCGGGCCTGCAGGGGGTGGGCCTTCCAACGCCGTTTCCATGCAGAAAAGACAGTCGTCCCGTCACAAATCCTCGAGCACAGCGACCAAGCGTGCCACAACTGTCATATTCTCTAGCGACGATGAAGACTGTGAACCGGAGCCCATAACCCGATTGAGGTCATCTGTGATTACCGTTTCCGCCAACGTGGTTCGAGGTGGACCCACACCGGGGGCGAAGCAGCCGGATTCCAAGAGCAGTAATTTCGCTTCAGAGGATCGACTGCATACAATCAAACCTAGAGTAGCACATCGAACGCGGACACAAGTGGGTTTGCCTTCGCCGCCGGATGACGATGAAGATTCAGAATCGGACGTCCCATTGGCTGTTGCGGTGGCTCGCAAAAGGAAAGCCCGGAGGTATTTGGTGAAAGATGACCTCGCTATGCGAAATCGGCACAATGCTTCTGATGAGGTAGCACCTGAGGCAAGCAAAGAGCAGAGAGGCGATCAGAAGGACATGACCACAAATGGGCAGCGGGGCGTTATCGCAGCAGGCAGTTCAACTGGTTTGACTGCAAAAAGAGCGACGGTTCGGGTTGATGAAGAGGAACTAATGGGCAGTGACAGGGATGCCTCGGACGGAATGATTGACAAGAAGAAATCTGCCGCCAGATCTAAGCCCGGAACCAAGGTCAAAACAAAACCGTATGTCTCCGTTGTTGCCGTTCTCGTTTGTGTGAAACCTAAAAGATGGTGTCATAGACTGAAATCTTCTTCCAGAAGTCACAAAGAGAACCGCAAGGCATCGAAGAACGTCGTAAAGAAAAAGCGCACGCCGCTGCCCGGGGTAAGCACCACTTGGACAACTGATAATCCCGTAAATGTCTGACAGCATCTGCAAAGCCTCGAATGTCGATGTTCCCTGTACCGAACATGGTTCCGGATGATGATGACGATCCTATCGACCTGTTGGCATAGTCTTCAGGTCATGTAGATATACCTTCTATACTTATATTGTACCCCAAATACCATTCACTCAGAATATGCAGATAGACAGATGGTTTGGTGACGTGATGGAATAACACGAATAGCAGTAAAGCATATCATGGAGCATTAGGATAGAGGATACCGGTTGCCGCAGGCAACACTTGATCCTCGTCTCGACCTAATGATGTTGTCAGAAGGTCTAAGGGATACCAAAGCGGACCAGAACACCCACCTTCTAGGAACTTCTGCATGAACGTCCGCGGGGGTCTCCCTCGTGGCTGCAACAAGATACCCATGATATGGTCATTCTGCTTCCAACAGTTCATCGTCTCCTGGTAATCTTGCCGTCCCTTCTGAACCAACTGGTCGACCACGCGAATGTCGTTGACGTGCCGGTTCTCTTCAAATATCTGTCGGATAGAATGGCGAATGTAGGCCGGTGTCACGTTCAAGGAGTACAGGGTGCAGATTTCCGGTGCCTAGCTTGGGTGAGTACTTGCGTTCGGTAGGACGGTATTTGAAACATACCCCACGGTACCAGTCCCTGTACAATTTAATAACTTTCTTTCGAGCGTCTTCAGGCGTATTTGATCGAGTAGCCACCCGTGCAAGACGAGCCGGGATAGTTGACATGGTTGATGGTGAACAGTGAACTATGCACTCCTCACCGTCATGTACGGCGAGCTCGACACACGGCAAGATCCGAACAAAATAAATAATATTATCACATTGTAAATGAACCATTATTAATCATAAGGTAAGTAGAAACTCCGCCTTATCAGTATCAATTGTCCTTTGATTGTCTTTTCTGCTGAACGATCATCTCTTTAAGACTCATCCAATTCTCGTTTCTACTCTCTCACAGCTAGCTCATCTTCGTAAATTTCTACAATGGCTAGAGGCACTTTCAAGCAGAAACGAGGTGGAGGACGCAGGTATGTGATTTTTTAGACAGGTCGCACTAATCGGTCTAATTTCGTTCGGTTGTATTTAGCTTTAGGTTGGTTGGTCACACTAGTTGAACGCTCAAGCTTTTGCTGAACCACTATGCAGTAGGAACCTCACCCTAGACGAGAATGGCGTTGCAGTTTCTTCGGATAAGCCGTGAGTTTTTACACATTCGCTTGATGTCTCTTCAGAATTTAACAAGGTGATCGGAACGATCAGACGACGTCGACGCGGCGAAGAAAGTGACGAGCATGATAGCGACGAAGAATCAGAGGAGGAGTCTGAAGAGGAGGAATCTGAAGAAGAGGGAGGCGCACCGGCGCAGCAGCAACCTGAGCTCACTCGTGCTGAGCGCCGCGAGTTGAAGAAGAAGGCCAAATCCAAAGCACAAGAGAACGGCGAGGAGGAGGCTGAAGATGAAGATCCGATCCTTGCGAATCCCAACCTCAATGTTGGTAAGAAGTTGAACATCTCTGATCTCAGCGCGCCTCGTGAGCTCTCTCGACGAGAAAGGGAAGCTAAGGCTGCGAAAGATGCGAAGGAGAAATATTGGAAGGTGAGTAGTCTATGCTTACAAGTCGTTTCAACTCATATTCAATACTTCCTCAGCTTCATGAGCAAGGCAAGACTGAGCAAGCAAAGGCTGATCTCGGTCGGCTCGCAAAGATCCGTGCAGAACGTGAGGCAGCGCAGGCCAAGAGGAAGGCCGAAGCCCAGGGTATGCAGATTCCTCTTTTGTTGTACCTTTTAATTTCTGGCACTCACTACTCAATTTATAGCCAAGGCAGCAGAAGTTGAGTCGAAGAGAAAGGAGGCCGCCGGAAGGGGAAAACGTTTGTAATCTGTAGTATCCAAGGGCATACAAGTTCAGTCATTGTATTTGGTATCCGTGTATCTTGCAAATGTACTTCTAGCTTCCAGCTGTGGACTATATTCAGTCAGCTTTCATTGTCCGTTTGTAGTCATTTTCGATTCATTTCAAGAATCAAAGTATGCCTTGTAAGTTGTGACTAGATATGGCTTGGGCGTCTATTTGGTTACGATCGACTTTTTGAACTAGACGCCTGAAATTCAGTCCTCTTCATCCAGTTTCTCTTCTACCATTTCAAAAGCTTCTAGATGGTCTCCAGTCTAGCAGCACAGCTCGCTAAGAATGCATCTCTGAACTCTGCACTCCTTGTTGACAAATCTCGTCGAAAACCGACACAGTCGTACCTCTTTACACCGAAGGAAGCAGATCAGCATGACCTTGACTCAATTTACGCATTGGGCGTGAACGGTTTCACTCAACTTGCGACTCTAAATGGATTATTAAGAGCCTACGATGCCTCGCTTTTTTCAGATGCCGCCAAAGCATTGGACAGGACCTTGCAACCGAGTGACGTTGTTGCAGACCTCGATCGCGCTCTGGACTCTTTTCTGCCATTGCTAGGACCATACCTTTTGGAGAATCCGACAGGGAAAGTGTTGGAATGGCTTGTGCGGAGGTTTAGGTACGTCAAAATTCTCTTTTGCGGAAGGTCGTGGTCATTTCTGATAATTATTGGATCTGCATTAGAGTTAACGAATTCAATGTGAGCCCGGTCTTGGCATTATTTTTGCCTTACCACGAGTCTCCGCACTTCGCCAAAATGTTGTCCATTCTTCATATAACGTGCGTCATTTGTTCACTTCCCCAGTTAACACCCTTGTGCTGAACAGCAGAATAGAGAGGCTTCACCATTTGCACCTTTGATACCGTTTAAAACCACTTCAACACCGCTTTCACGACCTGCCCTCGTAAAGATCCTCCTGCAACCTCAAAATTCGGACTTTGCTCGCTTCGTAGCATCTATTCTACCTGCCGCGCTTCAGATGGAGGCGATAGGCGGCGTTCACCGCGGCCTGATTGCCTTCCATACGAGTGTACTACTTGATTTTATCAAGAAGAACCACGACGCAAGAAAGGGAAATGTCCCAGACGAAAGCATTTTGGCGTGGTACCTTCCTGCTGCTTCTGAGCCACTCCAGATATGCTCGAAGGTCGAGGTCGAGTCTTCACGAGAGGCTCTAGTAAAAGAGACGATCGTTAGTATTTCTTTAGCTCCGGAATGTCTGTGACTGTTGTTGAATACCCTTCTAGCTCTCTGCATTTTTGCTTCTCTCGGCTCTGTCCCATACATGTCCGCTCACTGCCGAAGCTTTGTCGTCGATACTTAAGCTTGCGACCGCTTGCGCCTCGAGGGTAAGCCCCAAGCACCTCACGCGAACGTTCATTGCTCTGTGCGCTGTGCAAGACAATGTTAGCGATGTGGTATGGTCAAATACACTGACCAAGAGTGTTTTGAGAATTCCGTAAGTGATATGTTCTTCACGCGTAAAAAATGTCTAAAAGCTATTCCTAGTGACATTGAGCAAGAACTCAAAGAGGCTCTGCCATATGCGGGCTCGGAGAAATTCATTGGCGGCTTCCTGTCTGAGCTTGTCCCTCGGTACGTCATGTCAGTTTTCCCCAAAAATTCTCTTGTTCACCTCCCAGTGTAGGTTGTCCGATGAGCAGGCGTTCAGGGTCGTCGATGCTTTGGTCACCCACTCCGAGCTCCCTGCTATTCTTATCCGATCTCTCACAGTGTCGCTTTTCAAAGCGCTGGTCGAACAGAGCTCAACAGAATCGCATTCTAAGATTCGCTCGTTACTGGTTCAGGTCCAACAAAGACACCCTGATGTTTTGCAAAACTCCTATGACGATATGTTGGAGACCGACAGCGACAAGAAGGACGTGCTTGAACAGGCCCTGCTATCTCTCTCGATGGTTAGTATCATTAACAGTGTATCTTGTCAGTGGAATTCATCAACAGCCGATGCACAGGATCTACCGGGAACGACGAAAAAATTAGACAGCGTGGTTGGCTCCATGAATGCCGACTCTAACGTCCGAATTATTGCCGTTCGCGAGCTTTACGAAAAGCTGAAGACCGGTGATTCAGAAGAGAAGGTGCGTTGTCTTTTGTCTCAGTCTCGAGGCTAAGCTGAATTTCTATTTTAGGCATCAATTCAATCTGCTTTAATGATCCGGATTCAAGATACCAGTGCTCCGGTCCTGGAAGCTTTGTACGCGAACCCCGCGGAGTTGCTGCCGATCATCTTCAACGATGCATCTGCATACATCGACACAATCTCACATGTTCTACACTCGTCACCTGCACCTGGCCGAAGCATCATCAAGGCGCACGTAACCTTCGTAGCTCGTCACTTGTACCCTGCTCTAGTGGAGAGAAGTGATGGCACGAAGCTTGCCGGTCGTTTGTTCTACGACGTTGCTCTTCCATTCTTGCTATACTCTAAGCCGCGGCAGAAGACCGCCTCTGCAATCTGGGAGATTCTTGAGGCCACAGAGAAGGTCGACGATGCGACGTTTGGTCTGGCGCGATATGAATTATTGGCTGGCTGCGTCGATGCGGCCCGTTGGGAAACAAGCGATGATCGAGAGGGTGGCAATCGCAGCGCCTCTTCTTTTATTAAGGTCAATCTGGCTGTCGCGGGTAGAATCGCAGGTAAGTCAAATTATATACTTAGTTCAATATCCTTCACTGAATGTATGGAAACAGAAAATGTTGTAGCCTCTGATATGTTCGGCGACCATATCACTGCCTTTTTGTCGAAGTTGCAAGATCAGGACGCTCATGCTCGGGCCCTGGCGTACCTTGTTGTGCGTTCATTGTTAAGCAGACTATCAGGCGAACATCAGCTCGATGCTGGTTTACGTGCTATGACGTCCATGGGACTCGAAGGACTGGACACCATGAGTGATTTCCTCAAGGGTGCAGAAAACGTTCAAGAGGTAGAGGCCCTTCACTGTGCATTTCGAGCTGATCTGACTCTTGTCATAAGGTCTTAGATGATACAAACCTGGGGTACGCTGTGTTCCACAAGCCCAGCAGTCGTAACACGTTATCTCGAATGCAGGCATCGATTTTGGTCATGCTTCCCACTATTTCGCGCCCGTCTGGTGTCTCTCTAAACTGGTTGGACGATCCGAAGGTGAGTCACACGCTATCTACGTTGGATCCACCCTCCTGATTTTTGTTTGATCGTAGGCCATGACTGACACGAGAGCTTCCAAATATATGCAGCTTATGCGCACAGTCTACAAATTAGCGAATTCAACTGTCCTCCCTCCTATGTTAGCTGGTTATCTCTTACGAGTCGTCCTCATCAACCTTGGGGAAGACTCGTTAAGATTCTTAGCTTCTATTTGGCTCAGTTCGGATCCCAAGGTCAACGCCGATCCCTCTCACTACGTCTCCCTCCATCACGCAGCTGCGTTCTTGGAAGCTCATCATGCTACGCAACGATGGATCGACTTCCAGACAATCATCCCCGCAATCCTTGCCGCCCTACAACACATCGATCGACGTGTCCGGGGCGCAGCCCTTGAATGCGTCACGATCCTTGCAAAACTGTCTCAAGCGAAGAAGCCTATGGCTCTCTATGCTTACGATGCCATCTACGGATCTAGCTCAGGTATATCTTACCTTTGTATCTTACTTCATGGGTGATCCTGAGCATTATTACTTCAGATGCACTTCAATATCTCGATTGGGCTGATCTGTCAAAATACATTCAAGCCCTCGGCGATGCACGTGAGCATATTCTGAACGATGCCTCGTACCTGGCCATATTCCATCAACATCATCTTGCGGCACCAAAGTGGGAACCAAAGAGAGAATCTGGGTATGTCGCGATATTGTGCCGGTCCACGGAAAGTAGCGGCTCATGGTGTTTATAGCAGATACAAGAAACGTATTCTCTGCTACATCATGTCACACGTTAATGCATGCGGTCTGCCTTCCCTCAAAGTCTCTCTACTCAAAAGTGTCGCGGAAGTCTCCAGTTCCGTCAAGTCGCAGATGTTGATGGACACCATTCAGAGCGTGGGACCTACAACGGCCTCTGCCTTTGGCCCTCTTTACGAAGAGTTTAGTGTCCTTCTGATCTCCGTGTTTGACGCATCGGCAGCGGATAGCCTGAATGACACCAGTGGCACTGCTTGGATAACATATCAGGATACATTGCGTCACTTTTTCCAATCCGGTATGGTTACTTATGCTTCTCTCACAGCATCTGCTGATTTAGACTATTTGTTAGGGTCTGTCGCAGCTGCACGGAGGGCATTAGCAAATCGCATAATACACGGTCTGTTTGCGGAACTTACTCTGCAACGAAAGGTCGAATTGTGCCAGCTTTTGTTGGAGTTGGGACAGTCTGATCATGATGTTGTAAGTAATATTCAGTGTCACACCATATGCCTACTCACGATGATGCAGTCGAAGGACTGCCGTGATATTTTGATTAGCGTCCTTACCGAGGTACCAGTAATCGTTCATGTCCTACGCGCTTTGCAGCCGGATTACGCAGACGTCGAACAACGAGCAAGCAAACGTGCCAAGGTCGATGGGTATGCCGTTCTTTCTTTTCTCTTGGTGGATAATATCTGATCGAGAAGTAGCTCGGAAGAAGGTGGCTCCAAGGGATCGCTCTCATCATTGAATGCATTTGCGGATATTCTTTCGGCCTCACAGCTACCTGGATCAGTGGAACTACTCACTGTGATCTTGGAGACTCTGACAAAGCTCGTACATGATGTACCCGCAGCTTCCGGGGACAAGGTCTTCGCAGAACAGCTTCTCCTATCTGCGCTGGAGAATTCTGCAAATCATATGCATGTATGTCTGTCAATTTTACAGCACTGTCCCTGCTCTGATCTTTGTAATCAGGAGGACACCAGATTACCTGCGACTGCGATCAGGCTTGACATTTTGGTGGAATTAATCCGAGGTACGTTTCAAGTTTCAAACGCCTTGCCATGTGTGTTTTCTTGAACCTTAAACAATGCATTTCTCTCAGCTTCAGAGAACCCTCAAACATTCAACCAAGCTCTTCTATTGATGGCTACCTTGGCGCGTCTCGCACCTGACGCTGTTCTCCTCAATATCATGCCCATATTTACATTTATGGGGTCGAATGTCTTCCATCGTGATGATTCGTACAGCTTCCGGGTGGTGCAGAAGGTAAGAGATATAGCCTTTTTTAGTCGTTCACGAACTCACAGTTTATGCTAGACTATCGGCAGTATCGTGCCCGTCATGATATCCTCATTGAGGAAATCTCATCCAGAGCGTTTTGAACTTCATGTTGCTTCTCGAGCCTTTCTAAGGATTTTTACGGATGCTGCCAACCATATTCCTAGGCATCGTCGCACTGGGTACGCATCATTGATTGGTCTTTCCAGTGAATTTATCTCAACGCACTTGCAGTTTCTTTTCTCAACTTGTCGACGCACTCACGCCGCAAGACTTTCTTGCTCCGGTATCCATGTTATTGGTCGACAAAGTTGCCAACCGTGTCGTGAGACAAAATGTTGCAGATGCCCGCAATTCACTCACGTTGCCTCTAACGGTTCTTCAACGTTATCCGTTAGAGCTACAGCTATCAGTAAGTACTATGCCAAACTTGTCGTAGCTCTCCGTCTGATATTTCGTAGACCCTGGTCGAAATCCTCCGTGAGGCTCACCGTTTGACAAAGGCTGCTGCAAACCCTGATGGCAGCGTCCAGACGTTCTTAGAGCTGCCGTCGTGAGTAGATCTTCACTGCCTATGTTTATGCACACATTTATGGTTTTCTGCAGTGATGATGAACATACTGAACCAGCGACTACGATGCAGAGACAAGCGCAGGCACTCCTGATCTTCGTTGGGCAAGCCATTCGAACGGTGCCCTCGGCTCCGTTTACCGATGATACTCCAGCACACTCTTATAGCGCTGATCTGCTTTCATTGACCCTTGATTTGGCCGTATCGAAGAACGTCATTAGTAGTATTGCGGATACCGCGCGGTCGGCCATCAAGGATATCCTGAGTTCGATGACTGCCATCGATTTCGTTCTGGGAGTGTTCACTATATTGCAATCCGGGGAACCCACGGTCCGTCAAGTCGAAGCAGTACCATTATGTGGAAACTAACATTGGTTCGCATTAGGTCCAGCAGGGCGCATTGGAATTGCTAGGTGATAACTTGGCGGAACTAAAGGATGCGTCGCGTACAAGAGTATCCAAGACTGTCATCAAAATTATTGAGGCTACCAGGAAAGTCTTACTCTCCGATGTGGACGAATCACTGGTCATTGCATCTTTCCATGGTCTGAAAGGCGTCGTGATTACAATGTGCCCCGGCGAAGAGAGTGCACTGACGAGCTTGGTCCCTGTTGTTGTCACGTATATCCGAGATGACAAATCGGTTGCTTCTGCGCTGGATATCATGTCGTCCTTAGTGTAAGTCCATAGCGCTTTGTTGACAGCAGTAGAACTGATTTTCCATAGGGTGAAATTGGGGCCTCGGATCATTCCTTACTTCAAGGATATCGTCTCTGTGTCCGTCAGTGTATTTCATTCTGAAGGTCTGTGTTTCACCGCTTTTTCGTGGTCCCGAACGCTTACCCATTCGACCAGGACTATCCGTGCAAGCCCTCTCCACGTCGCTCAATATTCTTCAAGCACTTTTGCATTCCATTCCCAAATTTTGGAGCAAGAATGAACTTGCTCAAGTCCTCGACGTTTATCTCGAAAGCAGTTCGTCTGCTGCACGGACTCATGTACCTGAAATGGCTACTCTGATGAAAGCAGTCGCTAAGAAAGCGCCGGCTAAGGTGTTGCTGCCTTTGCTCTGTGAAACATGGACTTCTGTAGCATCCGCTGATAAGGAGGTCAGTATAATTGTGTGACTGGGTTTATTGGTGATGGTTGACTGTTTGATAGGTGTCTGAAGATCAGCTTCTCGCATATTGGAGTGTCCTAAAGAGGACCATTCGAGCTGCTCCACGCCCGATAATCTCAGATCATTTACGCCAGCTTTTCAAAACCTTCCTGGATGCCTTCCAGTTCTTCGCCTCCAATCCGCAGCTACAAGAGAATGTGAGTCAGACTGAGCCTCTCGACCAGCAGAATCGTACTGATGTAGGCCAGATTGAGCCCGCTGCAATTTCCACATTCTTGGAGCTTGTGGTGAAGATCAACGAAGCGACATTCAAACCTCTATTCAGGAAGTTATTTGACTGGGCGTTTACTATTGATGATTGTGAGTCGCTTGTTACTTACCAGGGCGTTGCGATTCTGACTCCATATAAGCAATGGCGAACGCCAGGAAGTTGGTGTTCTGTCATATATATAGTGCCCTATTGGATTACTTCAAAGTAAGTGGAAGTGTAGATATTGCCCAGTCTTCTTCCTGACGTAGTATGTACTACAGGGATTAATGACTCCATACATGTCGTTCCTTCTCCAACCGACTATTGGACTTTTGGAAGCTTTCCGCAAGCAATCGAAGGTCTCGACGGTTCAACCTATCTGGCGTGCAGTCGTTGAGATGCTCACGAAGACATTTATACATGATGACAGTGGTGAGCTCTTCTCCGGACATGATTGTATATCCCGCCTGATGACCATTTTCAGTATTTTGGCGAGATGATAAACTGCGCCAGCTTCTCTCGCCCTTGGTATCTCAGCTTGCGGTTTCGGTCCGGTTCAATGATGCCGATAGCAAGGCTGCTGTGTCAGAGTGTCTACTCGGCCTCGCCGAGGTTCTGTCTGACGATAGCCTGCTGAAGTCCTTGAACCTGGATATTCTCATGAATACACGATCGGAAGACTCGCGTCTGCGTCTCCAGGCTTTGACATGCAGCGAAGCTATTTGGAGAAGCCATGGCGGCAAGTTGTTAGGTAGGTTGCAACCCATTTTCGTCTCCGACCAACCAAGCTGACATTATTACAGGTTTCGTATCGGAGACAGTTACATTCATCGCTGAGGCCGCAGAAGACGATAATGACGATGTTGTTCGGGAAGCGTTGCGCCTCAAGGACGCCGTGGAGAGCGTTGCTGGCCGCATAGATGTGTAGTTAATGGTTCTTCTCTTGCGCATATACACACATTCTGTTCAGCCACGCCAATCATTTATACTACGCTTGATTGAGACTGTCAAGAACACTAAAGATGGACATTAGGAGGTTATACAGCTAGGGAAACACTGTTAAGGTATAATACTACTCAAGGCCCACTGCTATTCGAGAGGAAGTACCTGCCCAGTCATGGTCTGAATCGGAGGAACGATGTCGTCGAGGATCGATAGTTGTCCGTAGCTTGAAGCGAATTGGGTCACGGCTAGACACTGAGGAATGACTATCCTCCTGCCCCTCAGGTGAGGGCTCTTCAGGAGAAGGCTCTTCATTGTATGTTTGCCCATTATAATCGCCACCGTCGATGTCCATGACATCTTCTAAGGAAATGTCGGGAAGGCTGTTATCTCCATGAAGGTCCTCGCCAGGAAGATCATCCGGTGTAGAAGTCGTCATCGAAGACGACTCGCCGTTCTTGCCACTTGAGGATTCCCGACGCTTCTTCTCCATCTTGCGTAAGACCTTGACGATATACTCCTTTGCAAACTTCTTAATCTTCGCCGTTTTCTCGTCAGAGAGCCCGTCGAGCTTGCTTTCTTTGTAACTGGAAGATTTCTTTTCTTTCTCCGCGATGAGTTGTGTCAGCTGATGGGCAAAAGGGTCAGACGAAGTGAACTTCGACAGTCAAGTGGAGAAAGAAAGCTAACCTCTTTAGCATGCTTCTTGAAAGTATCGTGGTCCATTTGCTTCTGGTACTTCGACATGCTTTTGACCACAATCGCGCCAACGAGCTTGAGTAACCTCTTCTCCTTCAGTTGTCTCCGTTCCTCTCTCGCTTCCTTATTCACCGAAGCTTTCTTCTTGGCTGCCATCTTCCGAGCCTCCTTCGACTGTCTCTCCAACTCCGCCTGGGCAGCATCATGGGCAGCCTGTAGTGCTGCAGCTTCTTGTGCCGCAGCAGCGGCAGCAATAACAGCAGCGATGGCGTCTTTGCTTGGTATAGTCGATTTCTGCATTTGAGTTTGACGTTCAGACCATCCTGCATTGTTATCACGAGCTGGAGCGTGGAACGCCCGAAAGCCCAACGGTTTGATGTCGAGCTTCGGGTGGGGCGACTCTGATCGTCGGTTGCGCTTCATGGGTCGGGCATCTTCTTCTTCTCGGTATAATACGAGCTTAGGATCGAAAGGTATCTCATCCTCGTTCTCCTGCGGACATGATAAAACTGATGAGAGATGTATATTGAATAGGATGGTGACTACTTACACCCTTCATCCTCTTGGGTATACGGTAGGCGTACTCTAATTGATCCCATTGCCCAGATAGCTAAAATATGAACAAGTCAGACACGAGTTCGCATTGAAATACAACAAGGGAAAGACATACCTTCTGAGCCAAACTCGCCAGCGCCTCGATTTCAGACTGACATAACTGAGTCACGTTCTCAGTGATCTTGCAGTCTTCAACTTTATTCCGCTGTATCAATGGCCAATTCATCATGCACTCAAGAGCCTAATGTCCCTTCAGTTTACCTCCAACTGGACTGTGAAGGACAAAATAAAACATACCAGAGTGATCATTTCAACATCTTGCACGTAGTCATCCAGAATGTTTTTCATGACATTGAAGCCACGCAAACGCATGATCTGCCGCAGCGGAGACTGATCTTCTGTCATCTATCAGAAGTACGGAACTTAGCATCCATCCATGATCAATAGTACGCCTGACAGCTTACCTTGACGCGAGTGAGAAGCTTGAATAGAACCTTGCGGCTCTGTGTCTGACGCATGGCCTGAACAATCTTTGGTGCGTCTCTCTCAATAAGCGGTTTAAGAGTAGGCTACAGAAAGAAACGGTCAAATCTTTCCAAACGTGGATATCAGATAAGACAATTCTTACCATGTAGTCCTCGTCAAGGCGCCTGCCCTTCTTCTTCTTGGAGCCTTTGAGACCCAATTGCTCAACTTCGTCAGATATACCAAGCGCTAAAACAAGCGTATGTGAGCTGCCGTTAGAAATAACGAAGTGAAGAAATTATACCATCGAGGAAGAGGTCGTCCATCGCCGCAATGTCGGTCTGCGTCTTGCCTCCAATAAAGCCCACGCAATTTGGTTCACCGCAATAGCACGGTTGCGCATCGTGGCTGAGAAAAGCATGTGAGCAAACCGTTCTACTAGACGAAGGTAAGGATGACCCACCCATATCGATCGACATTGTAATTGAACGTTAGCTCCTCATCCTTTTTGATACGCCGACTGGCAAAGATACCCATTCGCACGCGGGCACCGACAGTCCACCTTGCCACATAGCAGTTCGGGTTGCAGCTGTGATTGGCGAACCTACCAATGCCGCCGCGCTTTGTGGCGTCAATGAACTGATAAAGACTGTAAGTGGAAAGTACAACAGATACGTAGGGACGCTTCGTACCTCATCCTTCTGCAACATCATGAAGTAAAAATGTCGAATCCCTTCCTCCGCATACTGCCGCATGCGTTTGAGGAAGGAAGGTTGACTGACAACATCACCCACGTATTCGTAGATGAAGGTGTCTCTGCAATGAAGTGTTGGCGACCAAATGAACGAACATGATTGAATGTTACTTACCTCGGTAAGTCCGCACCAGCACGCAAACCAAATCCCTTCTTTTCCGTCTGGACGATTTCGATCGGAGCATACTGCTTGTTCTGAAATCTGAAAGTAGCGTAAGCGACATCTACAAGCAACAGAAAATATGTATTTACCGTTGGTTCTGGCAGTGATGGCGACAACGACAGTCATCAGGAAGACACTCGACCTGAGTCAGTCGGTTGATACAGTCATCCCCGCAGGCATCAATAGGGTCATCTACACCTGTACCCAGATAAACCGATAGCGCGTAGCAATACGTCAGTGGACATGGAAAACCAGCTAGAAAAGAGCCAGCAGAGAAACATGGGCAAAAGACTGACCGTGCTCGTACTGGCAGTCACACGTCATGATATCCTGAGCATCTCTCGACCGTCCCAACGTATTGTACTGATAGTGATTCTCGGGAATCTCAACAAACGTACTCAAGGCACCTTCCTCAGCACGAGGAAGGTCTCCGATGAGCTGCGGTTCTGACTTTTTCTTCGTTTTCGTTGAAACTGGTGGTGTGCTGCTCTTCCGGGAACTCTCCAGCCCTTCATCTGAAAAACCCTCCTTCCCGTCACTTGCAGGACTACCTGACGGCGGTGTAATATCACCCATGACAGTGTCTGTATCCTCCTCCATCTTCAAATATCCCTCTTCTAGCTTGTCTGCAACCTTGTCTCGGAGATCGATAGGTTCGCCCTCTACGCTACCACCATCGAACAATTTGACGACATCTTTGATCCCGTCGACGTCCGCCATGGTATACGGTGGTATAGCACCTTCACCTTGTCTTTTGGGTGACTGTGAACGAGGTCTAGACGACATGGCAGTCGAGTGTGTCGCAAAGATGGCACAGGTCCGACTCGACAGAGGCGAGCGCACCGGCACTCCTGATTTGGGCGGCAAAACCGCAAGTACTGACAACTTAAGACTAGAGCAAAATCAGCCTCTGCGAATGAGACAAAAGAAAGCAGACCCTTGATAAATACAGCTGTAACAAGCTCAAAAGTTGAATAATTACCTTTCAGTCCTGGGTAATGGCGGTGGGAAGCCGCTGTACGTCGCCAACGTTGTGCGCTTAAGGAGAAACACCCAATTTGGCTATGAAAAAGAAGCCTGCGCAAAAGGATATAGTACCGCCTGGGGATTATAAGTATGTATTGAACATCTGACTGGAAACTTAGCTCCTACAGCGGAGCACGATACAATGGGATTCAGAGGTTCGGCACGTTCAAGCGCAACTAAGCGCAACAACTCGACCTGAAGGAAATGATACTCAGAACTAGTGATCTAATCTAATCGAGCGCAAGTACAAATAGAAAGCAACAACTTGAAGGTTCATTGAGACCTGAGAACAAACCCTCACATTCCGCTCTTGCTTTGCTGAGGAAATGTCGTCAACGATAAGCAAAAAGCGCAAGAGAGATGCTGAAGTAGCCGCAGAAGCTACCTTACAACTCGCCAATCATAACCCCACTCAGCTGGGTCCAGTCTTAGGTGTGCACGCACACACAAACTCTTGTTGATGTCGATGTAACAATCTAGACAGCTAGTTTTCCGGCACTGCAGCCTTCTAGATCTACTTCATTCCAATGTTACGAACGGAAAAAGAACGATGAGACACAGGACTTTATTTCGAAGGATACTTTCATTGTAGGCGAGACAGACACAATGGAATTTGTGTCGTCCCCAGAGTCGAAAGCAGCTTCAGCCGGTTGCAGGTGCGCGTCGGAAGCTGTTATATATGAGACTGTATAGTAACTAACTGACATTTGACATCAGCTATATGGTAGCTATCTACGACAAACGAACCGGAACGGCCACATTCCGTCCAGCACCCGTCCAAATCCTCACGCGCCAAGTGAAGGCTCTCAGGAACCTCAAACCCATCGAGGTATCTGTTGACGAACGTATGCGTCTTCGTAACACCCTTGGCGAGACGTTTGGTACAAAGAAGGCCAAGGCTGCGATCCGTGCGCACGAACGAAAACGAATCGATGTGGATGCTATTCAAGGCATAGCTGATCACTTGCAACAGCGCATCGAGGAAAATACCGTCAGCTTGCCTTCGAAAGGTGTGTCCAATTTGAATTTTCTCCGTGAGAGCGCCCTCTAACGACGTTGCACGACGAATAGAAGAGGCAAAGGCTGAAGCAGACGCGAGCCGACTGATACCTCCGTATGACCCAGATGCTGAACGTCCACAGGATGCCTACCCACTACATGGCATCATCCCCGAGCCGGAATTCAATGCGCTTTCAGTGTCAGAGTTGAAGGCGGCCCCCGATGCCAACGGGCGGCAAGCTGCTCTACCATTTGGTAGGTCGACGTGGCTTCGGGAACGGCTGAACCTGGAGTTTAGTACACCAAAACCGAAGACAAAGAACCTGTGAGCGAACAAGTCTGATGTGTGAACTTCTAGTATCGATGACATGCGTAGGAAAATCATGTTGTACATTTCGACGCTTTTTGCGTTCAGAAATGCCTCAAAGGTGGTCAATGACAAGGTCGCTCTGCAAAAACGGCTGAGAGGCATTCCAAGTATCATTGTGGATGCTTTGATTTCGCGCTTCACTGAAGGGGCCCGAAATGCTTCCGAGTAGGTCGTTAATTAAACAAATTGTGACACTTGTACTGAATTTCAGTCCAGGGTGAAGATAACGAGTCAAATGGACACCAGGATCCTGACGCATGCATTTGCATTGTGTCTACACATTGACGACTTCGCTACCGACCCAAGCTTGATCGCTCAAGATCTCAGTATGGATCCGACCAAGTGAGTCTCATTCAAGCGCATCAGCTAAGGTTATGTATAGCTCATACCCCCTTCAGAGTCAACACCCTATTCAAAAGCTTAGGCTGCAAGGTTCAGGCCTTGACCCACACGGACGTGAAACGTCTCGGACTACCTGACACGGTCCTCAATACGAAACGTGCAGTGCTCAAGGTGCCGCTCGAGTTTCCCACTGCCAGGGTCAAGCGGAGCAAGCGGTGATCCTGAGCGTAACCCCGAAGGATAGTGTGACCGCGCGTTTGCTTGTTCTACAGTTTGCTTGTTCAACAGTTTCCTGGTTACGATCCACCTGGGCGCGCGTCGGGCGGCCATGAACCAAGAGTAGCTTGCAGTGGCTGCGCTCTCACTTCGTCTACGGTAGCCCGGAATGTGATGTTTGTTTCCCAAGATGTCAATGAAGTTGCGCTCAGACAACTTCGGCAAAGCCTTTGGAAGCCGCTTTGGTGAGTGCTATTGAAAAAGGTTGATAAAGCTTGGTGCCATCATCATTGTAAAATTGCATCATGAGATTCCCTCTAGATGCCAGTAATTGAAACACTTTAAACTTGCTGGAGATTGTGTGTTCTCTCCTGGATACATATAAGTTCTGCTTAGGTGTATTTGACAAGCTGCTAACACGAAGGCTAAGATACTGTGTCAACGCCCGCCGTTTACGGGTCTGCATCATCCAATTGAGTCGGAGAACTGATGTCCGGATACGTAGCTGTTCTTAAGTTACTGGCTGTGCAATAAGTCGGTTTGTTTCAATGAACGTTTGAGCTCCATGATGATGTGAAGAATATACATCGGGATCAAGAATTTTGTGTTCTCTACGCAAGCGGATCTACGTCCCATAGCTATGCACTTGTCTATTTACATTGCAAAGGTGATGCAACGTAGGCACGGCTGTGCTTCATAAAGTTTATATATGCACTTTTTGAGAATGACAGGCGTCAGATGTTGATTCAGAAGTAAACGCACTTGGATATTCAATATTCATGCTCTACATACAGAACCTAACGAGGGTGGTGTGGTTTCCGCGTGAATGAGTTGACCTTCGTCCCAACCGGAGTTGAATTACGCTAAGAGCGCTTCAGAGTCCGAAGTCAGATTTGAAGCCCCGAAGAAACTCAGCTGATGGGAACGAGAACGAGCGTGATTGGTTGGGCTCGATGCAGGTGAGAGCGCTGGAGAGAGAGGGATCCTGGCGAGTCTCATTTGAACCTGATAGGCCTGATCTTGTTCTCGTGAATCACGATGGCTACGTCGACCGCGCCGTCAGGGAAGCCGAACACCAGATTCTCAACTTTGAAGGTGTTCAAGTTTGCAGCATCGGGCTCCAAACCTCCCCCTCCTCCTCCGAAAGATCCGTACTACCTCGCGAATCCGTCTCTCACTTCCTTGTCCGTGGATTCGCTTTCTTCACAACCTGTCACGCCCATGTCGACGTATACTCCCAGTACCCGCAGTCCCTCTCCAAGCCCATCCTATACCATCAGTCGCTACCCCACCAGAGAGATGGGTCTTTTGCCGTCCAGTTCCACGCTTTCACCGGAAAACGCTGGCTCTCGGAAGGCCATATTCAAGTTACCTTCGTTCACGCGACGTCCAAAGACACCAAAACCATCAAAGTCCAATCTGTCAGACGACTCGCAACCCCCAGAACCCGTCGATGATCCGTCCATCTCGATGCCATGGAACTTCCAGGTGCGCGCCACAATGCTCTTATATGCATCTTTCGCTAAATCCACTCATTATGTCGCATTTTCTAGCACAATATTCATGTTGATGAAGGGTACGAGTCGTTCAGCTATTGTTTCTCTGTTTTCGAGAACTGTTGCCATAACGTGGTGCGTTCGCGACGCGAACTTGGAGACAGCATTTGAGATCCATCGTTCATCGTCTAAGGTCCAGACGTTCTCGGCCGCATGGCTCGTAAATACATCTTACCGTGGACTGAATTGAGGGTCGTTAGAGGTGTTCTCCAGCGGTGCATGTACAACGGTCCACAGGATAAGCATGGGCAAGCATCTACCCTGCTGTACAGATGTCTTCGTTGTATACCAGAGCCCAGAGGACTTTCCCAACTGAACGACGCGTTTGCAGACACCGCTGGAGAACGCCATTTCCTCCGGAGCATAGTCGCATGTATTGTTAATAGAATGCTGACGTATCTCTTATACTCTAGGTTTGCTGGTCTCCCTCCAACGTGGTCGTCTTCATTAGCCGGTATGGGTTTCTCACCAGAAGAAATTGCTGCTATAAATGCCCGTCGAGGTGCTGGTCGTTCTCCGTCACTGTACCCTGTCCAAAGCATACGATCTAATTCTCCAGGGCCTGCTCTGGGCGTATCACGTCCTAACCCCCGCTCGAGTTCGCTACGTCGTGACGTATCGGACACGTCGCTTTCACAACAGTCAGACTCATCTGAGCCTGTTATATACTCAAGAAACGTATCCAGGCAATACTCAGAGTCGTCGGACACACATTCAAGTGATCATATGCACTCCGAGAGCAGGCCCACCGCCCGTCCATTGCATGTTACCCCACTGCGCTCTGCAACCGCACCGATACCCTCGACAGTGCCCATGGCATCGCCTGGTCCGGCACGCGTCCCATCGGAATTCTCAACTTCGACGTCCAGCTCAAAGGACCGCCCTCCAAGAGAACCGCCACGGCGAGCGTACCATATTGCAAATGCGTCCGTCGGTACGATTTCCTCTCCTCCTCCCGCATACAATAGCTCTCCCAAGGCCCAGACGCCACTGGATGCCGCAGACGAAAGCATGACATTACCACCACCTATTACTACCACGCTCGATTCCGACTCTGACCACGAACCATCGAGTGACAACGGCTCGGAAGAACATTTGGAACCCAGTTCTAGCAAAGCACCTACACTATCGTTCACGGCTCCACCACGATTGTCACTCCACCAGGATACCTCACTTGACTTGTCAAGTTGGTCCGAATCCCTGTTTTCCATCATCCCTGATAATGACAAGAAGGATTCTATTGCATCGACTTCTACAGCAGCCTCTTCCTCTACCTTACTCTCAGCTAATACCAAAGTGTTGTCATCGTCACCGTCGTCGCAGACCCGGTTGACACCCACCCAAAAGCCCATCCCCCTAAGCAGTCTTCCCACGCGTAAGAATGCTTCTTCATCTCCACCGCAACTCACGCCTTCTCCGAAGTCGCCCACGCCGCCCGAACGGACGACGCCCCTTTGGAACGAGGTGATGAACCTTGTGCGCTCCGCTGACTCGGAAACGCCCCCTACCAGTCCCTCCCCTACCACACCTTTCACGCCGTACTCTGCATCTGCACGGAACCGGCCAAGCATCACAGTCGAAGCTGAGACTGGCCTTGGTGAGGATGACTTACCCGTGGGTAGTTCACTTCGTGACAAGGAGAATCGGGATTCTAGCATGTCGACGATGACGGTGACTCCTGCAACTATTGTTCGCGACATCACCGTCGCTACGCGCGCGAGAGCGAATGTCGTGCAGTCGCCAATGCGTGACAGTGCTGCTAAACGTATGACAATGACGTCGACGGGTTCAATTGTTGACGGATGCGACGTTGATTCTACTCAAGGCGATCGTTCGTATTCTCCGCAAAGCTTGGAGTCGCATTCTTCAGGCTCTTCGGGTGCTGCATCTTTCGCTACCGTTGGCTCGACGTCTTCCAGCTCGAGAGCGCCTACGCTTGCTTCTTCTAAAGCACCTCAATGGAAAGGCAAAGGCTCGGCGCTATCCACATCAGACGACGATGTTCCTTACATCGAATCATCTCCTGCCCCATCTCCCCGTGGTATGCACTTCGATGACACAACAACGATGATCACCACTGCCACTGTACGGAAAGTCAGAAACGCAGAAGTTGGTGTGGACGTGCTCGAGAGACCTTCCGTAGTCGTGGATGACATCTCTCCCGAGGACACCGAGCTGTCAACTCCCTCGTCTCGGTCGGACAAGTCACCCTCGCCTGTAGCATCGCCAGTCACTCCGGCACCGCGTTATCCAGGCTGGGTATCAGCCGTGGTTGCGCCTCTGCAAGACTTCATCGACGACAAAGCTGATCCCCGAGACCTGTTCGCCGGTCTGCAGGAGATCGCGGAGGGGGAGAGTGGCTCCGTTTACGTGGCCCGTCTGCTAAGCGGCGGCCCGTCGTCTGTGTCCCTAAATGCCGAGCCATCGTTTGTGGCTATTAAGCAAGTGGCCTTGTTGCCGCCTGGATCGTCGAAGCTACTTGACCTTGAGCGCGAATTGAAGCTATTGAAAGGGTTGGCGCATCCACATGTTCTGAACATGAAGTCGCTCTATGTTGATATTGTGGATGATGCGTTGTGGATACGTATGGAGCTCATGGATCGGAGTGTTGCGGATATTGTTAGTCTTGTGGGTGAGGGTTTGGTGTTGCAGGAAAAGCATATGGCGCAGGTGGCTAGCGACGTGGGTTGATTTTTTCGCCCTCTCAAAAGCCAGCCCAATTCTGACATGTTTCGCTTTGGCATTCTTTTTGTAGGTCATTCTTGCCCTTGATTTCTTACGGACGCGGGGGATTGCTCATAGGGATGTACGATCGGATAACTTGCTGCTGAACTCTGGTGGTCTTGTGAAGCTTGGTACGTACTTCCCTGGGTCTTACTATTTCCGCTTTCATGTTCACTTATATGCGTGCGTTTCAGCCGACTTCTCGAATGCGGTTCAAGTTGACAAGTCGAGTCCTCATCGGACGGATCCTGCGGGAGTCGTATACTGGCAAGCGCCTGAAATGCGAAGGTTTGCTCGAGGAATTTTCTACAGCCTGATGCCATACTGACACACAGTTTTTTTCTGTGACAGCGGCTCCTACAATGTCCTCAAAGTCGACGTATGGTCTCTCGGAGCCACAGTTTGGGAGATGGCACAGGCTGAACCTCCGTTCTCTGACATCACAAATGCAAGCGAATTGAGCGAGCGATGGCAACCGCTCGATCAACCTGAAATCTACTCACGATCTTTCCATGATTTCCTTCATCTATGCTCTGAACCCGGCTCGTCACGACCAGATCCTCACGAATTGCTTAACGTGTGTTGACTTTTTTTGACGTACCCTTTCGAAGAGCCCCTCGCTAATATCTTTTTTTTTTTTTTTTTTTTTTGGGTTAGACTCCTTTCATTCGCAGTGCAAGCGGACACGCATCTATCTCCCAACTACTCTCACAATGTAAGGCTATCGAAGAGGGGCTTTCGAGGCGGCGTAGCGTCGAATCCCATGGGACAATCTCTGCTTAAAGTTTATTCATTCCATTATATACCCTTACTCATTTACGCGCACACATACATATTAGTTCCTTACTTACGACCATTCGGACTTTTGTCTACTCTCTTCACACTCCACACTCCACACACACATTCATCCACTCGCTTTCTTTGTTGCATTTTTTTTTTCTTTTCTCTTTCCTTTTTTTTGGTTTGCGGCGAGCTGGGAGCTTGCACGTTAACGTACACTTTTGACCCCTGCATCTATCTGTCTTGTTAGATCTATTTTTTTCTTGCAATCGGAATCTTATTCGCGGGTCTTCGTGCCCTTGATTGATTGTACCATTAGTGTGACCACTGCATTTCAGGTCCCCATATGACGGGTTCGCCGTAGTCAGACGACCTGGAGCAAAGTACCGGTCAAGTGCTTTGGATGGATTTGAAATGGGTGAGTTCTACTTCTTTGCCTCCCCATCAGAATTCTAACACATGTACTACAGTGATACGTTATATGAATGTCGTGCCCCAATCCCCATAGTACGTATCTAACGGGGCTGCTCAAGTCTTTGAGCAACTCTAATTTGGGGAATGAGTGGGTATTGTTCATCTGACAGTTGGTCCCGTCCTGAAAGCGCAACATGGTCACGTTGAGCTTGCTCCTCACGCTACAGTGCCAAGGAAAAAACAGCGTATCCTGAATTATCGATGCTAGTCGGTCCGGTACGTCGCAAACCTATAAAGCGTAGCCTCTATGTGCTCTGTACTATCATCAATCCCAGGTCCGTCTTGATTCCTAGCTCCATTGATATTGATTGACAGGATGAGTACACACAATCACGAATATGATATCATCTTCGCTGGAGGTACGTTGTTACAGGTTTTGTCAAGTTCAGAGCTCTCACTGGCCGTTGTGCACACTATTAGGAGGAACGACTGCATGTGTCGTTGCAGGTCGACTCGCCGCTGCAGATCCGTTACTTAAGATTCTTGTGGTCGAAGCGGGCCCTCATACGCAAGACGATTTGGCTCATATCCAACCAGCACGATATATAAGTCACCTCCAACCAGACAGTAAGACTGTCAAGTTTATGGTGGCGCAGAAGAGCGACGCCCTTGGAGGACGTGCCATTGTTGTTCCCACCGGACAATGCATTGGGGGAGGATCCAGCGTCAACTGTCAGCCCTCCTCCTTATCAACCTGTGCATCTGACTGTGCTTATATGTAATACTAATAGTCGCTATGTACACTCGCGCTTCGGCTTCCGACTATGATGATTGGGCGACGAAGTATGGGAACCCTGGTTGGAGTACTCAAGATCTTCTACCTCTCTTGCAAAAGGTAGATTGTCTTGTTCCGCGGGCATTTCCATACTGAATTTGTTTTTTATTTTTATTTTGCGCAGTCGGAGGCGTATCAGGCCCAGCCTGGTCTGCCGACTCATGGATACTCGGGTCCAATCAAAGTGTCCTATGGTGGTAAACTTACCAACGTCGGAAATAACTTCCTCGAAGTCGCTCTGGTTTATGACAAAAGCCGATCATTCATAGATGATCCAAGTGGTTTATACTCTTGCAATGCTTACGCTGTACGTTCCTTATTACATTTTCCCCACCGATTGCGTGGCTCTAATCGAGTTTCTCAATAGCGATGGCCAAAGTAAGCACTTACCAGAAAAGTGAAATCTAAGCGTAGAGATCAACTGATCCACAGGTGGATTAACGGGCAAAGCGGCAAGCGATCAGACACAGCTCACCATTACCTCTACACTCAGTCAGGCAACCCAAATGTCGAAATTGTAGTGGGTTGTCTAGTGAAACGAGTCCTTTTCCAGTGAGTTTGCCACAGCACCCAAGCATTGACGACTCTGAATTACTCTATAGAGGCACGAGGGCAGTCGGTATAGAGTACGTTCGGGACCCACAGTACCATCCAGACAGTCCCAACGAGGTAATCACTGCGAATGCCAAGCGTCTAGTGGTACTGTCTGCAGGTACCTTTGGTTCTCCTGCTATCCTTGAACGTTCTGGCATTGGATCGTCATCCATGCTAGAACGGTGTGGAGTTAAGCCAATCGTAGACTTGCCTGGGGTGGGCGAAAATTATCAAGGTATGTTTCCACGATGAACTATAAGGGATCTCCGCAGTTTGATTGGACGTAGATCACTGTGCGATCTTTCCGGATTACTTCGCCAGTGATAAGTCCGATACACTGGATGGTATCGTCCGTGGAGATAGCGATGAAGTCAATAGTAAGCAATATTTGGTTCATCTCCGTTCAGCTACTCATATGCCATTGCAGAATGGACCTCACAATGGCTAGAGACTGGTACTGGCTTGATGGCCCACAAGTAGGCATAAGACTGCATGATCATAGAGTCGATGCTAATTGTAACAGCGGTATTGATGCGGGCATAAAGATTCGCCCAACTGAGGAGGAGGTGTTAACGATAGGACCAGCTTTTGCGAGGAAATGGAAGGAGTTCTTTGTCGACGCTCCTGACAAGCCCATCCTTTGGCTGGGCCCGATGGCAATGTACTACTTTCTCGTCTTCGTTTGTTGCAATGGTCATGACACTCGTCCTCAGGTTGGTTGGGGACTACGCAACGGCACCACATCGGAAGTTCTTCAACATACTTTCCTACCTCCAGCATCCTTCCGCTAGGGGTCACGTCCATATCACATCTGCCCACGACATATTCGCTCCCCTGGATTTCCAACCAGACTATCTCGCGAAGTATGATTAGTTTATTGTCATGCGTGGTGTCGCTGTCTACTAACTACTTGTAGACGGGAAGATGTAGAAGTCTTCAGGTGGGGTTACAAAAAGACTAGAGAGCTCGCTCGCCGCATGAAGTGCTTTCGAGGAGAGTATGCTCCATACCACCCTTCGTTCCCTGAGGGCAGCGCGGCTGCGTGTAAGGCGGATATTATGCCTGTTGCTATCGATGCTCCAGACATTGCTTACACCGAAGAAGACGACAGAGCCATCGAGAGATATCTACAACAACAGCGTAAGTAATTAAATTCCAATTTTATGTCGTTCTCTGATGTTGTAGATTTCGTAGTGAGTACAACGTGGCATTCGGTATGCGTCGTCCGGACACCTGACGATGGATGATTGGTACTGACTTCAGTACAGCTCGGAACTTGTGCAATGAAACCTCGCGTACAAGGCGGCGTTGTCGACAGTCGCTTGAATGTGTATGGTGTGACAAACCTCAAGGTCGCTGGTAAGAACTTCTTCCGGCCTTACGGGGAGAGTCGAGATAATGGTTCACAGATGTGTCCATCGCACCTGGGAATGTCGCTGCCGTGAGTGCATTACCTCCTTATAAACATGCCTTCTTATCCTTACTGCATATATGCTATCTCGCAGAATACGTACTCCACAGCTTTGGTTATTGGAGAGAAGGCGGCTGTGATGATTGCAGAAGAGCTCGGAATCCAGGGTGTCTGAAAATAGATGTAGACACAGTATTCATCGCAGCTCGGCATGCAGTTCTCCAATAGTTACATCTTCAAGATCGAAATTCGACCTAATCACTGATTGACTGGGCCATCCCACGTCTGATCATAGCTGTCCTGTCTCTGGTATACGAAGCTAGCCGACGTACGGCGTTCTTTCTCGGCGATACGATACTAGGTGTATCCATCTGAATCGTCGAGAGGACTTTGCGTCGACTCGATATTGGAATAGGACGGGGAAAGTGTCCGATATTCCCTAATGGCTCAACCTGAGGATAATATTAGCCTAAGGTAACTGCTAGGCATAGAGAATACCTATACTGACTTCACCACGTATCGTCCCATACGGAGGATCCATGAACCTGAACTCGATGTCGTATGGGGTGCATAATTGTTGCAATGCGCGTACGTCGCTTTCTCCCATAGCATGGCCAGAAGTTGACGTACGCGTATACGTTAACGTCACTAATGCCCCGTTTGAAGCCACTTGATATGCAGCGATACCTTGCAAGACGTCATGTATGCCCTTCACTACGGAGGGAATTAGCAGATGCCGGACAGTGTGTGGCAGAGCCGAAAGAACAGCCCCAGAAGGGCGCAGGGTGTGGAGAGCGAGTTCTTCAAGCTTGGGGAAGAACGTGAGGTCCGCAGGACTGATGCTCCGAACGTGAAGGCTACGAAGGTTCGGACAAGTGGTTGATGAGACAATCTGCGATGCAGCTGTTTCGTTAACATGCAGAACCTCCAACGAATTCCTTGATTCCGAAGTGGGTAAAATCCACGAAAGTATATCGGGGGCCACAGAAGGAAGGCAGAGAATTCGCAACTCTCGCAGTTTCCACAAAGGCCTGATGCGCTCAGAGCCAGCACGAGTGGAACGAATATCCAGCGAAAGATACTGGATGGATGGAGACGCCTCGAGAAGTTGGTGCAGAGGTCTGTAAAATGTCGAACGGATGTGGAGTGCTTCGAACTTAGCTGCCTGTTTCAGCCGACGGAGGGAGTCAACTCTGAACATTGCATGAAACAACTTCACGTCCAGTTCAACAAGATTCGGACATAGGAGTATGGCGTCGATGTAAACCTCCTGATGGTCCATGCCCAGGATTAACGTTCTGACACATCGGCCAAGGAAGGCTGTATGTTCTATATCCTTCCCGTATCGACCGGATAGCGTAGCAGTGAGCCTCTCACATTGCTTTGATCCATTCAATAGAACGACCCGGCGAAACAGTAGAGCCTGAGCATAGGGACACCATGCTCGACAGACTAATGCATAGTTTCGCAACCACTTGTAAGATGGTAGGCAATCGTCATACTGAGCGTCAGATAATATCTCTGCAACAAGTTCAATAGGTATGTTCCGCATCTGGGACAACGAGCAACACGATAAAATGAGCTCCCAAGTATGCTTGAATCCACGAGGGAAAATTTTCACTCACATCCAAGCCAGAACATCCAGCTGAAGTATAGACAGTGGATGCCTTCCCGTAGCATTTATGGTGAGTTTTAGGTGCAAAGCAGACTTCAAACAGATGCACTGCATTGAGTCTGCAAGATTTGCTAAACCGTATCATGAGAATTGACGGAGTTGTAGATTGTTGCAAACCGGTGAGTCAGCAAGTGATCTTACCATAAGAGGAGCCGCCGAGTCGTGAGGGCCAACAGAGAGATAGCGGAGGGCGAAATGCTGTGTTTTTGCAGCAGTTTACATCTGGAAGGGGGTAGGTAACCCCCCTTCCAGATTCAAGGTTTAGAATCCTCTCCTCTATTCCGACCTTGTGATACCGCTCGACGGCTCGTCGGCCAGCAAGCGTCTGAGGAGGTCTTGTACTGTTTTATTGTTTAGAACGCGTTCCAAATGGCTACGGGAAGGCATCCAGTTGAGTTAAAATTTTGTTAATGCAGTTTGAGAGGTTATATGTACATGCCGCTAGTGGTTCAAGTACACATTCAGAATTGTCACTCGCAGTGTGTCAAGATATCCAATTTGAAAGGGCGCTGATTCGGCGCTTCCGATTTCAATTCAAGATATTCAACAAGAATCTGTATTTCATCTAAAATAGTAACTATCATAGAGTGTGTCAAAGGACTACATGATTGTATTCAGGTGGAGCACTGATGCTTGACCCAGCCGTACTACCAGACGTAACGATATTCATGGACCGTCCGTGGGCCATTGCTCGATTCAGCTGATTCAAAAGCTCGGGAATGGAGTCTTGCTCGCTATTTTCTTGATGGTCGGGAGGATTAGCTGGAGGCGGCAATACAGGGTGCGCCTTATCTCTGAAAGGTAATGACCCTGACGGTGCTAGTGATGGTAGATTCAAGTCATGTGAAGCTTATCAAAGAGATGGGATACGTACCCATTGTAGAAAGCAACAAAGGATATGGAATAGCCTCTCCTTCTGCGATCCGAGCAGACCAACGGCGATCCAAATAGGGGTGCATTCCACGGGTGTCGAGAATGCTACGTACCCGTGCTTTACGCCCCGAACGGATAAGACACAAGGGAATCAAAATCAAGATGGTTACAAGTGCCAGTCCCCCTAATGTTGCGCCTACAATCAGTCCAGTGCTGATATGATGACGAGCCGCCGAGATGTCCATGGTGGGGGTTGGCTTGCCTGAACTTGTCGGAGGTTCGGATGTGCTAAGTGGAGACTCGTATGTACTCACGAACCTTATATCGTCAAATCCAAAGAAGTGATTATTAGTACAGCCATCACAAAGAATGACTTCGTTACCCACCCGGTTGTGCTGTTATCCGTCATAGCAAGGCCAGAATTCAGGACACTCGCCGCGAAATACTGACCCGACGGGAGTAACCGAGTCGCTTGCGGACCTCCCCAACTCATTGAATAGAAATTATTGTTCGGCGATTTCGCAAGGTCAAGCAATGCATTGTACTATCAAGAAGTATAAGATGAGACGCAATGACCTGAGAAAGTAATCCAATTCACCTGAACGATCACGTAGCTCTGAATGAGTTTGGCTAGGTCAGAATTCTTATCCAATCGCGACCAGGCTTCATGTAACCCGCGAATGTAAGTGCCTGCGGTTGCAACGGTTAACGATTTGAGTATGCATCATCGGGATAATATATTACGAATCACCTTTGTTCGCAGTCTCGAATGCATTATCGTCTGGCACATGTTTTAGTGAGGCTTCTTCAAAAGAACGATATGAATTACTTTCGAACACAATACCATCCGACCCGGTCCACTGTGCGAACTTCATCGCCGAAGGTATCAAGTCCTTCAAGCTTAGACTCCCGTTAGCAAGTTGCGTAGAATGATGAATACACTTACGACATACAGGTCAGACGCAGGACCATTGCTGGTCGTATTCACGTACACACTAAGCCCCTCAATGACAAAGCCAGAGTTGGACGACTGCAAGTCCATCTGCGTGCATGTAGCGAGGTCAATGCGGTCGCGTATTATGTTGCCATCATAGAGATGTGAACGAATGAATTGAAATGATTGTCCGGCACTGTCCGAGTAAGTGCCATTGCCCGTTGCTTCCAAAAGGAGTGATGATAGGCTGCCATATTATTCAGTTATGAGCAAAGCGCCTTTCATACAAGTAGGCTACTCACGTCATAAAAGCCCTAGGAACAGAAACACGACGTCAGTTCATGAATGTATAGTGTTCGCATAGCTCTCACCCAATCGTATCGACATTAACCCACAAGTTCGTCGGATTTGTTCCGTACTGCATTCGAATCAATACCCCGTGCGAGATGAGTGCAGTTCAAATATTGACTGACCAGGAAGACGCCGCCTACAACTGATGCTATCATTTATCGTGTTGTCCGTTAGCCGCAGAAACGACAGATTCAATGAAACCCAACTTACTGCCATTGCATTGCGCCGGCAATGTGACAGTCTTGATAGGATGCGATCCCTTTGTCGCGTCATCTGCTGTAATGACACACCCGTCGTTGATCTGGTTCCAAACGGCAGTCGCAGTACTGAGGAATAGGTCTCTCCCATATGCACGATACGCGTTCATCGCCGCAAGAGCCCACGACCTATGTGAAGCCGGCATGAGTAGCGAATTTGGCAAAGACGTGATAGTTGAGACGTACAATGTTTCGCTGGCGACATCAGGACACTGCGAATAATCAGACGGGAACGACAACCTCTACGATAAATAACCACTCACCCTAACGCACCCAAAATCGAGCTAAGAGTAATAAGAATCCAGACTCATCAGAGCACTCACCCAGATCCTCGCGAGAGGGCAGCCGCATTTGCACCCAGCCAATTCGATACGATGACATTGTTGTCTTGGTTTCCTGAGACTAAATCATGCAATGCAATGGAAGAGAGCATGTGTCCATTTTGGCCGTACGTAAGATCTGTCATATCTTGAGTCTTCTCTTTTTGTTGAATGAGCATGTGCTCTACTTACTATTAAGTCGTCCACTGGTCGCATCGTACATAGGAATCATGGTGTCGAGTAAGGCCTGGGCGATCTGAACTCGCTCATTCCAGGAGCGAGACGAATTTGGTGACTGTTATGTGCTCTTGTTCATGCTACTGAAATCACCGGGGAGATTGTTACGCACCCGCCATCCTGTGGGTATTGACAGGTCCTGCCCGAGGACGAAGACACGGGAGATTAACAGATAAAGAAGTGGGGAAAGCATACTGGAACCTGGGGCTCGGTTTCACTGATAATGCTGAGGTATATAAGATTGGCCACCATAAACAAGTACTGGTTGGGCTTGCCATAGTCATTATGGACATCAGGATATCTAACATCATTCAGCGGCAGTGTACAGAGAACAGAAGATCGACCTTTAAAGTTTATGATTTGGATCCGGGGTATGAAGTACCGTGTGGTTTGGATGGTGATATGTATCAATCAGTACCAGAATTCAGAGCACTTCTTGAGTTGTATTGCAAACATCAGTGACCGCCGGTGCCTAGCAGGCTCCAAACGGTACTTCCGGAGGTGCTAACTCGTCAAAAGGAAGGTGAAGGCTTGTTGCGACGCATCTTCATGGCAACCGTGTCGTTATAGTGATTCTCAGAGTTGTTGAGGATTCATCGCGAGCCATGTCACGTAGTTTCCCAGAGTCGGTGTAAACATAGGTACAATGTCCCACACTCGTACCTTGGGGCCCCAAGTATATCCGTCATGCCATGGTGACTATATGAATGAAAACAAACTTCAAAGTTGAGAACGGTAATCGCCTCACCAGAGGTGGTCTGAATGTAGATTTACAAGACAGATGGCCGGATGAGCGTTGAAATCTCAATAGGTCACCTCCCTTACAGGATCGGCTGGTCCCAAATTGTTAGAGGATGTTCTCCGCCATGCTCCACAACAGCCTGTATCTTCACTCGGGAATCCTTCACACTGACGAACGTTGACGGAACTACATGGTGAATATCCGTTTGCGGTCAGGCATCAGCGTCGCACCGTCACATAATTTCTACAACACTTACATGTGTACCCTTATATGCATCTGTGCAGAGTCGTCACGATATCACCCGCATGGACCTGCAATAATATATTAGAGTTGCAAAGACGGTGTGCGGTGTTCTTTAGTACTTTTTTGACCGCATACCCACGGCTGTGGTTAGCTTTAGAGAACATCAACACATTGGAAGGTCTTACTTGATGTACTTAAAAGGAATAGAAAATGGGTATTCAACGCATCGGGTTGAGTTGTGTTCAGTGCTACCTGCTTAAAAATATATATATCTGCTGATAGCTTAGCGGCTGTTTACCGCCGCGTCCTCTCCATAGGAACTGCGTCTCTTGGATGACATGCAAACAAGATCAGATATATTCCGAGAGGTTGAGGTGGACCAAAGTTTGGAGGAGATCGGATTTGCGGGTTGGTTACTGGAAGCAGTCCTGCAATCCACCGACCAGGATGAGAAGAGCAAGCAAATCGAAAACTGAGGCATTATGACTTGAGTGGACGAACTGACTGCTATCGCATGTGGGTCTTCGGTCTTGAAATTCCAGTGGTCGAGTCGATCATGCCAATTAGCCACCAGCGAAGGGCTGGAAAGCTATGTTACTGTAAATAAGGCCCGGTCAAAAGTAAGAGACAGAAGCCACAAAGATCACACGCAATCCTGCACCTGCGGGGAGAGGATTGGGCTCTAGCAAAGTGCATAGAGGCATATTGAAGCTTGGGAACATTGTTGGACGTGAAAAGCGAAGCAAAGGTAAATGATTGCGTGCCAGTTGGACCTTTAGAGTGTTTTCGAGTAGTTTCAACAGGATGATGATTCCTCACAGACTTCTAGAGAGGAAGATAAGTAGTCCTAGTCATCCCTCAACAACGGTCAGAAGATGTCTAACCTAAGGAACTTGGGAGAGCGCACTTATAATAAATTTGTATTAGGTGTGTCACTAAGTGTTACTTACGTTCCCATTGTAAGCTAACTTAAGCGAAATTGTTAGCCGTCATGGCTGGAATACAATCATTCTTCTCCTCTTCCTAAACCTTTTCATTCTTATTCTTATCTTCTCTCTCCCGTTGTCGATCTTCTACTACATCCGGAATCGTTGGCCGGCCTGACGCTTGAGTCAAGAGAAAGTTAGTCTCGGTTGTCAGGCTTCCAAGTCGCCGACTACGATATCCTCGAGATCTTCTACGTTCTTCTAGAGGACCTTTCCTTACAATGTCACGACTCTCGCGGAGAAGTTATGCGGGTTCGATGCACGAGAGACGAGTGTCACGACATCGAGTTTCAGATGAAGATCTAATGAAGTGCGTGTTATCATTCTGATTGCAGATTCTTGCTGATATCGCTTCCTCAGCTATGTTCTGCGTGTAGCGTGAGTTGCAGGTTTGGTCGTACAACGAACTATTAGCGTCATTAAATAGAACTACTACAGTTTACTGAGCTACAAGATCCAGCCCAAGACTGTGGAGACGCAACCTGAGGCAGAGACTCGCGAGAGGGACTATTCAGCCCGGATATCTGGCGCACTTTCGAACTCGATATTCTCCCTTGGTGATCTTTTTAGAGATGGTGCAAAGGGCGTACGCTTTCCGAAGGACCTGCTGAAAGCGCTGGAGCAGAAGTTGCAGGACATTGCGATGGGCAGAGATCCTGGGTGAGCACAACATTCAGTGCTCTCCAATTCTGGAATCTGACACCGAATCCAGTTACTCTGACCAACTCATACGGCGGACAATGGCGGTCTTCTACGGTCAGGTAAAAGACGAGAGTTTCCGTCGGCAGATGAAGGAGAATCGCAAGATCGAGGAGCTGATCCTGATGTTCGCGACGAACGCGACGAATGTGCTCAAGAAAGAGCCAACGCTAGCAGGAGATGGCTGGAAGATCGAGTTGAACAATCACATTGCGCAATTCATCCGACTGTTGCGAGAGTGTCTGCGACATGTGTCTCATGTGTCTCCGGAACTGACTGTCCGACTCGATATGTACACTGCAAAGCTAGCACCCTCGCAGTCTACGTTCAGTGATTCAGGTTACGACTCTGCTTCTACTTCACGCGACCGCGACTCGATCAGTTCACAGAGACGGATCAGCATGAGCGTGAGGGATATGCCCCTCGTGCAAACCGCTGTTCGAATATTCAAGATTCCTGAGAGCGAGGCGCAAAAGGAGATCGAGGAGTTAAGCAAATTCTGTACAGAGAAGGTATGTGACTAGAAAATCGTGTTTGCCCAAGTTCTCTGACGTATTGTTTAGGCAGCTCTGACAGACTTGAAGGTATGCCGTGTTGAAGACAACTATGTTGAGCGGCCGCCACTGAACAAGTTTACTTTAGACCTGTCTCAAGAACATCAATGCAGGTGCGCCTTTCCCAGGTCGAAGGGAAGACTTCGATAGCGAGGCTGCCTGGCAGTATTGGCGTACACTGGAAACGTCACACCTTTCACAACTCATGGTCGTTATGGTCCAATTTAATCCCGAACTGGCGAAGTCGACTCCATCAGATGTCCCGCCGTCAACCCAAACATCAAACGGACGACCGGGGTCGGTGTACTCGTACGCCTCACAAAGAGATTCATTCTATGCTTCGTCTGCATCACGGCATGCATCCATCAGTAGCAGGCATTCGATCATGTCTAACCAATTTTCTTCAAGGAATGCTGCTGGTGTGGATGAGGAACTTGAGGGTGACGATGATCTGCCTGTGGGTCATCATTTCACCTTCATTCCTCCTAATCCACGAAAGTACTACAAGAAATTGCTGGAGTACTGCATTGCTGCGGATCTCGAGGCGATGCTTAGCCCGGCAGTTGGTGATGACGACGAAGTGTCCTTAGGTATCCTCTCACCTCCGCATATCGAGCTGATCAACGAATGCGCTCTAAGGTGGAGAATCGGCCAGCCTTATCGCGCAGCCTGTTTCTTGGATATCGTGAAGCAGTTTTATGAACGCAATGAAGTCCCTCTGGAGTGCATACCAGAAGCTTTGCAAACCATTGCCAAGGTCATGCATGAAATCGAGTTTGACAAGTGGCCGTTACAGGATGTAAGAATAGATGCATGTAGTTGTTATCTAAGGCGATTACTAACGTGTATGTTTTCGTAGTGCGATTATCTGGGGCAGATATACGGTGGGCTTTTCAGTATATTCCTGTCATGCCTCTACCACGCCATGGACGCCATACCACACCTGAAACCATCTGAAATTGCGCCGTATCTTCATGTTCTCGAAGTTGTCCGGGACAGTGGTCTACTCGAGCGGTTTGATGTCGACGTTACAGCTCGACTACAAGATGTTCAAGACCAGATTCGTTCCGTGTCTGCCCGTTTCTATGATGAGAAGAATCGTGAACTGCATTCCGCTCCTGGCGTAAATCGGGCGCTGCCCTACTTGCTGATGACAGACGAAATCGAGAAAGCAGCGAAATTGCTTGACAAGCGGTTTCCCGAGCCCATCCTGGGGTATGTCTTTTTCGTTGCTGTTTTCGATCATTGTTGACCTGACTGTTTATCTCCATAAAGACATCTGGATATCGTCTCATTAGTCCTTGAAGTGCAGATACCGATGTTCCTACAGGACCTAGATAGTTCACGCAAGCGCCTATTTGAAGACTCGATGAACGGACCGACGCCGGACGTCCCTATCCAAGACATCTTCGCACTATATCGCAGAACGAAAACTTTGCTTGGAATGTATAAAGCTTTCGTACCAAAGTGAGTGCACCTCAGGTGAATGTAATTCTCATATACTGATCGACATGCACAGTGGAGACGCAGACTTCGACATCAACGGATTCTTTGAACCTTACGTTCAGCAATGGCTTGTCAACACCCACGAGAAGACGACACAATGGGTACAGGCCGTGAGTAGTATTATGCAGTATCTATGTTGTACACTTAGCTGACCATGGAATGTTAATTGTAGGCAATTGCAGCTGATAAGGTCGGTGGTAAACGTCATATCACAAGGACGAACTTTGAGTTGATATGACATTCTTCAGTTCGAGGCAGAAGGTCCAGAAGGTCACAGTTCTTCAATTATCGATCTCTTCGATTCTTTGCGCAGTCCAATCAGTTTCCTCGAGGAGCTGGAATGGAGCGACGAGTACCAGGAAGCGAGGTTCTTTACCAGTCTATCCAAGGTAAGATTACGCTGAGGTACTTATTTGCCGTATAGCTAACTTCGACGTTGTCAGACTATCAGCAAGGCTGTTGAACAGTACTGCCGCAGTGTTGAGGAGCTTTTCATGGCGGAGATGTTCCCTCGACCAACGGATTATTTGCAACCTCAGAAATCCTCAGCGTGGTTGGAGAAAGCAAAACAGCTGGCCAGCACTACTGAGAAGAAGCTGGATCCGTTCACCTTCCGTCCTGAATCATGCGTCAAGTTGAACAATATTCAGGCCGCCCGTCGTCTTCTTGACAACATGTACGCACAGGTTCAAGCTGACAAGAAAGCAGAGATTCTTGCGCAGGCACCGCCACCTCCGCCGGATAAGGATGGGAAGCCCGCAGTGCAACGCTTCTTGTTCACTGCGAAGATTGCGCTGGCAGAAGGACTAGTCCCTCTGGATACCAGTCCTTCCACGAAGCTGGACACGTTTGTCACCCTGAGTGATGAGCAAGGCAATCGTCTTGCCAAAACAAGAACTATTTACGAGACATTGTCGCCTCGATGTAAGTTCCACTATGGCAATCGCTTGCCTCACGACCATTACTTAACTATTCTGTTAGGGGATGAAACCTTCGATCTGACGGTGGAAAAGCCATTATGGCTAATGGTCAGTGTTCGTGACCGAGCCCTTGTCGGCAAGCACGACACTGTTGGACGAGCGTATATTTGTCTCGATCCTCGACGTTATGGTGACTTCCTCACACATGACCAATGGATGGATCTGGATACCCAGGGTCGAATTCTGCTACGTATCAGCATGGAAGGTGAGAAGGACGATCCGCAATTCTACTTTGGTAGGGCATTCCGTTCGTTGAAGAGAGCTGAGGCGGATATGGTTCGAGTCTTCATCGATAAGGTCTGTTGAACGTTGCGTCATAAAGTTTCTGTTAACTGACATCACGATGCAGATCTCTCCATTCGTGCGACAAAGCATTTCGCGGCCCATCCTCAAGTCCTTGGTCAGGTCAGGAAGCGTCAGCATAGACTATAACAAAGCGCTCGGAAACGTTACCGCACTCTACCGCTCGGCACTAGGCAGCAACAGCTCTGAAGTGCAAATTCCATTGCCTTCCTCAGAAAAACCCCGAATTCGTCCTGAAGATCTTACAGATGTGGAGATCGAGCAGGCCATTACGCCATTGTTTGACTTCTTCGACGCCAATCTTCCGACGCTTAACACTTACCTCAGTGACTCTGCGAAGGATATGGTGATGATCCGTGTATGGAAGGAGATCCTGACTGTCATTGAGGGCCTTCTGATCCCGCCATTGTCAAATATCGAGAGTGACATGAAGCCCTTGTCTGATAAGGAAGTGGACATCGCCTTCAAGTGGCTGAAGGTGACGCATTTTGTCTTTATGTCCTTTTCTTTCGTGTATTGACCGACTTGCTTCAGTTCTTGCGTGATTACTTTTATGCAGGCGGAGAAGGACCCATTTCGCTGGAGGCCCTACAGAATCAGAAGTATCGCGACATTTTGTCTATTCGTCTCTATTATGATTGGCATACGTACGTTGTTGCCTTGTTCTGAGTTTTGATCACAACTAAGAATTCCTCAGCGATGCCCTCATGGAGGAGTGTGTACGTATGATGCAGCAGAGTCTCCGCGCCTCTCCCTCTGTCAAGAAACGCGCTAAGAGCGTGTACGCCCAACGCAACCTCGGTACGATCAAGGATCGGAAGCGAGAGAAGCAACAAGAGAAGGAACACAACAATGGAGAGATTATACTACGTATTCTCCGTATGCGGTATGTCCTCACACGTCCTCTTCCGTGTTGCCGAGCTTATATGGTCGTCTGATCTTTGTTAGACATGGCACTGGTGACTTTATTGCGCAACAACTGCAAGCAATGACTAGCTTACAAGCAGAGCGAGAGGCTCGTGCCCAGGAGATACAGCAAAGAAAACTACAACGACCACGACAGCAAGCCATTCCTGAAGTACCGGAAATTCCACCTTTACCCCCACTACCTGCCAAGGACGCATAGACAATCGCTGCAAATTGGTTGTAATTATAATAAGGACGGATACCTAGGCCTGACATTTTATACCTATCCTTCATTGTTTCTTTTTGTATTCTTTTCTCCTTCGTGGTAGTCTATTTCCCCCCTTTCTTACGTTGCTTCGCTTAGTGTTTATCTATCGTGCTGATATCCTTTTTCTCTTCCGCAGCTGCGGAACCATCCCCTCCCGAGACTGTCGGTGTACGAGTGGGGGTGAACGTTGACCTCCGCAACACTCGGTGTACGCGGCAGCTGCCGCATTTGGCAGTGCTGAACAATCGTGAGCATGACTGAGCTTGGCTTGGTAAGCGATACTCTACGTAACGTTGTCTTCCGCTTGCCATCCACAACACGCAAGCTGGACACGTAGATCTGCGCACAGCCACGATGAGATACGCAGTCAGGCCGCCTCGGGAAATGACTGACGTACTGACTCACCTGGACGAACCCAGCCAGTATAAGATGCGGCGTAGAAACAGGTTCTTCATAGATCCCGAGTCCTCTCTGAAGGTTATTGCTTTGCACACACTCATCCTGATATCCCGTTCAGCTTTACCACCATGAACGCCATTGCTTCTTCGTCCACATCCTCGATACCCTTTCCATCAAGTTCGCATGATATTCCCTTTTTGGGCGTATCGCGACCAATCGCTCAGACGCAATTGCAGTACGATGGACGGGGAAGGCTTATGCCTTTTGTAGAGACGTTATCCCAACGACGGGAGAGACTAGCCTTTCTCAGGAAGAAAGAGCAGTCCCGCAGAGTCTCTGAATGGATTGAAGCATCATCACGCCGTCGCTCAAAGGTGAGCTTTCTTTCGTTGTGACCTTTGCCGCAATACAAGCTGACTTTGCTTTCATCAGCGGCCCGCATATGACTTATCCTCCGTAGATGCTGTGAAGCTATCCGGACGACCGGAATCGATACCTGAGGAAGACGAACCGGAGAGCTCTTGGTCCACCTCATTATCATCTTTTACACCGGCAAACCTGCATGCGCACGACAGTGCATGGCCGGCTCTCTTATCCGGTTCACGATCACATGGGAGGACTGACTCCGTTTGTTCTACTCGATCGTCACGGTCGTCACTAGAATCTATTGAGGAGGAGGACGAGGAAGGTCTCAACTAGGGCGGGTTAATATATAATATGATTGCTAGACCGGGGACTTGCAGAAAAGGTAGTAGTGTTCTGCAATATACTGTATAATGACTGACATGTAACATGCGTTTGTTGGCAATCCCCTGTGACTTCAAGAGCGGCAACTCTGAATGTATGTATATATATATGGTTATCTCTCCTCTGACCTCTTCTTCAGAGCATCTGCAAAGGCATCGAATGACTTCTTCAAGTCCTTGCCAGTGATCCACTTGACAAGATACGCAACAGGACCTCCAAAGACTTCAACTGTGTCATACTTTGCTTTCCCATCGTCAGACAGACTGATTGATTGCCATCTCTCGGCGTTCAGTAACCAGTTGGGAAGAGAGGCGTAGCGCCAGGCTACGCGATGGTTCTCGTGATCAACCAACGTCACAATCTCGTGAGATTTCTGCGGATGAGACTCCCCATCCTTTCCAGGGGGAATGTTAACGGTCAGGATGAGAGTTGACCCTAACTTGGGGGTCTGGTCATCGAGCGGTTTGTTGGCAGCGTCCACTACCACCTGGCTTCGTCTATATCAATAAAAGATTCATTAGATGCAGATCCGTATAAAAATACGGATTACACTTGCACGAATGGGTTCCTACAAACCGGCCGACAAGCGTGAGTATTTCCGCCCTAGTATACTGACGTGTAGACATTAAACATCAACTGACCATTCGGGGTAAGATGGAAAATCAAGCAGGACGTTCCACACTTTCTCTACAGGTGCGTCAATAGTGGCAGACGCAGTCATTGTGAATACACCATCCTCTGCTCGAGGAGGCGTAGGTCCTGACATGACGGAGGAGGTGGGATTTGAACTTGCAACGTCCGGATTTGGTATATATAGATCTAGTAAATGTTTAGTGATGTACAGCCTGAGCGCGCTTGAGCAACGAGCTCGATTGACAGATTGCTCAAGGATTGATTTTGCTTGATGTCTGGATAGCAGGGCAGCTGGAGTGAGGTGCGAGGACGTAGGTAGCAAAGAGGTGCGTGTTCTCTATGGAGACCAGTGACTGTCCCATTTCCAAACATGCCAACAACGTGTACAAACACATCATGATTGCCAGGCAGCATCTGGCAGTATCCCTGGGATGGTTATAAAACGACCTCGACGGAGTTCGCGCTAATCCTCCAAGCACGTACTAGGTGTTTTCGATGTATGTCTACAAATTGGTGGAGTTCCCAAGGTTGACCGTCATACCCGAAGTCCTCACTGGCGCTCGCGCCGGTGCTATGCTATTGACAGTCCTCTATCAGAAACATTATGGACGCTGGGATCAGTTACATATAGTAGGGCCTCCCTTTGCGTAGAGGATGTCTCACAGGAGACACGATCCTCGAACTATACCAACATTGGTGCCAGGTAATAACGGGTCCGAGTCTTCTCACGAGAATTATCATCGTGACTAGTCTTGTACCGTTGTCTAGAGCAGGAGACGCCAGCCTTGACAGATCGTAACCAAAACGTTCGACGCTGTTATCCTGAATTTGAGTCCTCGTTTTATATACCCCACGGTCTCGGGCCCTGGTCCTAACACGTTCGGTATGTTCACCCTCATCCTCTCTTTGCTGATTTGGAATGTTTTCGTCCTTGGGCAGGACCTGTCGATACCCACAGGATGGCGGGTGCGTAAAGACATCCACTGGGATCTCAATAACATGAAAAATAGCCCGTAACAGTCACCAAATTGCTCTCGCTCCTGGAATGAGCGAGCTCAAATCGCCCAGGCCTTACTCGACACCATGATCCCTCTATATGATGCGACCAGTAGACGACTTAAGAGTGAGTAAAACACATGCTCATTCAACGAAAAAATAAAACTCAAGCTACGACAGATCTTACGTACGGCCAAAATGGACATATGCTCTCTTCCATTGCATTGCATGATTTAATCGCCGGAAATCAAGACAACAATGCCATCGTATCGAATTGGCTTGGTGCAAACGCAAATGATCTCTCGCAAGGATCTGGGTGAGTACTACTCCTATACGTCTGGATTCTTAGTACTCTTAGCTCAATTTTGGATGTATTAGAGTGAGTGATTATCTATTATAGCTGTTGTTGTTCCTCCTCTGAGTGTTCGCAGTGTCCTGATGTCGCCAGCGAAACGCTGTACGTCTCAACTATCACGTCTTTGCCAGATTCGCTACTCATACCGGCTTCACATAGGTCGTGGGCTCTTGCGGCGATAAATGCATATCGTGCATATAGGAGAGACCTATTCCTCAGTACTGCGGCTGCCGTCTGGAACCAGATCAACGACGGGTGTGTCATTACGGCTGATGATGCATCCAAGGGATCGCATCCTATCAAGACTGTCACATTGCCGGCGCAATGCAATGGCAGTACGTTGGGTTTCATTGAATCTGTCATTCCTGAGACTAACGGACAACATGACAAATGATAGCATCAGTTGTAGGCGGCGTCTTCCTGGTCAGTCAATACTTGAACTGCGATCCTTTCGCGCAGTGTGTTGACTCAAATATAGTATGGAACAAATCCGACGAACTTGGGGGTTAATATCCATACAATTGGGTGGGAGCCATCCGAACACTATACATTCATTAACTGACGTCGTGTTTCTGTTTCTAGGGCTTTCATGACGTGAGTACCTATGTGGAAGGAATTTAGCTCGTAACTGAACATGTGCCAGCCTATCGTCACTCCTTTTCGAAGCAACGGGCAATGGCACTTACTCAGACAGTGCCGGACAATCGTTTGAGTTCATTCGTTCACATCTTTACGATGGCAACATAATACACGACCGCATCGACCTCGCTACATGCATGCAGATGGACTTGCAGTCGTCCAACTCTGGCTTTGTCATTGAGGGGCTTAGTGTGTACGCGGATACGACCAGCAACGGCCCCGCGTCTGACCTGTATGTCGCAACTGTTCCTTGTTCTACGTGACTTGCTAATGGGAATTCTAAGCCTGAAGAACTTGATACCTTCGGCGATGAAGTACGCACAGTGGACCGGGTCGGATGGTATTGTTTTCGAAAGTAATTCATATTGTTTTTTCGGCGAAGCCTTACTGAAGCATGTTCCAGCCACTAGTGCAACCTCGACGGGGAACAAAGGTAATTTGTGAGGCGTTATCCCGATGGCGCATACTCACATCGTTACGGGTTGAAATTGCAGGCACCTACATTCGCGGGTTACATGAAGCCTGGTCACGATTGGATAAGAATTCCGACCTAGCCAAACTCATTCAAAGCTACGTTCTCGTTCAGGTGATTACATTACTTTCTCAGATTCTTGTGTCTTGCCTCATACTTTGCGATAGTACAATGCATTGCTTGATCTTGCGAAATCACCAAGTGACGACTTTTATTCACCGGGTTGGGAAGGTCCACAAGCGACTGAGTTGCTTCCATCGGGTCAATATTTCGCCGCAAGTGTTCTGAACTCTGCCCTTTCCATGACGAACAATGGCACGGTGACAGGCAGCAGCACAGACAGGTATGCAACTGAGTCCTTTACGTTATTCACGTCACTCTGGTGCCCTCTGACTCTCCTGAATTCTCCAGCCCATCTGCAACCCATTCCGGTCTAGCTTCAGAAACCTCTGCATTACAATCTCATCATATCAGTACCGGTGTAATCGTGGGCGCAACAATTGGCGGTGTCGCATTCCTCGCCGTATTGATGGCATTCCTCGTGTTTCTGTTCTTACGTCAGCGAAACCCGAGAGGTCGTGGCGTGTTCACCACCGCCAAAGCGAACCAGTCCTTGGATGGATGTTATGATGCTCTTGAGCCGTCGGAGCCAGTCGCTATGCAGGTAACTCCTTACCCTTTGACATCGACTACATTAGGTGAGCAGTATTTGAGCTTCCCAGTGGCAGCATCGTAGCAACTGATGTTCTTTCATCTGCTCCAGTGTCAAGTTCCCTGCCGCTGATCAAGGGCAGTACAAACTCTATATCTACCCCACCGGCAAGTTCCTCTTCTCGTGTCCAAGAGGATGTCAACCAGGAGTCCATACCGGAACTCTTGCAGCGGTTGAATCGTGCAATGGCTCAAGGTCAGCCCATGCCTAGAATTGCTAATGATACCAATGCAGACATCATTGCACCACCTCAATATGAATCAGTCACTGGTGATAGCCCCATTAATATACCTTATGAGAAGTTTCAACCTGTGAGACATTAGCTGTATGACATATTTATATAACATACTCTATATATATCCATTCTTTGGAAAGTCTTTGGAATCTTTAATAACACTGTTTGACTTGAGCAGAGTTTGTAGCATTTATTGCAGACACATCTCACTCTATTTAAGCATATTCTTGTTATTTTCTGTAAATATGAAAGACATTGATTATAACCATTTTATAAATTTATCTTAATAGCGCTACTGTAGCATATATACATATACAAATTAAAAAAGTTGTAGAAGATAGTTCTGCTGTTATAATGTGACCTTTCTACTTCTTTCTCTACACTAATGTCTTTCATATTATTGTGTTCCTACAGTATTATTAGAATATATAAAATGTGATAAAAGTTGATAGTAATATATTTTCTATAGACACACTTCTAGATATCTTAGAATTGTATCAAAAGTCTTGCTTTTCTTGAAACATGCATCTTTACAAAAGGGCAATTTAGATTTACACCCTTATATAGACTAAAAGTAGAGTTACCATTACAATATATCTTGCAAAGATAGGTGCTTCATTAATTACACTATTGTAGATTTATCTTATTTTATGTATTTTCTCTTTTTTCTCTAATTACAATATCTGAGTTCAAATTTCACTCACTGTAGAGCAACATAAAGTGTAGTGAATGTGAAAGTGATTACTTTAAACAATAATCATTCTATCAACAAATATATAGAGATTTATAGCATGATTATTGCAAATAAAGCTTAGCAATATAACATTTCAATTTATTTATAACAAATTAGCCTGATAATCAATTTAGAAGACTCTAGTTAATCTAATTTAATTTGGTTGCAAATAAGAGCTTTTAGTTGAACAGCCAGTAAGTTGAACAGTCAGATAGTTATCAGATAAAATTCTTATAGATTAGATTGCAGTATCTGAGAATAAGTACAGAAGTTTATATATATGTATGATAGAAAATAAGAAAAGCTAGATAAAAGAGAAAAGAGAAATTGCAAATTACAAGAGCTGTTAAAAGTCACATAATGAAAGATTCAAGCTAATGGTACAGAGTTATATATATAAATGAGAGAATGCAGAATAAAGCCAGAGCAAAAAAAGAAAAAGAAAAAGAGGACTCTGTTACAATTGTCTACAAATAGCCAACACAATATTAATAGAATATTTGATATTATCTTATAGTAAGTCACACTGGCATTTAGTGACTACATGAAGACTAATGATGAGACTATATATGTTATATTTTTAAAGTTCAATTTAAACTTCACCAAATATATCTATGCCACAAATATCATAATACTCATTTTCAATATATAAAATGTCTTTCTCTGCTAGCCTAGAAAATTGCTGAAACCAGTCAACATCTTTACATATCATAGACAAGCTAACAAGTTTGAGACTAGATGTATTTATAGCCAATAAGCTTGATTCAATCTGTTGACAGTCTTCTTTATCACTAGATGGCTTATAAAGATTTATAGTTATTGGCATCTTTGAATGCACAGATGAAAGTGATGCTAATACAAATAGAAGGTTTTCTTTTCTTGCATCTAGACTCAGATATTGCAAGCATAAATTATGTTGAAAATTGATAGCTTTTAAAGTAATTAGAATCAAACTAGAAAATAAAGATATGATATAATTCTCACCTGCAGCATTCATAGGCAAGCAAAGGTGGCATTTTGTCAATGATAATCCAGAGCTTAACAAAACTTGATTGATTGCTGATACATGCTCACTTTGAACTTCTTCATCAATATTAATAGAAAGAAGTTCAAGGCCAGAGATATAGCCACTGTTAAACATCCACTGCAATGGTGATATATCTATTCCATCTAGTTGCAGTGATTTCAAGTGAGATCTGAATGGCTTTTTGGCTACAGTAGTTGTTACAATATTTGAAGTTGCAGAAAGAGCACCATAAATGAAAAGCTCAAGATGCTGCAATTTGGCACATGATTGTAAGACTTTTTGGAGCTGCCTGATTGATAGTTCACTATTTTCTAGCCTCAAAGTATGTATTTGCAGAAGAGCCAGGCATCTGTAGAAATCTACATGCATACAAGTAAGATCAATATTCATACTAAGATGAGTGAGATTATTAAGCCCAGCAGAAAGGAGCAGTGTAGAGCAGCCTTCTGCAAATGTCACAGTGAAGCTCTTCAAATATGCAGAGTATTTCTTGGAATGATGGGTATATGTTCTCCACAGCTGCTGATTAACTTGTGCAATCTTGTGCTTATCTTCATCAGACAGTATCCAATTAAACAGATTAATATGCCTATAGAGAAAGGGCAATGCATGTGAATGCCATGCATGACAAGTGAGGCAACATGCAGCTAAGTCTCTCTTCTATCATATGTAGAAAGTATATCAAAACTTTGCATCTTCAATATCAGGAATACATATTCAACTCACTCTTTGTGAAGTATAGTAGGGATGACTAGTTGCATGCACCCAATATATGATCCTGGGATGTATCTCCAAGGGCAGCAATGGAAGCCCCTGTTCTCTTCTACTCTGTAGTGACATAGTCAATATTTCACAGAATGCAGTTGAAAGCAATGAGGTGAAGCGAGTTGGAACTTGGTTGAAAGGAGAAGGTACGCGCGGCCGGTTGACCCCATCCCTCTTTATATGTACCTTATCGACAACCCTAGGATGCTCGCGATACATGCATCTCATACGCACTGCCGCACATTCACAGCCCTGGAGGGATACTATCACAGATGCACAGTATTAGGGTTCAGTCAAGCGGAGAAGGCTGTCCTCGGAAGCGGTGAGCGATAAGGATAGATGCGCGAGGATGCAGCATGATGGCAAAGGCACAGAAGAAGGCATACGTGAAGTGTTTGAACACAACTGTTACGATCACATTCATTTCGGATCTACGGACACACCTTTCCCTCACATTATTTATTTGTAACCACTTATTAAAACCTACCCAAACACATTCATTGATCCATGCTCGAACCTGACTGATACCATAAGAATATATGAACACATTGATACCGCATGTATTTAGATAATAGTTGTATATATACACCAGATGAACTTCAGATTAACTCCAAGTTTCGAATGGTTTTACCTGCTCATTTCTAAATTAATTTGAGTCCTATCATAATTTGAAACTTGCCCCTTCGTACTCTTTCGACAGGCATTGCCTCGTCCTCCACCCACACTTCACCTCACTCAAAGTCCGTTGTACTCGACGGCAACCACCTCATTCCCCACTCCACTCTGCTTTACTCTTACTCGCTCAAAACCTCATTCGGAGGGATCCGAATTCCACATTCCTAGTTACCTTTCATATCGCACTCCACTCCTCCACCTGGGTAATCACGTGACTACAACTGTAGATTGCAACCCTTGTATTCCCTTAGTATATAAATCATTACTCTCACCTGGTAGTCCGCTCTTGAAGCAACCAGGAAGTAGGCGGTGCTGCAACCTTCTTGACAGAGGGGCCGTTGAAAAATTCTACCAGAATTTACCCTGCTCAGACCTAAACGACTGAGTGTACGGCAGGAGGTTTCGAACCTCGCTGGTATTCTTTGATTCTCTCGCACGTCGAAAGACAACTACCGCGGAGATCAACTTCTCTTTTTGCGCCTTCTAAGGCCAAACCATTTTACGTAGCTACTACATCTACCTACCTCATGTGTCCGGATCAGCAATTGGCCGGAACACTTTGAAGGAGTACCTTTACCTCGGGTCTATACTTGTCTAAGTACCAGAACAGGGTCGTGTGCCCGGTACAAGACACTATTGTTCATACATCACGTCTTCATTTGAATTCCCTGACTCTGTACCCATCTACCAATTCTATGAATGCCGATCTCAACCTCCTCTCCTACCTCCATCACATTCATCTTTCACACACTCCACATCACCATCATCACCAATGGGTTCTGCCGCAACTGGAACTGGTGACCTTGAAACAAACCCACCACAACCACCACCACCAGAAAACCCATGACCACCTAGACAACCGCCACCAGTACGACCACAACCAAACACAAAGGCATCTGGAGGGAAACCTTCAGACTTCGATAGAACCAAAGATAAATTCCCATCTTTTAAAAGACAATTATATCTATGGTTCCGAACACCGAAGAACACCGGTCTTACTGATGAACAGAAGATCAACATGACCCTTTCATACATGAAGAGTCCGAAGGTTGACGACTGGGTCAATAATTATTTCGAAAATGAATTCGACATTGGCACCGACAGCTGGAATGTCAATTTCTACCAATTGATTCTCGATCTCGAAGAACAGTTTCTCGATACCAATCGAGTCGAACAAGCAGTTATCCAAATGGATAACTTGACCCAAGGCAATGGGACGGCACAAGAATATTTCCAGAAATTGGAAATGTACATCACGCAAGCAGGCAGAAAGAAGGACGATAAACACACTATCGACCTCATCAGACTCAACTGCAATGAATCCATTGTAGACAGAGTCCTCGACAAAGATACACGACCAACCGACTATGCAGCATGGAAGGAAGCGATCATTGATATTGATTCCTCGCGAAGGCAGCAGGAAGAAGAGAAGCGTCTGAAGAAGATCGGATATCGACCATACCGATCAAACCAGAACTATGGGCAGAAGTACCCTAGTTATCAGCAGCAGACCCAAGGATCGGGTCAGAACCAGAATCAGAGTCTGAAGAAGGACTACGGAGAAAAGAAAGACGGAACCGGGATGACGTTCACAGGGCGTGGACAGCCCATGGACCTGGACAGGAATTGCCTTAAGTGTAAGGCCAAGCAATCAGAGAAGGGCACTTGCGGAAGTGCATGGCATGTCCCCAATCGATCGGGACCATCCACGAACACTCAACGTGTTCGTAAGAATGAAATAAAGACAGAGTCAAAGATCGAGGAGATCCCTGACTCAGATGATGACGACGATGACAAGGTGATCGCCATGGTTCGGCGATGGATGGAGAAGAACCCGGAGAAGGCAAAGAAGCTGAATTTTGGCTCAGGCAAGACTTAAACGCACAAAGTGACTTGCCAGATAAGAACAATGACTCGGATAAACCCCTGGAGGGTTCTATGAAACCATCTTCGATACATGCCTGTAATACATCGATCGAACAATCTCCTTTTGTAAATATTTCATCTAACGCAGAGGCGTCTTCTACCAAGAAGCGCGGCAGGGCGGAACCTGTGCTTGATTCCTCTAAACAAAATACAAAAAAATTTGAA